AACCCTAACCCTAACCCTAACCCTAACCCTAACCCTAACCCTAACCCTAACCCTAACCCTAACCCTAACCCTAAATATAGGGGATCTAGCAGTTTGCTCTCCTATACCAGATTTCCTTTTAGTATAGTACAGAAAACGCTTTATTCCTTATTAACTATAGCTTTCCTAAAACTAGGGGAAATTCCAGGTTAGGAATAATATATACACAAACTAGTTTTTAGTAGCCTTTAACTTTTATATTAAACTTTATGATTCCTTAAGCAGATATATTAGTAATACTGGGTATAGCACTTTTTAAAGCCTGCAGGTATATTAATACAATAGGTATACCTATTTTATATACTATTTCCTTATTAATTATAGTAAAACACTTATACCCTTTATTTATAAGAGTGATTTTTTGGTTAATATTGTTGATAATTGTGTAAATAAATATAAATTCTAGTTCTAATACCTTTATTTTTAGCTGTGTATAAATGTTCCTTCTGTGCCCTAAAGCCTGTCTTTACTCTAAGGCTACTCTTTTTCCGGTTTAAAAACGCTGGTTTTATCTTCCCATTCATTAAAAAGATCTAGTTTAACTACTTATATAGAGTTTATCCTTATACCCAAATTCCGGAGGGTTTAGTTCGGGTTTAAAGGCAAAGCATATAGGCACCCTTTCTAAAAATAGCCTAAAGCTCCGTATTTCCTATACCTCCCGCTTTGGAAGCGGGCTTCACATTCCTTTTTAGAAACCCATTTTGCTTATTAACGTTTTATAGGCTAAGCGTAGTTCCCGCCCTGTCCTTTCTAATTTCCTCCCTTTACTATACGGTTTATCCTTATTAATATATCGCCCTCAAAGTCCACTACAGGCCCTTTATTGTTTTTTGATAATTGTAAGCTAAAGTTTGGATAGTTAAGGCCGGAGGAGGAAAAGGGTAAAGCTAGGTTCCTATACCTTTACTAATAACAGCTTGTTAACAACCTAAATTCCCCTATCTGTTTAAACCTTTAAGCTACCTATTAAACTATTTCTATGTATTCTTTAAAAACTAGTAGGAAAGCTATAGTTATTAGCTTATTTTTTAATACTTCCGATATTCTTTAGTATAGCTATGTAATACGTAACTCGTTATTTTATGCATACCCTTTAGCTTTTACAAAGGCACTTTTAAAATCTACAAAGAACTCACTAAAAGCCTAGCCATCTCTTTATTTTAGTTTTATTAGGTTATTCTATCCTTTCTCTTTATGGATAATCGCGGAAAACGTGCAATCTATATGGGAAATTAGCTTTTACTGGTTAAAATCCTTATTAAGGCCGCCGTTTTTTTAAAACACTTGGATTTTAAACTTTTAATCCCTTTCTAAATACTAGTATATGCTATACTATGCCTTTTGCTTCCCTTTAATGTATCTAGTTAGTCCGTCCACTAGAAGTTTTAAGACTAATAAGGCACGGAAATCAATATATTTGTTTGGTTTTCTGTTTTATGTAGGCTATGAGAGGGCCTTTTGCAACAGGCCTATAGGTGCTACTTTAAAACTAATTTCAGGTACTATTTTCAGCCCTTTAAAAGTATATTTATTATTATTAGAAACTATAAAAATACAATTAGAGTATAATAAAGTAAAAGTAGTTATAGATTACAAATAAATTGTTATAGGTTATAAAGGTACTACTTACAGTTGGCCTATCTATTTAATAAATTCCTTTAGCTTTTATATAGTTCCTTCTATTATACTGGCAGCTGCTTTTAACACGCCCTTAGCTGCCTATTATATAATATTGTTTAGAAAACCTTAGTTTTATATTACTGCTTATATTGCTTAGCCAAATACAGGGTTTTAACTTATATAATATAAAAAGTTATATTCTGTTTTAGAAAATTTAGTTTCTATTAGGTTTTTACTAGCGCCTAGTATATTACTAAAGTTTTTCCTTATTTTAACTAGCCTTAACAGGTTTTTTAACATTTTTCTATTAAAATCTCCTTTACTATAAAAATTATAGGAGATTTAAAAAGATCTAACCTAATATAATAGGGTTATATATTTTATTAATACTAATGCACTACTATAATTAAGCTAGGTTAAATAAAGAGAAGAAGAAAAGATTAAGTAGCCAGATTTACCAGATTTTAATAAAAAAGCACTAGAAAACCCTAGCTTTTAGCTAGATACTTGAACCCTTACTTATATAGGATATACCCATTATATAAAGCAGCTATTTTAATAAAAGGGTATTTATATTTTTTTAAAAAATTTAAAAGTTTATTAAGCTAAATAGCTAATTATAATTTTTAGTAAATTAAATTAGAATTAAATAAAAAAAGGGTAATTTATAAATATAAATATTAAATATAGAAAATAATATAAAAAAAAAGATATAAAAAATATAAAAAAAAGTAAAAAAATATTATAATTAGTATATTAATATTTAGCTAAATATAGTAGAAAAAGGGTTATTAAAATTAGTATATTAAACGTTTAGCTAAGGATAATAAAAAAAAGAAAGAGGGAAGTAAAGAAGGTATTAAGTTTTTATAATTAGCTATATATTTAAAGTTTAATAATTTAAAGTAAATTTTTATAGTTTTATAAGTATTATTCAAGTTTATATAGTAAATAAATAATATTTAATATATTTACTAAATAATAAGAATTAAGTATTAATTATACTTATAACTGCTAAAGCTATTTTATATAAAAAGAATTAATTTAGCTTAAATTAAATAAGTAATTAATAATATTATAATTAATTAATTGCTTTATAATAGTTATTATAATAATATTTTAGTATTATATAAGCTTAGTATTAAAGTTTATAAGTAGTATAAGCTAATATAAGCAGGTTTTAATATTAGAGTTTGTAAAATAATTAAATTAATAATAAAAAGCTTAATAAAAATATTTTAAAGGTTTATTAATTATTTTTTTATAATATATAAAGTTATAGTTACTATTTAGTAAAGTATATAGTATATAGGTAAATAATAGGGTTTATATTTATAGTATATAAAGGAAAAAAAGTATAGTTAGCTATAGGCTATAAGGGCTATAAGTAAGCTGCAGTTTTTAGCCTTATCTTATTTTTTATTTAATTTAATTAGCTTATTTAATTACTAATAAAGCTCTCTTTAAATACACCCTTTAAGCGCTGCACTAACTTTATATAAAAATATATTTTTATTAAAGCTTATAATTAAATATAAATAATATAAATTTTATATTTTAAAATTAAATAAAATTTATTTAAAAATATTTATTTAAAAATAATATTATAATTTTAATACTTTATTTATAAATATTTTATTTATAAAATATTATTTTATAATTTTTAATATAATATATATTTATATTATTTTTCTTATAAATACTATTATATTTATATTAATTTTTAATTTTTTTAATATTTTATAAAAGTTTATTATTTTAATAATATTTATAATTTTATTTTTATAATTTAATAAAATTATTTAAAATAAATTTTAAATAATAATAGTTTTTAAATTATAAATTAATTTAATATTTTTATAATTTATTAATTTTATTATTATATTTAATATATTAATATTTTAAAAAATTAAATAATTTTAATAAATTTTTTAAAAATTTAAAATTATTTTAATAATATATAAAAAGCTATATAAAAATTTATTTATTAAAATTTTTATATTTATTTATAATATTTTTAGCTTTTATTAATATAATATTAATAATTTAATTATTTAAAATAATTATAATTTATATAAATATAATTAAAATATTTATATTTATTTTTAAGTTTTTTTAAAATTAAAATTAATTTATTAATAAATTTAATTATATATATTTTATTAATATAAATTAAAAAAATATATTTTTACTTTTTATATTTAATAAAGTTTTTTTTTATATAATTAATATTATAATTTATATTAAATAATTATAAACTTTAAGCTTTTAACTTTAATATATAATATATAAAATTATAAAATTATTTAAATTAATTAAATATAATAATTAATATATATTAAAATATATTTAAATATTATTATTTAAATTTCTTTATAAATATATTATACTTTATTTAATAAATTTAGTTTATTTTTATTTTTATTTTATTTTAAAAGTTAATTTATTAAGCTATTTTATATAGTTATAGCTTATATTATAAATTACTTTATAACTTTACTTTTAAAAGAGTGAATTAAATTTTAGTTTTTATATAATAAGTTAAATATAATTCTCCCTTGCTTACTAACTTTTATCTGCTTTAAAGGTTTATTTCCTTGCTAAATCTAAGTCCATATCGCTGGAGAAAGATAGGGAATACAATGAAAACCAGTGTTAAAAGTCCTTGAGTAACAAAGCTCCAAGTGTAGCCTAATATATAGTAAGCACAGACTGTTATAAACTATTAAAAGGGAGATATCCTTACCAACTTGAAGTACCCAGTCATTAATATAAAAGGGATTAACAAATGCTGCCAACTAAGACCAGTTAACAGTTTCCATAGCATTGAGATAAGTTTAAAACATACATTTCCGAGCGCAAGGTAGAATTTGAATATATCCAAGACGTTGTCAGGATAGCTCTCGAAAAGATAAGTAATCACGGCCGCACTGCTCACTTGAAGACCAGCGGCCACTATATTCTGTTAGTTAAGCACACATCCGATTCCTAAGTTTTACTTGCACAAGAAGAAGCCAGCTTCTCCGACCATCCAGTGCCAGCTATAATCGATAGAAAGGCCCCATATTGTCGGGCCAATACTCCCTAACAAGATGCCTAAGTAGCAAAGCCATAACCTCATTTCGGGTGTTCGTACGCCTTCATTGCAAAGAGCCAGGCGGGTGCACAGCCAATCGCTTAATCGACCCGAACAGATGATCTCTGCCACCAAATTTCCAATGATGAGACCGAGGAAAAGAAGGCCTTGAATTTGCGTGGAGTGTTGGGCGTACGCAGCTGGGACCATAGTGACGACGGAAACGGTCCTAACTAATCAGCATAGAAACCATGCGCAACTTGTACTGCGGTAATAACCTACGACGAATACTGCAGAAAGACAAACGGTATAATGCTAAGCACTATTTTTGGATATGTCCAAAGTTTATAAAAATTGATAACTGTATGAAGGTACTGAGGATGGTTGAGACCAGGGACATGTGAGGGTTTCTGTAGTAAAGTAAATGACTCTGCTATAGCGGGATTTCTGGTTGTTGATAACTCACCCATAAGATCAATTCCTTGGTGCGTGGTAGAGACTCTAAATTCGCATTTTCTTCAACCATGCGGAGAACCTTGTCACGCGGATAAAGTGTCTCGGGTAGGAAGAAAATTTCCAGTAACATCAGAACGGCAAAGGCTATTGCAACATGGTACTGAGCCCAGACTGCACCGGCCGCAGCAGTGAAGCCTCCAACTAGATATACAGTCAGTGACTATTGAATATATAATGTTGATGGTAAAGGCCAAGGACGTCTCACTAAGGGCACCAAAAATAAAACCGAAGTCGAAGCTCAAGACCCAAAATCCCGTGTACAGTCCGCGCTCATGATCCCATGAGATATCACGAATAATGCCGAAGGAGACACCACAGGCTGGAGCGGCAAAAAAGCCTTGCAGAAAGCGGCAGGTCATGTAGCCACCGAAACTGATGTCTTGGATGGTGGCACAACCCGTTACGACAAGAGTCAAAGCGCTGCTCGCAACCAAGACGACGCGCCGGCCATATATGTCGCCAAGAGAGGTGAAGATCAGCGGGCTGATTGCCGCGCCGAGCGAGGGAATGGCAAATGACCAATTTACTTCTGAATAGGTGGCATTAAACTGGTCCTGGAGAAGGAAGAACGAGGGAACCGTTGTGGTAGTGCAGTATACTGTCAAGAACGCAGCGTAACACACAATGGCTAGTATCACACCTCGCTCAAACCTAGTCCAGTTCAATGGATCGAGCGGATCATTGGTGGGTGGAGGGAGAAGCGCAAGGCCGTGTGGATCCATCGGTGTCATTCTCGCAGGAGATTGCATAACGGATGCTTCGCGAGACAGACCTGTGTCTTGTTTCTCTACATCCGCAGGAACTTTTGTGCCTGTAGCGTCTTTGGAACTTGACATCGTAGGTAAGCTGTGAGTAGTTGTCTATAGTCATGCGGTTTGTTGAAACACAAAAATGGAATTTGGACAAACCGATGAGCTCTTAACAACCTTCGTTATCTACCCCTTACTGCTTAGTAACTAGTACACACCAGTTTAACACCTTGGTACGTGGAGGGCCAATTGCGGGTTGGTGGGTCAGTCAGAGGTACCCCGCTAGACTGTTTAAGGGCAAGCAAGCGCTCCGCAAGGTCTGCGTGTAAGAACTTCGACAGCCTTAGTTCAACTCCCTCCCGCTAATTATGCGCCCCCCCCCCCAATTTGCAGTTACCAAAACACTGTGACGAGACTGAGAAGGTTGACAGTTCTTGATTTCTTTCCTTAGCGTTCCGGGCTGCACATTTCTGTCCGGACGCGCGAGGCAGTAGGTTACTCTAGGCGTACAGGCAAGAACCAGAAACGGAGGCGTCTCCTGGTTTGATAACGGTTAATTCATAGAGGCACCACGCTAAACAACTCGAGAACATCGCCAAGCACTGACTGGTGAAAAGAGAAAGAGTGGCACGGCTTCAAGAATTCCCGACTTCATAGAAAACCAATAGGAATATCAGCACGGAGAAAACACTGTCCTATAGGAGAACACCCGAAACACCACTTCAGCGTTGCAAAAGCAACACTGGTAATACGGGGAAAACCCTTACAAAAGAACCTGTTCCTTAAAGAACCCTGCTCTATAGCAAGGCACAACTTCGAAGACCATCGTCACACAGAGCTATGATCCCGAAAAGGATAGACTTGAGGAGACCACCAAGACGAATCACTGAATCACTGCAGATAGCTTCGAGAGTTACCGAAAACTGATTTCTACGAGCCAATAGCAGTGTTGGACGAGATTGAATGCAACTGTCGCGACAAAACGGCCATTGAAGAGGGTAAAGCAGGGCTCGTTTTGGATGTGATGGACGGACCTAATACAAGGTAACTATGTACAATGTAGCGTAAGGTATGTAGTCTTAGCGCGTTCAGCTGATCATCTTTCTAAACTGCAATACGTGAAAATTAGTGGACCGCAAGGCGAAACCTCGGTCCAGCGATTGCGGTAAAGATTCCCAAGATGGCAACAATAATCTAGCATGGTTACTCGCTGGTCCGATAAAGGCATGGTAGAGCTGTGATGGGCACGCCCGATCACCTGATTCATTTATTCATCTTTATTCCGCACTCACTATGCGTTGGCCGCCTTATCAAGTTTTTTGGGTTAATGTAATCGTTTCAGGATCTGTCCCGTAAACGCATTAGTCGAACGCAACAACGTGCAGAAACCAGAAGAAAACAACAAAAAAACAACAACCAAATACAACTGAAACAAAATCGATGGCTTCGAATAGAACATCGTCTGCTGAAGGCACTGGTGATAGGTCTTGCGTCACAGCAGACGAGACCACTTCCCTGTTAACGAGCAACAGTCACGCGGTGGCGTCAAAAGCCGACCTTGGCCGTGAAGTCTGGATCTTGTTTCGGTCTGCATTGCCAGTGAGTACAACATGACAGTCTTGTTATTGCAGCTCGAGGATTCGTTGTTCTATGACGACTCGAGCCAGAGCAAAGATGAACGGCCCATCGCGCGCCTACCTCGGTATTGCAGCCGAAAGGGAGTAGAGAGAAGAGACTGAGGAGAAAATTCACACTTGCTGACATCAAAAGATCTCTATAGGGTACTTGCTACAAAATGCTCTGCAGCTCGCGACTATTGCAATTATAGGGCGACTAGTGTGTCCCTAAGCAATTTTTGGCTCTACGCGGGAATACTGAGACTCGCGCAGGGCCCTCTTCAACTGTCCATTGCGGCTTCCGGGTTCATGATCGCTACTTGTACAGCATGGCTACTGGCTGTTGGGGGCACTACTGCCTTGGGTGAGTTTCCGGCCCTGTTCAATGACGCCACCTCGATCGAGAGCATTGAGAAATAATTTAACACATACTTCATCTTGTTCAACAGACACCCTCGGGTCCAGGGCATTTACCGACGGTACAAACAGTTCACTAAATGTGTTACTTCACAAATGTTTTCTGGTCGTGACAATTCTGTACATCCCAGTCGTTGTGTTGTGGTGCTCGATTGGACCGATTCTAGCATTCTGTGGCCAATCCGATGAGCTGGCTTATGGTACACAATCGTTCTTGCGATGCCTTTCCCCATTTGGCCTGGGCTACGTGTACTTCGAGACATTGAAGAAGTACCTACAATGCCAAAGTAAGACCAACTTTGAGTATGCTTAAGGTCCCTGCTAATGCTTTGCATGGACATCGGAACCCCTGGCGCAATGGTCATGTTGCTCGTGGCGGCTCTGAATGTTCCACTATGTTGGTTTGTAGTGCATAGATTGCAGTTCGGACTTCTCGGTGGTGTCGTTGCCACTGGTAGCATGTATTGGCTGGCCGCTTTGTTATTATTCGGCTATATACTTGCACGTCGCAAGTCTCTGAATCTTGAGAGACCTTCTCCCAAAGTGTTTCAGCACCTTATTCCATTCGTTCGATTGGTCATATACGGCTTGCTCATGGTTGGAGCTGAATGGTCAGAATTTTTTTTAATGAAGCTTGACTGTTGTGAGTCTGTACTGACAAAACGGGATGGGTAGGTGGGCATTCGAGCTCATCGCCATTGCTGCTGGAGCTCTAGGAGATCAAGAGATCGCCGCGCAATCAATTCTGATGACTGTCGACTCTATCCTAGCCTTAGTACCATTTGGGTAAGTTCACAAGCTTGTGTCAAGATTCATCGCTGCCCAAATTCAAAATCGATTACTGACTGCGTCTATAGACTCGGTGTCGCATCAACGAATCGGGTGGGCAGCCTTCTGGGGCAGAGACAGCTACAGCAAGCGCGTACTGCGACTCGGGCTTCGTCGCTACTTGCCACTGCCTACGGCTCCCTCTCGATGATAACCCTAATATCATTGCGAGGACCGATTGCGGGCTTCTTTACCGTGAGTATTAATATTCTCAGATAATGAGCGCATTATGACTCATATCCTCTCAAAGAACGACAGAAAAGTCATCATGCTTGCCGTCTCGGTCTTCCCTTGGGGTGCTGCCTTTCAAATATTTGACTCTTTGCAAGCTGCAAATTCAGGTTGTTTGCGTGCCCTCGGCCGTGCTGACATTGGAGCTACATTCAACTTGATTGCCTACTACGGTACGTGCATCTACTTGGCGTGTTAAATGTGGCTTATTCACCAAGCGCTGAGGTTGTTATTTGCAGCAATCGCGATTCCCGTGGGTCTCACTACCGGATTCTGGTTGAATTGGGGACTGCACGGTCTCTGGCTCGGTGTAAGTTCATCACTTCTATATTTTATAACCGCGACTTCTTCGGCTTGGGGCCATTCTACCCTCCTATATAAAGCAGATACACGTGTGGTGGCGCCCCGAGCTCCCATGCACGCGTTGCGCTGAGCATCAGTCGCAAAATTCTCAAAGAATTCTCAATCTTACTGTGGCTTATAGCTGACAGATGCATAGCTTACTATTGCCCTCGCCTGCGTAGGCCTCGGCGAGTTTTCGCTCCTGAACTTCGTACCTTGGGCGGGGTTCACCCAATGCCGAGAATCACATGTATCGGGGCAGGAGGAGGAAAGTCGGCGCACGCTATGAAAAGTCTCATTAAAGCTGGTCTGAAGCTTATTGTTCTCTACGATACATTCCATGAATGAGACGGAATACTGGAGGTTCAAGGATCATACTACGATATAAAGTTTTGTAGTCGATTAGAAATAGTCTCAATATCAATGCCGATCATGACTGGCCCTCAAGTAGAGTACTCGGGCCTTCAATGAGAAGCTACCTTTACGCTTACATTGCGCCTTGATGGCGTATCTGCTGCGAGTCATGAGGAAAATGAATGCTAACTTACAATGGAGACACGCGCATTTCCAGCTGATTTACTTACTGCCTATGAACCATGTCGAAACCCTATCTGCCCTGCTTTTGTCTCCTTCTGAAATTAGGGTCTCACAAAGGGGGAACTCATTCACCGCGGTCGGGAGCAGGTATGATACGGACATTCAATTCGACATTTGGTGTAATGAGGGTTGTTATGAGATGTTGTAACCCGGAGATATCTCAAGCGCAAGGGTAGCCATAATGGGACAATGGTTTTGAGACATAACATGGGCGATGGGAAGTGTTTATATTCCATTCCAGATCCTAACCCTGGGAAGGTACTGCAATACCTCCCTTGCAAGAATTCGATGCCCACCCTTGTAGCTAATACTGCAAGGAATCTGGAGGCCTATCTGCCATTGAAAACAGCTATCAAATAGAACGCCGACTCTGGTTCCTGTAGCTGAGACAGTTGGTCTAAATTTATGTGGAACGGGCTTCCGAGGCTAGGCAATGATTCCAACCCTATCCCTGCTTCTTCATCTTCATAGGACTCGGGGAAAATGAAGGATTATTCTTGGTGTATGTCGAAGACACGACTTGGGGCGTTGAGATCTGAGCTGCTGCACATTGCGCCGTAGCCTATCATGGACCATAAAGCATGTTTCCAACCTTGTTCGATCCAGGACTCGACTGTAGATCTAGCAGTGGAGCCAGTTCCTTGATATGATCCTTGAAGTTTTCGAGACGCTGACACTGCGGGATGCACATGAGCTGTTGAACCGGGTCAAGAACAGAGCCAAAGCCAAAGGGTGCACTGACCATTTTACCAGCATGGTCCCATTGAGGTGCCATGCGCTCCAGAATCACGAGGCTCTGTTGGGTTGCGTTCATCAATCTCAATCTAGACTCTCCTTTTTTATGTTTCTCAATCTCAATCTCGTGGATGAACTCGGCGATGGTAACGGCAAAACATGCGGAGTAAGCAAAGAACGACGCGTTGATGTGTGCTCCAGCATTTGAGGCGTCGAAAATAGTACGTATCAGGATACATGCATGTTCACGACACTTCTGCAGGGCGGAATGGAGGAAAATGTCGGGCGCCTGTATGCCTAATGCTTGTAGACGTATCTGAATGCAGAACGGGTGATTTAAGAGGCAGTGACAAAGGTGCAGAATGGTGTGAGCCATAATAACGGATTCTACGATTTGATGATCGATGCTCCTGTCAGCTGTCTGAAAAGTGCTCAACGCGTGCTCTACTGAGTACACCTCATTGTTGAAATATGACTCCACTAGTAGCAGCAGATCGTGACTAGCGGCGAAGTCGGGTCCGGCAGTCCAGAGGCAAGACTTATTTTCAACTCGATCGTGTAAAACGCTCCTAGCGCAGTGACCCAAGGCAGAAGCGGCCAGGATTATCAAAGTGAAGGTGCTGCGCGGCTTAGGAAGCACTGTACCCCAGCGCATCAAATCGCGAAGTTTATAGTTGCTTGTCCAGGCTTCACCTTTGGAGTCCGAGGGCAGACTGACATGACAGTCCTTATCCAGAATAGCAGGACGGCGATCTTTACCACACGAGACAAGTTTGTCAATCAGATAGATCGACCAGAACGTTCGTCTTCGTTCCTCCTGCTCGGCCAAGGGAAGCGACCTATCGGGTTCTTTTATGAGCTGTAATTCCTGGCAGATGCGAACCGCAATGCCGATCTTCAGCCAGCCCGAGCTGACCTCACCAGCTGTTGAAAGGCATTAGTACTTCGCTCCAAGGCTCCCACGACCAGGGCATATGCACAAGGGAGAGGAAGGGCGACTTGTAAAGTCTAGTATGGCCACTTGCAGGATGCCAAGACTCTGGACAATGTGAAGCTTCGGCACGCCCGTAGTCCCCATATCCTCGACCAGAATCGTATGCCATGCCTCTTGGGCGTAGGCCTGACTCGCAAGACGGGCTGTGGAGGTAAAGTAGGCGTGCTTTGTAAACTTAGCAGCAGAGGCTAGGACGGCAAAAACTAGTGTCTGTGACAACAGCCCACGGGCAAGTCTATTGCGAAATAGCTTTTTTCGAAGTACAAGTACGGTTGCCTGTGGCAATGTAGAAAGTTTGCGTCAATTACCGCTTGGAGAATGTCATCAGGAGGCATCATGAGCGAGGAGGACATCCTGTGAGTCTGGAGTTAGCTCAAGCACGAGAAAATGCCCCTTCTCCCATCGAGAGATTACCTACGTGCGCACTTGAAAGTTGTCAGTGTCATTTGAGTGTCGTGAGAGCAGGGCTGCGGATACACCTGCTTGGCTGCCTGCCGTCCTGCGCTAGGTGAGCTCGGATTTGATCTCGAGGCAGTCGTCCAGACTTTACGCGGGCAAGCTCACCGGAGGTCTTCTAGGCTTCCATCCCTTGTCCTTGCTAACTCGGTCACTATCATCCTGACCCTTTCTAGTAGCTTCAACGACAGAGACTGGGATGGATAATCGTATAAGCCAGCACGTTTTGACGCTGGTGGTGAGAGCTTTTCACTTACGCTTTTTGGCCTCGTGGCTGGAGCCGCGACGGGTGGGTATGGAGCGTATTGACAGAGTAAGCGGGCTCGACGGCACTTCGTACACTTTGGTCGCTGTCCCGAGCATTTTGTTTTCTTGCGCCTGCGAATGGACCCAAGTGCGTATCAGCGAAGCAACTGAGGCAGTGGCCGTTGCTGAAAGGGCCACTTACCGGCACGAAGTACAGGCTTGATAGATACGTGTGAGCTTCAGGGCGAAGCTGTCGCTCTCGGTGGGTGGACTCAGGCTCACCGGCCTGTTTTCCTCGGCCATGAGGATGAACGGTATCATCAATTAGTGGTGGATCCTGGAACAGAGAAGATTCTGGGGCAAAGCTTTGTTTAGACCCGCCACAGTAGGGAGTGAAATCACTACGGGCCAATCAGTCATATTCATCGCACGAAACGATAAGAGAGATCGGAATTTAAATAAGTGTAGCAAAATTTTTAACCCACTTACAATGGTTTCACGACAATAACATTGCCAGTCAACAAGGCCGGCGCTATCTTGCTGGTAGCAAGCAGGAGGAGAAAATCCCAGGAATAATGATCCCTATGGCGTTGATGGGAGTACGTTGCGCAAAGACTTGCTCGTTCTCATCCTCCTCGATGACGTCCTTGGACAGGGGGGTCTCAGCCAGATCACGGATCCATTCGATGGCAGCATCGGTCTCATAATCGGCTTGAGGCAGCCAGAGCAATAGGTGAGTAATACAGATGTCCGACCGAGTGAGGCTTTAGGGAGTATTCGCGCCGGCTTTCCCTGTTCCGCGACGAGGAGGTTTCGAAACTCGTTACGATATAAATCAATGCCGTCGGCATACGCGAGCACTGCACGGCGTCGCTGCTCATAATGTACGCCCTGCCAGGCGTCGAAAGCTACCTTTGCAGCGGCGACGGCCTCATCAAGGTCCGAAGGGGTTGCTACCGGTACTTCTGCTTTGGGTTCCAGGTTAGCCGGGTTGACACCGTGGCGAGTGGTCTTGGTCGGCGCACTCTTGCCATTGATTATTTGAATGAAACCATCTTGAAAGTTTCCCCTGATTTTGGCCATATTTGCGCAGTCTTCCGGTTCTTTTACTCGCGATGAAACAATATTGAAGTTCTAAGGGCCAGGTCGAGATTTCCTCGCGTCCCTACTTATTCCGCACAACTTATACGAGAGATTATGGCAGAATGAACAACGGGGGTGGGCCTTTAACTTCCCTATACTCTTCCCCATCGGCTCTAAGAACGCCTCATGTGACCGCGACCAGGCACGGTCCGGACCGTAGCGCTGAACGGATTGATTTACTGCGATAGTGAACCAGCTTAAATATAAGCTTCAAGCTAGATTTAGTAGTTGTACCGTAGTAGGCTCAGTTGGCAGATGTATGCCCACTGCTGCGCACTCAACTGCTTGTGATCCACCTTTCTATGCCTATCTCCTTTCACAGGTGGCCTTAACCAAAATCCCGCTACAACAAAGATTTCATCATTGATATGCGGTTTATATACGAAGTATTAAATCCCTCAATATCCCAATGGGGGTTATTGCGCTTTGTGATATAAAAAGAGAGTCTACCTATTCCTAGATAATTGAAAAGAACAAGTAGAGACTAGTGTCTTGGATATAAGTGGCAGGTTCCATTAAGACTGCAGTACTGGCACTTTTACCATCCATTGCAGAATCTCGTATATAATCTCGCTCACAACGATAGCAGTTGTCTCGGCGGTATTATCGTAGACTGGTGTAAATTCGACGACATCCGCACCCACAATCTTTAAACCAGCATCTGCAAGGCTGCTCAGGATGTGTAATAGCTCTCTTGACGTCCATCCACCTGGTTCGATGGTGCCTGTTGCCGGGGCGAATGCTGAATATATGCAATTAATACAACTAAACCATCTTGAACAGCAGATAGAAATTTGCAGACTCACCGGGGTCCATAACGTCGATGTCGATGCTCAGATAGACAAACTCATCACCGACAGTCTTGATAATTCGATCGACGACAGCATCACTTCCGATCTGGTCTAATGTTCTTGCGCGTATATAAGTAAACCCACAGTCAGCGTCGTGCTCGAGATCATAAACCTTGTCCATAAGCTTTGATCTAGAACCGAGGTGCATATTGCCATGCTCGGCGATAAAACCCTCCTCGTGAAGGATATGGAACATGGAGCCGTGGGTGATTTCCGAATATTTCGTGAGCCCGCCCCCGAGTTGTTTTGGGTCCCAGGAATCGAGATGGGAGTCGAAGTGCAACACAGTCACGCGACCCCAAGATTGGTAGAGTGCCCGGATGGCTGGGAGGCTAATGGTGTGATCGCCCCCGATACTGACAATACGAGGGATAGTGCCATTCGACTTGTTGCGTACCTTCCGGGCAGCTATAGAATCCCAACCTTTCTGCAGATCGTGAATGGCTTGCAGCTTGTCAAAAGGATCGTTCATGATATCTCCGCAATCGACGATAGTGGCCCAGTCGAGGAACGGATTCGTTGCGTGGTCCATGCTGCCAATTTCTTCAGCTTTACCTGAGCAATGAATCGAGATCGCAAAAGGAGAAAGAAAAGTGCGTACCTGTAAGCGAACGAAGGTGCCAGCCTTCTCGAGCCCATCCGAATCCCCGCCGGGCCGAAGCGGGCGCCAGGACGATACGTTACGCCCAAATCAAAGGGTGCACCAACAACAGCTATGTCAAACGTGCTGTCACTAGCTACTGAGAAGCAATTGGTTGAATTCAGATGTGCAAAAGTTGCGATACCTTGGTACGGCGTATCTGCAAGGAAGTCGTCGTATGGGTGTATCCCGGGTTTGTTGTCTGTCGTTATGAGGGCTGGTCGTTGCTGGAAAATAGAAGTGCTGATGAAGCTCTCGGGTTTGCGAAGAGGATGTTGGGAAGTATCCTCTAAGAAAGTCCCTCGGCCGGCTCGGCCGAGAGAAATGAAGAATAATAGATTGCTGGTGCTGAGCTGCATTGTTATGGCACCGACTATTAGGACAATATGGACAGGCTAACGGACGAATTTTGACGGTCGATTGATGATTGATAAAACAGCATGGATTACTGTATCTAGTTCAGGTTCTCTCTCGAACAAGTGGGGGGGGGGGGTTATGGTCCAAGGGCGGCGCATATTTCTCCTAGACCGGTTTAGCTCTATCGCATTTAACCCCACACTCTGCGCCATGCAATCGACCCGGTTGGCGTTTTCTGAGTCAAGACGGCAAAGCAGCAATTTGGCATTGACCTCACTTAGGACGAAGGGGTTTTGTTCCCCACAGTCATCCGTCTGTCTTGGCGATGAAGACCAAAGATAATGGGTAACAACGGAGGCTTGCTGCGGCGCGGTCTGGGCAGTGTCCTGACTAGAAACATTGCCCAGGCTGAAACAGCGCCTGGAGGGTCTTGTTGATCGAGGTTCATCCACAAGACTTGGTTCCTTTGCCTTGTATGGCCGAGGCGGGGGCGGGGTAAACAGCAGTCTTAGCGGCAAGAGGAGATCGGGGTGCGTTATACTGTACTTATCTCAGCCCAATGCAACAAACACGATTCTAAGAGGGGCGTGCCATCGACTTCGGTGCAGCACTTGACGGAAGCAACTGGTAGCATCCTCCACTAGCATTCTACGCCGACATGTCGCAGCACCTCGGGGATCAGAAAGCACAGCCGCACTCCCGAAATCGTTCGCCGTGCAAAGCTTGTCAGGCGGCGAAGCGAAAGGTACCTAGCCTGTTGGCCGGAGGACTTGATCTGTAGACTGACATCAACTTACTACTGCAGTGCGATCAGATCAAGCCAAAGTGCTCACGATGCCGCAAGCAGAACCTAGTCTGCGAACCCTCGGCCCAGTCCAGGTGGCGCATTAACACGCTCAGCGATGTTCCTATCAATCGAGCGGCATCGCGCTTGAGAAGCGCGCAGGCACGGCCGTCTTTGGAACGAAGCCGCCAGCGAGGAGCAGGAGAGAGTGGCGGTCCGTTGCAAGCGGACTCGGTACAGATTGGCTCCGTAGAGAACCATAGCAGCGTCACAAGCACGACACCCGACAAAGTCCCCGATACGGTTGGATCCCACGAAGCGGAGGAAACAGGCGATTCAACTTCTGAGCTGCTCAGTATTCATCACTTGGACTCTTTGCCGCAGCTCGCTTGTCCAGACTTCGTGGAGCTTCTTAACCATTTTCCATGGAACGGTACACTTATGGGCGCCGACCAATTTCTGCAAGGGTTAGAAGTTCAATGGCAAGACTGCATGTCTTCAACCACCCCGGGTAAGGATATTCAAGCTACAGATGATGTTGGTCAGCATCCACAAGACGTCGAGAATGAAGCATCGGCTCCGGATAATTGCTTTGATCCAATTTTCCAGCCTAGCACTCAGGGATGCAGTGCCTTGGATGCTGCAATCGACGAGCTTCTCGGTGGTGTTACCCAAAGCACGGCAAGCATCTCGTCACACAGAACATACATGATGGTACTATGGGAAAACTTTCTCCAGAAAATCGCACCCTCTCTAACACCTTTCGGAACCCGCGACGACAACCCATTCCTCAAATATCTGGTGCCAAATGCCGAATCCAACTCTTCTCTTCTAATCGCTGTTCTGTACCTTGCGCAAGCATTCTCTCGAAGAAATCACCGAGACTTCGACCCCGCTATAGAGGACTATCTCGAACGAAAAGCAGAAGAGGTACTGCAGACTTTAGAGCAGGACAATGCTTTGACTCTAGATGTTGTTCGGGAGTCGGGTGAGCAGACTTCTAAATTAGTGCTGACATTGTCAACTGTTCTTGTCTTCTGCATGACATTTATCGCAAAGCATGATGCTAGCAGGTTTCATACCCACATGGAGCTTGCCGTGATCCTCTGTCAGTTCTTATTTAGGACACTAGCAGAAGATGAGAGCTTCTTGTATCTCGCAAAGCTCTTGGGGTTCATGCACAACGCTCTGCTATTCAGCACTTCAGCTAGCAGCGCAAATGCGCCAGACTTCCTCGGCGCGGCCCTGGAGCTCCAGAGTCGCGATACTGGTACGCTGTGCGATATAGACGGATACTTGGAAAAAGACATCCATTTCCACGATTTGGACGTATTCTCAGGCATGTCGTCCGCCATTGCGAATATTCTATATACTCTGGGCATGCTTCTCAAGAGAAAGCAGATTGATTTGGGTGCTACACCTCTCCATGAGAGAGAAGCTGCCAGAATGTTTGAATGTGATATTGATGGGCTAGAGATGCGTCTAAGGAGGCACATGGCTCAGCTGAAGAAGTGCCGGGAGCTGCGCAACATCTCTGAGCTTTCATATGACGACTCCCTGGCTCGGTCTTTGAATTTCTACAACGAGGCAGTGTTCTGGAGCGCCTGGACTATATTTCTCACAGATCTCAAGAATATGTTCTGGGCCGATGTTGGGGTTCAAGAATCGGTACGAAATATTCTTGAAGCTTGCGCAGAAGTACCTATGCAGAGCAAGGTAGAACCTCTCCTACTATTTCCTCTGGCGGTTGGCGGTATGAGAATAATGAGTAAAGTCCACCGGGAGTTTGTCCTCAGCAGGCTACAGAATCTGAGATCCGTTGGCTTGACTGACACATCTAATCTGTGCGCCGACTTGGAGGAATGGTGGCACACCGCAAGAAAGAAGGACAGCCCGATTCCTTTTACTCAACTGTTGATCTTTTAAGACAAAAGGGAAAAGATAGATCTGAAGGAGCTTTGGAATAGCCCAGTTTGTATAAAGATATGGCGTGGCGTGGAAAAGGCAGGTTTACAGAGGCTGGGAGTTTTGGTCATGCTCCTGAAGTCAGATGCCACATCAAGCAGCTTGAGCGATGATACCTTTGCCGGGTCAGCATAACACCAAGCCTTCAGTCTTCGACCGTGCAATCTGGAGATTGCCATGAACATATCACGCATGCCTCTCTTGGGTGTGTTCAACAGGCGTGTCTCAAATAATGCGGTTGCGCGGGACTACTGCTTTTATTACAAGCATTTTAATCTAATTCTAAGGCAGGGTTGAGACCGTAGGTGCGCTACATCGAGAATTTCATCGTCTCATCGGTTTAGTGCATGCGCCGTGTATAGCAGTGAAAACACGACGAGTTTCTGGAATCCTGCCAGGAAGTGCAAAGATCACCGTAGAGTCCTCCAAGTACTTTAAGCAGTCGGCTGACGATTCTTCGTGAAGACGAGATTGCACTTTTCTGCCTTCGGACGTATTACAGCAGCGAATATCGGAGACATTCCATCTGGATCCGTGTTCGGATCCAGTTCAACGTTATAATGGCGAAACACTGCGGCGAGGGCGGCCTTGAGCTCGATTATAGCAAGACTATGGAAAAAGGCTTAGCGATAATCCCGACTTCCACACCGAGAGTTTTTTGATCAAAATTTAGGGGATTATATTTGCGAGACGGCATGGTCATGGGACTTACTTCAATCCGAGGCAAGTTCGAGCACCACTGCCGAACGGTATCCATGCCTTTTTCATAGCTTTCAATCGTTCTTCGTCTGCTATTTCCCAGCGTCCAGGCTTGAACTCCTCGGGCGCAGCCCCAAACACATCTTGATTGCGATGCAAAGAGTACGCCTGTATACCAATGATAGTACCGGGGGCCAGCTTATACACAATACCCTGAACATTGACATGTGTCGCTTCCTTCAATGGAGTGACGCGTTGCTGGAGGCTTCCAGGACCTGGCGGATACAACCGCAATATTTCGAGAACGCACATTTCAAGGTAACGAAGCTTACCCACTGCCTTGAAGTCAAGTGGCCAAGATAGCTGAGAAACCTCTTGACGAAGTCGTTCCTGATACTGCTGATTCTTTGCAAGGGAAAGAACATAAAGACTGTAGGCGATGGACGCCGCAGTAGTATCGGCGCCTAGGGTAATAAGATGCTGTCAGTAATCCTTCTTTAACATGATTACAATGCCGCGTAAAGTTCACCTGCTAGAATGTGGTCAAAACATTCGCTCTGAACATGACCCTTAGTAATTGATTGTCCGTATTCTGGCTGGGATTGCATGTACCCTAAAACAGTATTATTGGGATCAACCCGGCTGTCAGAGCTAGTCATGCGGGCGATTAGTTCTTGGTTGATGGCTGCCAACGAATCTCTGCTTGTGATAGCCTTCGCTATAAACTTCGGCAAGAGTAGATTCCACGGCCAGAGGCTTGACGCTTTGGTGAACAGCCAAGCAAAGCGAACGAATGGAGTGCTAGCAATCGCCAAGTTTCGTATATCATCGGCAGCCCGCAGATTCTGGCCCCCCATCGAGTCCAAGCTCTCTCCGTAAACCATGTAAGACACATTGTCCAGCGCGAAATATCCCGCTAAAGTGTATACGTCTGTCACCCGATCATTACCGCGATCGATGATTTCTAACAGCTTCTCGAGCCGATTTCGAATAAAGTTCATGAGAGAAGCATTGTTTAAATGAGCGTTCATGGTGTAGATATGCGCAACTTGCTTCCTTCTGTCCCTGTGCTGTTCTCGCGTGACCGAGGAAAAGACATTTGGAAAGCCGTAATTCTCGAACAGGACCGCAGTGGAGGGCTTTGTGAATGTGGATCGCACACCGTAGATGATCGATAGCTGCTTTGGATCATCCAGCACTACTTCGTTCGGCCCAACCCGAATTATATGACCGTACTTGTCGTGAAGTGACTTTATGTACAGGATGGCACTTTCGTTGTAATATCGGCGATTAATGTATAAGGAGGTAATAGCGCCAAGCTTAGGCCCAGGAACATGTTTCAATGAGGAGATGTAGAGAGGATATATGACAGCCCAGGCGAGAGAGATCAAGATCAAGGTGATAGCCGTATTTGCAGTTAGGGGGTAGCTGGTAACCTGAACGGGCAATGACATTGTAATATCACTCTCTCGATGGCTTTGTAGTTTTAAAGGTGATGTGATGGCCTCAAACTATGTAAGTAAAGAAGCAGTAGCTATGATCTTGAACGTTGACAATATTGCGTAGCGTTGTAAAACGGAAGTTCGGACGCGGAAATGGTGCCTACGAATGTCTTTGTGCGGCGACATAGACCGAGGCGAGGGTCTGAATGCTTCCCGGTAGACTATTCCGCAATAGGCGAAGTAGCCGCACGATACATCTTTGCGATTAGCTCTAGATAGTGGCGGTCCTTACTAACACTGCTGGAGCAATATTACCTAACCGCGGATCGAGCACCCGATGGCCGCTTTCGTGCCGGTTCGCTATGAAGACTTCTTATTCGGTTAAGATTGTCACGCTCTACCTCTAGGCCTAACGCGATATCTTTAGCCGCAATGGCGGGGCCTTCACGACGTATGTATTGCGCGTCTTAGTGAACGTTACGTGATGCTCCGCATTTCCGAGATATAACTAGCGAATCTAGCAACTCGTCTGTACCAAACAGGTGGATTCATAATCACTGCCTTCAACCACGTGGATCAGTACTACGTAATTGGCGCCCGGATCGCGAAACGCAGTCGCTAAGATGCCCTACGCCATGGTCAATCCTCTCCTACCTCTGGATTCTGGCGAGATTCAGACGGTTGCTTCTTTGGTCCGACAACATGCAGGCTCTAACTTGCAGCTCCATTTCAAGACCATCACTATCGAAGAGCCTCACAGAGATGATGTGCAGACCTATATAGAAGCGAAGAAGAAGGGCTTGACTCCCGGTGTGATTGAGAGAGTCGCTTTTGTGACCTACTACATAAAGGGGACAGTACGTACTGCCAATCTCACTCTAACGAGGGATGTCATCTGCGCCGTCTACTTGTAGACAGAATATTGATGCTACGATGGAATAGGATATTTTCTATGAGGCCTTAGTCAGCATATCGCAGAACGCGGTCCTTAGAGCCACGCGATTGCCACCCCAATATCATGCCAACATTGATGAAAACGAGATGATCGAGATTGCAGATCTGGCCCTTAAACATGAGAAGGTTCAGGCTGCTCTCACCGAACTGCAACTCCCTGCAGGATATCATGTTGTGATTGAGCCATGGATGTACGGTAAGTTGCACCAGACTTAGCGATGAATTTGCTCTGGCCTGTTGTTCTCTTGCTTGTACGCCTTGTTTAAGAAACTGATCGCTACCTGTCAAGGATCCGACGGTGTGAACGACTCCCGCAGATGCTATCAATGCTTTATGTTCATCCGCGATCCAGCCAACTCCTCTGAGCCTGACTCCAACTACTATGCGTATCCCCTACCAATTTCAGCCGTGATGGATGCTGTCACTCGAGACCTTATTCGCGTCGACCGCATTCCTACCGGGGGAGAATATACAGTCGGGGAGATGAAGCCGTACAAGGTTCACCGCCCTGCTGAATATCTCCCGGAGCTACAAGATCTTCGTCAGGACGTCAAGCCGCTACAGGTGGTCCAGCCTGATGGCGTGAGCTTTGCAGTCACTTCCCTCGGGGAAACTGGCCATTACCTCGAGTGGCAGAAATGGGCTTTTCAGATTGGCTTCAACGCGCGCGAAGGAATTGTACTCTACAACGCAAGTTTTCCCCTGTCAACGCTCTCGATGTCCAAGAGTTATAACACGACAGATCAGGCTAATGTCCATTCAGGTCTCCTACGACGGCCGACAAGTCTTCTATCGCCTCGCATTGTCTGAGATGAATGTGCCATATGGTGATCCCCGGGCTCCGCTACACCGCAAAGCCGCCTTCGACCTTGGTGACGCCGGAGCTGGCGCCACTGCCAACAATCTCCAATTAGGCTGTGATTGTCTCGGCTCCATTCAGTACCTGACCGGAATTATTTCCGACAGCGAGGGTCGCCCTGAGATCATGCCCAACGCCATATGCATCCACGAGCAGGACAATGGCATCAGCTGGAAGCATACTAATTGGCGTACTGGCCGTGCCTGTGTTGTCAGGAACCGGGAGCTTGTTTTGCAGAGCATTCTTACCTTGGCTAACTACGAGTACATTCTGGCTTTTGTCTTTAACCAGGCTGGAGAGATGCATTATGAGGTTCGCGCGATGGGAATTGTAAGTACCCAACCCGTCGATGAAGGTATCAATTCCCCTCACGGCACCGTGGTTCATCCTGGAGTATTGGCAGCCTACCACCAACATGTATTTTCATTGAGAATTGATCCCGCTGTCGATGGACCCCATAACCGCGTGGTCTACGAAGAGGCCCATGCGATGCCTCGGGACGAGGTCAAGAACCCTCATGGTGTTGGCTACATTCTTGAGAAAACAACGATTGATGTGGCCGGGGGATACGACCTTGACCACACGAGGAATCGAACTTTCAAGATTGTTAATGATAAGATTCGGAATCCAGTAAACAATCTGCCTGTAGGATACAAGATTCACGCCGCTCCTTTCCAGGCTATGCTCGCCGACAAGGATAGCTTTCACTTTAAACGCGCCGAGTTCGCTGATCACCACATATACATCACGAAATATGCCCCGAACGAAAAGTTTGCAGGGGGGAAATATACGAACCAATCACGAGGCGGCGATGGCGTTAGGACTTGGTCGGCTCGAAAGGACAATGTGAAAGACACTACCATTGTAGTCTGGGTACAATTCGGTATCAACCACATACCTCGAGTTGAGGATTTCCCGGTATGCTACTGATTAATTGCGGTTCCCTTAAAGCGGAACTAAGTTAACGTTTGTGCTGTACGACTAACGATCGTTTCTACTAGGTTATGCCAGCGGAAGTTATCCAAGTTGCTTTGAAGCCAGTTAACTTTTTCACTAAAAACCCCGCTATAGATGTTCCGCCCTCGAACCAAGAAGTCAGTCAATCAATCCTCATTGACAGAGCCTCTGCTCAGGCGGCGTGTGTAATTCGCGGACTAAGTTGCAGAGAAGATATGCACTGTAAGACAGTGCAAAAAGACTCTTAGTATAGAGGGTATCCGTATTATAAAACCTAGTTATAAATTCTAAACTAAACAAATTGTTTATTTAAGCTTAAGTATGTCTTATTACTGCTACCTGCTATTATATAATACCCTTTTTTGAAAAAGAAAAAAAAGAAAAATAAAACTTTAAGTTTTAAAAATAAAAGGCTTGTTTAACTAAAAGCTTTTTAATATAAGCTAATCTTATATACTAATAAGTATAATATAATATATTTAAAAAGTATTATTTATTATTTATTTAACTTTAATTTTAAAATAAGTTGTTAAATATTTATAATACTTTTATTAAATAATTATAATTATATATAGTAATATTTTAAACTACTATTTATAAAATGCAGCTTAAATTGTTAGAAGGTTAAATATAGTTTTATAGTTTAGTTTATATCTATTTATAAGCTACTTCTAAAGGAGAGACTTATGCTCAAGGCTGTGCTATGATAATACAGTTATCAAATTCCTTATACTCCACTATTTCCCCCTCTTGCATATCTAAATCGTCGACTGAGCCTGTTGCTGCCAGATCAACATGAAAATCACCTCTGGGTTAGCTGTCTGAACCTTCTAGAGTATTTGATGCCTCGTAGCCTGCAAGGTCAAGGTTTGGGTCCCGATTCTCTGCGGCTCCTGTGTCACTAAAAGTATTCAACAATGCATAATCCTCCTCAGGAGCCCATACTCGATATCGTTAGTAAAGACAAACGTATCACAGTCGGCATAGTCGTCTGCGAACAGCCATTGTTCTTGCTCTGCGATGACAGCAATTCCTTCATGGTTTAGTTGATGTGGTGGTGGTTGGTCGTTCTCGTCCACCTTTCGCTCTTCTAGCTCATAGTCGGCAAACGCGAGTGCTTCAGCAGAGTCCAATCAGGGTTCTCCGTGTTCTTGCAGGCCTTGCAAGGTCGCTGAGCCTGCTACCCCAGAGGCTTCTCGGGTTTCACTTTCCGGCACTGACCAATCGCTATTATCGCTCGACCTGGCCTCAGGATGGGGAGAAAGGACAGTCGCTTCTTCGTTTGTGATTTGAGCGGATGATGACTCATGCTCTTGCGAAGGGCTCACGATGGCAGGTACTTGGCCAGTCTCGAGATCTTGTGTAGCTGCCCATCTCGGATAAATCTGATTTAGGCCGTACACAAAATCCTCACGAAGGATCACCTCCAACTTAGATGTCCATACGGGGTTAATGCGAACTCTCTCCAGGAGTATTTCCAGCGCAGAAGGCTGGCTGATAAAATCTCTAAAATTGGGAAGTAACCCAGAGGATGCGATTTTGTTGTACGCTGAGTCTGGCCGGGGTTGAAAGTGAGGAAACGGAAGGTCGAATAGATGGAACCATTGACCCTCCTTGCTGAGCTTCAACAGTACTCGTTGGCCAGGCAGAGGCATTCGTTGAGATGTGATACCGTCAGGTGCGTGAAGATTTTCCACAACCTCGTAGGCCTCTTCTCGGAGGTGGTCATTTCGCAGCTGTACAGTGTCGAAAGGCCGATGGCACCGGGGACAGTAGTCGGGAATGGTATGTATTCCCCTCAGGTGGTCCTTCATGTCTCTGACCCGAATAATCCGCGGCCGCAACGTGCCCAGTGACGTATGCAAACTCTCTTGAAGTAAGGGCAGGCAAGCTGTTCTTCGAGCGATTTGATGTGCCGAAACCTCTTCTGCTTGTTTTGGATTTCGTCAGGTCCGCTATCATCATCCTCGTTCTCCGCATTGGCGACTCGCTTCCGCTTCGATTTCTGCGGTGGCTGACAGTTTGAGCTCGTGGCAGGTGAGGACGTAGATGATGACCTTTTTTGTCCGCCACCATCGCCGCAACGAATACTTCCAAGCCACTCTTAGAAGAACTCATGTAAAGGGCCTTTGAGGGCTTGCAGAAGGGTATATATATCAACGTCATACCTGTTTTTGCTGGCACCCTCCTCCCCAAAGTCCGAGGCCTCGGAAGCTAGTGTCTATTCCCCGGACGATGACTGCTCCTCATCATCCCTATTGGAATAGCGCCGGTCTCTAGGTGCTCCGGTTGATAGCGTGGCCTTGTCCTGGGTACCTGACATTCCAGTATCTTGTTCCACCGTCATAGGAGCTTTTGACTCTGCGATAGAGAGGTCTCGCAGTATCTCAAGCTGTTCGGGTGCAATTACTGCGTCATTTAAACCAAAATACCAGGCTTGATGCACAAGATCGGGAGTAGTATTCAACATCGGTGTGGGCAGATCGTTCTCATGTTCTGTAAAAGTGCTAGGACCGGCCATCTCCTTTTCCCCAGGCCTCTCTGGTAATGGTGATCGCATTAGTAGAAACGACACCGTGATTGAGGTGTGTGTGCCGTAAAGCCTAAGTGACGTCTTATTAGGTATTAATACACTCGCTGTAAAGGCACTGCCTTTTATTTCTACCTTATGACTTCTATGTACGTTTTCGTTGAGCTTTCCTGAGAAACCGCTTTTTCCCTCTTTCTTAATAAAAACCCTTATACGTACGGGTTTTGTTTAAAACTACACGGAATTTTAAATCCTTTCAAAGGAATGACTACTATACTAAAGACTAATCTGAAAAGAGAGCGATCCAAGTGGGATGTAAACAGATGCAGACCTACTCAACCATTTGTAAAACAACAGAACTCCAATGTAAGATGAACTTAGTCCTCAACGCCCCTGACTTGGCCCTGCGTTGGTGGATGGTGTCGACGCTTGTTCAATAGCTTTCTTCGTCTCCTTTATTAGCTCCCGCTCTAACATCTTTCTTAGTTCAACGTCCTCATCATCAAGAGCTTTGGCAAAGGCAAGCTTCCATGCCACAGCTAGCTTACTCCCGACGATAAGACCTTCGTTGCCAGGAGGCGTCGCAAAAGCGAGCTTGTTCCTCATCTCGCTTCCAGACAACAGGTGTGCCACGTTGTCAGAGTTTAAGAGCCCCTTTTCTTCGAACCATCTGTCAGCGGATGGAGTCGGCCCGCATCCTTGAAGATACGAAGCTGAATCACGTCACGTTGCCGATTCACCGTGGAACCAGCCGTCTGGACGCCTGCTTTAAGCAAGGAATATTTATAGTTTCCTTTGTCCTTGATTGTATCCCAGACTGGTCTCGTTACGGTCTGCGTGGTACTTCCGGTGCTTTGCAAATGTCAACATTATATCCTTCATAGTTGGGATCCCCCCCCCCCCTCTGCCTGGGGCTGGGGCGGATTCTCGCGTAGATCTGAAAGGGCAAGTGGTCAATTCGTTATCCAGTTGTTAACCCTTTTGCGGGGTTTCTTACCAAGTGCATTCCACTGCTTTGTAGATTTTGGAAGCCATACTTTTGTACATCAGGCCAAACTGCTATTTGAAGCATTTGCTCCTCGGTTGGCGTCGGATGCTGAAGCTCCAATTAGCTGGAAACAGTAACTATGGAAATAAGGGCCATGCCGTTTGTTTCTGTCCCGCTGGCGGAGGTATCCCAGAGCGTGTGGATCCGGGGCGTGCAAGACTGCTTGCCCGGCTGCCACCGCTTGGTGCATGTTGTCCTCCGGCTTGACTACGAGCATGACTGCCAGCGCCTGACATAGATTGAACCATGTTAGTACCAGCAACTGATGAACCACCCTCCCTCCCACGGCTCACGGGCCTAGCAGGATCCTGGGCACCAGCCATCATCTGCAATTCCGGTCCTGCCTGTATATATGTTAGATGTAATTCCAAACAAGCCAAATGCTAGGGAGGCACTCACCATGGCTATCATTTCGTTGCTATTTTTCCGCTTCACCAAATCATCCGCCCACAGCTCGCAGTGCTTCTTCCAAGAACATATGTTAGCCTGCTCATCCAATGCCCACAGGACTTCACCGCCATTTGCAGGAGCTCTCTTCTCGTAGATAAAATCCATGCAGGCTTTTATGATTTTCTTGATGTTGTCACTTCTAGCAGCATTGTAATCTTGTCGCAATTCTTCGTACACGCGCTTGTCCTCACCCTGTAATTGTCTCTTCTGGGAAACAACGGTAGCTTTGGCAGGCGTTTTAATGGGAGCCTTGCTCATCTTGTTAGACTTTGCGGGATTCGATATGGATAAAACAGCGAGGATCTTGCAACGCGTCTAATTTGTGCGGAATCTTTAGTTAAGAAGGTAAAATAAATTAGTGAAGGGAATATAGAGGATGATGCTTTTGAATGAACAGACGAACACGATTAGATTTTGAATAACATCGATAACTAAGGACTGAAAGCACATAGCTTCTTATACACGATTCCTATAATACCTTTTTTAAAAAAGATATTCTCTATATAATACTTATGTAATATATATTTTATTTAAATATTTATAAATATTGAATAAATAACCTTAAATAATTAAAATAAGTAAATTTTAATTTAAAAAATACATTTTAAATTATCTTAATATTTTAATATAATATTAATATTAATTTTATATATATTTAAATAAAGTAAAATAATATAATTATTATTAATTTTAAAAAAATAATATAAAAATTTAATAATAAATAATTAAATTAAAATAATATTTATAATTTTAAAATTAAACTCTTTTATAATTAAATTATTTAAATTTAAAATAAATATTATTATAAAATAAATTAAAAATAAAATAATAATTATAATTTTTAAATAATATAATATATATTTAATTAAAAGTTTTAATAATTTTTAATTATATAAAAAGCTTATTTATAAATTAAAATAATTAAAATAATTATAATTTATATATAAATAATTTATAAAATATAAATAATTATTAAAAATTTTAATTTTTAAAATTATTTAATATATAATAATACTTTATATATAATTATTATTAATATATTATAATAAAATACTTTATTTTTATTATATTTCTTTTAAAATTAAATTTATATTATAAAATTATTTTATTAAACTATATTAATATTTTAAATAATTTAAAATATTAAAATAAATTTAATATAATATAAAATAAAATTTTTTCTTATTTTTTTTATATTATAAAAAAAAAGGTTAAGCTTTAAAATAAAATAACTTTATATATTAAAATAAAAATATTAATATAATTATATTTATTTATTTTATTTATTATAATAAAATATATAAATTATTTTAAAATAATTTAATTTAATTAATTTAAAAACTTTTATAAATATATATATATATATATATATATATATTAAAAAATTATAAATATTTTTTTAAATTTAATTTTATTATTAATTTAAATTTTTATTTTATTTTATTAATAATATTTTTTAAAATTTAAAGCTTTTAAAATATTTTTTTTTAAAAAATATTAATTTAAATTTTTATTTTATTTAATTAATAATATTTTTTAAAATTTAAAGCTTTTAAAATATTTTTTTTTAAAAATATTAATTTAAATTATTTTATTAAATAATAATATTTTAAATAATAAAAAATTAAAGTTTAATAAATATAATTTATTAAATAATACTATATTTATTTACTTTTTAGCTTATTTTTAAAGTTTTATTTTAAGATAAATAGTTGCTTATTATATAGTAGCTTTTACTTATAGTGCTTCTGATTGAGTAATTGCAAGCAGTGGCTTCCGCGGAATCAGATCGGCAGCGAGGCACATGTTGGTTGTCCACCTTATCGGGCGCCACTATCCCGCCGTTCGCGCCGTGTGGGGCCAGCGGGCTATGAAGGTACTCGGGAAGAGCCACACAGTGCGAGCTTAGTTTGGCCGGCGGCATTCCAAGGCGTTTCCAGCCGCCCGTATCGGATCTTGCTTTTGAGTCGCAGATGCCCGACAATCCTCCACGCGAATAGTAGATTATGATTGCTCACAAGCAGAGATCTTGTTGCTATGTAATACCAGTATCTCCCCTACTTCGCCAGCCAGCAGAGATAGCCGTAGATTATTTGAGATATCTCAGACTTCTTCTTGCTTTCCGAGACAACGTGTTACCACCATCATGGCACATCCTTTTGTCGCAGACTCTAACGTGCTGCATCGAGCTCTTATCGCAAAGCCGGAGAAAGTTATCGCATCATCTGGTATAAGCCTGATACTCGAATCTGGGAAACATGTCATCGACGCATCAGCCGGTCCTGCCGTCTCGGTGCTTGGGCACACCCGTCCCGATGTGACCGAGGCATTGATAAACCAGATGAGCGAATGCGCCTATATCTATTCAGGTGCACGATTCGCCTCACCAGTTGTCGAGGAGCTCGCCTCTTTTATTCTCCAGGGTCAGCCGGGCGGTCTTTCCAAAGCCATCTTCGTCAATTCAGGCAGCGAAGCTACCGACGCCGCCATCAAATTAGCTACGCAGTACTGGCACGAACTTGGGCACTCCCAGCGACGCATTGTGATTGCGCGCGAGCAGAGCTATCATGGCAACACAATCGGTGCGCTCTGCGTTTCAGGCCATAACTCGAGACGAGCCCTTTATAGCGACTGGCTGTCTTCCAATGTTCAATTTGTTGAGCCATGTTTCTCCTATCGCTTCAAGAGACGGAATGAAAGCGACAAAGACTATGTTAAGCGGCTTGCAGAACAGCTTGAGAACCTTATTCTCGAACTCGGTCCTGAAAACATATCTTCCTTCATCGCTGAAACAGTGAGCGGTACCACTCTGGGGTGTGTCCCGGCGGTGAAGGGATATTTCAAAACCATCAGGGCGATCTGTGACAAATATAACATTCTCCTCATTCTAGACGAGGTCAGTTCCTGCCCACGCCGCTAGGCGCCTTTACTTACGGGACTTCTTCCACAGATCATGTGTGGCATGGGTAAAACAGGCACCATGCATGCATGGGAACAGGAAGACATTCGAGGGCCTGATATCCAGACTATCGGAAAGGCGTTGGGTGGGGGATTCGTGCCACTTTCAGGCGTGCTTCTCCACCACAAGATATTTGAGGCGTTGAGTCAAGGCTCTAAAGTCCTTGCTCACGGTCATACATTCCAAGTACATGTAATCTACCCGTGTGTTGGCCGTTGTTATGACTAACCTATTTCAGGCTCATCCTGGCGCCTGCGCTGCTGCCCTAGCAGTCCAGAAGGCGATTCGAAATGAAAAATTAATCGCTAAAGTTGCGGACATGGGGCGTGTGTTGGAGCGGCTCTTGAACGAACAGATAGCACCTCTCAATATCGTGGGAGATATTCGAGGTCGAGGTCTTTTCTGGGCAGTGGAGTTTATGCTCAACGGTCCAGAGCGTATTCCAGTACCTGCTGAAGCTAATTTCTGTGCAGGCGTCGTCAACTGTGCCCTGGAACTTGGCCTGAATATCCTCGGCAACCTGGGTCAAACGGGCACGGTCTACGTAGACCACGTGATTATCTCGCCACCCTACATTGTTACGGAGGAGGAACTCCAACATATCGTTGCCATCCTCCGCACAGCCATCATGAAGGTCGCCGAGGCCACGTTTCCGCAGTCTAATCGGGGAGATGCAAAAAAATGATCTAGTTACACGGGAAACTCAACTATAGGACCTTATAAACGACTGTTTCCGGTGAACATTGAGTAACATGTGATTCAATACGAATTTAGTGTAAATTTATTTAATGGTGTTCTGCACTAGCCAACGTGAAACGAGAGGTTGACACTAGAATATGCAGCATAGGGTCTGTCAAGTTCACGTGAGAGCTAACTTGTAGCCTCTCGAACGGACGACATCTAACCAATCTAGCCGAGCACCTTCCATGCTTCCAGTGCCCGATATCCTCAGTCTCCAAAGTTCGTCAAGAACTTGGAGACATACTTCGACATTTCGAAACCGGCGTCGCTCATTGATACTCCGCATCTTCTCCCGGATCGTAGCGATTTGCGAAAGCTCCTCCGCTTCACCGCCAGCCATAAAGAGAGGGAATAATAAGGTGCATTCTGGAAGGCATCCTGTGGGCATATCGCGAACCCTTGCACATATTGATTCGACATTCTTTCTAATCTTTCCGTTCAAGACCGGCTCGAACCCTCTCAGATGTCGACGCAACGTTCTATACAGGTGCAAGAAAGCAGCATCACGATATGTCTCAGCGAGTTGAGCCAGCGTTGATCCACGGTACTCATCAGGGTATATCCATTGGATCAACTCAGCCTCTATGGCTTTCGCTGTCTCAGAGAACTGTGCATTGGTTGATTTGTGAGAGATTTCCTCGGACACTGCTGAATTTGCCATTGTGGCATCAGTAAAGTCGGCGTTGAGGCAGCTTATCTGCCCAATCAGACGGAGGATTCGTGCAGCGAGACCAAAGTATGGATCGGCCTTCTGCTCATTCTGATCCAGCCAGTAATCTCCAAGAAGTAGGGGCCGGCAATCCATAGACACGCTCATGAGGATGTCGTGGTAAGCGAAATTCCTCAACAACCACTTGCCCTCGGTGGTACTAAACTCTGAATGATCTTTCGAAGGAGGAGTATTACTGCCAATTGGTACTCCCAAGGCAATGGCACCACCGACCAGGTGCTCATACCAGTTCTGAGTGCCATCAGAGATGCTCTCCATAGAACACGAGGCCATGGTCACAGCCAGCCACATTTCGTGTGAGATGGACATTTCATCAAGGTCTGCCTTTAGACATCTGAGTGCAGTTCCTCGATGCTGAAGTGCTATGTCTCGAAATCTTGGCTCGATTTGTGACAGATGAGTGGACGCCCAGGCCGTCAGAGTATACATTAGGGTAGAAGACTCGAAGGCCATAGGCAGTAGCACTGCCCCTTGGGGTTATCGGATGTTACTACAAGGACCACACTGAATCGACTTACCTGAGAGAAAACAGTTGTTCTCATGGTTAGTGCTAAGCATTGCAGCAAATGAAGTTGTGTAATACCGGAGCATAGCCCGACGGCTGCTCGCAGAGTCAGAGCGGCCAAGAGCATTGTCGAGAGTGTCTTGGGTTTTCAGGTACGGGAAAAGCAAAGTTCCTGTATCTGGGCCAGAGCCCGGGGCTCGGTGTGCAGCCTTTTCGACACCTGAATCCGGGTGTAAGGGCCGCGGCGACTCGCGCTCACAGACCAGATTGAGGCGAGAGCAATGACCGCAGAAGGGATAGGAGCGATCGCATTTCTTCTTCCTGTTGTCAAGCAAGGGATATCAGCAATCTTAGCGGACTCTGACAAAGGAGTCCTCGTTAAGAGGCTCTGGTGAGATGAGCGCCTGCGTACTACTTCAAGCCACGACAAGGTCGGGTGTACTTCGACGTGGGGTCCGAAGTGCTGCAGGGCTGCACACACCCAGACACGCCTACAATTGCGTACTTTGCTAGGGCACCTGATTACGTACCTCCGACGACAGGTCAAACACCCTTGACGCTGTCGGGTGTAGCCTGTGGACCTGGGCTTGCGTCTAAGGGATTGATCTGACATGGCGATAGTGACTACGGGCGCTGACGGCGGTGAAAAGATGGTCGATGCCCGACACCGGGCGGCGAGGTGGCTCAGGTTGGGTATGCATGCAATTATGGCCGCAAAGGGTGGCAGCGAACTGGGCCAGGAGACGTCAAAGATAAAATGTAAGTCATGAACGTGCCACGCCCCGCTTTATCTGAGGAAGGATCACCTGATCCTTTGACAGTACGCGGCGTCCGACTCTGTACTGTATGAAGCCGTTCTCTTCTCCGCCTAGCTACCACTGCACGCATTTGCCTGAAGAAACCCCGGGCACTGAATCAAGGCCCCAGACCCTTGAAGGCTAGCTATTCGCCACTCCCGAAGAACAAGGACTAGTTTCTCCTAGTCCTAAGCCTCAAACCAATTCACGTGCGGAAGAGCGACGCGGCTGGCGCCAACGGCGCTGCGTCGCGCGCGCCCACGTCTAGTCTCCAGCGCAATCGTGATGGAGCCAAGAGTATGGTTCCTGACGAGCTTTTGATTTATAGAGGCGGCCGAGGAGCGTCATTCCTTGCATTTATACACTACAACTTTCTCTGTTGGCAATTCGCAGCACTGCCACTCCGTCACCCTCTCATTACTACAGTTCCACAAAAGACGCGCCGCCCCAATCCCGAAACTCATCGCAGTCATGTCTGGCAGCCAGAAAATTGACACTCCCCGCCTAATGCCCTTCAATGCCGGCAAAGAAGGCAACATGGTCCGGTCGGTTACGAAGAAAGATGCCGCTGTCGCATATCGGGGTCTGCCGTTGCCTTCGGTACCTGAGGATATCGTCATACCGGCCGTACTCGACTTGAACTGCGACGAACGCCTATGGGTGCCTCAAGCACCGGACGTTTGGTTTCGACCTTTGGTTTTCAACGTGTCTCAGGGTTATTTCGTTAATGTTCTGCGTGTCCGCAAGTCGGGCATATTGTCTCGTCATCGTCATGCCGGCCCAGTACATGCGTTTGTCCTCCGTGGCCGCTGGCATTACCTCGAGCACCCGTGGTGGGCGACAGAGGGTGGTTTCGCTTTCGAGCCGCCGGGTGACATTCACACCTTGGAAGTCCCTGACGACGTGGAGGAGATGGTAACCCTGTTCCATGTGACGGGGGCTTATATCTATGTAGATCCGGATGGCAACCCTACCGGCGTCGAAGATGTATTCAGCAAGCTTGATAACGCGAAGAAACATTACGAGGCCGTGGGATTGGGCGCTGATTTTGCGAACCAGTTTGTGCGATAATAAAAGAAGAGGGCTGAAGGGAAAAGAATGTCGCGTGCATCTTACGGAGGACTAGCTTGTGTCTTGACAATCGATTCCTGGAGGTGGTCCTCATATCGAGACTATCAACAGGGAAACTTATCCGGGACTTCCTCAGCAATACAATAAGTCGTACAAGCTTAGAGACTTCGTGTCAGGGTCGTTATCCGGGCCGGCCACAACCTCACTCCAGACGTGGGCAATTGATTGTTGTCGGAGAAGAGTCTGCATTCTATCAGTAAACATGGGACATGGTCGTTCAGACTGAATTTGGGAAACAATTAAAAGAACACCCACACTGTTAAATGGTCTTGCATGCCAACATGAATGATCGCCAATGAGGAATTACAAGTCACATAAAGTATCAACGTACAGTCTCCATCTGGATATATCAACGCAACCAACGTGCATTTTCACATGAGACTCACATAGAAGCTTCCATCATGCTGTTTAGCGAAGCTATGTTTCGTTCAGAAGGGTTATCAGAACGGGCGTGGAATCGCTCCACCTTGAAGACGGCACAGATTGGCTCACATTTACTCCAGGCACCAACATGCACGAGTTACGTAATCCCAGCGACCGGTAAGCTATTTAAAGCCTTGGCCGATGCAACGCCCTCCGGGCCAACTATTTTCTCAAACAATTCACTATTACCGCTTTCCTTCAACAGCTGTGCCTCCCGTCTACCAACACATGCAGCGCACCTGCCACGATGGCTCCGAGCAGTTGGCACGTCTGAGACAGATATTTTGGTCGATTCCTGGTCTGAAAGCTGCACTCACAATGGCCAGCAGGAAGAGGCGCGACAGTGGGCCCGTGGCCGCCCCAGCCGAGTCTAAGGAAAGCGCAAGCCACATGTCAGGCCCCAGCGACGAACAGGCCACACGGTGTGTAGCCTCTAAAGCGGACCCGAAGCTTTGGGAACTTGCGAAATCTTTACCGACGGAAGAGCTTGAGACTGAAACAAACCCCGTGCGCCGCCGGAACATCGAGGCATGCCTTAAGTATGTCAATGAGAATGGCTATCCGTACCCAAACGAGGTGTTTATTGCCATGGATGGTGTCGTTAAACACGTGACTGAGCGCGAATGTGAGGCTATGGACTGGGCTTCACTGACCGATAGTGGTAAAAAGGATGAGGCCTTCTTGATGGTGAGTTGATGACCGTCCCTGCCTGGAGTCATTCCGTCATTCCGTTGTTGCTTGGTTCTCACTGTCTCTAGTTGGGCCCTGAGTATGGGCTTGATGAGAATCGCCTGATGTGGTGAATTCTTCAAACTCTTTGAGGTAAATAGCTTGCCAACGGGGATCGAGGCCTGGCCATATCTGTTGCCTCGGTGCGCAGCTTTCTATATCGACCATCGTCTGGCCTGACCCTCTGGAACAGTGATGATTTTGGCATCCTGGGACGATGGCCAGACACCCAAAGATCGAGACCCCTCGCTACAGCCAGACGGCCGCCCTGCCAATGAATGCCCTGCTGAACTTTGCAAATGTTACGAGCAATCCATATTTGCTCAGTGATAGTGGTGTTATTGTGCATATCTTCAAGGCCATGATACAAAGTCCCATCCGCTGCCAGACTCTATCAGACGTTCCACAATGTTTAGCCACAATTATAAGACCGACTCCAATGCTGTATCCTGATAAAACTCCCGGGTCAACCGCCATCGCAAGCATTCTTGCCTTCAGATCACCAATAGGATCTATAAAATGTCTGATGAGATCTCTCTGTAAGTTTTCGGAAACCGTATATCCTCCCGGGGAGACTGTTGGGAACACCGCTTTGGTCATGATCTCGACCTTTGAGCCATCTCTACGGAAGACAGCACATTAATCAAATGAATATGCCCAGCAGCCGAAAAGATGGACGTTAACCACTGCCCAGGCATTGAGACGCCATCAGACTCAGGGCACATGTCAGGCCATGGAAAATGACTGCGTTCGGCTCATCCTTGGGGCGTCTACGTACAAATTTCTCGAGTTTAAGCGTAAATTGAGACCTGTGCGACGAGGAGAACGGAGAGAAAACTTGATTGTCAGGACTACTGCATATTGTGGTTAAATACCAGGCCGATCCTCCTTGCAATGGTATCCGCCGGATGAAAACTGGGTGAGGACGGGGTGTCGCTGTATAAGCTGAGAGTTAGAGTGGTCTTCAACTTCCAGCAAAGTGTCATCAGCTCGAGCCCAACGAAGCCGAATATTTGATCATGGACGTATTTCATGCGGAGCCCAGGCCTCACTTCATGCCTATGCTGAGCGCTGCCATATAAAAATTGACAGTTGAATGGTTCGAATGAAAGCAGGCCGCTCTTGATTGCTGCTTCTTGAAATTCTTCCCGTTCGTCACCAATAGGCCTTGATCTCATCACGCTTTCACAATGCGAATTAAGTCCTGGAGACTGAAGTCTTGAGAGGTCACTACTGATTTCGCGTTGCGCCGCCCAACCAAAGTTTGCTCCGTATCCTTCAACTCAAAGGACACAGACTTGTCGGTCTTGCTTGCTATTTGGACAGCCTTGGATCTGTCACCGAGCACTAGATCGAAATTTCCACGATTGATAGCTGTGGTCTGGCAGTCAGATGACTTGATTATAGCGTCCGTCTTCACTGCCGCCTCCAGCAAGGTCCATAGGCTTGACAACCAAGGATCTGCCATGACCTGGAGGAGCGTAGGGATTGTCTTCGCACCGTCGGGAGCAGTTATATCAGAAAACGTCTTTGCCAACTGTGAGATGTATGGATGCTCGGTTTTGCTGAGCCATATAGATGATGCGGCAGCGTCGAAGAAGACATCTTGTTACATAGTGAAGAACTTTAACAAATCTGTGGTTATCCCAGCCTTCCTTGTGAGCGCATTCACCGGCTATGATCTGCTGTATCTTTTGCGGACCTTTCAAGTTGCGAAAAATTAACGATACTGCCAGAACAAACTTGTGGGTTGAATGTCTTTCGTGTATTTTCCATCTTGTTACTCGACGACGCTATTATAGAATCTCGGGAGACCCTCCAAAAGCTTGTCAAGCACCTACTTGCCTTCCGCCTGCAGCATCTGAGACAGCTGCAGACAATTCTTGGGAAATATTAATTCGGACGAGCCCTGCCGGTGTCTTGCCAGATTTCAAAGTGATACTCACGACAGTATGGTTCCGATGTCTTGTTGCTCGTTTGTGTCGCTCTGAGGCCGAGGTATGTTTTTCCCGGATTGATTCATTCGCCTTCTTTCAGTAATAATCAACAAGGCATAAAATTTCCGTGTTAAATGTAGCGCGACCAGTTGACCGCTCCCTGTGCACTATTTGAACTAGGGCATGAGAGTCGGGGTCTGCAGGTCACATTTGATGATAGCGACGGCGCTGCAACTCCACATTCGAGCGTCTTATCGACTCAGCGGCAATTGGGGTCGAGGTTATCTCATGCCTGGATCCACTGCTTGCTCCAGAGCTTGGTTGTCTCCGCATCTCGCTCAGTCGAGATAAGACGCATGGCAACGTCTGAGGATCCAGTCACAGGCTTGCCCCTCCGTGGCTCTCTGAATAGTTCTCTGGTTTCGAATACGGCAACTCAAGATATATTATATCACTTTTCAGACTCTCTTCTGCTGAGGACTTGCGGCGTTGAGGTTGGATATGCTAGATGACTAGCCTCAAAACGCTTACTTGCCTTGATCTTTCAACCCAAATGGCCTTGACTTCTATCGCAGATCAGCCCACGGCTCCGTTGGGAGCGACTTTGAAGAATGGACGTGATGTTCGCTTAGCTGCACGCGCCAGTCTCTGGTTGACTCCAACCTCTGGTCTTGCACCAGGCTATCTACAGGCCAATCTTCTGGTACTCCCTTCACGTTACGCAGCCGACTTCCGGCTCCTCTGTCAACGCAACCCGGTTCCGTGTCCCTTGGTTGCAGAATCGTCAGAGTCCGGAAGCTTCTCCTCATTCAAGTCGTATCTTCCAGGACTCTCCGATTCTGCCGTGCTCAATGATATCGACATACGTCTCGATATCCCGTATTACAATGTATACGCCGACTCAACGCTCGTCAAGTCCGCATGCCCAGACATTGCTTCAGAGTGGACAGCGGACCATGTAGCATTCCTCATCGGCTGCTCGTTCAGTTTCGAGGGTGCCCTTACTGGAGCTGGTCTGACGCCACCTCATACCGCACTCAACCGGAACGTGCCCATGTACCGCACGACGATACCCTTGTGTCCGGCGGGTGTGTTCACGAATGGCATTTACGTGGTCTCAATGCGGTCGTACAAGTTGCAAGATATCGAGAAGGTACGGGAAATCACGAGCGCGTATGTGAGTACGCACGGGGAGCCAATCGCTTGGGGCTGGCAAGCCGTTGCGAAACTGGGAATCAAGGACATCGATGCGCCGGATTTCGGTGATGCTCCGCTCACTAGATATGGAAAGCCCTTGGGCGATGAAGCTGGTTCAGAGGACGAGGTGCCTGTGTTCTGGGGCTGTGGTGTCACCCCCCAAGAGGCGATAAAGACAGCGGGGTTGAGCGGGATTATCATGGCACATGCGCCAGGTCACATGCTTCTTTTGGATTGTCAAGATTCAGATGTGTTCAGAAGGGTACAGACTTAAATGAGGTTATTAAGATTAGTTATCCTGTAGTTGTTCGCGTCAACAACTTAGCAGGCGTTGAGACAATCGTACATCTACTGTGATGGTATTCAATTAGACCATCCAAGATAATCTCTCAAATTGAATTTCTGGGGCAGTGTTTCAGCATAAGGTGAAGTCGGCTGGTACGAGATAGAGAACAGCCGTCTTTCTCTGAAAGGTGGGCAGGCAAAACTCAGCATGCAAGACCAACGTTTCCTCAAGAGACTTACAGCCACTTATGTTCTAGTGTCGGGTGCTGAGTCCTACCACAGCTCAAATAAAAACCAGCGTCTATAGGTGCGTCATTCCACATGCAATATTCGCTGATTTGTGGATATGATCACATCGCCGGCATGCCGACGCTTCTTGGGTTCTACCATCAGCTTTGCGGAGATCCGCCTAGATAGTGCTGGATCAAGAAGAGGATACAGAAGCTAAACAAAAGAAAGAACACACGTAGGCCAAAACAAAGGTTCCAAATTTCTCTAAGGCAGCTTACGTTCCGCACATGCAAGCACCTTAGTACACGTATTTGAAAGCCAAATCGCCCTCACCGGTTGTCTCTTTTCGATCGTCTGAACGCTCGCCATGGCCAATCTGGGACTTCTTTCGGTTAAGGATGTGTAGATATCCAATCTGGGTCGCGATAAGACCCATAGATATCAGGACGGAAGCCAAAGAACACCAATGCCCAAGGCGGTATGGAGCAGCACGGTAAACCTGAGGTGCTACAATGCCAGCAGCATTCCCGATGGTTTGTTGGAGGCCAATGGCTGTTGCGCGTCGATAGTGCGGAGCCATGTTATTGTTTATCCCTGAAGGACTATTAGCAAATACCTCTCAGTTACTAGGAGAAGTGTCGACTTACAAACGCCGTTGAGACCAGGTCCGCAATAGAGAGGAATTGCAATTAGGTAGCAAGCGAGGTAACGAACTCTAGGTGTACCTGGGACCGCAAGCAAGATAGCATAACCGATGACAGCGAAAATATCGAGGGTGAAGAGTATCTGAGACGTTTATTTAGAAGCCGCGAGGTAGAACGCGGGTCAATAGAACTACGAACCGTGCCTCGAAGTTTCCACTTGTCGCCTAACACAGCCGCGGTCTTGATACAATGCTGTCAGTCCATCATACTTGTCTCTCTTCGATTATTTGTGTAGTGTAGAAGTCGACTTACGAAGAAAGATATGCCGCCCAACAAGTAAACCGGCACACTTAGATATTGGGCTTGAAGAGTGCTATAACCAAGATCTAGCCTCAAGATAGACGGCAGAAATGTACTAAATCCATAGAGAATGATGTCTTGGAAGAATTGAATGAAGGCCCTACAATGATTTTGATAAGCAATAAACCAAAGAGCAACTCGAGCAGAACTTACGTAAGCCAGACTTTGGGATCCAGCAATGCCTTTCCGACCTCTGACCATTCAAACACAAGGCTTCCCATATACTGCGAGCGCTGGGCTTCACGAATGGCGATAACATTCTTGTCCTTAGCAGTCAAGAACTTGGCTTCCGTGGGATTTGCAGGTAGACCAAAGAAGACCCAGGATGCCACAAGGATAGAGATACAGCCCTCGATGATATAAAGCCAACTGTGTTGCCACCAGGCTATCAGCTTCCACCCGACCCGAACAGAAGTGTACCAGAGACTACTTACCTCCACGACTCTACCCCATGTCTGCTTCCCATATAAGTAATTCCAGTAGCAATGAGTCCGCCGAACATCCCAGCCAAAGCCACAGACGAGAACAAGTAGGCAATTCGACGACCCTAAAGAATTTAGCAACTTGTATTAGGCTTATGAAGACCCTGCAAACTATGAATGATGTCTAGGAAGGACTCACTTGCTCTTCCTTTTTGTAGACCATGGAGATGTACAAACTCAAGCAGGGGAAAAACCCAGCTTCAGTTACACCCAGCAAGACTCGCACGGCAACGAGGTCCCCGAAGTTCTTGACGAACGCCGTCCCAATCGTGACCACAGACCAACCAAAGCACATCAGGGCGATGGCACGATGGGGTCCAACCTTTTGCATGGCCAGTACGATTGGGATCTCGAGAGGGACGTAGGTAGCGAAGAAGACGCTGACGGCGGTGCTATACTGGGGTCCAGTGAGTCCCAGGCTGGTGGTCATGCCGGCGACTGCGGCATTGCCGATGTTGCTTCGGTCGAGGTATGCAATGAAGTATAGTGCAGCAAAGAGAGGTGCCATCCTCCAGTCCAACTTGTGGACTACCTGCTTCTCGTCTTGGCGATCAGGTTCAGATAGGGCTGGGATAGCTAAAATATCCAACTGCGGGCTGTTCTCGACATCGTGCTTTTCCATTTTGTCTAGATTTTGCCTGCATTTGGAGGCGTCCATATCGAGGGGTTTGATAATACTGGAAGCTTGATGAGTCAAATGAGGCAAGAAAGACTAACCAGGTTCTGAACACTCGGCCTATAAACAAGGTAGGAAGCCAGACTAGTAGACCTGTTTTATGTTATTTGCCTAATCTAAGGACTTTGGCAAGACGTAGTGATGAAATATTTGGCAAGATCTCGAATAGAATCCGAAAGTATAATATGTTGATCTGCTGATATGGTTATCAAACGTGGAGAGAGTGCCGGAGTGCCGGACACTGCAGAGTCAATACCAACTGACTGAACCCCCAGCGGAGTCTGTCAGGGGTCAGCCCCAACGGAGGGGCAAGTCCATCTCCATCAATCTTTATCGCTATCTTCATGAGCTACGGTGGGTTATCGCTACTTCAATCTCAAGGACGTCCCAAGTTCACAACTCTCATGAGTGCGCCTCGAGAGGGGGAATCAGTGCTCCACCTGTGTAACGGCACCCGGTGGGGTTCAAATGCTTGCCCAAAATTATTCGATTCATCGTCATAGGAACTCCTTTCCAGGTCTTTGCATCCAAGTCGGAATGCTATCCGTAGATAAATTGTTCTGGATCTCCATAATGGTGTTTTTATAATCCATGAATTGTAAAGCCCCTGCGCCTGGTTGAACAGCTGGCTGACTAGGTATTCGAACACCTGAATATCCCCCGATATTTTCGCTGTTGCACATGTGCTCCGGGTACAAGTGCGCCTTATCTTAAGTCCGATTTGACTTTTTGTCAAACAAAAGAACGCAAGAGATCCGCTACAAGACTTTGGAGACTTCGTTTTATCTACGTACTTGAGTAGAAAGCATTTATCCGATACCTATCGATTGAACTGAAATTATAAAAAGTTAAACAAGTTATTTTCTAAAACGACTTTCAACAACAGAACGAATTCCGTGTTAAACAAGGACCGTTTGCCTTAGACTACAACAATCGGACTATGATTTCATTATCAGTTAGCTACTGCTAGGCATAGATGAGATTTACATAGCACTTGTGATCATTCAAGAGCTGAATGACAGCAAAGCTACGGCTTGGAAAATGTCACGTATTTTGATAATGATCGAATGGATCGAATGAAATAGGAGAAGAGCGGTGCATATTCCACCCGTGGCGATGGGTCATGATACAGGACACAACACATGTGATGGAAGCTTCTGACTCTGAGATGAATTAGGCTAACACAACTCTAGAAAGTACCTCGCCAGTCCTAATGGTACAGAGATATAGAATACCTGTCATTTCACTACGAACCCACAAGGCGACTGTAGCGGAGATCGTCAAGTTGCGACTCAGATCGTGGAGTCGAATGTCGACGACTCACCTAACTTTGGATTACCAATGACGCTGCATCAGGTACGCGATGAGCCCAGCGGTGAGCCACAGTAGAGACAAAGACCGACACATCAGTCTTGCTTGCCGCCATGTTCTCCCGCAGTGATGCTATCACAATGGACAAAGCTATCTCGCCAGCGATTGTGTTGTACTAGCTCTAATGTAGCAGAAGCACAAGGCACAGCTTGTACTGTGACAACATCGAATCGGTTGGCCATGCGACTCTAAAGTTTGTTACTAAGCTTTCCCAGGAGGTTAGACCCTAGACTACGCCGAAGCCCCGAAAGACGCGCCAAAGCCTAACGTAGATGCTATTGAGAACAACAGTTCGCCTCTCCAAGGTAGACTTACCCGGTTGCCGTGCTCGTATACTTCTCCTCCAACGGTGCTTGAGCAGCAGGTAGGAGTGTCGAAGCGAGTAGTCCCGCGCCCATGGTTGAGATGAGTTGGAAGCAAACTCACGTGGCGGCGCTCGAATCCTTGTCCATGAGGCTGAAGAGTCCAAAATTGATGGCGATGGGGACCCAGGCGAAGATGTGCAGCGGCTTGTACCGTCCTATCTTTGATATCATACGCCTCCCCGAATGGCGGAATGTAACACCCCTACAAATGTAGGCAAGTAATCCACACCGGCAGCCATTGCATCCTACTGCTTGACTCTGTTCACGTGGGCTGCACATGTAGCTTTATTGTGAACTTTTTGTAAGGCGCTTAACCCATTTCATTACGCCTCCAATGGATTTTCCGATGTTGACTGTCATGCCTCATCGTTTCCACCCCTCCCCCCCGCCATCATGCTCCGCATCCCCGTCTCAAGTTGGTGTACTTTAATCATGGTTGATGACAGCGAATGGCAGGTTTACCGGATTTCACTTCTGCATAGAAACGATGACGAGACTGTGCTGTGTTGCGGCTCCGGAGTCGGTCTTTTCAGAAGATGCAGACAGGGATGGACCCCCGGAGCTCTCGGTTGACCGATCAACCTTACTGCTCGCCACGACAGAGCTCAAGAAACCCACCGAAAGATGCGAGCATGCTCTTGAAGAATCAACAACTTATTCTGCAGCCCTACACAAGATGCGTCATGATGCAAGCGCAAGTCAGGATTCCTTCGTTGCCCAACTTGAATAGTCCTCACTACATGCAACAACGATGAGTTCAACTGCGACAAGATGCGATATTATCACCGACAATAGAATTCCTTGATATTCTCCACAACTCTTTCAGTGCCAAGATGTTCATCAGATGGCGTACTGGTCAAGGTTCGCGCCGTAGCGTTGAGCCCAGTCGATGTCAAGATACCTCCTGTAATTGCAAAAGAGGGCCTCGTTGCTGGCAATGATTTCGCTGGCGAGATTGCTGAGATCAGCAACGAGGTGCATTTGATCAATCGTCTAGGGTGTGCTCCATGAAAGGTGGGAGACCGTGTATGCGGAGCAGTATTGGGCTGCAGTCCGAAGAAGCCAACGAGTGGACCGATTTGACCGAGGCCGATCCGGTCAAGATGACTAGATTACCTGATCACTGGGGCTGGAAAGAAGGAGCGGCTCGTGGGGGATGCTGTGTTGGCGCTGTCGGTCTAGCATTGTTTCGGAATTTGAACCTCGAGCTTCCCGCAGTGGGCAGAGCGATGGCAGAGGGCACAGCGGCAGCAGAAAAGCGTGGCGTGGTACTAGTCTATGGCGGCAGCACGGCATGTGGCACCACAGCTCTGCAGCTCTTGAAATTGTAGGTACACGCCCAAGCCCATCACCACAACAGTCGAAATGCCTCTGACAAGAAGTGAGCTATAGAACCGGGCACCCTGCCATTGCGATCTGTTCGCCCCACAATTTGGAGCTCGCGAAACATTACGCCGCCACGCAAAACTTTGATTATCGTTCTCCCGAATGCGTGAAAATAATTGAAACATACACAAAACGCGCACTAACGTAAGTTGTCGACTGCACGGCGACCGTTCAGTCAGCAAAGTTATGCTACGACGCTATCGGTCGAGCTAGAGGTCACTATGTTAGACTAAATCCTGTCCCGACTGAAGTTCGGGATTCAAGCAGGGCCGTGAAGGGGAGCTGGGCCGTTGGGCCGTCTGCTTCAGGCGAGGAGGTAGATCTTGCAGGCGACTTGACGTTTCCGCCCGATGCAGAGGCTCGGTCACTGGCGTCGGAGGTGTTCGCACAGGTGGAGCTTCGGGCTAAGAAAGACCTGCTCAAACACCATCCTATTGGTGCCCTGGAAGTGGGAAACAACTGGATGATCACAGTTCTGGAAGGATCCCAGAAGCTGCAAACACGTGAAGTTAGTCGCCAGAAGCTTGTTGTCCAAACAGCGGCACAGATAATGTCCGTTAGATAGCTCTCGATGCATAATCTCCTATTCTAACCATTGAACCACTGCAAAGTATGTTTTGGCAATAGCCTGCGCGAAGTCCTCGAGTATGCGCGCAGTCTAATGTTGATTTGGAGCTTGATAGTGAACTCGGCGCGGTGATGCGCACAAGAGCATTTTGTAACCACTGAGCCATACCGTCTCTTTGAGTATATTAGTATATTGTAAAATGTGTAGAGACAGCTCAGAAGACCTGCGGTTGCGTGGTTCTTCAAATAAGAAATTTATATTTATATTTTTATGTTACTACCTGGTTTAAATGTAGTATAAGCTCAGATATATCTTCTTTTGAATATAAAGTCTGAAATACGTTGCCGTTGACATCGACGGCTATCATTAAGGATCTATATGACCATTGCGATGCGTCCTAATTATTGTGAAACAGCGGCTCTTCATCACCGTGGGTGCATAATCTGCTTTCGCACACGGTAGGTTATCATGAGTATGAAATGCGTCCTGGGGCGAGAATACAAAAGTACATAATATAATCCAATATGACATTTGATGTCACATAGAAAGATTAGAGGATATCCGGGTTATTAGCACTAGATTGTCTCTAAATGAAGAGCTCTGATATATTAGATGAGTACCCGCTATATTACTTCAGGATCTTCTAATCCGCAGGTGGCATTTGTGCACCACTGTTTTGGTGTTTTTTTTTTGGAGAGTGTGGATCTTTGTGAATGCAACCAATAAGCTCGTTTTGTCGCTTTGCGATATATGGAAGCGGCCCTCGTCACTCCGCATTACTCCTCTCGCCTAACTTGGTCACCTTGATTGGAGCATGAATAACAACCGAAGTCCGATAAATCTCAACTTGTATCTCGTATAAATTTGGTTGGGACGGATCTATTTCTTCTTCAAATCACTGAGAGTTCTGAATTTAAATCGGACTTAAAAGACCCAAGATGCGATACTCTACTGCTGTTATTCTGACTTGGGCTGTTCACATTGCCACCGCAGCATGGCATCGTAATGCGAAGGATACGCAGTACACTATCAAGGCAGCCAATATTGAGGCAAAGGTGAGTTGTTTCGTGAAATTTACAAGGAATCATCAACTTGGAAACCTGTTTAAAACCCTTTCAGTTTATCACTTACGGTGCTTCAATTACCAACTTGTGGGTCAAAGACAAATCGGGTAATGATATCGACATCGTTCTTGGTTATGACGATATAGATTTCTATCGTAAGGAAACTCCTCCTTGAGAAACATCTGCATGGACTTCTCTGATTTCGATCGACCTAGCTGAGGACAAAAGTCACCCCGTCTACAACTCCATACCTGGCCGATATGTCAATCGCATCGGACACGCTCAGTACTCCATTGACAACGTAACGTATCACACCGAGAAGAATGACGGAAACAATACTTTACACAGCGGGAACAACAATTGGTCTTGGCGCTTTTGGGACGTGACCGCGGTCTCCGGCGATAGCATCACATTCTCTATTCTGGACAAGTCGAACACCTCGCTCAACATGATCGGTGATGTTCAAGCAAGCGTAAAGTATACGGTCACACCGAACAAACTGGACATAAAAATGTTTGCCAAATCGCTGACCAGGAAGACCCCCCTGATGCTCACACACCATACCTACTTCAATCTAGACGCCTACAAGGATCCGCGGACGCCAACGATATGGAACTACACCTTGTCCATGCCGTACTCCGAGCGCTACCTTGAGATTGACGGTGGTGCTCTGCCCACTGGAAAAATCTTGACCGCTGCTCCCGGGTCCGTCAATGATTTCGCATCTGCTTCCAATATCGCGCTTGGACACTCTGCTTCGGACCCGAGCTTTGTTGGCAACTGTGGCAGCGGCTGCAACGGATATAACGGCTACTGGCTGTTTGACTCTGCGCCCAAAGACGCTGCAGTTTTGACTCTGGCCTCAAACTACAGTGGTGTCAAAGCCGAGCTACGCACCAATCAGCCCGGTGTCCAATTATACAGCTGCTGGTGGAGCGATGGAACTGCACCACTGAAAGCCAGCACCCAGGGGCTACCGGGCAGGTCAAACGTCACCAGTGGCAGCTGTCTCGCTGTTGAGGCACAGGACTACGTTGACGGGATAAACCAGTAAGTTGACCCACCTTCGGTATAACCGTTGGCCACGCGAACAATAACTGCCCTCAATATAAACTCCAACTACTAATGTAACGGTGTAGTCCTGAGTGGGGTCGTGTTGATGCCGAAATTTACGGACCGGGCAAAGTATACAATTGGGAAAGCTCTTGGACATTCTCAACAGTGTGACTTAGGCCAATGACTGAATTGTACGCATGGGGCTGGGTTAGCGTTAATTTGGACGAAGTCTGTCATCGCGGGGTTCCGATAGCGTAGGATGGGGTGCCCTTACGAGGCCCCCACGAATATAGCCGTATTCTTTATGCATCGACCCCATATACCGGTATGCAGGCTTCACAAGAGATTTCACAAAGGTTACCTAGCTTATGCCATGTTCGAGACGTTGTTGAAAGTTGGATGGCGTGAAGTGCGACACATCTGGGCACTTCTGCGCTGACGGCGCCCTGGGTGGCTTGGTTCACTGGTTGAACGTCTAAGGTATGGGCAAAATTAAACCACCTCATCAGCCATTAAAGGATACTGGAAGTATACTTCAGGGCTGGGTCACCAAGCGCCCATTATATATATGAGGGCGAGGCACCACCTCGCTCACCAGTGCCACTCTTCTTTCCTGTCTTATTCCGCTCGTTTCCGACCATACCCACACAACTACGTTAGAGTGTTTCAAGGGTTCAGCTAGTATATATTAAGCTCTCCAAAATCACCGCCCCACAGGCTTGTGAGTCTGAATTCGAGGTCCGGCACTAGACAAAGACTGGAAGGATCCGGGAAGACATTACCTATGGATGATGAGCTGTCAGATGAGAAGTTGGAGTCAGGGCAAGGCATGTGAGTTCTGATGTTATCTATTGTAAGGAGGCTTCTGGTGGTATTTGTCTAGCAGATATACGGTAGCAAGCACGACCTGGGGTTATGTCGGAAATTCTAACGTGATTAAAGGAGTAATCCAACGATGATTAGCAACAATAGCTAAAGAATTGTAATTTTGATTAGTGCCTTATCGAAAAGCTCTTGCTGGATATATAACCTTTTAAAGCATTTCCTCTTCATTCCTCATTGTTTGATAAGTGACGAAAGAACCGTTCCAGCATCTGAGAATGCGTCAGCCTCTATTACAATCAATCTGCTTCCGGGCAATCAATTGTTTTTTTTAGGGAGGGGGGGGGGCTAACAGGGAAAGAGCAAGTTTTCGAGAATTTTACAGCTACTTATCTCACAACAAGAGTCTCAGAATCAGGACTAGGTCTGGAGGTATACAGTAAAATATTCCACTTCATTTTCCTAACTACGCTGCCAGGTTAACTGTGACGGCGTGGTACACTTAGGCTCTTTGGTATAATCTGTCACCTCCAGGCCTAGTAGCTTCAAAACAATAGTTTTAATGGCTTGGCTCCTATTCAGATAGACACTGATAGTCTTATATATGTTTTGCAAAAGCTTGTATAGTATTCGCTCGTTGGGGGTTGTTTAAACAGAATAATTTAATTGCCAAATATTTCCAGCCTATGCTTAACTTGATGCTTATCGCGAGAGGTCATGCCAATCAACCGATGATTATTCTTTCGTAAAAGAACAAACAATCAATTCACGCTACAGATGGTTCTCATTGGATGACTTTTAATTAACCTGCCTAAATCCGCTCTGCACACAACCTCAAATGAGCCCAGCTATCACATTTTATTCGAGCAGAAACAATATACTTCAATCCCCAAAATACGATCACTGCTTGTGTAATCTGGCGACGTCAGCTCAGTATCCTGGAGATGCTGGCTGCGATGGTATGCTTTTGCTCACATCATGCAGGTCCCTCATCTGCGTCTAAGGGTGCTGCCAGACCTGCAGGCCGAGCCCGGTGTTAAAGTTGCTCGGCTCTCCAACGGTACAGTCGCTTTTCGGACTAATGTAGTAGCAAACGACGCCATAGTTGCAAATTGTCAGAGTGCTGCCGGAAAGGTTCTCAAGCGCAATAGTTGAGTCCGACACAGTCATAGTGGCCCAGCCCGGAGCATTCGCGACCTGCTTGTTGCCACTCTGGACGAAGCTGGCGCTGGCGACTTGGCCGCAGCCCGCGCAGCCCGATTCGGCGACGCAGGTATCGGTAGCCAAAGCAGCAGGGAGGAGAAAGAAGACAGTGAGGAAAGACTTCATGATGGAGCTTCAGATCCGAGAATATCGAAAGACAATGATGGATAGTCAACAAACAACCTTGGAGGCGTGAGAAGAGAGAAATGTCACTCGGAGTTCAACGTCGGAAAATCGACTCACTTTATAGCTGAAGCTTCTAAGCCTACTCATTTGCTCGGATATCCAATGCCTTTGTGGCGCCTTAATCATGAAGAGGTGGATTTGAATAGGATTGATATCATTTTTAGCCGGGGTTGGTCTCGGAACAGCAAGAGCTTTCAGTCCGGGTTACCAAACCTGTTGAGAAGGTTCGTGGCTAAATTCCAAAAGCAACAGTGCCCAGAAACAATGTGACTTACTAAGGAGCCTACCTTGAAATGGAAGGAGGAACGCCAGCGAGTGGAGTCGATTGATGCAAATGGAGCAGGTTGTGTTGGCAAGAAAAGAGGAGAGAGAGGGGGTTACTTTCGGTGTAACGGCCATCAGCTTATAGAAGCCCCGTAACCGGAAACGGTTCTCAGGTACAGTACAAGCCCCGAAACCCAGAAATAGCTCTTGAGTACCAGCTCTATCTTCAGAAGCAATTTGTGGCTTCATGCAACCGCCAAAGGTTGCAGCAGCTATCCAAATACATTGAAAGACGGCTACTCCTTACAGTTTGTACCAGGAAGATCCTGTACATTTCAGGGGCTTCGCGATGACCACGTAGCATTATTCGCTACGGCACATACGGAGGATTCCCTGCATCTGGCGAATTCAATCCGGAAGGGCAGCTATAAGTGATCTATCAGTACTGTCTATTTGTAAATATGAAAAGTAGACTGATCGGTCCTCTCTTTCCTGCTCCTGTCCTTCCGGCTTGGCGCCCCACGTTCCCCGCTTACATCACCTGTCCCATTTTCCTTCCTCTTCTTTTTGAAAAGGAAGATTCAAGGCTTTGTTGATGGGAGAATGAAGATACAACCAGAGGCCCGAGGAGAGACTTGGAAACCGCGCCCTCGAGCGTCTTTGAAAATCAAGGTACACCGTGCGGGTCCCTCCGAAGAGAGGGGTTGCCTCGTATCGAAGCAAGATGCTCAATGGGCAAGACGCTGAGCGACATACGTGTTGCTTGTTGGTCATCTTTAGTGTGCCATTGAAGTGTACTTGATGATGGCCCTGGACTTGAATTCTAAACGTGGTTATGGCTTCTCAAAATATCGATCTCGTCTCTCGAATAGTAGTTCCACTGTCCTTCCCATGTCGACTAACTAGTTGATGCACTGAAGGTTTATATACACTAGAGGAGGGAACAGAGGACAAGTTCAATTTGAGTATCTTGTTGAGGCAAGCATCGGTAGACCTTTACTACTGTATCTTCCTTCTGAATGCCCACTTCTCATGGCGGGAAATTGAACATAAATTTGGCAGAATTCAGCACTCTCCGAAACCTGCTATCACATTTCTGTCCGCTAAAACTCTGAAAATCGGAAGATGTCAGCTAACAATCGTGCGATACTTTAGGGGTTGGCGGTGAGATGAATGAGTCAAGAGCTGTGCCCAGGAAAATCACGTCGTGGTTGTGGGAGTCAAGAACAGTGACAATCCACTGTGGGTCTGCTTTCTTCATGAAGCAGGTTTTAATTGAGATACTCCGGCCACGGAAGATTTGCTTCTCCCTCAAAGCGACGAAGGTCGCCAGTTTCGACGCCTTACCTCGCGAGAGGAGTCTCCAACTCGAGCGTGTCTTTGTATCAATAAGACGATATTTGTATGTATGGACAAAGTAAGCTGTTGACGATAACTATAGCTGCATGATTAAGATACATGAGTTCTTAGATACTACGGGAAAAATGCCTCCTTCGGTATTGTCCCTCTAACTCGGTAAATGATGGCTCGGCCTAGCCGAAAGCCTATGGCGGCAGGTTTCTGTAATGATCAGGTTACAAACAGGTTGCGATACGATAGTTTGACTTAGTTGTGAAGCCTTCTTTGGAGCATGATAACACTTCGGTCAATCTGAAAAGAGGCGATTGTCTTTTCTTTGTAACTCGCCTCGTTGACGTCAACCTTGTACCTTAGGCTTCCATCTCTACTATGGTTGTCTACTATGGTATAATGTTGGAGCTGATACATGGCGGAACGTGCTCGTACAGGTATTTACCATAGCCAACGCCTCGCATGCGGCCGCTATGGGCCACCTTGGACCGCCATGGGAGGCCTTGGAAGGCCGAAAGCTCCAGGATCCCACCGTCAGAAGAGGCTTCTGCCTTCTCTCGCTCACATGGGATTCTGTATTTCATCGGCTCACATCTTCACGGACCTCGAGTATCTCTTCATATCAGTGTCGCTAGTCGTGAAGACTCGGAGCAAGCGGAAGAAAAAGTCGCTCGTTGTTTCGTCGTTTGTAGTCAGAGGGGCAATAGTATTATTCCCCGTCCTTCTTTGATTTTCAAGTGGCTGACAAGTAATTCACAGCGTCTGCATTATACAGATTAGGACCACATCGGGCAGTACTGGATATTTCAGCTGTAGGCTTCCTCGCATCGCGTAAATTTCCATTGGGCATCGCCGACCTCAGAAATCACAGGGGACGACATTCCGTGCGCGATGCTCACCATGACGGAGCTCACCCCTTGAATTCTCGCAAAATCGATGGCGGTCTATCCCTCCTTGATGCTCTGGGCCAGTGGAAAGGGCAAGCAGGACTCTGGCGCGATCGGAACCTCAAGGAACAGTCTAGTGGAGAGGTTGACATAGAGAAACAATTTGGGATCAAGTGAAACCAATGGTCCCCTTATGGCTCCAGCGGAGGGGTACGACAGGTCGATGACAGTTACCCACGAGTTCGAACTGCTCACACATCGAAAGGTGCGCGGTAGCTCGAGTCACAATTCTGATCCGCCTGGTCATGACACCCATCATTTGTGTCCACAAGGGCGAAGATAAAAAATGGTTTCCCATAGAGCACTGTAATCGAATTTACTCAGGTTAACAAGTTGTACGCCTGGATCCAGAGATCCGCGCGATATTGAATGCTGCAGTCCAGCAAGAGTGGTAGAGGAGGGGCCCACAGTGTCGTGCCTCATTTAGTGAGGATTCCATGCCAAGCAGCGTATGTTGGCTCAGATATTGATGCATGTCGCCCTTGGCAAATATTATTTCATTCGACGCTACTCAAAAGTATAAGTACCTCGGCCTACAGCTCGACCTTGTTCATGGGGGCTTGAGAGAGCCTTGCAATTCCTTTCGTTCTTGGCTATGCCGCAATTCTTCAATTCCGCTGAGAAACAAAACGGCAACAGGGATTCCTTGCTAAATTGCAATCCGACAAAATTGACTTCGAGCACAAAGTCACGATATGTCGGTCTCAGACTAGTCTCACCGAGAATACGGCCTCGTCGTGCTTGGAGCCTCTGGTCTCACCGGCACGATGGTGTGCACGCACATCGCGGCCAAGTTTCCTACAAACCCCACATGGGCAGTCGCCGGCCTGGGGCGTCTCGAGAAGCTGGCAGCGAAGTTAAGAAAAGAGTACCCCGATCGAGTTCAACCAGGTCAGAATATGCAGTCATCGCGTTTGTAGAAGCTGACGAAAATACTGACTCACGTTAATCAGACCTCAAGGTTGTAGCGCCTGATGATACACAGTCGCTCGGAGAGGTCATTGGGGGGGGGGCCAAGGTGTGCATCAGCAGCGTTGTCTACGCAGTTGATGGAGAAGCCATCGTACGAGCGTGTATTGAGCAGCTAACTGACTACGTCGACTGGTCTGTTCTGTCTTCCTTCTTCACGTTTCATTAGATATGTCTAACAGTGATTCGCAGCGCCGAAGTTCCTACCCTGATCCGAGATTTGGTGGCCAATTACCACGAACAAGCTGTGGCGAAAGGTGTTGCGGGAGGTGGCACCACCAAATTGTGAACTTAGAAAGCGGCGATTGACAAGTTTCGTCAATGGTTGATTGAATCTTGCGGAGCAATGACGGGAGAAATGGACCTCGTCGCCATTCATGCCTGCCAGACAATTAAGCGAAAGTGGTCGGCACAGATGGGGAAGACGATGACCCAGAGCAGGTCCATCTATTCATCTACCAAACCCTCCTGTCCCTCTACCTCACGCCTCCACCACTGAACAAGCATGACCTCCCACTCGCCCTCGAACTACTGTCCAAACACGACTGTTGCCTCCCCGCCATTTCGATATTCTCCCTCAACCCGGACCCTATCCCCATCGACAGACTGTAGGCATGTTACGGCGGCAGCATAAGTTGTCCCCCCCCCCCACCCCGGGGCGCGGACCTATTTAGTATATCTCTATGATCTTGATTACCTTTCGTGCTGCTAGAGCTAATATGATTTGGACTTAATAAGATGGCACATGTGGTTCCAGACATCTCTCAACAGGCTGGATCGTATTAGGGGATGGTAGAGTTATCAAAGATGCAAGAGATCGCCAAGGGATGCAGACCCCGCATTCGCCAGAGGGCCAGCGTGTTTGTGTCACCACCTGTGAATAAATTTGATGACTGCAGTGTTTAAGAAGTACGATCATTCATGTTGTGAGATACGGATGTGATTGGGAGTAAAAAGTCGTATAAAGCTCCCTGGGATCTCTGGATAGTATTTCTTGTTCTCAATTCTCATTCAACCACTATGATCGTCAATCGTCTGGAGATTATGGCTACTAGTCCCAGCTCTGTACATTCACCTATCGCAGAACGCACTATTCGCCTACTTCAGCTCGAAGCAGGCTCAGCCGATGATCCCATCCGGATCTCACTTGAGTCGATATCACTGCACTCGAACCCCACCTGTGAAGCAATCTCATATTGCTGGGGTGATGCCAAAGCCCACCGAGACATCACCTGCCAGGGTTTTGCAATGTCCATCAACACCAGCCTTTGGGGCGCCCCGCGAGAATTTCGACACAGGTTTGAAAATCACTCACTTTCGGCCGATTCTGTATGTATCAACCAGCAAGATAAAAAGGAGAAAATGCGTCAAGTACGTATCATGCCGGAAGCCTATGCAAAAGCCAAATTAGTGCTGGTATGGCTCGATCCCATGGATGAGGCTGGTCTGCTTTCCAATGTCTACACATCTATCAAAGAGCTGCATGAGTTCTTTCCAAGCTTTGATGACAAGGTGATAGTTTCACCAGAGGCACGGCAGAATCTGGTAGCGGAGATGGCGCTTCGAGACCGCAGAGAGAGCTGGCCAAACACGGATGAATATGATTTGGAACCACTGGTCGAGTTTATCGGACGTCCATGGCTCACCCGCAAATGAGTAGTGCAGGAGGTTGCGGTGGCGTAAGAGGTGAGGTTGCATTTTGGCAATGGTGTCCAATTGCCTTGGGTGGCTTTGTCAAGCCTCGCCCTCGAAATCCTCTAACTGGGCGGGCTCCCTCACATTGTCAGGAAGATCGATCCAAAAGACCGCAGGGCTTTCGAATTGGGATTGTTTAATCTTGGCGTCATGGATCGAGTTCAAGATTTTCTCAAGGCCGGACACGGTACATTCGTTGACGCGGTAATGGGGACGAGAGGCATCTCATGCTCGAATCACCATGATCACATCTACGCAGTACTGAGCTGTGCCAGCGAAGGGCCCAGCTTAGATCCTGACTACACGCTGAGTGTTCAAGACACATTCAAGAAATTCACCCTGGTCATGCTGATACAGGAGCATAATCTGAAGGTGCTAAGCCTGGAACCTCAAGAAGGTGATCGAGCCCACCCCAGCGTTCCCAGGAACCGAGAACTGCCCTCTTGGGTACCAGACCTCCGCCGGCCCTCTGATCCCATGACGGTCACTTCGGTTGAGACGCAAACTTTTCACGCTGGAGGTTTACGTAAGCCGATGCTGAGCCTTTCCGACGATGAACGTGTTCTACGTTGTCGGGGGATCATTGTGGACGAAATAAAAGACTTCGTGCCCTCGTTACACGAGATGCTTAGGGAGAACATGCCAGACCTATTTAAGACATACTCCCCACTACCTGGCGCTGTCGATCCTTGCCTGCAAAGTAGTGTTCGACGCTCTCGTCGATGGATGCGGGCCTGCTATGATCTAGCTAACAGCCACGCATCTGTTGGTGCTGAAAAAGGCCGGAGAGACGCCTTCTCACGCACCCTACTCTGTACCGAGGGCGGTAGTACCAGCAGCAAAGAAATGGCTAAGAAGTTGAGTACCACCTTCGAATATGTGCAGTGGGTTCTATTCCAAGACTACACATCATGATCAAAACAGATGCATGTGTTGGATGAACTGTCACAAGCGAGGCCAAGGCTAGCGACGCTATGGGGCGGCATTGAAAGTGCAATGGCCGAGAAATGCGTCATGCGTAATTTCTCTGTCACGAAGGGTGGTCGGCTAGGGCAAATGCCTATAGGCACGGAAAAGGGCGATTTCGTGTGTGTTCTGTTAGGCGGGGACGTGCCCTTTGTGATCCGGCTAACGGATCACGACTCCCCCTATCATAGCCTGATCGGGGATTGCTTTCTGGATGGTATCATGAACGGTGAAACGCTAGTAGGGAGTAAATATGCCGCGAGAGACATTGCAATTGTATAAAATGGCAGGTAGACTCAAAGCGGTTTGATCATCATATGAAAGCAAGAACATCAACATGCTGAGGTCTGTAACGCGGTGGTCATTCGGCTCAAGTGTATTCAGATTGGCAAGATCGAAGACGAGATCGATTGATACATCAAGGTAATGGCCAAGACAAAAAGAAAGCTGTTGGACGTGAGGGTGTGGCGGATGGGGACAGCAATGGGACAGATAGACTACATATGTAGTCCAAATGCCCGCCTCCGGCCGATCCCCGTCTTTCGACGGTGAAGTTATTAATATCTTAATTAACTTAAAAATGCGAACTGTGCTCGCTCATATATTGAATATATCAGAATAAGGCTGTGAATATAGATGGACTCAAGCACATTCAATCCGACGGGATCGCACGCTGCCATTAGACTGCGAGCTGAGTATCGATAGCCGGCGCATCAACCAATCCAGGCCAGCCCAGTAAATGATGCTATCGTAGAAGGCGAACAAAATGATCCACTACCAAGCGCTCACGTACTACGGCCAGGTCTCCGAGGACGGCAACTTCTTCTTGTGAAATAAGGACTTCAAGGTCCGCACTCACAAAACGAACTTGTACAACTTGCCGTTCTACAAGGCAGCCAGCTACAACTGGGCTATTGGACGTTTGATGGACATTGACGGACGCTCACCTGTCGTGGGTAAACAAGTGGCTGGCCTGAACGACTCTCCAGATCATCGTAGCCCTCGCGCCGACAGAGCCAAGAGACAAGGGCGACCGGTATCACTGTGCAGCCAAGGCGCGATGGGACAGCTTGGAAAGCTTCATTCGAACAAGCTTTCCAGGGAGCTCGACCTGACAGCCTGGGCGGCGGGGCCGCCCACGCCCAGCCGGGCTGCGGGTGGCGAAACCGAGGCAACTACCGAGCCCCCCTGTTGTGTCGACCGATAGGCACGAACGGAAAGCCCAATATGGCAGGTCGCTGTCACCTGAGCACCACCGAGGTAGCATTTCTGCAACCGAACAAGGGCCTAGATTATAGCTTGCAGTTAAAGCTCGAAAGCTTGTTTTCATTCTGCATGAGTGCTCCACTGTTCCAGTAAGCCTTACTGGAACGACATCCAGATTGCATCAGATGGCTCGTTTCAACACCATCTTCAAAGACGTATGTGCACCAAAGATTGTAGAAAGTTTTACGAGAGACTTACGGACCATTCCTAAGCGGCTCAAGAATCGACCTGCTCTGCCCACTTTGACAATTGAGGAGCCATTCTTTGTCAGTATATGATGACTTTAATGGTAACGTCGGGGATCGTGCCAACTGATCTGCTGTGTGACTACAGGATGCTGTTTAAAGGAGAGTCGTAGACGTGGTGTTCCTGTCGATATCTTCTAACGAATATGTAAAAAATGGATTTATCTATCAAAGTACAGTTAATCACGAAGTGGTCGTGTCAGTTGCGGGGTGCCCTAGGATAAGGGTACATAATCGAATAGACACTGCGTTCTTCTGACAAGCGAGCGTTTCCTAATCTCTTTTTGGGTCCAATTCCATTAAGTAACTCTCTTTACAGAACATGGTTACTTGATGACGAATTCATTCACAGACTTGGGCCCTCCTTTCGGAGAGGAGCTTTGGAATTAGAAGGTGACATGATTTAAGCGCGAGCGTTGTCATACCCCCAGAAACACTAACGGGCACTAGTGCTCTCCACTGCAACTACATCCCAGTAGCTACCCGTATTCATGAAGCAATCTGAGATAAGCAAAATCCACTGTATAACTATGGAGAAAAGACTGAAGCTGTTGATTGATGTACACCTTCCTTTTCTGACAAGCGCTGACATGGGCCATCGATATCATGCCGAGGTGGGTGACTACGTATGCTTCAGGTACGGCCTGTGAGGTGCAAGACTACTCAGGTAGTATAAATACCTGCCTCGCATTTCGTTCGAGGATTGACTGTGCTCATTAAGTGATATCGCCAACTCACTTCTTTCACTTTTCCTCTGGGTTTTGTCGCATCCATTCACCATGTTGTTCGCCGGAATCCTATCTATTGCTGCCGTCGCGGTGTCCGCGGCGCCGCTTGAGAACAGGGCTGAGACGATCGTTTTGCCGTTGAAGAAACACTCCAACGTCACGTCGATCAACAACATTGTCCAGAAGGGTCATGCTCGCATCAGCGCGATCAACGGCGAGCAGTCCGCCCCTGCGACCCGTGCCGCTGATGCCAGCTCTGGCACGGTCACCAACGAGGACGTCAGCTATGTCGCCCCTGTCTCGATCGGTGGCACGTCTTATGATCTCATTGTCGACACTGGATGTGAGTTTCCTGCAAATGACCGCCAAGGCGCTTTCCACTGACGCAAAACGTTGTCCAGCTTCAAACACCTGGTGCGGTGCTCAAAGCTCCTGCGAGAAAAGTTCGACCGGCAAGTCTACGGGCGGTACAGTCTCTGTCAGCTACGGCAGTGGCTCGTTCTCTGGCACCGAGTACACAGACACGGTCAGCTTCGGCGGCCTCACTGTTTCATCCCAGTCGATCGGCGCCGCTTCCACCTCCTCGGGCTTCTCCGGTGTAGACGGCATCATCGGTTTTGGCCCGGTCGGTCTGACCGAGGGTACCGTGTCGAACGCCAACACCGTCCCGACTTTCTTGGATAACCTTAAGAGTCAGGGGTCCATTTCGACGGAAGCCCTCGGTGTTTACTTCAAGCCGGAGTCCGGAAGCGACACCGACGATGCAAACGGCGAGCTCACCCTCGGCGGCACCGACACTTCGAAATACACTGGCACGCTCACCTACTTTTCGAAGCTTACGAGCGGAACTGCTTCGGCATACTGGGGCATCTCCATTGCCAAATTCACGTACGGCTCGACGACACTTGCGTCGAGTGCCTCAGGCATTGTCGACACTGGCACCACACTGATCTATATCCCAAGCGCGGCCTACTCCAAGTTTCTCTCCGCCACCGGTGGCTCGACCGACAGCTCATCTGGGCTTGCTGTCTTCAGCACAAAGCCGACTTCGAACTTTGGCATCACATTTGGCTCCACGACTTACACTCTTACGCCAGCGCAATATCTGGTTCCAACCGCCCAGTATAGCGTCTTTGGTCTGACTTCCGGCAAGTACTACGCCTGGATCAACGATGGTGGCAGTTCAGGTGTCAACACCATCATTGGCCAAAAGTTCCTGGAAAACTACTACTCCGTCTACGATACTACAAACTCGCGCATCGGCTTCGCCACTGCTGCCTAGAGATAAGAACTCGTCCGGATTGGTCCTTGTGGATCTCACGCAGTACATATCAAACTTCTAGCAAGATTCGGTCCACGAGATCATTACTGCAGACCATGTGTAGGGGCTCTTTAACTTTGCCCTCGACCTTTCTTTCATGTAGTATTTTCTATAGTCCTAGCCTAAAAGAGTACTAGTGAAGAATGAACAAAGCCATAACTCTCTGCTGCATTTCACAATTCAGGGACATTACAGCCGAGCTTCTTGCTTGATACAATAAGGGTCCCAGCCCCAACATATTCTGATGTCAATACTTGCTCGTCCGCTCTACTGACAATTGGCCTGTATCTATGTATATTTGCATGTCCGTGTCGGAAACAACGGAATATATGTTCACACTGACAACGCACGGCAAAGATCAACTAAGCACCCTTCTACATATCATCGCGGACAACATAGTATCGAAGCACTCTCAAGCCACAAATTTGCCTCATCGCCTCGCCTTGCAATTCTAACTCTGCAAGTATACCAACGCTTCAGTATACTCTATTCTAAACAATTTTACAACACAGCATCGCTAGAAACCGGGTTGCCTATCAAAAGATGGAGGCTTTTGCAACTTTGATTTCCAAAACGTGAATCTTGATCTAGGGAGACTTAAAACACGAGCCAGGGGTCTGTGTTCAAAAGTGATTAGGACTTCACGTAGCAAAAGGTATCAATCGTACGCTGATGGAAGAGATGTCTAGCGAGGTTGGGAGCTACTGTTAAGTGAAGTGTGAGTAAAAACCACTGATCGATTTTAGATGCCTCTCGCTTTTTGCCCCACTATAGTGGATAAGACCCTATGCAATAAATGCCCCGCGACCCTACAAAATCCTCACATGCCCACCCTTGTGCCTAACTGCCCAACATCACGTCGCGACCACAACTATAATTGACGCGAAATAGCGCACTCACAATGGTCTCTCCGTACCAAGACCCGGTCTTGAAATCGACCAGTTTGAAGTGGACAATTTATGACGACCAGTCAGGTCGCATTCACCCACACGAACCACTCGAGCGTTACACTCCAGGCGGTTTTCACCCAGTTGCCCTAGGAGACACGTTCAAAGACGGTTGCTATGTTGTAAGACACAAGCTTGGTTACGGTGGTTTCTCAACAGTTTGGCTTGCCTCAAATGAGCAAAACCCCGAGTCCACCCACCGTTATGTGGCCATCAAGATCAAGAGCAGCTCCTCTTCGAATATGGGTATCGACGCAGATCCAGAGGTTGTCAGGTTGATAAAGCTGGAGGAGCATTACTTGCAAGGCCGGCAGGACAAGCCTAGACCATTTGTGCAGCTTCTAGACCGCTTCATTCATGAAGGCCCTAATGGGCGCCACAACTGTCTGGTCACAGAGCTGCTTGGCCCATCCCTTGCTAGCGTGTGCTCCCTCTATGCGGAAATTGAGCAATTCTTGCGCCCCGAAACCATCATGCGGGCTTCGAAGCAACTCCTTTATGGTGTGGACTTTATACACCAGGCTGGCTTGGTGCATGGGGGTAGTAATATTCCTCTCCATTTTCAGCCTGTAACTGAGCTGACCGACGTGACGTATTAAGACATCTCAGCGGCCAATATCGCCTTCACGTGCAAGTCGTTGCTGGAAGATGAGGATGATGACCTGTTGGATCTGTTGAGTGAGGTTTACGTGGCGAAACCCTGGCCCGACAAGACCCTGCCGTCGCCCCATCTTCCTAACCAGTTGGTACAGACTGCAAAGTGGAGGCTGTGGGAAGACGAAACAGAGGAGGACATTCGTCTCGTCGACTGGGGCTCTGCATTTGCATTTAGCGAGACTGTGTCTCTAGAGGCTATGGCGCAGCCAGTTGATCTGCGAGCACCCGAGACATTTTTCATCGGCAAATTCGACTACCGCCACGACATATGGAGAACCGGTTGTGTAATGTACATGTTGTTCTATCAACAAAATCCCTTTTGGGTCTACTCGGCCGACAACCACTTCTATCTAAGCCGGATGATGAGAAAACTCGGTCCTCTACCTGAATCCTGGCTGCCCAGACTTACTGAGCTGCGGAAGGAAAGTGGATATGCCGAAGGAGATGGTGAGTGAGAACGAAATCGCAATGTCTCTGTGCCCAGCCATCACCTCAAGAGATATGCTAAAATAATCCTCGACTACAGACAAACAATATGACATAGTAAGGGGTGACTCACAGCTGATCTGTGATACCTTCGAGCCACGACGTCAAGCAATCATCTTGGAGTTCAGTAGAGATGATCCAAAATATGAGCCGGATGAGCACACAGGATACGACTTTGAGGCCTTGAAGTCTCTCCGTCGACCAATGCTAGCTTTACTTCCATTTGAGCCCAAACACCGCGCCACGGTGAGAGATTCGTTGGAAATGATCGAGTGGATTGACCATCGCCGAGAAGACGTTGGTGGCGACGTTCATAAGGAAGGCGAGGATGATGATAGAGAAGAGGACAAGGGAGAAAGTGGCCGGAGTCGAAAAGATCGACGAAAATGAAAGAGGTGATAAATTGATATATGCTACCCATTCTACCTATTCTGCCTTTACGAGGGTGCTATCTTGGTCGCCTACGAAGAGGTCAACAGGTTGCATTCAAAGATGAAGCTTGAATCAAATCTTCATTGGCTCGCATCAAGCATTTCGAGCCGAAAATGGAAATTTCTCTGGCGAAAAGCTGTTGCAGTGTCAGACGAGTCCGTCAGGTACGACACGTACCTTGTGTGGGATGAGAACAACCGGCACTAATGTAGTCGTAAGCTTGAATTCCTGCAATGTATCTCAATCCCCCATCAATGATGAGCTCTACCGCGAAGGTTTGTTAGCATAAGCAAGGCCAATATGTGCATGAAAGCCCTAGGTAATGTAGTGTCTTTGGCATCGGTCATTGTAGTGGCCACAGGTGGATCAATCACAGTCGGCGAGCTTGTCGAGTCAGTACCCTGCCGTTGAGGATGCCACATTGAAATGCCATTGGGATAGCCACCAAGCAGGTTTTTGAGCTTGACAAGGACACCAACAATTCAAGTACATTCAGGACACAGTATCCATACTTTGATATGCTTCTTGTCTCACAGGTGGCAGCTCACATGACACATTGCGAATGACTGGAGGGACGAGATCAGAAGAGACATGGTAGCGCAGATGTGTACACTCGCACTGTAGACTAATTTTGAACATGACGCTCGAGTATTGACCTCGGCTAGCCAGCTACCCCCTTGCAGCGACCCAGCCAATCAGCGCCGTACCTAATCCGCTGACAAAGAGAGTTTGTGGTAGCCCGTAGCAAGTAAACATCGGATCCATCCGCCCTGCCTTTCCTTGGCGACTAGCTTGGTCTTTCATCTTCAAACGCAATGCTCACAGATCCGGTCCATCCTTACTCTGAGGTTACTAGGTTACATTTGTAAGGTCATGCAGGCTTACCATGTCGACAAGCCCTTCCTCATCCGCGGTGGTCCCCACCAAGCGAAAACATCGGCCGGGACTGCAACGGATCCAAATCGCATGCGAAAGATGCCGTCTCAGGAAGAACAAGGTGTGTGTCATCGACTGTTTTTCTATCGTGTTGTACATTCCATATAGAGAAGCTTAAAAATCAATGCCTTACACGCAACAGTGCGATGGCAAGCTGCCTGAATGTTCGACTTGCCAAAAAGCTAAAGTGCCATGTATTGTCGTGGATCGAATTACGCAGCGCCAACAACCACGTGGTCACATCGAGGAGTTAGAAGCAGAGATCACAAATCTCAAAGAACGTGTCCGCCAACTGGAATTAGATATCTCGGTTCGAGACTCTGAATTGGCATCACTGAAGCAGAATACTGGCACGCCTCCTGCTTCTACTGCCGGAATCCCAGCCGCCAATTCTGCCACCCCATGTCTTCTTTCGGACTCGGATCATGACCGAGTGCGACGAGAGGGACCAGTCACTCAAAACAGGTCGAGCTGCACATCTCCACTCTTGGCGCAGGTTTTGCTCTCACAAGCTGCAGCTTCGCAGGAGATTCCCACCACCCCAGGAGGTCCGGGTGCGGGGGGAAGTTATAGTGGAACAGCTGGAGCCACGGAGACGACTGTCAAACTCAGTGTTTCCTCATCACTGCCCCCACAAGACACGGCCAAACAGCTCCAAGAAGCCTACTTTACTCTTAGATGGCCAGCATTACCAGTACTTCATCAGCCCACCTTCGTGAAGCAGCATTACACCAACGTAACTCAACTTGGTAATTCTGCGAGCCATGTATCTATTTTCCTGACGTTCATGGTCTTCGCACTGGGTTCCATTGACACCAAAGCGCAAGAGCTCACCTTTCCAGACGCCCATCTTGACTTTTTCGATGTGGCCATGCAACATATGTCCGGCTTGATTCATGCAAATAGCCTAGAGACGGTCCAAGGGTTGTTACTAATGACCGTGTTCGCTGTGAATGAACGGCGGAGAATCAATTCTTGGCACGGCATTGGGCTTGCCGTGCGGACGGCAATCGACCTGGGATTACATAGGGCTTCTACGTCGTCCTCATCAGATGTTATGATGATGGAGATGCAGAGACGGGTCTTCTGGTCAGTATATGCGCTGGATCGCAATGTCTCCATATCGCTGGGCAGACCTTGCTCCATAAGCGATGCAGATTTCGACGTGCCCCTTCCTAGATGTCATTCTGATGAGGACCTGGAGACCATATGCTTCAGCGCGACACCACTTGAAGACCAGCCTAGGAATCCCCGAGACCTGTCTACATTTCTGCACACAGTCGAACTCCGGCAGATCCAGTCCAAGATACAAAGAACACTTTACCCTGTGAAGATGGCCAATGCCATAGACACCGTCCTCCTGGAGCAGGAGCGATATTCTCTACGACTTGCACTCGATGACTGGATCGCAAGAGCCCCGCGCTACTCCAAACCAACACAAGCAACGTTTCAGTCGCCCGACTGGTTCCAGATTGCTTATTCGCATGGCCTACTCCTGCTGTATAGGCCATCACCAGCCTGCCCAATAATCAGCTTGGAGTCTTTACAGATCTGTGCAGATTCTGCCATAAGCCTGATCAGTTCATACTCCTCACTTTACGCCAAAAACAAAATCACATATACCTGGATTGCCCTGCAGTCCCTGTTCATGGCAAGTGTGACCATGCTATATACCCTGTGGGTCAGCCCTGAAATCCGCAAAAGTACGAGAAAGGTGGTGGTTCAATCAAATGTCAGGTCCTGTCTAGCTTTATTCGATGCCATGGAGGACCACTGGCCATTAGCACAAAAGTTTTACAGTATCATCGACCGCCTGGGACAAGCCGCCGTGGGCCTATTCGACCCCAACAATGACGCTCCCTCTCCCCTTTCTTCTAATCTAAACAACGCGGCTCACTTTCACCAGATCGACGCGGAATACATGGAGTGGTTCGGTACTCGTCACGCTTCACAGCTGCAGGTGCCGTCGCTGGAAGCGTGCCCCGCCGGCGTCGACGGAATGAACGCAGCAATAGAGACTGTCCTCTCAGATCCGGATCTGGCGGCAACCTCATTCAACCAGACAGATCTCTTGCCCGACTGGGGCGACTGGTTTCGCGTCGGATTTGACATGACGATTCCGTTGATGACGAATGCATTTAGTGGCCGGCCGGTTTGAGACCGTAAGTATGGCAAAGAGGCAACAGTACCATATCTAAAGCTTTAGCATATGAGAATTAAGTCAAATGACACAAGAGCCTTACCCCTCGGCGTTCCTTACCAAGAAGCCTGATAAGGAACTTATTCTACTGTTTCCAAGCTACATTTACATAATGCCAGTGAAAAATCAAAAAGGTCATAGGTTGAATTGGGAATAATGGTATTCCTTCAAGTTATGCGTGAGAAGGTCGCTTGGCTTGAGTTAAGAACGCTCCACCGCATGCTTAATCGGTCACGGCCTTGGCCGGTCCACAGTTGAGTCAACTTCCCCGCGAGTGCTTCACTAGAAGTTACTTGTCGGATGCATCCGAATATTCAAGTCCAGCAGTATTACGAGAAGAGCCGTTACCATTTTAGCTCTTCGCCCTCCCAATACGTTTGTTCTGATCATTTCACCTCCTGGTCGAGAACATAGCTTCGCAGCTAAGTCACCGATTACATGTGAACATCATGTCGAGCACAATTGTAACTCCGGGTCAATTGATCAGCAATAGTGGTGTTAGGCTTGAAAAGAAGACTATTACCTGGAGTAGTCTCGCAGTAGGCGCTGCGATGAACATCTTCCAGGTATCTACGCTTGGTCAGCCTCTAGAAAATGTCAAGACTTATGTCAGTCTCCCAATGCCCCAAATGATCAATTTTACTTGCACTGATTAGATCAGGTGTCAGCAAACCGTAACGCAACTTTGAAAGAAGCAGCAACCGCTATTTGGGCTCGTGGTCCGATCAGAGGCTCCTATCAGGGACTTCTCCCATGGGTATGTAAGCTGTCCAAATTCAATACTGTTTTTATAGATGTATTGATCAAGATAGGCCGTCATTGAAGCCACTACCAAGGGAGCAATATTGATTCTCACGTCTTCCGAGGTGTCTTATCTCGCGTCGAACAATCTTGGGCTCGCTCCCGCAATAGCCGCCACGATGGGAGGCGTGGCAGGGGGTGCCGCTCAGTCGTATTTGACCATGGGCATGACCACGTGCATGAAGACCGTAGAGGTCACGAGGAACAAGGAGATAGCTAAGGGGACACGGGTACCCGGTACTATGGAGACGTTCTTTAACATTCTACGCACCCAGGGCATTCGAGGGGTCAACAAAGGTGCCAATGCAGTGGCTCTCCGCCAGATTACGGGTTGGAGTAGCCGTATGGGCATATCCAAAGCGGCGGAAGGGCCAATTCGGACACTTAAAGGAAAAAGCAAGACGGACAAGCTGACTGTGTGGGAGAAGATCGCAGCCTCCACGGTTGGTGGCGCTTTGAGCTGTTGGAACCAACCTTTCGAGGTGAGCAACTTTGAAGAACGCTATCATGACGAGGAAACTAATATTGAAACCAATAGGTTATCAGAGTCGACATGCAAGCTGTGAAGAAAAGTTCGCATGTAGCAACGCCCTCTATGGTATCCACGGCAAAACAAATATGGCAAACTAATGGTATCCGAGGATTCTTCCGAGGCGTTGTACCAAGAATCGGAGTCGCTTCGTGGGCAACGATATGCATGGTTGGACTCGGTGACCAAGTACGCCAGAGACTTGCGAGTTGAGGTCGAACTGGTTGAGTTTGGAAGAGAAAAACTCAAAGTCAGGTGGAAGCCGGCCTGAACCGTATTGCTGATCTTGCTCCCGAGGACGCAGAAAGCCGCCGCAAAAGAGTTCTAATTATTGCAGCGCAGCATGAGTCGAATTTTGACATACTTGAACACCTTGATGATCCGCATGCTGCTGGGTTATTTTGGATGCGCAGACCAAGCGCATTTCCGACCAGTGCCGTGTAGGATCGGTTTTCATGAATGTCCATGTCTTTGCATTATACAGATCCTTGGAAGATGCCGTTGTCGCCAAAAGAAATATCTTCAAACAGTGCATTAGTAGGAGGGCTCAAGTCTCGTCCACTGATGCATGGATGGTTGCGAGCGGAGGAGTTGGCAAAAAATCGGAAATGGACCAGACCCCTGCTGACAAGGAGCTTTTGAAGAACTACTTCGGATGCATCCGCAAACTCTCCCTGCAACAATACCCAGGGCCCCGGCACTCCCGAGCTCCGATCGGAACAAACAAGCAGACAATGTTGATACAGGAAATTACCTGTCGCCTTTTTATCAATAACGCGGCCCAATTGCTCGTCCGTGTCTTTTGCGGACGCGCGCCTCTTGCTTCCCCCATCCCCGTCTTTATCTGCCCTTTGAGTTGAATTGGCCAGCATGCATCCTCCAAGAGTACTACGGCTTACGCAGAAAAGATGGTTAGCCTTAGCGTCGAGATCGAAGTTCGCAACCGCGAGCCCGCGGCTACTGTCTCGTGTGCCAATGAGCCGCTTTGATCAAGACCGAATCTTTGACTATGCAGCTCTTGGTGACAAGATACAGCTAGTCCGGCAACGGTGCGTCCATAATGAACCTATTCAGCATCGCCAATGACTGGACTGACGTGATGGTAAGGCTCAACCGTCCATTGACGTACTCTGAGAAGGTGCTCTACAGCCACCTTGATAATGTGCACGAGGCGGACATCCGCCGGGGCGAATCGTATCTGAAGCTGCGCCCCATCCGGATAGCATGTCAGGATGCTACGGCGCAGATGGCTCTCATCCAGTTCATGTCCTCAAACCTTGACAAAGTCGCAGTGCCAACGACTGTTCACTGTGACCATCTTGTAGTTGCCAGGGATGGAAGCAACACCGATCTTGCCACCGCCAATGACGCCAACCAGGAGGTCTACGACTTCTTGAAAAGTGTCTGCAAGCGTTACGGGGCTGGATTTTGGAAATCCGGAGCCGGAATTATCCACCAAATTGTACTCGAAAATTACGCCCTGCCAGGTGGTCTTATGATTGGCACAGATTCACACACACCCAATGCAGGCGGACTGGGTATGGCTGCCATCGGCGTCGGCGGTGCCGATGCTGTAGATGTCATGGCCGGCCTCGCGTGGGAGCTGAAAGCTCCGAAGGTCATTGGTGTCAATCTCACAGGGAGGTTATCAGACTGGGCATCGCCCAAAGGTAAGTGAACAAGCATCGTCACCCAAGCAAGGCTTTCTGCTGACTTATGTGCGCAGATGTTATTCTCAACCTTACAGGTCAACTTACCGTCAAGGGAGCCACGGGTTCCATCATTGAATACTTCGGCGACGGCGTGAACTCTCTATCATGCACTGGCATGTCGACCATTGCGAACATGGGAGCAGAGACGGGCGCGACCACCTCAATATTCCCCTATACTGAACAAATGGGCGAATACCTCGATTCTACATCCCGGTCGAACATAAGAGCTTCTGCTGAAGCATTCGCGCCTAATTTGAAAGCAGACCCCAACGCCGAGTACGACCACTTAATCAATATCAACCTCTCCGAGATCGAGCCGTTCATCAATGGACCTTCCACACCTGACTTGGCGACGCCATCGTCCAAATTCAAGAGCGAGGTCGAGAAGCACGGCTGGCCAAAACAAGTCAGTGCTGGGCTGATTGGTTCTTGCACAAACTCGTCGTTCGAGGACATGACCAGGGCAGCCAACCTTGCGAAACAAGCTCTCGCGGCGGGGTTGAACCTGCAGGCTCCCCTTTTCATTTCACCAGGTAGCGAGTCCACGCGGGCGACTCTGGAGGAAGCGGGTGTTCTTGATGTTTTCGAAGATGCGGACGCGACAATGTTGGCAAACGCCTGCGGCCCTTGCTGTGGGTCCTGGGACAGGACTGACATGGAAAAGGTCGGTACAAATGCCCCGTCTGCTGTGGCTTACTCGCTGACAAGTAGCAAGGGAACACCAAACTCGATTGTCACTTCTTTTAACCGAAACTTCACCGGCAGGTTGGATAGCAATCCCGCCACAAGCATTTTCTTGGCGTCTCCGGAGACCGTCATCGTCAAGGCTTTCTCTGGCAAGCTCGACTTTGACCCTAGGACTGACTCGATTGGGGACTTCAAGTTCGAAGCGCCTACTGCGCTTCCACTTCCTAAAGGCGGTTACGCTGAGGCAGACCATGTTTTCACCGCACCGCCGGCGAATCGTGGCGATGTAGAGGTACTCATCGCGACAGACTCACAACGAATCCAGAGGCTCGCGCCTTTTCATGCCTGGGATGGCGCAGACTTTTTCGATCTTCCAATCTTGATTAAGGTCGAGGGTAAATGCACGACGGATCATATAACACCAGCTGGACCATGGTTCCGCTACCGCGGACACCTGGAGAACATCTCAAACAACACCCTGATTGGTGCGGTGAATTCGGAAAACAAAAAGGTCAACAGCATCCGTAATGTCTTCACCGGCGAGTATGGCACTGTTCCGGAGACAGCTAAGGACTACAAGCGACGGGGACAGCGATGGGTCATTGTCGCAGACCACAACTATGGTGAAGGCTCCTCTCGCGAGCACGCCGCTCTCCAACCTCGGTTCTTGAACGGAGTGGCCGTCATCGCGAAGTCCTTCGCGCGAATACACGAGAGCAACCTGAAGAAGCAAGGTATGCTGCCCTTAACCTTTAGCAATAGCTCAGACTACAATCGTCTCGAGCCGGATGATCGGGTGAGTCTTGTCGGGCTAGGTCAACTTGCCCCTAACCGGCCCGTAACGATGGTAGTGAATGGCAAAGACGGAAAATGGGAGACAGCCCTCGAGCATACATTCAATGAGGAACAAATTGACTATTTTCGAGCCGGAAGCGCATTGAACTTAATGGCGCTGAAGGCGAGTGACTGTAAGGAACGTGCAGCATCTACCTAGGTAGCATATATAGACGTTTCTCCATGGCATCGATTGATTGATACGTTAGTCGAAGTCCTTGGGACGAAATCTTTAATCAAATAGTACCGAGTACCATTGCTTCAATCAGAAGCCGGCCCGCTCATTACTTTGTTTCATTGTCTTTAAGCTTGGCTGTCAACTGTATTGTGACGGGCCTGCACGCGCTTCAGGCCAAAGTACGGGCTTAGATTGACATTGAGCCCATGGCATAAGGTTCCGCTGTGGATTGCTGGGGTAAAGTTCACAGACCCAGCTCTATCTAGGTACCAAGGCACATCCTGCTGCAGCAGAAGATACTAGTACATCTTTCTTGCTTGTTTCATTCTGGGCCCTCTGTGATGCGTCCTGAAGCTATTCCCACGAAATCTCCCTTTCTTAGATTGTCAAAAGGCTATTACGCACGTCTTCCTGGCGCCAATAGAATGCATCTGGTCAGATTCTAGAGACAGAGTCATCACTGTAAGCATCATGGACCAAACCGCACGTCTTTTTCCTACGAGCATCTGAGAGACATGATTCGCCGTGTAGAATCAGTCTAAGAGAAAGTCGCCAGAAGTCTCTTTTTAAAAAGACTGAGGACATCAAAATATCAGAAAGCGATTGGTTACCTGTTAACTATTAGCACCTTTTACCGCATCGCACGTGCAACATCTCCCGTTGATATTCAAATACTTCTCATTAATATTATTAATTATAAGAGAGAAAACATGAGTGGACACAATTGAAGACGAAAGAAAAAAAAGAAGAAAAAAACAGAGAAAACATGAGTGGACACAATTGAAGACGAAAAAAAAAAAGAACAAAAAAACCTTAACATAATCATTTTATTACAAAAAGATCGGGAAAACCAGAACCTCTAGCATCATGGTCCTACCTCCCTCTCCAACAACAAGGCAATCTCCACCTACTCCTTCTCATTCTCCTTCTCCCCCGCGGCAACAGCCACAGTAGGGATCGAAAAGGCCCATCCCATCTCCCCAACAAACAATTTCTCATCTGTACGCGCTGATGAATCCTCATCCTCCTTCAAAAACTCCAGCACGCGACCCCTCCGCATAACGCTGCCTAGCAACCTTTTCGTTAATTTCGCCTCAAAGTCCCGAACCAGCAACGGGACAACATGCGTGAGCAGCCAGGCAAATACGGCGGCAATGACACCCCGGTCACGCGGATGCGCACACTGCCGGGTCACCGTCCCGCTGATGTTGACCACGTCGGCCACATCGTCGTCCACGCAACGTGCTTCTGCGTAGCTTGCAAAGACGCCGTCGAGTTGAGCGGTCGAGGGTGATGGCGATGACGAGCCCATCACCTCGGCGCGAAGCAGCGACACGAGCGCGCACACGTCGTTGACCCCGGAATTGAATCCCCAGCCAAAGTTGGGTGTCATTCGGTGGACAGCGTCGCCCGCGAGCACAACACGGCCACCCTGCGCAGCAGAGAGACGCCAATGTCTCTGCGGCAGCACACCCTCCAGCTGGTCTGCCATGCCACAAGCTGTGCGCGTCGGCCATATATCGCCGAAGGGCAGGCCCGGCAGTAGGTGTATTTGAGAAAACCGCGCCGCCATCTCCTCCTGATCTTCCTTCGTGTACTTCTGGCTCTCATCGCGCGTCCCGTCAAGCTGCTCGTACAAGAAGAACCAGCTGCGGCCATCACGCGCCGTCATAAACATAATGCTGCGCTCCGACCCGTGGCTCTCCGCATTTGAGTTCGGCGCGCAAGCCTCCGGCGCTGGGCATGTTCCCCACAGGCAGCGGTACTCGGCTTTGTACGGCCGTTCCGGCAGAAGGCACGCCTCATCCTCGCCGCCTTCTTTCGCTTTTGACGCCGAGATCATCAACTCACGCATCAGCCCCCTTGTCTTACTATGCACCCCATCCACCCCCAGCACCATACTGCCCCGCTCCACCCTCCCATCCTCACACCGCACCGTCACGCCCTCCTTATCAACCTCAATCCCACACACCTTATGTCCCGCACACAGCCTCTCCTCCCTAATCTCCGCCGGTATCCCCTCATACAATACCTCCACCAGCTCCTTTCGGTGGAAATTCCACGGCGCCGCGCCAAACAGCCTCCGCTGCGTCGCGCTGGGGAAGCCTCGACGGTAGACGTTCCCAGCATAATCCGCCGAGCTGCGCGTCTCGACGGGGCAGGACTTGGCCGCCATGGCGCCGTACAGGCCCAGCTGGTGCCATACGCGCTGGGTAGACGCGTAGGCGACGAGGCTAGCGCCTTCTTCGGGGGTGAAGGTGGGCCGGGCTTCGAGGACGACGAAGTCAATGCCGGCGGACAGGAGGGCGTGGGCGGCGGTGAGGCCGACGGGGCCGCCGCCGACGACGATGACGCGGAAGGGCTGATCTTCCATTGTGAAAATTCTTGGGAGGTTGGAAGAGGGAGGATGGAGGTTTGGGAAGCCACAACGAACAAGGAGTTCTTTTGCACCTATATCTACATTTGTATGGGCGGTGGAGTGCTTACGAAGAGCATTCCCTCGCGTGGGCCGCTTAGACGCGACTCCGCCGTGGATCTGCACCTTAATAGATGAGGCTCTTTTCTAGGGGCGGGCTAACGGTGGAGTCTTATAAAACCCCTTTTTCGGTTCTTTTATCCAACCCCAGGAGTCAACGATGGACGAAAAGCAGACGATGACTTGGCGGGTCCTCAAGAGGTGTCACGGGACATGACAAGAGCACAACGCTTTCTTCTTTCCATTTACAAACTATTTACAATACGGAACAGCAGCTATCATGTTATCTACCACGCGCGCGACAACTGCGAGAAGAATAAGATCTCAGGGGCCCAGATCTAGCACTCCGGGATGTCGGCAATCTCCCCATTACGACGAGTACTCGTCGATAATTGTGTCAGCCACCTTCTCCACGAGCTGGTGGATCCATAGGATCGGGAAGAAGCCCGGCAGCTTATTGCAAGCACTCAAGTCAGACACACGCAGACCATCGACACCACGCACACGCAAGTCCCCATCCAGCACGGCCATCGGGTCATCGTCCGACCCAATGGGGGCCGAGCACGACGCATGGTGGCCCCAGCTCTCGTCCTTCACAAACTGGTCGAGGGCCTCGTCCGTGACGTCGGCGCCCGGCCATACCTCGTCGAAGGCGCCGTGGAAGATCTCATCGACGCCGCTAGCTAGAGAACCGCTAGTGCCAGACAGGATGCCGCCGATAGGCAACACGTCCTTCATGATGGCGCGCGCGTACTCGTACCCTTCGCGGATGGCCTGCAGGTCGAGAGCGGCCTCGGATTCGTTGAGGAACTTGCGAAAGTTGATGATGGGGGTGTCGCGCGGGTCGGCCGACCGCAGCTCGACGGTGCCGTAGTTATTGCGCTGGTGTGCCTTGAGGATGATCCATGCCCAGTGCTGCGCGTCGGCTGTGCAGCCTTGAGACCAGCCTGAGTAGTAGCCTGTGAAGTTGGCGGGGCCACCGAGGACCATCAGGTCGGGCTCACCGCGGGCACTCGTGGTTGTGTTGCGGATGACGGAGATGGCGATGCCGTTGGAGGCGTAGGCGCCGCGAGCGGTCTGGTCGTTGCCGTCGACATATGTCTTCATGCAGGGGTCCAACTCCGGATCAGGGTGCCACGTGCACTTTTCAGTCAAGGCAAAGGGTGTCTCCGTCTTGGACACCATGGTCTGCTCATACCGATCCTGCAGGTTGGTGCCAACGCCGGGCAGGTCGAGCACAACGTCAATGCCAAACTTCTCCAGCTCGGCCTTGGGACCAACACCCGACAACTTGAGGATCTGAGGCGTGTTGTAGGCACCGCCGGCAACAATGACTTCCTTGGCCGCCTTGACGTGACCAGTGCCCTGGGGCTGAGCTGAGCCGCTGCGAGGGTCAGCGCGGTAGAGCGATGCGCCCGTCATATACTCGACACCGGTGGCGCGGGGCTTGTCCCCGTCCGTGTCGAAAGTGACCTTCGTGGCGAGCGTGTCCAGCATGATATCAAAATGATACTTGCGGCTGCCGTCGGCGTTGGTTGCCATGGCAGTGTCGACGATGAGGTCGTACACGCCACCCCGGCGCGAGTCGTCGCGCATCACAAGCGGTACCTGGTAGACCTCGGGAACCATGGTCTGACCGGGCGCGTTGAGGTCGCTGATCAGCACGCTGGCAAGGTACGTGGCCGTGTCGAGGACCTCGCTGATGAGCGACTTGCCGAAAGCAGTACACGCGGCGGCAAGAACAGACACAATCTTGAGATCCGTCGCCGCCGTCAGCAGCGAAGTCACCTGCATCGGGTACCAGCCTCCCTTGCCAGCGTCAGCCGAGTGCGGCTCGTACGCGACATCAGTGATGCGTGTCAGGTACTGGCGCATGTTGTCCGACTTGTACGTGTCGTCGCCTGTCAGCTCCGCCATGTCGTCCCAGTCCATGTCGTAGGGCTGCATGCTAAACAGGGCATTGTGTCGCGAGCAACCGCCCAGTGCGCCCGTGCGTGGATAATAGATGCCCAGCGGCTCAGCGCCCTCAGGGATCTCGGCCGACGTGGCGGGTGTGCCGAGGTTGCCCGTCTGGTTGTACGACGACCACATCTTGCCGTCGGTCGTGTTGTAGACCATCTTGCTGTCGCGCTTTTCCTCCTCGATGTCGTCGTACTTGTGGATGTAGTAGGCCCACTCCATGCTCCAGTCCTCGGTCGAGGCAATGTTCATGGCGGGAACCGACTGGATGAGATCCTCACCATTGTCACCACCTGCCTCGATTAAGAGCACCTTGAAGCCGGCGATGGCGAGATTCGAGCACATGTGCCCACCACCGGGTCCCGAGCCGATACAGACGAAATCGTACTCGGTCGTCGTGTTGCTCTGAAACTCATGGCTGTACTGCCTCTTGTGAACGAAGGGGTTGTGTCGAGGCACCGTCATTGAAGTAGCCACGTGCGCGAGGAGCGCGCCGGCGGCCACTCCCTGCGTCATACGCATGATGATGGCTTCTTTTTGACAGGAACTGGGGGAAAAGGATGCTAGAATAAACCACAGATGTGGCTGAGAGAATGAACGGCTTGATAGCCTGGGGCGTGAAGCTTGCGGGTGAAAAGAGTGACTGGCTTCGGCGTTGGGATGGGCACTTTCACCAAGATGCCTGTGATGGTCGGTCGCTTCCTGATTAAGTACCTGAATGCTTCGGCGGCGAAAAGAACAAGGCGGCTTCCATGAGGCAAGCGGTTCTCCCACCCCCTACTCTCTATCTCGGAATTTCCTGACTTTCCCAGCTCCTGAAGTCCCCGTCGATCACCATCTCGCAACTATAGTCTAGCGCATCTCGCCCACCTAGAACACGATTTTCGACTTTTGACGGAGTTGTGGAAAAGCGCCCCGTCGTGTTGTCGGGTGTCCACATGTATGGGCATTGTCCATCATTGCCCCACCTTTGCCGGCATCGTCAAAAATGGCAATTCAATTCGACACCTGTGGTCCACGGATAGGCACTTTTTAAGCGAGTTTGCCTTGGCACGGCTTGGTCCCATTCTCCAGTGATCGACCACCCGAAGCGCGACCTGCTTTCCTTTCTCGCTGAACGACGGGACCAACAGGACCCACCGATCTCCTATTTCCATAGGCCTCTGTTTCCCATCTTCCAACGGCTTCCAGAGCTCGCGAGCCACTCTTCCGGCGGGTTCAATAATTTTCCAGCTGTCAGAAGTTGTCAAGATATTCATGAGTCCTGCCAAATACCATACTACATGGTCTACATTCAAGAGATAACTCGAAATATATTACAACAATGCTACTTAACTTGATCATGTCATGTGACCTAGCCTCAGAGACAGTATTTCCCGGTAGCCAGGCTCCACAATAAACAAGAAATTTCCCTAAGGCTCGAGAAAAGCCGTTGCATCGATTCTCAGAAGTATCATTTCTTCAAAGATCTTATAAGATTGCGCTAGCTGCTAGGGCACTGCTAGTCTAGCAATCGAGAGTAGTGGTCCTTAGTCAGGGGCGGTTTTGGGTTGTTGGTGATAGGTCAAGTTGGTGACAGGTCAGGTTGTGATCTAGATCGCGTGGCGACGGCCAGCGCCCAACTACGAAGTGGGTCAATCCGGACTGACAGCGGTGACATTGATAGCCCGTGCATTGGTTCAGGGATTAAAAGGTTGCGCAGGGATGGTCACCGTTTACTGCCCCAGACTCGGAGTGCCGGGATTGCCAAGCGATGATCAGCGGAGCCGACGCGGGTATCATCCTCTAAGCTTTCTTTCGCGCAATCCGGACACGCAAGCGACCTCTTGTTCGCGGCAGTTCGGTTGCCCCTGATTATCAGTCGCTTGCAGACCTCAAGTTCGCACGCACGCGTGGAGAGCCCCCAGGCGTTGCTGAACTTGCCTGTCTTCTCCACCAGGGATCATCGGTGAATTACCGGAAGATTATCATTGAAGCGAGATAATAAATCCTGCGACGTCGATGTCTCGCGGGCCTATCCTTGCCATCCCCATTTTTGAGAGGAACCACGATAATACGATGAGGAATCGATAACCGTGAGAGAAGATCGGTTTCCAAGGGTCGTGTGCCACCATGGCTAAAGTATGGAGTTGAGAGGACTATCGGATGTGCCGTGATGCTGCCCGGGCTGTGAAGATCGTCCATCAGAAGAGTCAGTCACTCTGCTCTCTGGCCGCCCCCAGGAGAAGCGGTCGAAACGAGGATACGTGTAGAGTGCATACAAGTATAGTATATCCGTTTGTTTATGAAGCGCGAGGTGCACAATCTGGAACTTGCTGTGCAATCGTCGTTTATCCTCCTGTTTTGTTTCCTCTCTCGTTTTGCATTCCATTCCAATCCATTCCAGAATGGAGGCGGCAGTTTCTCTATTCCAAAACCACATGGCGGCGAGGGCGACGTCGACAAGCATGCCCGTGTGCGCGGAGCTGTGCTTAGTCGAATATCTGCCATCATCAGCATGCCATGTGGCCTCCAATATCACGTGCATCTGCACCAACGCCAACCTCACGGCACAGATGACACAATGCGTGACGGCGGGCTGCTCGGTCCGGGATGCCCTGTTGACGGAGAGGTTTGACGCCACCACGTGCGGCTGGCCCGTCACCGATGACTCGATGGGCCTCAAGGTGATCACGCCGCTGTTTGGTGTGCTCGCCGTCCTCTTCTTCCTGTGTCGCGTGTGGGCCCGGTCGCTCACCGGGCTGGCTGCCTCGTGGCAAACGGACGACTGGATGGCCCTCGTGACGACGGCCTTTTCCATCCCGCTGACGGTGGTATCGTACCTCTTTGCGGCCCACGGCCTGGGCCACGACCTGTACATGGTGGCCTTCGACGACATCACCTTTGTGCTCGAGATGTACTACTACTCGGAGATTCTCTACCTCATCGTCATCTTCATGACCAAGATCTCTATCTGCTTTTTCTACCTGCGCATCTTCCCCAAAAAGGAATTCCGAGTCCGCGTCTTCGCTATCATCGGCCTGTGCGCCGTCTGCGCCATCGCCTTCACCATCGTCACCATCTTCCAGTGCACGCCCATCCCCGGTGCATGGCTTCGCTGGGACGGCACCTACGACGCCGTGTGCCGCGACGTTCAGACCCAGGCGCTGTGGGCCGCCGTCATGTCCATCATCCTGGACGTGGCCACCATCTTCCTGCCCATGTCGGAGCTCTGGGCACTCAACATGTCGCTGCGCAAGAAGCTCGGCGTCATGACTATGTTCGCGACGGGCATTTTTGTGGTGGTTGTGCAGGTGCTGCGCATCGTCTATCTGCTCAAGTTCTCGGCAACCACAAACTTCACGCGTGACTACACCGCCACCAGCATATGGTCCAACGTTGAGGTCTACGTCGGCATCATGTGCGCCTGCTTTCCGCAGTGCCGCACCCTCCTGACCCGCTTCGGCCCGCGCATTTTTGGCACCACGATCAAGGCGCCCACCAAGGGCGGGCCCGACCCGGGCATCCGCGTCACGACCAAGATACACAGCCAGTTCTCGCAGAGGCCTACCCGCAATGACGAGACGGACTTTGTGGAGCTGAGATGCGCGGCTGGGCCGGATGGCTTCAACTCGACAACCAACCTGCACCGCACCGCTGAAAAAGATGGGCTGGGGTTCAAGGAGTCGGTTTGAGAGCGATGAATAAGTAGGCAAAATCGTGTTTTTTCTCTCTCTTTTTTTGCGGCGTCTTAAGCAATTACTTGTACATACTTGAAATATCTTTGTGGCCAATATTAGGGTCTTCTTCGTCTATACCTACCTATTTATGAATCTTATGGGTTATATTCCTGTTCACCACACGAACTCATTCAGGCTAGGTCACTCAACTTGACACACGCAAAAAGACGCCCGCCCACACCACGTGTTGCAGATTTTCCCCCGTTCGATGGCATACATAGCAGCCAAGCAGACGTCATGCCAAAGTGGTTATGATGTAGTACATAGACTACATGGTAAAGCAGTCGCAGTGCCAGTGGTTGCGGGGCCGGCAGAATTCGACAGATCTCAATACTTAATGGGTCTGTTTTGGTTTTGTTGTACATCCCCTTTTCAGTCTTTTTAAATTGGCACTAGCAACCCATGTCCCTGTCCCTGACCCTGTTGCCAGCATGGCATGCCGGCACTTAAGAACGTGGACTCACGGACTTTAGTAGTACTGTAGGCTGGAGGCGCGCGTCTGGCACGCTGCAATGAAAACTGGGGATCGGCAAATTGGGATCTGTTAGGGGAGTCGTCAGTATCGCCGACCCTGCGGGCGTCAGCGTGATTTGCGATCCTTAGCAGCATGACCGGCCAGAGCCTAGAAGGGGGCATGAGGCTGAGAATGATGCTAAATGCGCGAGTGCTCACGGGTTGACTTGCTCGCAGATGAATCTCATTTCCCTAGAGTGTTGTCCTCTCTCTGCCTCTACAGCTCTTGTCTTTCCTTTCTTTTCGGCTCCAATTTACTCATTCGCAATGCCTCAGTAACTCGTTTATCTTAGTCAACACCGAGTACTTCACTTTCACCCCCCACTCCCGCATCCGCTCTAAGGGCCTGGGTTGCCACCTGGCTGACCGCCGCCCTGGCTGCGACAGCCACTCAGGCGTTTGCCACACCTGAGCACATCGTCATGTTGGCCTCCACAAACTCATTAAGAAAAGCGAATACTTATACAGATATCTCATCTGCTGCGGATGGACCATCCAGTAATCTTGCGCTTCCTGCCCCGGTTGCCTGATGTAGCAATTCGTGGCGCAGCACTAATTGAGTTGGGTCCAATCTACTGTGCAACGTCTCCTCGCTACATCGTTGAGCCTCGAAGTTTAACATGCAGCTAGTATACCACCTCCGGCTACAGGGGACGTGTTAGATAACTTTCTGATTACAGGTGTGTGGTTTCTTGTGATGTCGGAAATTACTGAGATTATTGGTTTTCTTCGGTGCTCAGAGGCACACCTCGGGCAGCACCACTAACATGCCTTTTCATACAATGGATACTTCACTATTGAGAACAACCTTTCGGCCAGAATGTATCTGTACAGGCATGGAATATCGGCGAGGCCGGAACGGGCACCAGTTAACTCTGGCCGTAATGAATATGAAAGCTGAGGACAGGGTACTAATCAAAGTTGTTTAAATGGACCTTCATACTGTTCAATCCATCCTGCAGTGATTATTGCAACTTGAAATTCCCCATTCGGAATGACTAGTATAACATGATGATGTCTCAGATTGAGCAACTAGCCAGACGGATCCACTTAGAAGAAGCCATGGAAGCATTTCTGGCCCTTGAAGTCCAAAGCCTTCTCTGGGGAGGGGGCTTCTCAGATGCCATAGATCTCTTTTCAGGAAAGACCTGAGGCACCTAGCGAAAATCTTTCCTCACTGCAAGATCAGAGTGAATAGTTGACCTCCATGGTCAGCTATCCACCAAAGGATACTAGGCTGCCCTGCAAGGATAATGGATGTTCTTTGAGCGAGCAATGTGACTTCACAAGCGATGGTCATAGATCCTGTTGGGATCAGCAAGCATAATCTGATCTTAGGACTGTATTCAGAAGTGAAAGTATCTCGGAATTGCCACGAGTGAAAGTTCTACCTATAGGAAGTATCAGAAAGCCTGGGCAGTACGGGCATGGATCAGGTTGGTATTCCAACGGATTCAATGTTGGTTCATTCCTTCACAATGCGGCTAAGAAATATTGGCTACTTGTACTGTTTCGCTTAGCCGGCGCCTCGTCTTGTTGGGAATCCGTCCATGTTGCGGCTAACCCATCACCCCGTCGCGTGGATATCTCCATGCGACGACATCTGACCCCGCATCTCAGGGACTTCGCGTGTCCAAAAATTACCCATCGGATGCTTCCGATATGGCTTTCAAACTCTCCAGACTTGCTTCTACCGCTCATGGAACATGCAGAGTGCGATTCAAATACTATGGGCTGACCTCGCTCCGGCCATGACTCTGCATCTCTCCCCCACACTCTTCATTCCCAGTGACCTTAGCATCCAATGTCCGCCGCCATGACGAAGACAAAGTCACCACTGGGCAAGTACGTGCGTGCCATCCGAGACTCTCCCCAGGGACTTTTCAACTGGCGGCTCATCATGACCGTTGCAATGTATGCTTTGGGCGGCATGCCTAAAGGTGAAGCGCCCTGTATGGATATCGAGCACGCATCTTTTACTAATACCACGCGCAAGGCTGGGATGAAGGCAGTACGGCATCTATTACACAGTTGAAGAGTTTTCAACGGGAGTTCGGTATCACTCCATCCAAGAACCCGGACCAAATATCCAACATCGTATCCTTCGTCAACTTGACAGCCGGTATCTTCGCCTTCCTCTCATTTCTTATCAACGATAGACTGGGCCGTATCTGGTCGTACCGTCTGTACATGATCGTCTACGCCATCGGCAACCTGATCGAGACCTTCGCCTACGGTAGCCTTCCTGTACTATATATTGGACGGCTCGTCGCGGGCGCAGGCATCGGTGCTCTCACAGTAATTGGGCCTATGTCCATCGTAGAGATCGCCCCTGCAACAACTCGCGGTCTCATGGCTCTCTGGTTCAACGTCTGCATGCTGTCATCTCAGATGCTGGGCATCTTCGTTGTCTTCGGCTGCAACTTGCATATCGACCCAAAGCTCAACTTGCAATACCAGATCCCATTTTTTGTTCAATGCTTTGTGCCGGCGATCGGTATAGTCATGTCTCTCTTCCTCTACGAGTCACCAAGATGGCTCTGCCTCCGCGGCAGGAATGACGAAGCACTTGCGGCGCTGACTTCGCTTCGCGGACTGGCCCAAGATCACCCTTACCTGCGAGATGAATGGCACAGAATGAGCACGCAGATCGCCCATGAGCAAGCGGAATATGGCGACCAGGGCTATTTCTCTCTCTTCCGTGAGACCTTTTGCGTGAAGTCAAATCTTCGACGCGTGCAGCTCACTGTGTTCGCTTATATCCTCGCACAATTCTCTGGAGCAAACTCCGTCACCAACTATCTGCCTGAGATCTTTGGTATCATCGGAGTCAAGTCCACGAGCGTCAAGGTCTACGCCTCCGGCCTCTATGCTCTAGCTAAGCTCGTTTGCTGCTTGGTTGCCTCGCTATTCTTCGTCGATGTCATTGGTCGCCGCAAGTCTCTGATGACTGGCATCACCATCCAGATGCTGTGTCACTCATACTTGGCCGGATACCTCAACTACTTTGTCCATGATGCAGACTCCGTGCCGACGGGAGCATCAGATGCAGCAATCGGTGCTATTTATGTACACGCTCTCGGATGGGCGATCGGGCTGTACACGCTTCCCTATCTATTCGGTGCTGAGCTGTGGCCGAATAGGATTCGTTCCTTCGGCGGTGCTTTGTCTCAAGGTTTCCACTGGCTATTCTACTTCGCCATCACAAAGGCAACTCCGGCGCTGCTCAACTCTATGGACCAGTGGGGAGCTTTTGTCTTCTTCGTCGCTTGGTGCATCGTCGCTCTAGTCTATGCTTTCATCATGGTACCCGAAACGGCTGGTCGCGAGCTCGAGAATATCGATACCTTATTTGAACACCCATGGTACATGATGAGGAGGTTTGCGTATGCACAAGACCCATTTAATGACAAAAACCTGTCAGAGTCCGCACGGTGAGGTACACTGGGCTCCAATTTCCCCCAATACTGCTAACACAGTTCGCAGTTCCCAAGACCGCGTCGATGAGGAGAAGACGACTGGAGCTTACGCCGAAATGGTGGAAGCCGCCGACGGGGTACGTAGCTAGTTGGTCACCACAAGAGTTGTGAGCATGGGTAGAGGTTTCATCACGAATATCATGGGGACGGAAAAAAATAGGTTCACTGTAATGGGAAGCATGTTTGCATCTCTAAATCCACTCATTGTCATATCTTGTGTATCAGCAGGTGCAATACTTGAAATGATCCTGAGCCGTAGCACTGAGTGGAATGAAAGAATACTCGAAGACATCATTCAGGGAGCATGGGCACTTATCTCATGGGTTTGGACAGATATCTGAGCTCTAAGAGCAAGGCATGAAGTTACGGCCGTCCGGGTGGGTAGATCTGTTGTCGGTTAGTTCGGATCTAGCCGGGCCCTCGCCATGTATCATCGGATGCATCCGTGTATAATCCAACATGGGTGCATGACTGCCCGTATCGGACGCGGCTTCCCCACACAGGCAGACAGGTCATTTTTACTGCAAATCCTCACACTTAAGTTACAGTATTGCGTACCATAACCTTGGCCCTTGTGTTGAAACCCTCAGCTAGCTGCTAAAGGCCCGGCCGGATCCGTTACCTGCAAATACTGCTCCACATTTATCTTTTCACACCTCTTAGCGAAGACTGTCTCCCTTCACATACACATGATCGGAAGCGGCATCGCTAGATCATTCTTGAGATTTCGTAAACTGGTTTGTTCGCACCACAACCGAGTTGCAGCCATGGTATGCAATATGGCTACAAAAGGTGAACCCGATGCTGCCGCTGCTTTGGGGGTCCACGACTTGACAACTCCCGAATTCGCGAGCGCAAAAATGGCCCCCGTCACAGTTCTTAAGCCTTCCGACACTGTCCCATACAGTTTGGAATCCCCAATCATGAACGCGTCAGTCTAAATAGCCTGATTCTCTCGCAACATGCCTGCTGATATACAGCCAGTGTCAGAGACCTAATAGCGCCAATATGTGACAGCGTCCCCTGGCAGTTGCCAGTCGGGAGCTGGGACACTCACGTACATGTATTTGACCCAGCAAACTATCCATATGCCCCATCACATGCCTACTCGCCGGTACCCGCCTTGTACTCACAACTGCTCGCCTTTGGTGGCAGCTTAGCACAATCTGGCGAAGCTGAAAACATTGTCATTGTGCAACCTTCGCCGTATGGTACCGATAATTCCTTGATTCTGGACAAGCTGGTCGAGCTTCAGGCTGAAAAGACTCGTGGTGAGGTTCGTGCTATCGCTGTGATCAACCCCGACAACATCACGGACTCAGAGCTAGACCATATGCAAGCACTTGGAGTAAGGGGCATTCGTATCAATACCGAAGCAACAGGGGAGGAGGTCGATTATGACAAATTGCGTGCCCAAATCGAGAATGCAGTGATGAAGATTCGCCGATTTGAGAATTGGCGGTGCCAGCTCTTCGTGTCAGGCGACAACTGGCCGCGTGAGTTACTCGAAGAGTTCGACTTTGAGAAAGTCTGCGTAACTAAATCTCGCAAACAGATCTCGCTGAAACTATCCGCGATCTACCGATCAAGGTCATTGCTGACCATCAAGGCGGAATGAAAGGATTGTCAGCTCTGCCCGCCAACGTGACAGATGTTACTAGACAAGCAGGTTTCGCAGAGCTCATGAGTCTTGCTAAGGCCGAAAAGCTCTTCATCAAGATCTCGGGTTTCTACCGTTCATCAAAATTGACTACGGGCGGATATGAAGATCTCGAACCACTGATCATGGCCTTTGCAAAGGAAGTGCCTGACCAACTAATCTGGGGATCTGACTGGCCACACACGGGCTCCAGCGCAAACCGAACTGAAGCTAATAAGGATGTGCCCGAGCAGTTTCGCGTAGTGAACAACGTGGCCGTGCTGAAAAACATTAGGAAATGGGTTGGAAGAGACGTGTGGTACAAAATGACAGTTGCGACACCTGCGAAAGTCTACTTGTGATTCATAGGTATCATGACATTGGGGAGGGGAGGGTCTCATAGACAATCTCGACGAAAACTGAATAATTGGCTTGTACAATGTTCATTAGTTCGAGGATACTTAACCAGTTGTATCATGGTTGTCTATAAATCAATTTGAATATACCACATAGAATAAGTGAACGTTTGTAGTAGGTTTTGGGAAAACATCATTTTTAAGACTTCTTTTCCTCCTTTCACGAAAATTAATAATGACCTGTTGACATTTTCAACCTCGAATTACACTAATACTGTATGTAACGAGCGTTAAGAATTAAAGACATTCTCTCAACCCCAATTGTGTGTGTGTTCGACACACAGCCCCGCTCACCGGAAGATGTTGCCGCGGATGTATCCGAACAAGGGCAGGACTGTTTGCCGCGATCTTGAAACATAACATGCAAATCTGCATCCTTCTCAAACAGTTGGTGTGGTTTTTTACATCAAGCGACACACCATGTTGCACGTTTACAAATCGATCCGCCGAGGAGCTCGTCACCTCAACACGGCAGGTCCTCGGTTGGCCGCGCAAAATGCCATACCAGCGACATATTACCGAGGAGGTACCTCAAGGGCTGTCATTTTCCGCAAAGAGGACCTTCCTTCGGACCAGTCGCAATGGCCAAACATATTCCGGGCCGTCATAGGCTCACCCGACCCCAACGGTCGTCAGCTGGACGGGATGGGAGGGGGGCTTTCATCTTTGTCCAAGGTGTGCGTCGTCGGGCCCTCGACTGAGAGCGACGCAGACGTTGATTACACATTCGTGGCTATCGGCGTCAAAAATGACGAAGTCGATTTTAGCAGCAATTGTGGCAATATGACCAGCGCCATCGGTCCCTTTGCCGTAGATGCTGGACTCGTCCCCAGACCTAAGGATGGCGAGACAAGCGTCCTGATCAGGAACACAAACACAAACAAACGCATACGAGCAACCTTCGTGGCTCAAGATGGAGAGGCCGTCACGAGTGGTCCCTTTGCTATTGACGGCGTAGCGGGTACCGGATCGAAAATCAAACTCGCGTTCCAGCGTCCTTCTGGATCGAAGACAGGCAAGACCCTCCCCACAGACAAGGTTGTAGACAGCTTCGACGGCGTCCGGGCGACATGCATAGACGTGGGGAACCCCTGCGTGTTCGTTCTGGCCTCAGAGCTCGGGGTTGATGGCTGCATCCTCGCGGACGACATCACGGCGCACCCGACGCTGCTCAACCGGCTGGACTCGATCCGACGCCAGGCCGCAGTGGCCATGGGTCTCGCAAAGGATACTGAGACTGTCCCCGGCTCTATTCCCAAGATCGCCATGGTCACCACGCCCCGAGAACATAGGCTTCTGAGCGGCGATACGCTCGACGAGAAATCCTGCGACGTCGTCGTCCGCGCCATCAGTGTCGGCCAGCCGCACCAAGCCGTCCCCATCACCGTCGCAATGGCGCTCGCCGCCGCGGCCCGCTTGCCTGGGTCCACGGTCAACGAGTGCGTTGCATCCACACCGGTGGATGCGGATGGGGTGACTTTGGGACACAACAGCGGCAAGATTCTCGTAGGTTCGACATTCGACGAGAAAGGCGTTGTTGAGGAGGCTATTGTGTTTCGCACGGCAAGACGGCTCATGGAGGGTAAAGTGTATCACAAATAGAACAAATGTTCATGCTTGCCACCATAGCGTGTCTCAAATACACAATTTCAAAAGAGTGTAGTGGATTGATGATGTGTACGGTAGAGACTGTATCTTGAAAGCAACGCAAATGGAACCTCTCCTTGAGCCCTTGGCTCAATCTCACCCTCAATACTCCAGCCAAGAATTCCGCCCTACAACCTGCAACATAATCTATTTCTACGGACCAGTCTGGCCAAAGCAGGTCAAGACGCCATTGTTGTTGCTCACTGCAAGGCCTATTCATCAACATTAGCGGGGTTATACCTGGGAATAAGATAGTTACCACAAAAACAGAATAACATTGCGGTGTCAGAAAGAAGAGGTACAGACACTTGTACTAATTCTGAATTAAGGGTGGAGGGGAAGAGAGAAATACTCACTCAGGTCTATGCTCGAGGCATGGGAGTTGCCAGAAGAGTCCCGGCAGTTATTACACTTGAAAGCGTCGCTGTTATTAGTGACGCTGCAGGCGCTGCAGGTATCCAGGGCATTTCCACTATTGGCTCCACACATTAGACTCTGTCTAATCGTATTCTCCTACGAATCAGAGGGGAAACACACTTCTTGCTTGCAACGAGGTTCCCATTTTGGTTGCCAAGGCATTTGTTCAAGTTGATAGGGGAGGAGACAAAGGTACCGGCGGTATTCTTGCAAATGCCCGTCAGTGTGGTCCCCTGAAAGACGAAGGTGGAGCACGAGTCCATTAGCTTGCCAGCCGCTACGGACTCAATCACGGTGGCGACGAGGGTCAGAGTAGCAAGAGCGTGCAGTTGCATTTTGGTGTGGTTTGGCGATGGAGTATTGGTTAAAGAGCTGGAAAAGCGTGATAGCAGGGATGCCTTGATTGAAGATCTGAATCTAGTTACTTAAAAACTTTGACGCTTGATGGAGCTCTGCGGATTTGAGCAGGAGTCCAGATGAGGAGTCTCTTATATAGATCCTGTTTTGCCTGTACCTAGTCTTCCAGTGACTTTTCTTGGCGTGAATGATACGTTCCAGCTTCTTGTTGTGATCATTGTCACTAAGCGATATCTCACTCAAGCGCACACGGTACGATTATTCGGAGGCGGTGAGACAGACCTCTAAGACCTTCAAAGAGTCTCTAAGCTCTAGCTTTTCGTGACATCGTTTACCGGATAATTCCCGAGCTTCAGTTTCTTCTGCACCGTTTCACACATTTAACCCCCCCCCCCCCTCCCCATAAATGAGGTAGCGTAGGAGGGTGAGTTTTTTACCGATTGCCAAGTATCAGATTGCCGCAGCTGGGTTCCAATGCCAAGTTCAAATGTGTTGCGGCTGACGACTGATTCCAAATTTCAAAGTACTTCGGGCGCCTATTGATTCTGAGTGAGACTATTCAGACTTGCCTATTCCTCAGAAAATGAATCACCTTACGGTGGCTGCTATTAGCAACTCTCGGCGCTTACGTTAAATGGCGGTCGAGTTACTAATCCGTCCTTTTTTAGCTGTCATTGGCTCGCTATTAGTCTAAGTAACTCCTTTGTCTGACACGGAACCGGCCGCTCAAAGTAGATATGGAAAACTTTTGGTCCACGGAGGGTTGAGGCATCGTGACCTGTTTAGTCAGCAGTAATCGTATTATCTTGGCACTTGAAGACTAGAAAAGTCACATGCCCATTGTGATAAACCTGCTTGGGTGCTTATTGTCTGCCTGGGCCTCTTCGAATGCACTAGTTTGCCCGAGGTAAAGCAGCAGAAGAGAATTGCTAACAGCAACTTCAAATGCTTTATTCTGCTATTCATGTGAAATCGATGGGCACTTTCACAAGTTCATCATAGATATTGAGTATATACATAAACGGAAAGCTCTAGGTGGCTCGTCGCCAATGACACCTAGTTATCTGAACATAATGCCAATCAGAGTAGCAAGTCCTGGGGCTGTCAGGGAGTCGTGTATTTTGATCAATGAGACACCAATACTTGCTTTCAAATGCGTCCGCTAGGCTTCTTCTCGTTCCTCAGGACATCAGGTTCTAGTAGGAGTTAATTTACTCCACGGCAAAGTAACCGGCTCACTGTCAATACCCCGTTATCCCGAACCACCTGCATTTCCCGTGAAATCATCTGTTGCAGGATTCACCCCGTTTTCCGAATTAGCGAACATTTCTGCGCCATTGACAATTTGTCCCAAGTCGTAGAACTGTCCATCAAAACCTGGGAAACTTTCCCATTCGAGTAATGGGTCAGGTCTCAACGACTCAACTTGGTTCTCAAGGGACCATCCGTCTAATGGAACAGAATCCTCGACCGAGTACTCCCAACCTGATCCACTCTCACGGTCCTGCTGAGGAGGTTGGCCGAGGTCCGTGTGTGATACCGCGTCGTGATGCGAGGTCACCAGTGGGGTAGCTCGATTCTGTGCTGAGAACTTGAACAATCGAAATAGTTCTACCTGTGTGTCACGCACTGTTTCGACAATCTGGACCCTCAGCCTGTCCTCTATTGGGACGAGCTCCGCTTCGATCCTCCGCTCGAGCTGCCCACGGACTCGAGGCGGCAGTTCGCGTTGCAGAAACCTCTCATAGTCTGTCAGCAAATTTTGAGCAGGTTCCTGTTCGTTCGCCATCTTCAACTCGTAACCTGTGTTGTGAGGTCAATTTAGCATCCCATAAATCAAGATCTCTACCCCGTATGACCGATGCGCTCCAAGTGGCTCAAACATGTTTGGTGAAGTGGGGACTAGGTTATGCATGGCTGATGGACACTTACAAGGACTCGAAACATGTTGATCCACAGTGTCCGGAAACAGAATTAGGTAGACGTGACGCCACTTTTGCGCCTCGGTTATCGAATTGTAGCCTCTGGGGCGGCCCTTCAACTCATTTCTTTGGCTTGCATGAACTCCATCAATATGCGGAGGCTGTGGTAGAACTACGCACTGCTCGGACGATCTCATATGAGTCGCGGTCTCTTTCCGACTCAAAGGCAGCGTAGCAACGGAGATAGCTTATGGGCAGTCTATGATTGCGGTCGAGGTGTTCCCTGCGGTCATTAGCTAGCCTGTCGTGGGGGCTTCAACATGCCGAAGCAAAGTAAATTCGACCCCACGTGATTCCAGGCAGAAATATCTTTGGAAAATGCGTTCCCCTGGACATAATTTCATGAGGCCGACTATGGCAGTTGGAATCTCTGGCTATAAGCATCAAATCCACACTAAGAGGGTGTGGGTACATCCATTTTCCTCTGTAGCTAAGCATTACCATTTGTGTTATATCGTTGCACTTCCTTTGACGTCACCCGAGCAGCAAAGTGGCTTCTAGAGTAGATTCCTAGTCAAAAGGCGTTTTCTTGCTATAAGCATAACGTTAAGCATACCTATGACGTTGTCTTCCCATACCTATTCAATCTTTTAGCTCTGTACATCGACAATTGTCTTTTCAACACAAATCACAACACTTTCTGCACAAGCGTCAAAACACTTCATCTCTCTTAACCTCTTCGGCTTTCCCTTCCTGAACAATCTCTTCAGAAATTCCGGTGGGATGGCACTGAGAGACACCAGGAGATGAGGATCAACCCCACTAGGTCTCTTGACCTGGACGTACAACACTTTGTCAGGCCGGCCTATCAAGTACGACTCATTCTCCTTCAAAGTCCATTGACTGAGGCCGGGTGCGGCAGCGAGGGCGTAAGCAGCGGCAACCCTGTCTTGCGACACAGCGGTTCCCAACAGCGCCGTCGAGTTGGACCACGATGGTGAGGGCCTGCAGCACTTGAGACCCGCAGTCTCCAGACACTGCGTTGTGACGTAAGCGAATGTTGCATTGTCCTCCGAGTCGATGAGCATCCGAGCCCAGTAGTTTTCGTTCTTGCAAGGGATTTTGAAACACTGAAATGGGAGGTTATTCTGCACGCACGCGACGACGAATTGGTCGCCTTGGCGGTCAATCCCGGTGTCCCTCAAGAGGTAAAGCACTGCAAAGACAAGCCCCTCGAACTCAACACGACAGGCTCGGTCGAGACTATCGAGCCATTTCTTGAAGTCAGATTCTCGGAGCGCCCCGAGAACGTTGAACTTGCCAACCAAGTCTTTCCAAAGCAGCGGCTCGACGACCAGCCCAGATACGTAGGCCGGAAGGAGGTCAGCTAACAGGTCGCGGAGGCGAACACGCCGAGCAATGCCGGTGCATATGCTGACTTGCACGCCAAACATGTTCTCCAGGTCGCTTATGTAGATTACACGCTGAGAAAGCATGACTGACTTCTTCGTGGCTCCCATCATCTTGACCCAAGTCTGGTTGAACTGCAATATGGCCACAGCCGCTTGGCCACCTTGTACCCCGATTCCAAGTTGTCTTTCCATGAGCTCCCAGTAGGTGGGAAAAGTGCCAATCTCCTCCAGCATGGGAAGAGAGTCTCTCAGGCGAGCAGCTGCAGACTGACATGCGGTGTTCTCGACAATTGTTGTTCCAATCAAACCCTTTGCATTCCGGAGGAATGTGCTTGTTGTTGTTGAGCCGCTGACGACATCTCTGCTCCAATGCAGCTGTGACGTTGTTGAAGAATTAGGTGATGTACCGGTGGAGGTGATGGTGCCGCCGCCGACAAAGACAGAGTGCAGAACATTTGAGTCATTTGCTGAGGCGACCATATATCCCGGACCCCATGTGTCCAGTACGTCGACTGGACTTGCGAGCATGTCCTTGCCTGGTGTAAGTGGTATATCTAGTTTTCTATCCACGGCGGGTCTTGGAAGCCAGCCAAAGGCGAGAACTGGCTGTCCAACCATATCTCGCGTACATGTCAATTCCACTAAGTAGCAGGTCAGAGTGAGAAGCGACTCTGATTCTGACTTTCCTGATCCGAGTAAAGAAATGGCTCGCAGTGGAGTATCTAGGAAGAAAGGTTGAATAGGTCCGCAGTGGGCTTGAGCATAGGACAGAAGCCCTAGGGCCAAAAACTGCGTAGCTAACAAGACCCAATGTGTTCCTGGTAGAAATTCAACGTCGTGTGTGTAGCCACGCATGAAAGCAGCCTCGCCAAGCAGGTCAAAAATGAAATCGTCGCCACGCAGGAAGTTAGAGCTTATGTCAGGATTCAGCACCAGCTCTCTGAGTTTTCCGATAGTTGCGAACGGTACCTGGCGTAGCTTAACGTAGTCCCCGGGGCCGGAATCAAGTAGGATTGTAAATAAGTTGCAGCAGCCACCAAGTCGCTGGAGCTCGCCGGCGGCCATATCAAGACCTTTGAGGACTTCAAGTACAGCGTTGTTGTCTTCTAGCCCATTGAGCGTGATGGATGCCATCGAATTGCTCTTGTCGAAGGATACGGAGCCCAGTTCGATATTCGTACTTCCGTCCGCCGCTGGCCGGACACCACCCAGACCGCAAAGATATTCTATACGTTGCCGCGCAGTTAAAGACAATCCTCTCCTCTCCAATTCAGACGTCGATGGGTTTTCCATGTGATCAAGAGCTCCTTGTGAGCCAGAATCAAGGGTTGTTTTGTCTTGCACGCCGTCCCCTGGGTCGCTGATAATAAAGTCCCTGCCGTTCGGGTCACATGCAGAATCGACAAAGTCGACTGAACTCCCAATGTAAGGTAAACTTCTGTTTAAGGGCTCAACATGAACACAACCATTTTGGTGAAAATCGGGGACGAACGGCTTTGATTGGGGGTGATCGAATGGTTCATGTATCCATGACCCGTGAATCGCTTTTTCTAATAGCTCATCCGTGATCTCCAGAGGCGAGAAACCCAGCTGCACAAGCTCGGCCAACCATGAATACTCTTGAACAGCAACTTGGTCGAAAAACTTCTCTAGGAGCCACTGCGTTTTATTGTAATTGTGTGCCTCAAGAGCCCGGGTAAGATCGTATGGCGAAGCTGATGTTTGGCCGTACTCCTCAAGCGACTTTCGATAAGCCTCTGCCGCCTCACGAGAGCTGACAGGCTTCGTCGAAATTCCTGGATGGTTCATCAGAGCTACTTTTGGACGTGTTGTAGACTTTTTTAGTTCGTCATATGACGTTGACATGTCTAAGTCATGGTCGTTTTGAGACGAATTCACCGAGGAACTAGAGCTAATAATATCGGTTGAGAAAGCACCGGAAGAAGACGGAATGGTAGTAGACCCCTCACTACCACTGTCGTCGGGGTCGTCTTGACCAGAACGCTGGCTCCGGCGACCGTCAGAGTGCGACGAGTGAGGATCTGTAGACGCCGTTGACATGTGGCGTGTGCTGCTCTTCCTGTCTTTGCGATTGAACCGGTTTGTCGGTAGCCCCTGAACGATCCCATTCCTCGCGAGCATTCCACCATTGACCTCGAAGTTCCTACACACCATAAAAGCGCGCATGGCCGCATTCTCGCGCGCCAGTTCATCCGATTCGAATGCTACGTCGGTCTGATATTCACGCTCATTGACCAAGACCAGGCACGTGTAGCCACCAGGCTCCCGGTAGCATTCATATGTGGGTTGTTCCCACCCGCGCCGCTCGCAGAGGCCTTGTGGCAAATGTTAGCAGTGTCATTTGCCGTAGTCATGGGGACTTACTCTCAAGATATTGCATGTAAAAGCCCGGCATGATGGCAAAAAGTATTCAGTGGAGGTGCAAAGGCGTCGGGCCGTCTTTGATCTCAACTATGGTTCGATGATCACGCCGCAGACAACCACGGTCATCAATTCGATTCACAGTAAACGCAAAGCTGGCAAAGATTTGAAGGTGGTCCAGCGTCTTAAATATTTGAACCATCCAAGCCCACCATTGCATTCGCAGCATGCATGACAACCGAAAAGATGCAAGGCGCTCTTGTCCAAGGAATGTGCTGATGACAATTTTATGGGGTAGAGATGCATGCAACTCTGCTCAGCCAGCGCCACGTTGCAATCAGCCGTAAACTAAGGCACCCTCAACCCCAGTAGATTTACATTCTTGTGTAACGCGGGATTCGATCGTTCCGATGTGCCACATGTGTGTACCACAATCATATGGTATACAGAGTTCCGTCTCGGAAGGCATACTGAAGCCATAAACTCGAACTTCTCGCTCAACCTCTGAAGAGACATTTTTCTAAGAGTAGATATGAAGGGTGGGATAAGAAGAGGAGGCTTACTGATGACCAACTTTCCATGGCCCTTCTAGCGCAACTCTGACCTTTCCTCCTGTTTTCTCTCAAACCAAAGCCTGATCTCCTTCCCCTTCCACATCAAAATCAAGATAGGTACGAAACCAAGCACGCTCCCCCAGATGACAAACAACAAGAACGCAAACTGATACCCGATCCTCCGACAAAGCAACACCACATAAAACGCAAACGTCATCCCAAATATCTGCCTAAGAAAATTGAAGAATGTTGCGACATCCCCGCCCTGTTCGCGGTAGCAGTCAATACTATACGTATAGCACGTCGTTGCAATTGGCTGCAACCCAAACACGCTCAGCCCCATCCCGAACAGAGGCACGAACCAGTGCGTTCGGTACTCAATTGTAAATCCGTAGATCAGCAGGCCCACAGGCAGCAGGACCGCGCCCGTCCAGATCGCCTGTAGCCGCGCCTCGGGCTCCGGATTGACCCCACCAAGGCGGTGTCTCGCGCGCTTCACGATGGCGTCAAGGATCACGCCTGCGACACTCTCGCCCAGAACCCCGCCGACAGTGAGAGCGCCGCCGTAGGCGAGGCCGATTTCGAGAGTGTCCCAGCCGAAACGTTCGCTGAAGATGGCCGCTACGGTCACCGCGGGCAAGATACTGCCGAAGCCGTACTGCGCGGCGTAATAGGCCGCGGGGAAGAGGACGGACGGGTACTGAGCCATGCGGAGCGCGGGCCAGACGAAGTCACTCCAACGCAGCTTGGTAGCTGGGAAGGGCCCTGCGTAGGGTTTGAGGCGGGCGGCGTAGGCCTTGAGTCCCAGAGAGGGTGCCTCCCTTTCCCTCCTGTCCGTCGGGATTGTATGCGTCAGTTGATCGGTGTTGCGCACGTAGAGCGTCTCGGGCAAACCGACGAGAATCACCAGAAACATGACACCGTCCAGGATGGCAGTAAACTTGAAGATCCATCGCCATCCTAGGAATTGACCTATGAGCCCACCCAAGATAGGCGCGATATGCGCACCCGTGGTCAGAATCACGGTGAACAACCCCATGGCCCGTCCTCGTTCGTGGAAAAAGAAGCAATCCACCACGGTGCTGGGGCCCAGGGCCATCGCGGCAGGGAAAAGACCGTTCAACACGCGGGCACCAATGAGCTGGCTGTAGGTGCGCGCGTATGCGGAACCGAGGATGGAGGCAAAACCCAGCAACGTGCTGACGAGGTATATCGGTCTCCGTCCGTAGGCATTTGCCAAAGGGACCCAGATAAAAGGACCAATGCCGTTGAGAACGATAACGACGGTGGTCTGGTAGGAAGCTTGGACGATGGTGATGTCAAAGTCACGGGCGAGCTGGCTGTAGGCCGGATTGATGATGGCAGTGTTAATAGTGCCGAGAGCGGCGAGGAGACAGACTTGGATAAGAACTGCAACCTGTTGGATGTCAACAAGAAGGGCGCTTCATTTGGTCTTGCGAGGTCCGTCGATACCCACCTTGAGAGAGAGAGCCCAGTTCAAAGGGTCTTTCGGGTCGTCCGAGGGCCGAGGGAGAAACGTTTCCCGATCATGATCAATGGCTTGGTTGTACCTCTCGACGGTTTCGTTCTCGTTGAACTCCGACTTCTCGCCGGTCACAACGCCCGTCGGCAAAGATGCCATGCTCACCTGCAACAGTAGATTAGAATTCTAATCCTGTGCTATCAACCTCGCCGGACCAAGAGTGGCTCTTCACGGTGGTTGAGACACCGGATTTTAGAAATAAGTATGCGACCGGGCACGCAGACGCAAAAAGAAGCTGAGACAACGGATCGAGGAACAATTGTGGCAGGTTTTCAGATGACTAACTGCTTGTCTGGGTTGCTGGCGGCGATCAAGACCCCGCATCGTGAGCACAGGGTGACGATGACTGGCGGGAATGGCATTCCCCAGATGGTAGAAGCCGAGGATAAGTGGGTGAGGAGAAATATGATCACCTTTGTTACCTTGTAATTTCTAGGTATCACTTGTCTCGATTAATACACAAAGAGCTTGCATTGTCAGAAACTTCTGGAAATTGCTTTATTCGGTTACCACGTCGCCAAGCGCGTTGAGCCTCTCCTCTATGCTTCTCTAGTAATTTTCGCCTCGTGGAGATGTCGCTCTCGTGCGGCTTCACCAACATATCCGTGCTAAGCGGCTTCAGCATTTCCTCGAATACTTAGCTAATTCGGAGTTGACCGTACGGGCTACCAAAAAGCTGACTTGGAAACTGTGCACGAGTATTATTATTTTAATTATGATAAGAATTATTTAAATGCATCATGCTCGGCTGTTTTCAACGCTATGCGAGTTCACTTGTTGCTAGACTTGATGATGATAAATCAGACGATACTATCCTAGCTTCTTTCCCTATCCCTATCTTCCTCGTCATCGAATACAGCAGCATCGCTAGCAGCTCCTCGATGTTCATGATGACCAACAAATGCGCTCTCTACGTGCACCTCCACTGCCTCTGGGCCAGTACCCACCACCTTATCTTTTGGAACCCACCAAAGCTGAATAACACCCAACACCGCGACCACGGCACAGCTGCCCCAAGCAGTGGCGCTCCCTCCGGCATCATAGAAAACTCCAACTAGCGGTGAACTGATCGTTCGCGCTATGCAAACAGCACTCATCGCAAGACCGTTCACACGGCCAAGGACTAAGGGGGATGGGCAAGCGTTCTTAAGTAGAATCAGCGCACAGGGTGTGAGGATAATGCCGGCGAAGTTTTGCAGGAACAACGTGACGTATATCCCGGCTGACAGGTACACAGAGTCGGGTTCCCCGTCTCTCTGTCCCACGGGCCTTAGTAGTGAGAGGAAAGGCATCAGGACATAGCAAAGTGGATAAAGAATGGTCGGCAGCAGGAACGACAGCCAAACGCCGGTGCCCTCGACGAAAAACGGAAAGATTACGCCTTGTATAAACAAAGCGATGAAACCGTTTACTGCAAGGAAGCCCCCGACGTCGTGCAGACTGTAGCCCATGCCGCCTGTGAGATCCAATTGAGGTGAGCGGGCCATGGTTGAGTTGTAGGATGGCGAGTCGAGCAGATAAATCGGGAGGATAGCACCGAATGCCATCTGATGAAAAGCGGCAATGACAAGAGCGAGGATGAGCATGATGACAGCAAAGTTGAAAGCCTTGTCTTGGCCTTTCACCGGGCTTGTTGCCTGTGGATGGTCTTGCTGCAAGTCCTCAATTTCGGGTCGGACTTGTATTGAGTGCATAGTGCCAAAAGAATTGTGCCGCAGGTCAAACCGCTGATCCGTTGCTGTCGGCAGCCCTTCCTCCGCCACGATGGGTCTGCTGCCATGACGAATCTCTTCCATGATGGACCTAGGCTGGCTGACGGTCCGAATCAGAGGAGTAATCTCGTCGTCCTCCTCGCCATCTGTTGCATGTAATTGCTCTTGGCGGCCCTTGATGAACTGGGGATTTGTTTCATCTAGGAAGATAATTCCCTGAATGACCGCAATGACAATGACCGCGACCGAGACCAGGTTTGGAAGAAGGTACGGGTATTGCCCAAAAAGTCCATCCTCGGGGAAAATGTCAGGATAGAACTTTGCAGGCTGCGCCAGATACCCACCCATCGCGCTCCCGATAATACTGCCAAGGAACCAGACAAACGGCTGGACAGCATATGCTCGTGGTTCGTGTTCTGGCTTCTTGACCATCTCCGCCACCATGGTCTGCATCACAGACACATTCCCATTCAAGCTTCCTCCAACAAAACGTGCCAACAGCGCCACCCAGTATGTTTTGGCCAGGCCGAAAATGAGACTGGAAATCGCGACTCCACACAGGCCAATCAATACGACGGGCTTCCGTCCATATCGGTCTGACACTGCTCCCCATATCATGGACGTCAGGGCCTCGGCGACCGCGTAGGCGGAGACGAGGAGTCCGGCGTAGAACGAAGCATTAACGTCCGTACCATTGAGGTCCTGCACCATAATGTAGGTGTAAGCGAGAATTGAGTTGAACGCTATAGGCTCTGAGAAGCGGCAGATAGCGAGGATAGTAAGCTGGTAGGTGGGGAAGCCATCATCGGACTTGGCGTCCTCCCTCTTGTTTGCGTGCCCATTTCGAGGATCTTCTTGCTGTGCATGTTGAGGCATGATACGGCAGATGCCTAGGTGTGCTACAGCTCGTGTCTCAGTGGAAGCTACTGCCGGTGAAGGGAGAGGGAAGAAGAGAGAGAGAGAAGGAAGAAGCATCTAGGATAAGAAAGGTCTTCATGATGTGAGGTTAAAGGTGGAGCGCCCCATTATATAAATCTGGATGTCGATCCCCAGTGCGTGTAGGGATGCTGCCCCGGCCGCGATGCGCGCACTAGCGTCACGCGGGCTGCACGCCTGGGATGCCAATGCTGATTGAGCATCGGTGTGTGGTGAGAAGTGCACAATGCCATGGGGCAGGAGGTGCATAAATCTTCATTACCTTGATGCGTTGGCTGCAGATATTGCGGCACGAGATGGAGGATGGGTAGGTCGCGCGACTCGCGGGAACAAAGGGTCCAGTGGCACGAGTTGGTCCGAGAATTGAGGCGGCGCTCAACATTCAAGTTAGGCTTGATTGGCTAGAATGGTGAGGTGCTAGGGATGCGTTTCGTATATACGTCCCGAAATTCCGGGGCCAATGGTAAATCTGTGGTAAATCTAGGATCGCTGATCTTCTACCATGACGGGGTTTTGCCGACGGCTAATCTCCATGGCCCAGGTTCTGGCAAGCCTGACAAGTCAAGGCGATGAGGCTCTTTTGATGATTATCTCAACACTGCCTTCGTCCGCCAGACGACATAGTGCACTCATGGATGCAAGCAGAAAACTTGTGATCTACTTATTGACTGATAGGTTCTTGCATTCAGTCACCCATCACTTGTGCCTCTTCCCTTAAGATCTACTCACCATCTGGTCCGGCATGATCCCTTCTCTGCCTGCCGAGGAACAAAGGTGCATCCTGGACAAGCCGACATGATAGTCTAGGGTTCGGGTATTCCGATTCTCCTAAAGCTATTCTGCTGGACAGTTGGTGACGACATATAACAGCTGACTTTTCTATTGTTGCTTATTCCTGGAAAGTCAAGTGTTTTTGGGCACTCGAGACTTATCTCGGGCATTGCCCTGGTACTTCTATTGAACGCTTAATATCCGGTCAAGTTCTCGCAGCCCTTTCCCTTTGCCTTTCGAAGCCGCCTAATCAACCGCCTTACTTTTCATCCCCCCCCCCCTTCTCCGGCATTTCTCCATTGCCACTCATTCGTTTATTTCATCATTTTTGGACGGAGAAGACCTTCAGATTTCTCTAAAATTCGGTGCACATGATGTTCAAAGAGAGAGAAGCCTCTACAGAGATAACAAGGCGCGCAATTAACACTGTGCTTTTTGAAAACACTTCGATACATACGGTAAGGTTTCAGTGTTGAACCAGAATGGACCTGTGGTCTGCAGCTGAGCAATACGAAAATACTACTCCCACAGACAATATAGCATGAAATAAGGATTTGAGACGAAGATTCTTTGAGAAGAAGGTCAATCCCAAAGCCTACTGGGCACATGGTCAACATCAACTGAACTATGAACCAGATACACCTGTAACCAGCACGGTGATTGATGAGCAGTGGAGCCCAGTTACAGATTCTCCCTTTTTTTGTGAAAGCCTGCAACGTCGAGTTGGGCATCGATACTACTCCGGACAATCCTGTGCTTTCGGCCCCAAAAGGTTTGCACCCCAACCTCCCGTCCACCTTCACCTAATGTGGAACGCGTATCTGCTCCAAGAATATACGCGCTCGAATAGGCGGGAATGCCTGTGCTTAATTTTCTGTGAGTCACTATGCTGCTATTTGCAAACATAAAACTTGAAGTCCTCGGCCGAGCAAAATCTGTTCACACGTATATCACTGCCTTCGCGCATCCGCACAACTGGGAACCGAAATTCAGCGTGCTCTCGTTACATTTCATTTATGCGTATTCATGCCTCAAAGGTGTGTAGAACCAAGGGTAGCACCGTCACCTTGACCTATGCGTGGTGTTCGCAACTTCACTCCAATGCAGAAGTCTACAGCAAAACGATCTTCTGAGTCCTGTTACCTTGGGGGACCGCTTCCTCATGAATGTTGTACCTAAGAAAGTCCATATTCGAATTCTGATACCAGTCATAATTGACCAGATCTGACTTTTCGGCACTAATGAACAAGAATAATGAGATACCAATTGCATTTCTGCTCCTCCGACTTGATAAATCCGGACAGTAACGGACGGCTTCGCAAGATAAATTGCAATAATTGTGCTAGAATCTCGCAGTACTCAAGCATACATTTGATATTCTGTCGGTCTATAGAGCGGTATGAAAGTGTGAATAATATCTTGCTCCTGTATGAGGTTACAACACCGATTCTGCCATGGTATCAAATCTTGGTCACCGTGCTCAGACAATCATTTCTGCATGGTGTGATATGACTCTTATCCTATTTTCAGATGCAGGAGATTGGCAAGGTGACTCGTTTCCTCGAGCATTAAACAAGCTTGTTGAATGGCAAAAGATGAAACTGTGTAAGGCGTATCAGAGCTTATAGAGCAATACATGCCTAGAAGTAACCATTATAGCGCTTGCAAGGTAACCAGTCAAAAAGTCATAGTTCTTATTTGAATCATCATCTCTTTTGTAAAAATTTGACACATACAAGTCGCTCATTATATTCATAAAAGTACTTTTTGCAAAACCTTGCAAGGAGCTTCATATAATTATCATCTTGTATGAAGAGGTTAGGTATTAGTGTTCTCGTTCCACGTTCGAATAGTTTGTCGAATATATATTGTAATACGCATATATTGTAACACGCCTTCCCTGGTCCTTGGCTCATGTTGTCTTGACCGTCGATACAAGATGTCGGCAGTCAAACCAGCAATGTGATAAATGTGGGGTAGCTCACTCAAGAAACAGAATCAAGAACTTGCTTGTTCATCTCGGCACTCCATGAGAAGATAAAAATTCCAAAATCCAGGGGACATGGAGTTATTACTTTCACACTAATGAACCCCGTTCCAAATGATATGGTGCAGGTTCGATTTGATGGTAACTTATTAGTGAATATTTGATCAGTTTTGGGTGCATCGTGATACTTCATCTAACATCGAAGTATCCTTGCATGCTGAAGATGAATGTGAGGCCCAGAAACCGACATGAGGGTTTCACGAATACACGCAGGGAATTTCAAACCCAGGACTCCTCGCAAATGGATACTTTTGAACAGAACGCATCTGCATTCCTCATCGTAAGGAAATGGCTTTCCCAATTATTTCTCGCTGTGTCACCAACTTAAGCCCGTGTCTTTCGCAGTGGCCTTCTGATCCAGGCAATCACCTTCCCGTATGTGTTGTGAAGAAATCCATTGGATTCGAAGATAGGAGTGAGGGGTTTAAAAACTTTGTTATGAGGGTTCCTTGGCTGTGCCGCGGGGCTCAGACACAATTCCGTTGTGGTGCGGCACATCTATACCTGTTTCTTGGTGCTGATGCTATGAAGCCTCGCAATTTGCCGAGGACCACAACTAATAACTAGCGGGAAACAGGCACAGGGGTCAATGTCAAGATCGTGGATGGCGCTAAAACATCTACACACGTCATGGAATAGATTGGTAGTATCAGAATGAATTTGCAGGTCGAACAAAGGAACAACAACGTGAGTCGATATACCATGCTCGAGACATAATCTAGTAAATTCGCATCGAGTATGCCAGGTTCTACACTGTCCATTTACGATATTCCGCGTCCCAGCTGGTCTCTAGACCGATCTCCGAAGTTCCGTAAGGCGAAGTAAATCTATTAGACTCACGGCTGGGTGTATGCCGAGTACACCGAGACAGGTCCGAGGCCCTGTACAGTAACGCCTTGTCTCTTGTATTCATGCAACCATGGTCGGTAGGTTGTGCTAAGGTTTCTGATGACGCCGTTACCCCTTAGCCTTTCCACCAGGAACTCCAGCTGTGTATGGAGTACATAAAGTGCTGGCCCCTGATTACAGCGCTAGGTTCGTTGATGTGCTTCTATCATGTTATGGTCGCCAGATAACGTATTGTTATTTAATCAACAATCTCTTTCAACAGCTCTTCACATATTGTCTCTCTCGTTTATTGCGCCAATTTGCCATGCCGTACGTCGCTAAACAAGCTAATAGGAAGAGAGTAATCATCGTGGGGTCCGGCTGGGCTGGGGCCACATTGTCTACAGCCCTCGATGAACGTAAATTCAAGGTTACCGTAATTTCACCCGAGGAGACAACTCCTTACACCCCTCTGTTAGCCAGTGCCGCCTGTGGGCTTTACGATTTTAGGTATGCAATCACTCTTCCGCCAGGATTAGACGTCTCGACCATCAACATAAGGTAGTTATATGCGGTAACTAACACATGCCAGTCTTGTCGAAGCACCTATCCGCCATCAAAACAAGGACATCAGATACATCAAGGCCAGTGTTGACGATGTGGATTTTGACAAGAAAGTGTGCAAATGCAAGCCCGCTTTTGACGAGCTTCCGAAGACATCACCTGGGGAATTTGATCTGTCATATGACTACCTAATCTTAGCACCTGGTTGCACGAACAACACCTTTGGCACCCCGGGTGTCAAGGAACATGCCATGTTTGTTCGTACTGCACGGGATGCCAAAGCTATTCAAGCTCAAATTCGCGACTGTTTTGAGAGGGCCTCTATTCCCGGCTTGACAGGCCAAGAAAGTATGTTGTACACTGCAAAGCTTTCACCCTTCTGACGCAAAATCTTCTAACAAGTGCTTTCGATTTAGTACGAGACATATTGCACTTTGTTATTGTGGGCGCCGGTCCGACTGGTGTTGAAATTTCCAGTGAACTATCCGATCTATTCCACGAGGATTTTGCACGCTTGTATCCGCACATAAAAAAGCACGTCCGTATCTCAATCCATGATGTTGCGCCAAATGTTTTGGGCGGATTCGACCAACATCTGCAGGAGTATGCCATGAACAGTTTTGACAGGCGCGATGTTGAGGTCCTCACCGAGAGCCATATTGAGAAGGTCGACGATGGAGCGATTTACACTCGAGAACTTGGAAGAATCCCTTGCAACACGGTCATATGGGCTACGGGTAACGGAGCAACGTCTTTGGTGGATCGCTTAAGATGCCAAAAGTCAGAAAAGGGCCTTCCACGGTTGCTGACGGATGAATTCTTACGACTTAAGGGCGAAAATAGAGAGCCTGTCCCTGACGTCTATGCCCTCGGTGACGCGGCTGATGTGGATGGCGCCAGTCTGCCCACGACGGCCGAGGTCGCATGCCAAAAGGCAAACTGGCTGGGAACTGCTTTGAACAAGGACTTCGAACAGGGCAAAGTGAGCCATTTTCAATACCGACAGGCTGCTGTTGTGGCCTATCTGGGGCACAGTGATGGCGTGATCGCGGGGAAGAGTGATTATACCGGCGCTGAGGCTTGGGTTGCATGGAGAAGTAAAAACTTCCTCTGGACGAGAACATGGAGGCAAAGGGTATTGGTAGTTGTGAGCTGGGTTCTCGATCGACTGACGGGGAGGACTATTGCTCCGAGGTAAAGCTCCTGGAACAGATCATGCTCCGGATGCGTGCTGTTGGGCCCCAAGCGAGGAGTCCTGTGACTCACTGAGGGCGCCTCCCACTCATACTTAATGTAAGGCTTTCAAGCAGTCATCTGACCATTCCATACTTGCAACGCCGGGGGCAAGTAATGTTTGTGGGCTTTCAATTGACTCTTTCCCATTGAAAGGCGGCTCGTCACAGGCAGTCTTCACTCACGCGGGCGTTCTACTCCTTCAGAATCGAAACTTTCCATGTTCCGAGCCAATGGACCGTCACAGTCCCATTTCCATTGACATGAGCTCCTCAAGCTTAAACATAAATATTTTTTTTTTTCCTTTTTCTTTCTTATAACAAGATCGAACAAGAAAATTCTACTGGCTTTCTTCGTACACCATTCGGCATGCGACATCTTGCCAACACCAAACACAGGCCCTACGTAAGTTATCCTACATCGATTTCCGTCCCTATGCTTCAAGGACTAATGCCGTTATTTCGCGCTATATCTATTTAGCGGATCCAAGGATTCCATTTCTCCTTATCATTACGCCCCCAGTTTTCTACATCACGCCCGTTGAAACATGCGACTGTTCCTCACAAATATCCCGGCCCTCGCGGCCGTACTTTCACTTCGCCTCCTCGCCAAAGCGACTGAAGCAGTTGATCATTTGTCAATCCTGCCTGTTGTTCCCCATACCCCATACTACATTGGACCAAGAAATGACTCTGGATCATGCCTAGCGGGTCACAGCAGTTTGAATTTTACAATTCAAAACAACCAAGACAACCCTATCTTTTTCTACGTCACGGGGAAGGAACCCGCCGATGACAGTTTCATCGTTCTCCGAAAACAAGGCGATTGCCACACGTGGTCCACCAAACCCACCTACACCGATATCTCCAGCACCATGCCCTACTACTTTGTCGATGGGACCGACGGGAGCAACGACTTTCACGGCGAGATAGAGGTCAACTCTAGCACTTCATTTATGCTACCAAGTTACGTCAACAGCGCCAGGCTTTACGTTTCTCAAGACAAGTTGCGGTTCGGCACCAATCTCGGAGGCCCAGACGCCGGCTTCGTAGAACCATCAGCCACTAACCCAGGTCTGCCTGAATACAACATTACCTGGCAATTCATCGAGTTCACATACGGCAGCGGCAACTTCATAGTCAACCCTTCCTATGTCGACTTTGCGGCCATGTCGATGGACCTCACTTTGACGTCTGGAACAGCAGGTGCAAACGTGTCCACTGTCCGGGGGCTCGAGACGAACGCGTTAAAAAACATATGTGAAGATCTCAATGAACAAACCAGGAAAGACAATCAGAGCTGGACAAATTTATGCTTGACAGACAGCAACGGCAAGTATATTCGAGCTTTGTCGCCAAGCCAATATTTAGCCTTATACCCCAATGACAAGATGTTCGATTACTACAAGCCATATGTTGACAGGGTGTGGACGACCTACAAAGATCGGAACCTCACGATAAACACACAAGATGATGGGAGTAACACGAAAGTTGCGGTCGGCCGCACTGTTACCTGCAGGGTCAACCCCGAAGACGAACTGCTCTGGTGCGGCCAGATAGATTCCAGCAGCGGACCATACTCTTTCAGGAAACCGACCACAGCTGAAATCATGGGCTGTACACAGGGCTCATTGGGAGGGAATACCATGGAGAGCCCGTTCACAGTGAAAGGGGACTCTGATTTTACGCAGGCTTTGATTGTCCCCCGTCTCTGTGCAGCATTCAGCCGCAGCACTCTGCTGCTAGAGGGCGGCGACAACCAGCCAAGCAGCAAAATCAAGGCCGATTTGTACTACGCGCAGGGAGATGACAAGAACTCGATCACCAACCACTACAGCCGGATCGTACATGACAGATTATTAGACAAGATTGGTTATGCTTTTCCTTACGATGACACCAATGCCTCAGATGGTAACAACACGACAACTAACGCGGGGGGAGTGATCCAAGATCCAGACCCGAGGCTATTGTTAATTGCAATTAGATGAAAATGATAAATTCCTATTCAATGCCTTCTCAACCATACAGATATGTGTACGCGGCTCCGAAAGCGAGACCGCGGTGCGTCTTAGATCCAGTGACATGTTTCGGCTCGTCTTCATGCGCGACTTTCAGCAATACTGCTTGTGCAGTTTCTCGCACCAATCCCAGAAATCTTTGGCTTTTCCATCTCCAATCGCCCTGACAATATCATCTCTGACGCTCTTCTTCTGTAGCCTCCCAAAGGGCAGTATGTATACCCCGTTTGATTCAAGTCTAATTTCATTGGAGAAACCAGAGAACAGCATCGTATATGCACCCATGATTGCAGGATAAAATGTTGGCTGCATTAGAGCCAGAAGCCAGTTGGGCTGATGCTTCCAAACTGTGGTGTTGATCATACCAGGGTTTTGGGTTATGCTCACGATACCCTCAGGTCCCCATCGTTGTGCCCCTTCAACAGCAAGGAACCAGTTCCCTGCCTTGCTCACCGCATAGTCTACGGACGCATTCTCTGATCCTGTCCCTGCGGCATTCATGCGGTCCAGCTCTGCCAGATCGAGGCCGCCGTGTGGCGCAAACCGCTCGATAATCATGGATGAAGTCCAGATTATCCTGGTGGCCCCGGGGGGTGATGATTTTGCCGCCGCGCGGAGCTGTGGGAGGAGTTCCTGCGTAAAGAGCAGCGGGCCCACACAGTTCACGCCGATGTGTCCCTCGAGGTCCTGCTTCGTCTTGGTCCCAGACGGGGCTCCCGCGATGCCGGCGTTGTTCCACAAGATGTCCAATCGTGACTCATGTCTAGCGAATGACGCTGCCGATGCCTTGATGGTGGTGAGGTCGTTGAGGTCGAGATGCATGTACTCGAGCGACCCGTGTCCGGTAGTGGTGGCTGCTTCGTCAATGACTTCTTTGATGGCGGCTCTGGCTCGCTCCTCAGAACGGCAGGCTAGATAGATCTTTGCACCGGTAGGGTACAGCAGTTTGATCAGGGCCAAGCCAATGCCTGAGTTGCCGCCAGTGACAATGAAGACCCGGCCATCTTGACGCGCCACATTGGCCTCGGTGAACTCGGGTTTTGGGGGCAGCCACTGGTCTTTGATGTCGACAAGTCCATCATATGACAGGTGGCTGAAGAGCTTCGAGAAGTCGACGATGGTGTTAGGCATCGTGATGAGGTTGCTGAGAAGGGGCGCGCACGCAAGGCCACAGCTGTTTGTTGTTCCAAGGGTGAGCAGATGCTGATGAGAATGAGGCTAGAGATCGGCAGTTTTCATACGTTGCGACCCGAGGTCAGTGAATTGGCTCACGACAGGACAAATGGGGACGGCCAGGGGTGACCCTGGCTAAGCGTCAGGAGAGGACCGGCCGAGGTTGCTGGCTCATATCTAGTCCAATCCTAATCTATCTACGCTACATAGGGTTGATACAAGCGGGTACGCAATCATAACTGAATTAATCCACCACACTCACCCACCAGAAGTGCCGGATGGAATGTCGGGCCATTGGAGCTGCAGCCAGCTCTTGAGGTGAAGTACTACTGTACACATACAGACAACACCCCTCACCTACCACCTCACTCCTGTCAATCCAAACTTCTATCGCAGTATAAGAAAAAAGAGATTCAGAATCAAGGTTGAAATTGGCTCAATCGGCGTCATTCCCAACAAAAGAAGTGGGACCGAGCTGATTGAGCGAGGATCGAGAGCTCTGCCAAATCTCACAGCGGGGCACAATGCAAGTGAGAGCTAAACGTTTCCAACACCACTACATATCACCACTCAACCCTAATCTGCCCGCCCATATGTTGAATTCAGGGCATCATGGAGCCTTCCCCAGAGCTCGTCTTGCCACCCACGAACCAAGTCCCACTCTAGCAAGGTCTCCTTCACCATCCAAAACCATCCTCCTACTATCAAATCTGCGTACGTCGGTGTTGTGGTCCGGGAGAGGCTACCCTTGTCTTTCTTGGCGTATGGACGGCCCTGAGGCAATGTCGTAGAATCTGATGTGCTTCGCCATGTCGCAACAATTGTCTAGAGGGGCGCAAAGGCGACACAGGGCTCCAAGAATGGTATCGTTTGAATGAAAAGAATACTGCAAAGAATCGAGAATCGGTGCAGGTGCCCCTTTTACTTCATCCATGGGGTAAGGTCATAAAAGCGAGTAATCTGATAGACATACCAATCCGTGACTATGTTTAATACATATTGACTCATACCATATCAAATCCGAGTATGCACTTCCCCGAGTATAGCAGTTCTAGAAGTTATTTGTCGCACAGAGCTAGTACATCGACAAGCAATCTCAGCTCCTACTTTCAATTTAGGTGATCTGACGCTCACCCAAATCACCATTTTCCAACATCAATGGCCCTATCAATTGAGAATAGTGGATATATTCCTATCAGACACGCAAATCAACTCACCGTCGACGGCCCCGAGGAGGGGCACATTGGGGTGCTTCAGGCTCAAGGTGATTGGCGCTTCTCTATGTCGGCACTGGGCGTGACTACAGTGTGGCCGACGAAGAGGGCTGTAAGAAAGTAGAAAGGCTTCATTTTGCTGGCGAACAAATTCGACTGCGTCGTTGTGTATTGCGGGAGATTTCTGTGTTGCAAATTTGGGGGTTAAAACCGACTGTTTTGCATGTTTGACATTGTCTGGCGGCCTTTCCAGCGCGGTGCATCACGCAAGCAAAAATGCTTAATTCAGAGGGCTTCCTCGACGTCTCTTCCGGACATTTCCAGAATGCAAGCAGCCCAGGTGAGAGAGGGTGGGATGGTCGAGTTTGTGGCAATGATCCGGTCTTGCCGCGTGCTGGATGGACTTTTGGATCCCCTTTCGGATTTACGCAGTCTGGTTGAAGACCGAAACTTGGAGTTGAATTGAGAACGGGGACATCGAGGTTTATAGCCGATGCTTCGGTCATTGGTGAACCCCGTTTCCGAACGTAGCTACCAATGAGGCTTTTCATGACTGGCGGGGAGGTAACTTAATCAATTTATTATTCTTTCTGGCCGGCCCGTCGCGAAACATTTTTGCATCCCAACCGTCTAGGTCTGTCGACGCCGGCAAGTGGACTTTCCAAGCTCGCTTGGCCTGAGAAAACTGCCGGTTACTGATGCACGTCCTTGTCCCACCCGAATCTATAAAACATTCAAATCGGACATTGATATACAAAACAACAGTGGTTATTCTCGTTACCTACTAAGTGATTATTCCTCCTCTTGAGACACGACGTCGACGACTCATAATGTCACCACATGCCAAAGCCATTCCTAGATCGATTCTCATCTTCGGGGCTTCGGGACACATCGGTAGGCCCTTGACGGAGTTCTTGATGCTCGAGGCGCCCTCAATCCGCTTACGTCTAGCGACAAGCAACGAGTCCAAGATCGCGCCGCTACAGAATGATTTCCCCAAGGCCGAAGTTGTCCACGCAGATTACTACAACCCCGGCTCCATCTCGGCCGCTGTAGCTGCAATGGAGGGAATCTTCGTGCTCCCTTCATCTGGATTGCGAGAAGAGAAGCCTATGACGGACCTGGTGCGAGCACTGAAGCAATCTGAAACTGTGACACAAGTTATTCGCTTGATGGGCCTGTTTCCAGAATTTCCGCCCGCCTGCATTGCCTTTGAACTTGGGCCTGGCTCTTTGCCAGCAGAGCACCGAGTAGCAAAAGATATCCTCGACGGTAGCGGCTTGCCAGTCACCTATGTCAACTGCGGTGCCACCTTCATGGACAACTTATTCATATTGATGCGGTCCGTATCCGCGAAGAAGACACTTGTATGGCCCGAACATCGTGTGCCGTTCTTGGACCCAAGGGACATTGCGGAGGTCGTTGGGAGGCTATTCCTCTCAACAAGCGCGGGACACATCGGCGCATTTCATACAATGAACAACGGTCATGACTTGCTCAACTTTGAGGAGGTGGCAGGCATTATATCCGAGGTTTTTGACGAACCTGTTGGCTATGATGGAAGCTGGGAGGAGTTCGCCGGCTTTTATGACTCGATCATGGGGCGCGATAAGGTGCAATGGTTATGGCGCTTCTTCAAGTTCGAAGAAGCTCATGAGGAGATCTGGGCCTTGAATAATTTTGTGGAGAGGACCATCGGGAGGAAGCCTGTGACAGTGAGGCAGTGGCTCTTGGAACACAAGGATGAACTGCAGCGGGGAAGTGCATACCTCGGATGGGCTGGGCGTGGAAGGTAAGGCGGCCATAGGTTTTGAAGACCTGTGCGAGGACATTTGGAAAAGGAAACCCTGAGGGTCTTTGATGCCGTTAAGAGATTACCGAGACGCAATGGAGGCTTGTGATCGCAAGTCTTCACTCGTCAACTGCTTAAGCTTGCAACGAGTTGTTAACTAAATCTCTCCTTCTAAGGGGGGTGTCATGCACATGTTCTTCAGTTGCGAAGGGTGACCTATTGTGGTCAACATTCATGTAAGTATGGGGAACTCGAGGAAGTATCAATTTTCCCTTAGCTGGATTATGTGAAGCCAAAAAATGGAGAACAAAGATACAAACACAACCCTCAAATCCAGCTACTTCGACAATCCTGACGCAACCCTACTTAGTGTTCGACTTTTGCACATGCAGACTGACCACTTTTTTTTGCTCGGGGACACTGAGACTCGTTTACACTTCTTGGATCTGTGTTATCCAGCCAACTATACTGGGAGCAAAAGCGATAAATCACTTATTCCATGAAGGTATTTTCGGACCAACTAGAATATCCGCCTGGGTAGGTATACTGCAGCCCGATAAAGCGACGCACGCGCATGCGGATAATATTATGCCAGAGTACTTTATAATCACAGTCTAAGCCGCAGTCTTCGCAATACTTCTGATCAATCCTTCCAGATCACCGTCTGACATCGACGGCACCCTTAAAAGCCCGTTGTCCGACTTGACCCATGGAGCGGACGTCTCAGACCTGGAATTGGCAAACCTGATCATCGTGCCAAAAGTCGACATGTCAAACTTGCCGCTAAAGAGGTCACTCAACGCCTTGTTATTGGCCTCCTCAGCATTCACACTGACAACCTGCCATCCATCCGTCCCGAGCGCGGCCTGTGCGTGCTTCAGCATCTCGTGGCAACTCTTGACCACGGATTGCACATAAACGGGCCTGTTCTCCGTCTCTTCGGGGTGTTCCATGACCCCCGCGACCGCTTTGCCGACCGAGTCCAGGGTCGTCCACACTACACGATTGTCGCCGCCGTCCATGAGCTCCGCGCGCTTCTCGAAGAGATTGATGCCCATGAACCCTGTTCGGAGGTTCCAGTCCAAGAATGGTCCGTTCGCAACAATCGTCCATGTCATTTTCCCATTAGATGACTTGCACCTTTCGTAAAGGTAGTTGTCGCGTTCGACCCGCTTTGAGAAAACGGGCAAAGAGTTGGCCGCGTTGTTGAGCGGGTCGACGCTCCAATCAGAAGGGATATAGCGGTAGACTCCAGCAGCTAGAGAAGCGTCAATGAGGCGTTTTGGAGTGTCATCTTGAACCAGCGTGCAGTCGACGAAAGCATCCTGTCCAGACAGTGCCGCAGTCAGGTCATCGGTGGATTCGAAGTCCACCTTTTTGACCTTGGCCGAAGTTGGGAGACTGCTGGTGTCACTAGACTTGCGGACGAGGATTGTGACGTCGAAGCCGTGAGCAAGGAGGTTAGTCACGACGGGCGTGCCAACATTGCCTCGGCCCTATAACAAACTGTTAATGACAATACTATTTCAACGAGCCGCCAAGGCCGAGTTGACAGCGGATCCTTACACCGGCGACGGCAACACTATGGACTTTTCGCGACATCTCGGTGTTGATTTGGAAGACTGCTGTGATTAAATCCGAGAAGGAGGCAAATATTCGAATACTTTTACTCTCCTTCCACTGGTAGCTTTCCGCGTTGGATTGGTTGTGCTTTCATGGGAGGGGGCCGGAACTAATGTACATTTAAATATGAGAGCTTCTGTGACTATTCTTTGTCATCATGATCAGCAGGTAGGTCATTGCGAGGCATTTCTTTCGGGGCGATTCCCCGGATCCAAGTGCGTGTGAAATACAAATACGCCTTTGTCACCTGTTTTCCGTGCGATCCAGCAGCGCACACACCAGCCAGGCTAAGACCGATGATCCCGGACAGCCTAGATAGCTACGGAGTCCCGCCCCGGACGTGGAAGTTCGTACCTTGTTAATGCGTAATGCCTGGCCGGCGTGCCGCCCTTCGGACGTTGCCTTGGGGAAGCAATGCATTGTGACGAGTGTTCACCGAGATGGGATGTATGAGGTGAAACGCTTCCGCCCGCGGACTTGAGATGTTTCAGCACGGAGCTTTCAAGCTTGATATAGGACGCTGTCCGGAAATTATAGAACGATAATAGAACAAACAAAGGCTCAGCAGAAATGTTGTCGCTATGTCTTGTGAATCTAAACTTTTGTGGTTTGAGTTGCTAACGAGCAGGAGAGTTTGGATGGTAAGAATTGTGCGACTGCTGCAAGCTTGCACAGTCGGTGGACGGATTGACGGGCGCTTGGGACATATTTTTTAAACCTTGCAATCTATTTTTGGAGAATTGATTATATACATTTTGAAGTTGATTTTGTCAAAATTCGTTACATCTGCGTGGTCATTCACTAATCTATGGATTATGCTGGTGCTGTACAACCGCCAAGGCGAAAACAACTCCAGCTTATCGTGTCCGTAGAACTGATGAACAATGTGACGTGTGGAACTAATTTTCTCATTCTAATATCTACCCAGCTACCAGAAACCTAGCGATGCAATATTGCGGAGCACCTGGATCTCGCTAACTATGGAAATCCCCTCGAATATTGTTCCCAATCACTGGCGTTGACCATGTTCAGTTTGAGTTGGTGACGGAGAAGCCCTTGATAGGGAAGTTGTAGTTGACGTGGTGAACCTCGACATCTCCAAAGCCACTAGGGATGTAAGAAGTCTTGTCAGCCGCCTTGCTGGCTTCGTGACTCTCCCAGCCAATGGCTCCAACAAAGATCTTGCCGTGGCCTTCAACCTCTTGCGTGGAGAAGCCTGAGGCCCCGCCGCGAGAGCCAGGCAGGGTGAAGGCTTTCTCAATCAAGGCTTTCAGCTCATCCTCACTACCGGTGCAGTTGCGAATGGTAACCATCTCCACGATGGGAGAGTTGATGGCCTCGCGTGGTGCGTAGGGCTTGAACTTGATAGTGTAGCTCGAGGGCTTGCCGTTGAGGACATGGCTCATTTGACCCAAGGACTTGGCGTGAGCATCGCTCGACACAAAAGCGTTCTTGGCCTCAGGAGACACCCAGCCTGGGAGGTGTCAGCGAGCGCCCAACTTCACACGGATTTATGAGCGTACTTACCTATCATCAAGTCCAGAGTTTGCGGGTCCTCGCTGCGCGGTCCCCATCTTGTTCTGATGTAACCAGGTTGCTCTTTGAGAGTCAATAGCAGCTGCTTGTAGGACTCCTTCCAGTCCTCAACGCCACCTGTTACCGGGATAATGACCCGTTCAGTGATTGCGGTCGGGGGAGGCGGTCCACTGGCGGCCATTTTAATTATCTTGGGGAATTGAATAATAAAAAGTTAAATTCTGAATGTGGTGTTAAACTGCAACGATGAGCCTAGATTGATGACGAGCCAAGCATTGGAAACAACCGAGTTGATCGCATCTTTATATTACTGAGGCACAGCTTCGCAGTTCAATACATATCAACTTTATCAACATACGATACCTCCACGGCTTCTCATCAGCATTGCTTTAACCGGACTGTCGCATAACTTGTCAAGTCCGGGTAGAACACCGCCACCTCAGGGAAATCCTTCTACGTAACGACTCATTTTTCTTTCCGTCGACGGACCCAAGAAAATGGTCTTTCGGAAGCCACACTCTCTATGCCGCCATGATACAACCCGCGAAATTTCATGCAAAACAGGTAAAAGAAGCATCGAGGCTGTTCTTTTCCGGAGGACGTTCCGACGAACCCCACTCTTGATTTAGGACCAACTTCTAAAGACGGCGGATGTCCGAAAGCATGTGGACAACCGTGTTTCCGACAATGTCTTCAACAACGTTGACATGTGGCAGTCATGTTGTTGTTTGGCGGCCAGACCGACTTGTCAGCCTTCAAGTTCCTGACATGTTTCATCCGAAGGGTCCTCGAACTTTAGTCCGCAAGGCGTTTCAGGGAGGCATGACGGGAGCGGCCGTCAACCCGCGGAAACAATTACTGCAAAAGGAAACCCCATTCTAAACCTCAACTCCGCCACGAACCAGTATCCGTACATCGAATGCCACCTCTTATTCGGGTTCCGATTTTGGAGAACGGATCGGGCTCTGGTCGTGTCCAGCTCTCGCATGCGACACCCGGAAGTCATTCTGAAACTCTCCCCACTCACTACCCGTGCCAGGCAGACTGGAAGTCGTGCAGCAACCTCCAAGTCTGTCAAACAAAGTGTTCAGTTGGTTTTGAGTACGCCGTCATAGCCGACCGGGCAGATTGACGGGCAGATTAGAGATCGAATTCTGTGGAGACTAGATGTTGTCCAAACGAGACTCGAAGCTTTGTGGGCTGCGCTACCCATGAAGCAATTGGTCAGCCTAGAACAGTGGGGTCTAGACAAGGAGGAACTGGTTCCCTTGGTGCCATGGCAACTTAAGGGGGCAGAAATATTTTGAGCACATTATGAGGATGGTGTTAATAGGTTTACACGGTGTTGGACTGGTCTGTTTGAGCTGAATCGAAGGAACCAGCTCAGTGTAGCCTCGTACAAAGTGTGGGGGTTCATCTAGCTAGCTATATACTACCACTGAACTTGGGGTAGAAACACAATTATACGATGTCAACCGAACATTTATTAGCTTGATGCTGGCCTGTCTTGGCAACACTTGAGATACATCATGCATCCATTCTATCCGTCTCAATTCGAAGAAGCCCAGCTCAACGGCTCTTTCAGTCATAACGAAGAACTTTATCTGAATTGAAGCCAAAGAACCAATGAAATCAATTGCTACATTCTGATGAAGCTATGTTGGCGACAAATGTACATGAACGTTGCATCCGAGTGTGTCTCAATCAACTGTATCCCATCTAACGCCTCCCACCACCGGCATCCTCTGCTCTTGACGCGCTCAATCACAAAAGCCTTGTGGTATAAGTCATTGATCGTAACCTTGGCACATCGGAGAAAAGTATGAAGATATGTAGTCGCCATAGCCGAGGTGGCCTCGGCCATAGTTGTACGATGTGTAGGACAAGGCACCAGGCTTCGAGAAATCCATTCCAGGTCTATTATATCATGCTGTTAGCCTCTCCGGCGATATAGGTCTATGTTATCGAGTGGAATTTGAGACTCACATCATAGCAGCTGCCAAGGCACCCCTGGCATACTTGCTCGCATGACGTTCATACCCTAGCAACTCTAGGGCTTCGGTGAAGTTCGCGGTGGTGCGAATGTCATTGGAGTTGGTTTGCACCCACGGCAAATGGCATTTGACCTCGATCCTATCCTGGCCCGGCCTCATCTCGAAGACAAAGCAGATACCTACGTGGTGATCCTTTGGGAAGCGAGGTGGCTTGGACTGGTCTGCAGCAATTCCTGTAGGTTCGTCGAGCAGAAGATGCCAAATCTTGGACAGGTTTTCGACGCCGCGCATGGTCGACTCGTCCATTTGCAGACCACCTAGGGTGCACACGTCGCGTATGGTATTTATCGAGTTCGACTTCGTGCGCGCATACACCTTGATCCGTGCCTTAGCCGGGTCGATGCAGTCGATGGCGATCATCTCAACAGGTATGTGCTCTTTGTATCCTGCCAGGAATGTTGACAACTTATCGACCACCTTGGTGAACCCCTCTCCGCCGGGCTTTAGATCGCGAATGGTACTCCAGGTCAATTCCTCGCTGCTGATACCAGTGGCAAGGTGCTTGAGCACGGGAAAGAGGTACACCTTCATAATACGCTCGGCCCCTTTCATGTCAAACGCCACAAAGATCTGCGGCGCTCGAGGTTTGTGTGGTGGTAGTGCGGCCTTTGCGGCGGCCACCTCGTTCTTTTCATGCACGAACCAGCGAGACCAGACTTGCTCGAACCACCGTGTGTCCGCTCCCGGTGCAACATAACGCAACAGTGGCAGCAACGTTGTTATCTTGTCTCCAGGGAAAGGATTTTCTGGGTCGTCATTCGGTAGGAGCGGCTCGAAGCTGTAGCGCACCACGCTTCCATCGTTCTGGAAATTCCATGACGGTTCGAACGGAGAGCCATCCATTGTTAACAAAGGGCGGATAGTGGTCTGAGGTGTAGGGGGTCCGTAGGTCGGCACCACAGCATCGCGATATGCACGCATGTGGTCGATTTGTTGCTCATATGTGTAGGAGCCAGCGCTACGGAGGAGGGTGGCAAGGAGAGGCGCTGTGCGCTGCCACCACCAATTGTGATCCGGATGAGTTGGGGCATCGAGACCACCGATCTTGGTGGTCGTAAGTCCATTTGCCTTAGAGTCACTGTGCTGGGGAAAGCCATTCACTCTGGCCGCCCAAGCAGGCTCATCATCTTCGGCAAGTCGGACCATCGTCTGTAACGATTGTTTTGAAGTCGGCTCGACTGCAGTTGTTGTAGTGATAAGGGTGCTCATTACTGATCTAAGGAGACTATCACGCGCGAAAGCTGCGCTTGGCTATGACACAACGAAAAGAGCCCAGGAGATGCAAAGTGAAATTCATCAGACTTTGACGAAACATCAATTCTGCTGCGGCAAGTAAGTTGATATATGGCTTTATGACAGCCAGCAGAAACTTAAGTCTTGCTTCCTGGCATGGGCCTTGCAGAAACCTGTGGCGATTGTTTACTGCAACAGAAGAATGTGACACTGGACATGATTTGCCTGCAGCCCCTGTCACCAAGTCAAACACTTGCTGGCCTTGCCGCCCAGACTGGCCGGGAGAGAAGACGGAGTCCGCGCCGCTCCCGGTATGCGCCGGAGCCCCGGTCATTTTCGGTTCGCGGAACCCAGCAAAGTTAGACTTCGCACCCTGAAACCAGAGTCCCGATGCGGCGGCAATCGAGCATATGCACAAGGGAAGTTAGATATCTCGTTTGATACTTTCTCAGCCAGAGACCTGACTGCCTTCGCAATGGATCGGGAGGCACCGATGGGCCGAGGCGTGCGATCACAGCCACGTTTCAGATGGGCCCCTACATCAACAATGGAAAGAATGATGCCGCCGGCGCCCCGCGGAACCACGTTCATCTGATCTAGCATCACTGATCCGTGTCCTTGTCAATATTTGGCAATCGGTAATCTGTGGGGAGTCCGGAGTTGTACTCTTGGTCAACTTTGACGGTGGTAATTAGAACACAAATGTTTGGTACCATTACCGGTGCATAGGACGCGAGGCTGAAGAAGTTTCAAGGAGACAGGTAGCTCTGAATTCTGCGCACAATAGCACCACTACTGCGTAAAAACTGTCCACTCGTGGAGGAGTCCTTGACACGGGTTCTCGGACTTGTGAGCCAGAGACTAAATGCATTCATCATCAACGCCTATTAACTACTTATATATACACTGGTCTGTCAACACAGGAGTTGCCTTTTGTCAGTCTCGGTAACAAGCCGACTACGAACATTTTCCACATCTTTACAACCCACAACTTTAAAATGGCTCCGCCAAGTGCTACAGGTGCAGCAACCGGCACTGAAGGGACATCAAATGGCAGCGCCAGCGTTCCTAAGCCGCGATGCCTTCCCCCGGGCTTTACCGACTCCAGATTCTCAGACTTCATCTCACAGCTACATTCGCTCGTGGGCAAGACCAACATTGCGGTGATCACTTCTGAAACCGTACTGGATGATGGCGACTACGAGACAATCGACTGCTTGACACATGATATGCACAATTTCTACGACCACGAGGAGTTCATTGCTTCTGCCCTCGTGCGCCCGCGGGATGTCAAGGACGTTCAAGCCGTTGTCAAACTATGCAACGACTTTGCTGCGCCGCTATGGGTATTCAGCAAGGGACACAACCTAGGCTATGGCGGTGCGGCGCCTCGCGTCAGCGGCAGTCTCGTGATGGACCTTGGCAAGCACATGAACAAGGTGCTCGAGGTCAATGCTGTGGATTGTTACTGCCTCCTCGAGCCTGGCGTCTCATACCTCCAGCTGCAAAAGTACCTCCGCGACAACAAACTCGACGATAAGGTCATGATGGACGCACCCGAGCTGGGATATGGCTCCGTGATTGGTAACGCTCTTGACCACGGAGTCGGGTTCACGCCTTATGGCGACCACTGGATGATGCATTGCGGGATGGAGATTGTCCTCCCCACCGGGGATATCGTCCGGACCGGCATGGGCGCCATGTCCAGCCCCGAGGGGCGGGAACAGGCGAAGCAAGGTGTGCACCCAGCGGACCAGAAGCCGAATGAATGTTGGCAGCTCTTCCCTTACGGCTTCGGTCCGGTCAATGATGGTATCTTTTCACAAGCCGGAAACGGCATCGTTACGAAGATGGGCATGTGGCTGATGCCGCGTCCGCCGGGGATGGAGGCGTTTATGGTCACGTACGAGAAGGACGAGGACCTTCCGCAAATCATCGACATAATCGGCCCGCTTCGTGTGAACATGATTCTGCAGAACGCCGCTGCGTTAAGGCATGTCGGCCTGGATCTGGCACATTACAATCCCCGGTCGCATTACACCGACAAAGCTCTGAATGAGCCCATGACAGACGAGGACCTGAATCGGGGGGCGAAGGAGCTCGATCTGGGCCGATGGGTCTACATTGGCGCTGTATATGGCCCTCCAGTCATCCGCGAAGCCCATCTGAAAATCATCAAGCAGGAAATGTTGAAGGTGCCAGGGAGTAAATTCTACCTCGAAAAGGATCGCCCGGAGAAGCTTGGCACCCTAGAATGTCGCGCCGAGACAATGCGAGGCGTGGCAAACATGGATGAGCTGATGTGGCTCAACACATGGATTCCAAATTGCTCTTTCATGTCACTCGCGCCGATATCGAAAGTCTCTGGCGAATCGGCTTTGGCGCAGTACACACTGGCGAAGAAGAGGTTTGACGAGGCCAAAATGGATTACATGGGTATCTTCAGCATCGGCATGAGGGAGATGCGTGAGTATTGAAAATCCTGGACATTAAGAATATCGCTAATAATGGCTCATAGATAACGTTATCTGCATCGTTTTTGACCGCAAGGATGCCGATACGCGTCGTCGCGTACAATGGCTCGTCCGCACGATAATCAAGGATTGGGCAGAGAACGGCTGGGGCGAGTTTCGAACGCACATTGGCATGATGGACCAGGTGGCAATGACCTACGATTTCAATGACCATGCACTCATGAAGCTGAACGAGAAAATCAAGAATGCTCTCGACCCGAACGGCATCTTGGCCCCAGGTAAGAGCGGAGTCTGGCCACAACAGTACGACAAGAAGAAGTGGATGTTGGGCGAGGATTACATCAAATAGACCAGAGAGAACTCTCTTCATCTCATAGTTTTTCACAATTTCGCGTGTATAATAGAAATCATGTCATTCAAAACATTTTCATGAAACACATGTATCAAAGCCTAATTGTCGATGTTGTCAAAAGCGATGATTTGATCTTGAAGATACGAGAGCGCCAAGGTATGAATCCGTAGCACTCAGATTCAGTCATCAATTAGATTGAGTGTTGCTCTCGTTAAGGCTATTAGTCTAATTGGTAATTTGCAGTTGATGCAGCAAAGCTCGCTGGAAAGACTCCGAGATGCTCATTATTTACAGCTGTCTAGTTAATTATTATGTTCACCGCACCTTGAACCTTCGCTGAAATTTTCCCTTTCACATGTGTTCAAGATATTTGGTGCAAGCATGCGAATTGCCCAAAACTTTTGACCCAATTTCTAGTTCACCTTATCCGTCTCCTGTGTCTGTGCAGACAACAGCTTGCTTGGATCATCGTGATGACCCATCGTGTCCTTGCCTTCCTCCGCCTCCCGAACATCTGGATGATTGATTCCAGCCAGGAGCCTGCTTTGCTTCCGAAATAAGCAGTAGAAGTTGTAGGAGCCCCAGAGCTGCGCCGCTGCAAAAAGGATGTGGAGCATGGGCGTCGTGATCTTGAAGGCCAGTGTCCACCTATTCCATAACGAGCCGAACATGTACATAGTCACAATCGTCTCGACGATGGTTCCGGTCAAAGTCGTGGCCATTGCTGCGAGGAAGAGCTTCCGGAGGAAGGCGTGCGAGTCAGGGTAAACTCTATATAGTATGATGGTGACATGTGGCAGGAACTCGGCGATGATGTCAAATGCCCCTGTATTGAAGCTTTGTGTCAGCCCTTGTCCTATCGATATCGGAGGCATCACTGGGGATAGCCTTGATGTTGCTCACTCACCCCACACTAGACACAGAGAGAACTCAATGTCGGCATCCGGCTCTCTGATGAGATCCAGGCTGATAGCAATTGCGGCTTGCCCGATCATGATCGTTCCCACATGGTGTCCCACACTGACTGGAGAAATTTTGGGGCGATAGAATAGCTCGAAAATGTACATTGCAATAAGCATCTGCGACACGACGATCAAGACGTCGCCCATCGTGACAGGCGTTGCCGTTCCGGAGAAGCGGGTATGAAAGGTTGATGTTCCAAAAACGACAGAAATGAAGGGGTACACGGCCGCAATCAGTATAAGGATCTTGGTTCCGCCGGCGATATGATGGTTTACGAATCCTCTTCGTGTCGTCTCATCCATTGTCGTGTATGTTGTTCCGTATACCCTCCTCAGCAAGAATCCCTCGAGGATGTAGAATCGAATCGCGAAGTATATCACGAACACGATGCTCATTATCATAGCACTGAATGGTGCAAGGATCGATATCGTTGTCAGAGGCATTCTGTCGAGGTGCTCATCGTGGCGCCTGGCCATGGAATTATGGTCATCCATGTTGGCGATTGTAGGAGGAGATGGAAAGGAAAGCTCTTCCTAGGTCTCTCTGTGCGGTTATGAGTGGAAAAACAAGTGAAGTGTCGTGCAAGAAGAGTCAATGCAGGATTGTCGCGTGACAATTGATGGGGGAAAGGAAAGGAAGGGAGACAGGGCGTCTTGAGCTCAGGCAATCAGCTCCTTATACGGGACATGGCGAAAGGATCGTAACGAAATAAGAAAACGGAATAAGATTCACGAAACATCGAGCATTTTGAGGGGTAAGGAAATGAGACGGCTGTAGAGCCGGGGTGAAACATGGTCGAGGATGTGTGGTGAACGTGCAGTTCCTGAGTAGGTTCAGTTGTAACCTCTAACTCTGACTCGTCAAGTTGATTCAATTTATCCCGCAGTCTAGCTGTCCAGCTGGTGAATGCTACGAGATCAAGGGGGACCCTGCTCGTGAGTGGCTTAGCAAATAGGTTGGATACGAGCTGGCCGCCAGCACACAGACTAGGGCTGGGCCACATAGACTAGCCTAGATCTGAGGTTCAGAGGTCTTCCTGAGTCTCTCCTTTTTCAAAGGGGGAGGGGCCGTGGGGCTTCTCTCTTGAGTCGTCCATAAATTCGTTCCGAGACTCGAACTGATGATTTTGCACAACATCTTGTTTCATTCGCAAGGTAGCTGACCAGGGCTGGAATGTCGTGCTTCATCTCCTGCCCTAAACATTCGAGATCGGTTCAGGGGCGCCCACGGTAGCCGCATTGGGTGTCTTGGCGGTACTTTGACAGAAAGCTTGACAGAAAGCTTGGCACGGGAGGCGCAGATCTGAACAGGGATGGCCCTCAAACTCTAACCGGTCCAGGCACAAAAACGAACTGTTACAGCACAGACAGGGGTTGCAGCAGACTTGGGGAAGCCAGGGAGGATTCTCAAATCATTTTCGAAATCTGACCGATCGGACAAGACAGGGGCCTCTGGATTGGCTTCGGACCAATGGCTAAGTCCCCTTCCTCCTCCACTTCCTGGGGGAGCCTCGGGAATACGTTGCGACGTTGCGGACACTAGCCCTCAGAGCCCACAAATATCCAATGGAGAAGGAGGGTATGAACTATGTTTGTCTGACGTGGTGACTTGAAGGCTAAATAGGCCCCATCCCCCAGAGACACGACAAGCTCCCGAAAAGCACACACTAAGAATCTTCCTCTTCAACCTTGCCTTGCGCCTCCTTGGAGAGCGGAAAAATGGATACAGTGACCGGCAAAATGCATCTTTGAAGCGGTGACGTCCGATCTGCAATAGTAAGATTCATCTCACGAGGAAGTAAAGGTAATTATGGCTCATATGATGTACCAATAAATAGAATGGGTCATTGCTTTTTGGGTCTCCATGATTGGCTACGGCTAACCCCGAATATTGACACGTCAAGTACCGGTACAGGCTGTCAGGGGTGGCTTTTGCTTTCACTCTTGTGCCTTGAACATGATGTTTTCAGGTATTTGGAAATGTTCTCGATCAAATTTATGAAGATGCCGCAGCTCAGAGCTTCTCAGCACGCCGTCATTACAGCGTACTAATATAAATACATGAGGGTCTTGTTTCATAGTTAAACTCGAATGGGAACACTTCAGTACCAAGCAATGCCTGATATACCAGAAAATAGAGGCACCACAGATTTCTTTAGCGAGACTAGGCTAGTCCAGTAGATCATAGACCCTGTAATGCAATGGCTCTGCCAATAGGAATCATACACAAGCCATTGATCACAATGTGGCAAATTTTGTGGGAGCTTGTGTATCTTAAATCTTGTCTTCAAGGATGTATTCTATATTTAAAGTTCTATAAGTCTGAAGCATCCAAGTTACACGCCCAACAGGCCATTGGTCATTGAATCTTCACATGCACATGCTGCCCAAGCCCGCCTCTAGGATAATTACCACTGCGCAGAAGACTGCCAAAACTTGAATTTAACGAGAGGCCAGCTAAATGCTCTTAGATTTAATTTTATTGGTGATATCCTGGCTTGACAAGGTCTTGAGAAAGTGATATTGGCTTCGAGTAGATCGAAGCCTGCTGTTGAAGGTCCTTCACTATGTTGAATGAGGTTGTTTCCCCGGTAATGATGTTGTACGCCAATCCTTGATTTCTTTGCATGCTTTATAAAACAGAAAGTCTTGTGTGCCGAACATGAGATTTCCTTGATATAATATTGTGAATTTCAAATGCAGATGGTTCCATTGGAACTGGCCTTGTCACTACCTAAGGTAATCTCACACCAGAATCACGCAACAGTCGAGAGTGATATCGAACCCTCCTCTCTGAATTCAGAACCCAGATAGGAGCTGTGACGGACCGAATCTTACGGCTATCAGTACGGGCTCCTAATGACCCTGGGAATGCTCTTGACCCAATATGGATTCAAGGGGGGTGGATTGCCCGTCACATGTACGCGAGACAAGGCATGCCAGGCTCCTGCAATGTGACCAACAAGCATCGCCCGCAAACGACTAGAGCGGGTAAAGACTCGTCATTTTCTTGTCATTGTCGAAATGGAATGGAAAATCCGCTGGCTCAGCTGCTCCTGAGGCCTCGAAGTTGTTGTTGTTGTTGACTATGAGCCCAAATCGGAAACTCGGGACCGATGCCGGCCATTTGTCCGGGGCCTGGATGCCGGAGGTGACGCCTTGCCCAGCCGGGATCGCGATAAGATAACGAGATGCCGTCGGTCTCCTCCGGAGGTCGACGTTCCTCCTTCAAGAGACCAGTTCACAATAGAAATAGTAGATCTATATAGTCTTTGCTTCTAAAAGACGCAGCTTCAGTTGTTTTGTTTCATTTGTTTCCCTTCGAGGGTCCCGTGCGAGCATGGAGTACAAACGGCCGCTATCTCCCCCCAAGATCAAGCCTCGGCTTATCATCCATGGCGGCGCGGGCAACATCAAGCCGACGAACCTGACGCCCGAGCGATACGAGGCCGTCAGGAAGTCGCTACTTGGCATGGTATGTACATCACGACGGAGGCGCTATACCATACATATTTCTCAGCCATCAACTGACTCTCTCCATCTCAGATCGCCAAAACACACACTTACATGCACGCCGCCTCCCCGCCGTCCGCCCTCCAAGTCGCGACCTACGCCGTCACCCTGCTGGAGGACGACCCCCTATTCAACGCCGGGAAGGGCGCAGTCTTCACACGCGATGGCATCCAACAGATGGAATCGTCCGTCATGATGTCGCGAGGACACGCCAAGCGCGCGGCGGGGGCCCTGGGGCTGCGCCACGTGAAGAACCCCATCCTGCTCGCGCGCGCGATCCTCGAGCACGGCGAGGAGGACCTGTGGGGCAGGAAAGGGCAAGGGCACAAGGACAGCCTTGGATTCTCGGATATCAAGAGCGATGAGGATGGCTGTCTCGACCCGGCGGATGTCGACGTGCCGTCTGCGCAGGGCCACACGCTCGTCTTCGGCGCCGCGGCGGAGTCGTTGGCGAGGAAGTATGGCCTCGAGTTCGCGCCCACGAGCTACTTCTACACGCAGACGAGGTGGGACGAGCACACCCGTGCTCTTGAGCGGGAGAAGGCCGGGGAGCAGCACCTAGCAACATGGTCGGCAGATGAATACTTGCCCCAGGGGACGACCGGCGCAGTGGCCCTCGACACGGACGGGGTGGTCTGCTGTGCAACCAGCACAGGCGGCCTGACGAATAAGTTGACCGGCCGCATCGGAGACACACCTGTGCCCGGTGCTGGTTACTGGGCCGAGGAGTGGGACGAAGATGGCCCCTCTCCCAGGTCCTCGTCCTCATCCGCCGCAACCTTTTGGGATCGTGGTCTGGAAGCAGTACGTCGGCCAGGCGCGGTTCTCGAGTTCACCGGTGTCTTGCGAGGGCTGATGGCAGACTGTCTGCCCACGCCGTTTATCTACGCCCCCGTAGCACCGGCCACCTCTTCTCAGTTGATCACCACCCGTTCCTTCGCAACATCTGGTACTGGCAACGGCGATTCTTTCCTTCGTGTGAATGCCGGTCGAACTGCAGCGGCTATTGCACGCTGGAAGGGCGTGCCCTCTGCACAAGCTTTGACTGCCGTCACTGGTCCCGAGGGCGAGTTGCAGAAGTCGGCGGGGGACCGATGGATGATCACCGGAGAGGGAGAGGGTGGCATGATCGGAATTGAGAGCATCGTGGTCAGAGATACGGATGGGAACATCGTCCAAGCTGGAAATTCGATCCTTCAGGATCACAACTGCCCTGGTATGTTCCGCGCCTGGGTGGACGATGACGACAAGGCCGTGTTCCAGGTCTGGCATGACGGTAGCGATGTGTCAAAGTTGGGCTTCCATGGAGAAGGCCGGAGAGAGGACGTTCGGGATTGGGCGGATGAGAAATCCGGTGTGCGAGGAGACATCTATGGGGCATGAGCATAGATACAAATGTGAGCTTCGTACAAGAAGACATAGAAAGAACAAGAATATATAGATATATATACGCGCGCGCGCTGTGTATGTGTGTCTGTCACTCGAAATTGAAGCGTGTCCAGCGCACCTGTCCATGCGCCCTCACCGGCCGTTATTCGTCCGAACACAGATCAGAGTCTGACGAGACTGCGTTTCATGATTCGTTGCCCTTATAGACAGGCAAGCGCACTTAACAAAACTTAGAGAGGGTGGCCGGGGCCAGAGAAGCTGGGTATACATTTATTTTGGCCATGATCCATATTATCTGAGCCCGCTGTGTGGATCTCTAATGCATACATCTATCTACGCTATGATTTCTCACGACCCCCAGAAAGTCTACCAAAACGCCATACAATGAATAAATGGAACATCCAACGACACGTCCTCAGGCGCATTTTGCAACAGAACGAGTCCTGCACATGTCCGGTCCACACGTCACAGACTCCGTGAGCCCAATGCTCCTGTCAGAGTCTTTATAACTTCCGGAATACCTCCCCAAAGATCTCGCGACTCTTCAAGAGGTTCAGCAGCCGGATCCTCTCGTTCTCCAGGTGCGCCGCGTCGCTCGCCTGGCCACAGGGCAGATGAGCGGCCGGGGCGCCGAACTCCTTCTCAAGAAAGCGGATGGCAGGGATGGAGCCGCCTTCGCGGATATACAGAGGCTTACGCCCTCTAACAACAGGGGCGTCTGGCGGAGTTTCGGCTGCGTTTTCAGGTTCAGATTCGGATTCGGACTCGGATTCAGGGTTAGCGAATGGGTCAGAATCGGGTCTGGAATCGTATGCAGAGCGTAATGATGGAATCGGGCCAAAGGTGGAGGTTGACTCGCGGGAGTACAGCCCGGGCTCTGGAGACTTGAGCTTTCTATCAGAAGCCTTGTCGGCTTGCGGTGCAGTATCTTCCGTGTCCTCATTGGCACGATCGATGTTCTCGCCTTCAGATTCCTCTCCGCGGCCATTCTGAGCCTCAAGAGAATCTTCTCTGGCTTCCTTCACACGGGTGTGTTCTCCCGTGGAATCACTCAGTCCCCACACCTTGATGATGGCTTCCTCTAAAGTCTGGAAGATCTGATTGTTCGGGTCACCCAGCCATGGCTCAGCCGTGTTGTCGATTTTTATGCTTAGGGAATTCCTGCTGTCCAGCTGCGCAAATTGGTCCCCCAAAAATTCCTTCAGCGCCACTATTATGTCATCTACTTCTTGACCGGGTACCAGTCGGAAGCTGATTGTGGCACTGGCATGGCCGCTGACGATACTGCCGTCCAGTCCAGATACTTTATACCTATGGATTGTCAAGTTGGGCTCGCGCCAGCGTGCCATCAGGCCAGCTTTGAGCTGGTCGACTGTTCCAGCTTCAGGGTTGCGGCGGCTAAGGATCTTTGTAATGTCCTCATACCGTGCTTCCTCAGCCGTGGTGAGCGGCAGGATAGAATCGTAGAAGTGAGGGACCATGATTTTGTTTCGCGGACCCTTAAGGGTTGACAACAATCGGGTCAGGTCAGAGAGCGGCTCGTCGACCATGTAGCTGCCGTCGACACCAGAGTGCAGATCAGGATACATGCTGTCGACGCAGACTGTGGCATGAAGGACGCCGCGGAGGCCGTAAGTCAGACATGGGGTCTCGTCATCGAGCCAGTAGCTGTTTGCCAGGAGGATGTAGTCGACCTTTCCGATGAGGCTCTTGTTCTCCGCCACTGCCTCCTGGAAACCACGGCTACCAGATTCTTCCTCACCATCGATGAGAAATATGACATCGTTTTCAAGCTGCTTGGCCTGGAGAAGATCCGTCACAGCAAAAAGCGCAGCCATGGTCGGGCCTTTGTTGTCGCTCACACCGCGACCGTACCAGTACCCATTCACACCTTCCACCTGGAACGGGTCCGTGGTCCACTTGCTTTCAGCATTGCGATCAGCAGGCACAACGTCATAGTGACCATAGAATAGGATGCGTTTGCGATGGTCAGCGGGCTCTCGTTTCCCACTGAAGATGGCGCAGACGACGGGGTTGTGTATCTGGTCATCTCTGGACAGCATATGTACTTGTGCGCCCAGCCGCTTGAAAAGGTTGCACAAGAAGCTGGCACCTCTGCGGCAGTCCTCAACGAATTCGGGCCGGGATGAGACAGTCTTGTAGGAAACGAATTCGCGTAGAGAGGCAAACATCATGTCTTCCGGCTGCCCAGTAACGTCTTCGGGTTGTTCACAGACATCGTCGATGCGCCACACGCTGACGGAGTTGTCGTTGGCACCGGTGATGTACAGTTGATCTCCGTTGTAGTTGGTGCATGCTGAAGAGAGAACCTTGCCACCATGGGCGGTCCATCTCTTCAGGCATCGATATTTCTGACTCACCTTTTCGGAGGACGGTGGTGGGTAGTGGTCTTTGCTGTAGTGGACGGTGCTATGTTTCTGTTGCTTGTTAGAGCCTGGCTTCGAATTCGGGCTGGAAGGGCAACTCGAGAGTTGCGGGTATTTGTTGGACTCACTGCCGCAGATCCGGTGGTGGCTCCGGAAAGGAGGTAGCCCCAGGATAGCTGTAGGGCCATGACGTCCCCGCGGTGGCCCTTGATGACCCTGAGCTTCTGCTTGGTGTCGAGATCCCATAGCTCTATAACGCCCTTCTTCTTGCCACTATATAAGAAGGAGCCATCGATGGCCAGGGAGAAGACAGACTCGCCGAAGTCGTCGTCGTCGCCGCGGAGACACATGATCTCGCGCTTCTCCCACGCATCCCACTCCTCGAGCCCATCGTACTTGTCGTCCTGCTTGATCTGCCACAGCTTGATGCTACCGTCACCGCCACCGCTGATCAGCACCTCCTCGTCTGAATCGACGAGGACCGTTGGACCTCTGGCAATGATCATGCAGTAGACGAAGCCAAAGTGGGCAAATTTGCCGACTGAGCCTCGGTCTATCTCCAGGGTCGCCTCAGCCTTGGGTATCAGCTCCTCGCGCTTGTCCTTCCTCCTTGGTGTGCTTATTCCACCAGGGGCCTTGGAGTCGAAGAAGGGGTGGTGGCGCTGGTCAGGGTGGGATGGATTGTTGTGAGGCACGCGACGGTCGCGATCGTTGAGTCTAACCCACTGGATGGATTGGTCCTGTGCGCCGATGTAGACGGTATCCTGCTGGCTGGAGTAGGCGCAGGAGAAGACGTCGCCGACGTGGTCGAGGCTGTAGATCTCGTACAAGCGGGTGAAGGTGTTGGGGCACCAGACCGAGACGAGGGCATCGCCGGCACTGGATATCAGGAGAGGCCGGGAGTCGGCGGAGGTGGAGTCGGGAGAGGACTGGGACGAGTCGGAGTGGGTGGTGGAGGAAGCAGCGCCAGAGAGGAAGAGCCAGAGGATATGGCGCTTGTGGGCTTGTATCCTCTTCACGAGCTCAAAGGTGCCGAGGGACCAGACGATCAGCTCGCCGTCGTGGGTGCCAGCAAAGATATACTTGTCGGACACGGCGAGTGCGAGGACAGAGCTGTCGTGCTTGAGCTCTTGGACGCGGACGGGGGCATCGGACTCCTCGTGGGATAGCGAGAAGCCATTGGTGATGGTGGCGGTTGGGGGTAGTGCTGGTGCTGGTGCTGACGGCAGTGGAGGTTTTTGGTCGGAAATCATGGCGTCTAATCAATAAATGGGACAGACAAGTGTCAGTACAGCACAGAAGGGAGCGTAGGCCTAAGATCTTGAACACTGGCAACGGGCGGCAGCATCGCGTGCCCGGGGCAACGAGGAGGACGAGGCCAGATCACCAAGGGACCATCTCTGTCAGGCTGACACCACACAGGTCAGGTCAGGTCAGGCCAGGACAGAGAAGACCAGGCCGACTGGGCACAGGGTGGTCAGATTGTAGGGAGGGCTGAGTGTACCGGTCGTCTGGGCGAGAGTGAGGGTAGCAACGAGCGTGGTGATCGTGATGTAGGTGTTGAGGGTGGTAGTGACGATGCTGAATGACGGAGCACTCATGCGCCTTGGAGCTGCGTTGTTGCAGGGCCCAGGCGACCCTAAGGGTGTACCTGGCAGGGGTTGGCAGGGCTGGTGGGCACAAACAGGGGGTTCCCCACATGCTGTAGACGGTAGGCCGTAGACCAAAGGAGCTCAGGTTGAGGTTCTCCAAGCTCCCGCTGTGGGCTACTATTATCTGTTTGTGGGGGAGGGAGTGGCGTGTGGCTCCACTAGAGCTATGTTTACCGTGTGGGTGACACACCAGACTGATCTAGATGATCTAGAAACAGTAGAATAGTTGTCTACTTCTACCTGGACTATGCACTTTATGCAGTCGAGGAAATCAAGTAGATAGTCTACTCAGTCTCGGTAGATAGTTGGTGCCACGCGAACATAGACAAACTTCCACTCACCTAGAGTCTTCTGCTGCCGTTCAAACCTCCACACCTCGGCCTGTCTGATCTTCCTGCAACCCACGCAGCTATCGCCAACTGCTTTGGCATCATCTTCACCAGTCTCGGACGCTGGAGGCGTGGGAACCGGCGCCTCGGCCCTACCCTGCCCAGGAAGTATTCCAAGTGCCATGGCCAGTCCGGTCCGATTCGATTCAAGTGGGCTTCAGTCAATCCTGGGTCCAACGGGCTGGGATCTATGACTGACTTCCTTTGAAGCTCCTTGGGCGATTGAGAACACGTAAGACCGAGACGGATGTCGACCGAAGTGGGACGGGGACGGACTCTGGCCAGCTCTTCTTGGTCCTAGATGTATATATATGAAAGATGAACAAACAAATTGCCCTTTCCGAACGGATATTGCCGGTGGCCCGTTCAGATACACATGTACTCACTCAAAGGTGCAGGATTTGGCTACAGTCATCCATACTTCAAGTACATAAGCCCCTGGCAAGATGTGCTTTTGCAACGGCCTTGCTCGGGGCGGGAACTCTTGTGTCGACTCTTGACACTGGCAATGACGCCAGTTCCGAGGTAATTGCATCAGCTCAGTCAAGCCTTGCCCGACCGTCACCAGCTAAATGCAATTTCCCGCCGTCTGACAGGGCCTCATCTATTCTCGGGCTCTCACCGCTACACCGGCTTTGTTGCTTTTTACCAGCCGCTGAGCTTGCCACCAACCTCAGCCAGTGTGGCACAGAGTCCTGTCAAAAGGCCCGCCGTTGGTTCCCAGCCTCTGCCCCTGTCCCCTTGCCCAGGTTTTGGGCAGCTTCAAATTTCTTTGGTTTGTGTCAGCCCTTGCATGCCTTAAGTCAACTAACTGTAAGGCCGCATTCAATGCAGACATCTTCCTGTGATCGACAAATACACCCGCAACCCCTTGCACCCACATCGGTAGCCGTACCCTTACCCAATCACTGCCGGGTCTTCCACGAAAACTCTACGACTACCTACACATGTATGACGGCTCATATTCGAGTCCAGGGATTCCGATCAGATCTGTCACGTGTTCACTATTTCTCAGTGTTGGTGAGCGGCTGTGTCACTCACTCACGCACACATACACACGAGCGTATGAGTATTACTTGGGGAAGGTCATTTCTCCACAAAAGCACGTACAACGAAGTGTAACCCAAGCGGAACGGGAGTTGGCATTTCGCCAGGGCTTGAGCTCTGAGCATATGTAACAATGAAATGCTTTTTCGCTGACTATTATTAACCTCTAAATTGACATCCCTGCGATCAAACTCCGTCCTCGACAACCGAAAATGCTAGCTATGAGCTACACCCATGCATACAAAGTTCACCATTTCACTCTGTCCCTTTGAATGATTGTCCCTTGCCCCGTTTTCTGACCCGAAACTGTATTTTGCAGTATTACCCTGACGCCTCGATATCCAATCCATCAGCCTTTAGTCCCATGCTCTCCAGTCCCATCGCCAGAAGCTTCACCAGTGTGCGGATAAGGGGATGGCAGCACTGACGGATCCGGCAGAAAAGCTTCTGCGCCGGGGAACAATGCACTGTAGTCTCCCCAGTCAAAGTCAAATGCGTCCAAATCCATTGTCCCGAGATAGTCGTTGAGTTCCCCGATGTTGTTGCCCTGGTTGTAGGCGCCTTCCAAATCGTAATTGACGGTCTGCTCTGCCGATTCAGTCGAATTAGGGTCGTTACTGAGGGGGGCAGTAGAAGTTTGGCTCAGAGGTTCTGTTTGTCCAACACTTCGTGTGGTCTTCGGCGAGCGCGCAAATCCCAGGGGCCCTATGTTTGGGTTATGAGGTATCGCGTCTGTAGCAGCCACGGCAGGAGCTTGTTGGATGAAGTTGAAAGGGATCAGAAAGTCCATGGCCTGATTCGGCGAGAAAAGATCGTAGGGGAGGGTGATTTGCGCCTGATTTTCTTGGAGGGCCGGATCGCTTGTTCGATATTCGCTTTGGGGTAACGGCTCAGACGTCTGCCGTGGTGCTTGAGCAGCAGCTGGGGTCGATGATGCAGATGATGCTTCAATTTCCCCAGACGATCTGGATCGAGTCGGAGGGCGGTCCCTGTTCAATTTTGTACAGAATGCTTTCCACCAAGGCTCGATCCTAGTCTCGATGGCGTACAGCCACAGTGAAGGCGGGCGGAACTTGCCCCCGTCTGAGGCTATGCTGAACGCCCTCTTCAAGCCCCCGATATAATACCCCAGCTTCAGAGAGTCCACACTGATCAGGTTGTATTTGCCGGTTCTCCAGATATTGTGTGCGACGAACAGCAGGAACCGTAAGGCGTAGAACAGCCGCGAATAGGGTACATTCGAGAAGTACCTTAATGTTTCGGGGTCTCCAAGACTGCTCGTGCTGGACACACCTGGCGAAATTGGTGGTGAGACGACAAGAGCGAGACAAGCGTGTGCAGCGGTGATGCATTTCTTTGTGTATTGGATCCTGTACGGGGCGAGGACGTCTTGGTCTGGCATGGTGTCTAAGGTCGTTTCCGGGCTGGCCGGTGACTGGGAAGGACAGGATAAAGAAGGCAGACCGTGGCTTCTGTTCTGAAAGTTCGCCCGGCCAGCCGGGTAAATGAATTCAGAGATGAGTAAAGCTGTCTCGTGATACTCCAGCATCAGGAATTCTGAAAACGCCAATCCTTGTTAGCAGCGGAATAGCTCGCAGTCTTTACTGAAGCACTCACCGTTGACTAGGTCAAAGGGGCAATTGATCAGCCACTGTTTCCGTTTCCTCTCAAATGACCGAATAATATTTTCCCTCTGCTCATCACTCAAGCCGTCTGCACCATCCGTGTGGCCGCTAAACAAGGAGAGACATGCTTCCACCGCAATCTGTATCAGCTTGGACCATTCAACGAGAGCCATATCGCACTGGCTCCCGCTTGTCTCCATTATCCGCAGACTCGTGCTGACCAGATTCAAAGGCCTGATTAGAAGATTTTCGCGTGCTTTGACTGCAAGTGAGAAGCTGGACCAGTGCCACTGGAGAAGCTGCCTCGAGAGGTCCAAATCCCTCTGCGTCACATCATTCTCAGCTATTGGCATGCCTTCCGGGATGTTGTGAATCTTTGATTCTTGGCCAAGTCTCACAACGACAGCGACGGACGTTCTAAGACACCGGAAGATTTTCTCACGCACGGACTGTGTGAGGTCATGATGAAAAAGATAGAAGATTGTTAGCGACTGTAATATGTCCAGATCGGGGTCCATGTCCACTTCTACCTGCGCGTCCAGAAGATTCTCCATTTCTGCCGCCAGGACTGGGGCAAGCGACAAGAACTCTGATGAGCCAACCGAGGCGGCACACAGCATGCTGAGCCAGACGGCGGGCTTGTTGCGCCGGAGTGACTGGTTGGTGTGCCCGTCCGGAACGCCAATACCTAGAAATTTGCCATGGATGAACTGGCGAAACTTGGCCATAATCTTCTCGGCCTGATTCTGGGTGATGATGTTACGATCGACGACGTCTGGCCCGTACCGGGACGTCTCGGAACCAGTGACATCGGCAACAGTAGCCGATGGGGCTGGCTGATAGGCGTCCACAGCTCCCGGGGAAGATTTGGGGTCAATCGCGGTGGACTTGTCCACAGCCGCAGAGGGGTCCGGCTTTGGTTCCGTGGAGGCAGGTGGCAGTGGAAGTTGCGATGTGGTCTGGGTCGACTCATCTACCGGGAGCAGCGCCGAAGAGCCGGAGCCGGATACGAAGAAAAGGGCCGGAGCGGGCTTGGTGTGGGACTCAGATCCTTCGGCGAAGGATTCGGTCCCGGAAGGTTCTCGGTCCGCGTCATTGCCGATATTGGCACGCTTCTCGACCTGCTTTTCTACCTGCTTCTCAAGCTTGAGCTGCATGTCCCTGACGCGCCTCTCCAACTCGACGATTCTGTCATTCTTGGAGCGGATGGGCCTCCTCCTGGGCCCGATGGGGGAGAAGACACACGAGCTGCCATTCTTGCTGCACCGCTTGCACGAGTTGGTGGGCGAGAGTGGATCTGGCAGGCATCTCGTTTTTGAGATATGACACGGATCACATGCCTTGTTGAACTTTTGGCCTGATGCGTTGGGAATACCGAAGCGGCCGGGTATCGCCAAGGACGGTGGCTGCGCCATGATGTGGGTGCGTATGTGTGAGAGTGTGGGAGACGAGTGAGTGTGTTCCGCGCTCCTCACCGCGGGCCGCAGGCCTCAAGGGTGGTCTCGATTACAAACGTGTGGGTTGCCGCCGTGTCTTCTTGTTTTTGGGTGGCAGAGAGGGGTTGAAACCGTTGCGGCTGAGGTCTGGGCTGGATTAAGGTTCAATATGGTGAAGATGCGACGCTGGTTTGTGCGCACGGGGGAGGTCAATTTGAAGTCAACACCACGTGAATTCCGGACTGCCCCAGGTTGATTGCATCAAAGCTTGTTCATGATTAGGTTCGTGGATCTGTCGGCATTCAAACTCTCAGCCAACTCCCCGTTGCATACATACCGGCATAGCAGATGATTCTTAAGTGACGTTGGATCTCAGATGGATCTCAGATGGCATCAAGCTTAAGATTTCGCGAAGGCTGATGGCCTCCGCACAAGCAACCCCTGGAAGGGAACGCCTCACCGGCTATGGCGCACGTGCACGCGAACGAATTCTCCGGTATGAGCCTCAAGCGAATGGAAATTCGCATATGGGAATGCCCTCGTGTTTGCGAAAGCCAGGCTATACATACCACTCCTGTTGTTGACACCTATTCGCTGGGCTCCTGGACGACAGACAATGACTCGCTAGCCAAGCAAGTTTTGGGCTCATGGCTCTCGTCACCCCACTTCCACGGCGTTTGAGGAAGTCGGAAGCTCCGGTGTCCACCAAGTCCGTCGGAGTCTGCTGTAGGTAGTTTGATGGTCACACGTCCTGAATTCAATACTATAGATATAGAGGCTGACACGGCTGACAGTCTCTTGAGCCTCAAGTGATCAATTCGCTCTGACCACTTTTTCTCTAGTACATAAGTCGGACGGCCGACCCAGAATTTAGTACCACACACAATCGTTGAGAAAGCCATTGAAGTCTTGCCGCCATCTGAATCGTCCTGTGGGCCCTGGTCAACCGCCCGCCTCCCTTAGAATACCCATAGTAAAGCCGTCACCGACCGCCAATTGCCCGGCGCAATGCTCCCGATGCTGCGAGTTATGCCTAGCAACTGGCGCGACATTGCTTTTGGCACACGCTATCAATTAGACTACCGTTGTCTCTGACAAATGCCAGCGGTTATGATGTGCGCCCTTTTTCAAACCCATGACCACAAGGATCAACCCCCCAGCGCGGTTCGGCTCTTGGATGAGCATCCGAAGCCGGGAAGACCACCAACAACGGCTATGCGGAGCCGTATGGCGTGGCGCTCTACGATGGCCGTTACTTATTTCCGGGGCTTCAGACCGAGCCCTCAAGTTGGGGAATGTTGGCACCTTCGCGGGGAGGGACCACTTTAATTATTAATTCCGACGACTTGCAGTCCTAATTCCCGCTTCAGCCACAGTTTCCTCTGCTTCTGTCCTGGCCAGCTGACCCTCCATGTGCTGCTCCGACCTCGAGGCGAAGACAACGATGCTGCTCCCGGGCTAATTGGTCCGACTGACATCCCGCGTGGATCGACATCATACTGCATCTGTTTCCTCTTTCCAGCCCTTGTCTCCCAGATTACTCACACTCTCTGTCTCTGTCTCTCCCTACCAACACTTTGCGCATTTTGCAGGGCTCGGGAGCACCAATTTGCACATACACATTCCTCGGAGGTTCTGCAGAAGCGTCATGGAGAAGCAAGACGATGAACCTGAGGCCGGCAAAGCCAAGCCGGAGTTGGAGCAGAAGATGGAAGAGGCGTCTGTCTCGCCTACCGGATCTAGCGTCGAAATCGACGAGAAACGCCACCACCACCACGAGCAAGAACGCGAGCAACACGCAGTAGGGGATGAGAAATCCCGGCAGCACTCAGAGAGCCTGGACGAAGATGCATCAGCATTCAGCAGCGATTCGAACGAACGTGGCGAGCTGGACCTTGAGGACGAAGAGATTGAGGAAACCGTTCCTGGGCACGACCTCGACCGCCAGCTCAGCAGGGTAGGATCACTTCACCGTTGAAAATGATGGCTGCACTAGTCAACCTTGGAACTAACGGCCATCCCCGATCTTCAGGTCCACGATATCGAGAGTCTGCGAAGGATTGAATCACGCGGCAGCGTCAAGTCGAAAATCTCGCGTGTCTTTTCCGCGGTCTCAGGCCGTGGCCGCGCCAAGAATCGCGGGGGAATCAGACACGATCCATTGCCACAAACTAACCTTGACGAAGGTATCGTGGGCTGGGATAGTCAGGAAGACCCGCACATGCCTCTGAATTTCCCACCCTTTCGCAAGTGGCTACTTGTCGGCCTTCTCTCGGCAATCACACTCGTTACGCCCTTCGCCTCATCTATTCTATCGCCTGGGATCTCGTCACTGATGGTCGAGTTTGGCGAGACGGAGCAAATTGTGGGTTCCATGACCGTCAGTATCTACTTGCTCGGCTATGTTATCGGACCAATGTTTCTCGCCCCGTTGAGTGAGATCTACGGGCGAAGGCCGGTGCTGACAGCAGCCAACTTGTTCTTTTGCTGCTGGCAAATCGGATGTGCGCTGGCGCCAGACATCAGCACGCTGATCGTGTTTCGATTCTTCAGTGGCGTCGGAGGCGCTGGCTGTTTAACACTCGGTGGCGCTGTCATTGGCGATCTGTTCCGGCCGGAACAGCGAGGCTTTGCGATGGGCATCTGGACCTTTGGGCCACTAATTGGTGAGGACCTCTCAGTTGTCATAATCACACCTGCCGGACATGCGCGAATGCGCTGGAACTCAATCAGATTGCTAACATGTGCTACAGGCCCGATACTCGGTCCATTAATAGGCGGCTTCATCGCCGAGACGATTGGATGGAGATGGGACTTTTGGATTGTGCTGATTGTTGCCGTTCTCATTTCCATCACCATTGAGATTTTCAACCAAGAAACTAGCCATCGCATCATCATTGAGAAGAAGGTTCAACAGCTCAAGAAGCAGACTGGTCGGGACGATCTACGCAGCTGTTATGATACCAATCAGGGCCCGAAGCTCTCGCAGAGGCGTATCCTTGTCAATGGATTGGTTCGGCCTCTCAAAATGCTCGTGCTTTCGCCAATTGTCTTGCTGCTGACGATCTACATCTCATTCACGTACGGCACACTCTACCTCCTGTTCACGACGATACCCACTGTGTTTGAAGAGACTTACGGCTTCAATATTGGCCTCACTGGGCTGGTGTACCTCGGCCTAGGGACAGGTACGACATTGGGGTGGTTGGTCATCACCCTATACTCGGACAAATCCGTCATCAAGCTGGCCAAGGCGAACAATGGTGAATTCGAACCCGAAATGAGGCTTGCTATGTCAATTGGTTTCTCGTGGCTGCTTCCAATCACTTTTTTCTGGTATGGCTGGACAGCCCAGTACAAGGTGCACTGGATCAGTCCAATCCTGAGTCTTATTCCATACGGAACAGGCATCATGGGGCTGTTCTTGCCCATCACAACGTACGTACTCTCGTCCAATTTCTTTAACTCAGCTGTTGCTAGCGTCGTGAGGTTGACTCTCTGCTTACTAGTTATCTTGTTGATTGCTACCCTATGTACGCCGCCGCGGCGATCGCGGCAAATACGGAGCTACGAAGTCTGGTTGGTGCATTATTACCGCTTGCAGGTCCTCCTATGTATGATTCACTTGGCTTGGGCTGGGGCAACTCCTTGCTGGGTTTCCTATGCGCGCTTATGATTCCCTTGCCGATTGTGTTCTACAAGTTTGGTAAAAGGCTGCGGCAAATGGAGAAACTTCAGCTTTAACATTACTGCGCAATCTGGAATGAGATTACATAGGACACTAGGTTACAGAATGGAAGAAAAGCATTACGTAGGATGAAAAAAATGAACTTAACATAATATTCATGATGAGCGACGACAGAAAAGGCTGTTTAAATTCATGTTGAACCGAGCAGTATCTTTATATCAATCTTGGACATACTTGTGGCATTATCCAACCATTCATGTTTCTGAGAGCCTAAGCCACAACTCCGTCCATATGACTACAAACTCACACATGTCTGATGTCGAAAGCGCAGGGGCTGATCAAGGCCTCTGCTTATACGCTGCTGCAATACCCCTTGTCACCACTTTGACCCGTCTCCATCAAGCTTCATTGCTTTTTCTTCTGCCATTTCTTGCCATTCAATACATCACATGAGATACTGTGCGCGTGGCAGATGGACATGAGCGAGGACCTAGCCACTCCGGAAGCTTCGGCGCATTTGCTGACCACCCACAACAATGACACCACCATTCTTGACACCATCATGCTTCTTCCCTGCCCAATAGTTGACTCGCACAGACTTCTTGGCGTGCGAGGCCTTGACCGAGCATTCAAGCCAGCAGCACTTGAAGGGTGCCATCAGAGGGTAGGGGTTGATGTGTCCGCTGCATCTCCCGTACCCCCCCGGGCTAAATTTGCATCAAGGACTTTATTTAGTCAATCAAAATAGTATGAAATAATTCAACCTGAACGAGCATGTGTCAATAATTTTCATTGCTTCAGTTGAAGTAGCAAACGCCCTTCTACGCGGGCATATGATTTGCAATCCTACAGTCTAGGCTTAGCCCTACTCAACTCATCTTCAGCCCTCTTCGCCTCCCTTTCGAAACCTCGAATCTTATAAGTTACCATCCCCGTCCAAACGTCAAGCCACTTCTTGTCAAAAGGTGGCAAGCTGCGTCCTGTAGTCCCTGCCTCAGGGTCTCCCGCAACGTTCCTAAGGAATTCAAGAAAGTAGCCGTAGTCAGGAGCAATGGAATAGTAGTCTTTACCTCCCTTAAACTTTGCCACTCTTTTCTCTTCCCATTTACGTTGCTCTTCCGTTGGTGGCAACGGTCTCGCTCGGCCTGCAAGATGTCTAGCAACAGCTACTGCTTGCCACTCATAAACGCGGAATGTGAACCCTCCTCCAAGCTACACACATGTCTTAGTTGAAGTCCCATACTCCGCGGTCACCTAGTGAACTGTACTTACCATCCCTACAAACGTCAGAGTTGGATCTTCAATGTCCCAGGTATGCTGATAGACCCCTGGCAGTCGACGGTAAGCCTTGCTGATACGTTCCTGTACGTGTGGTAACCATGGCAAGGAGAAGGTGTATCCTGTTCCAAACACAATGTGGTCGACGTCGTTAAGCTCGGTGCCATCCGCGAAAGAGACCTTTCCAGTCAATGGATCCAGGCGATTGATCTGCTTTTTGACCGAAACATGAGGATGTTTGAACGGCGCCCAACCAAAAGCGGCAATAGGCTCTCCGCGGATGGATGCATAGACAGGGTGTTGTGCCGTCGGAAGAATCTCGTGGAGCACCTCGTGTGAGGACACCGACCCGCCTACGACGATGACTCTCTGAAATAATTGTCAACATCTTCGGCGTAGGTCACCCACCGAGAAATATACACTTACCTTTCCTCTGAACTTCTCAGCACCTCGAAAATGCTTGCTGTGTATGATTTTTCCAGGGAACCGTTCGTCGTACTCAGCCAGCCCAGGTATCTCTGGGAACCATGGGACGTTGTAGTGGCCAGTCGCTACCACTAACGCATCGAACCATTCTCTCCACCAATAGTCTTTTCCGGGGCCTTCCTTTCGAAGCGTCAACACCCATTCTTCTCCCTCCTTGACAGCCTTTTCAACGGTAGTGCCGAGCTCCAAGAACTTGTCGTTCCCGTTCTTGACGAAGATGTTCTCGACCCAGCCTCTGATGGTCTCGCGATGTCGGAAAGGGGCGCCTTGGCCATACTGCCGCAGGGTTCGCTCAGACAGTTGATCAGGGAATGGCTCTTGCGTATAGCTCATAATTTCAGGGATAATGTTGCTATGCAAATGTTCATGTTGAGCCGAGTCTGAATACCGTAGCTGATGACTGTTCACGGCCTCGGACTTGGGAGTTTCCGCGGGTAGCTCTGCGGGGACTGGCACGGCCCTATCGCCATTTCCCTCTATTAGATCACGTAGAGAGGGAATTTTAGGTGGTAGATGAGGAGTGTGCACCCTGTCTTCATGTAAGTTGCCTGCAGTCCATGTGAAAATGCCTATGTAACACTCACCAAGTTCCTCCGATCACGGGGTGCCTGTCGAAGACCCGAATGGTCTCAAACGCTTGCTCTTTGACCAGGGCATCCGTCGCGATTGCGCCTGAGGGCCCGGCACCAATTACGGCTACACGCCGAGCTTTCACAGCCATCTTTTGAATCGTCTGTATCCTTTGTTGGCTACAAAAACAAGCACTTGAGCGCGATCAAGAAGTTGGGGGTGTCTGGGGGGGGGGGCCGGCTGTGTCACGGGGAAAGGAAAGCAAAGTACTTCAACTTCAGTGAAATACTTTCCAAACTTTGAAATGTTTCCTTCGTCTTTTTATATACACTTAATTAGTACAGCACATGGTTATCGTACATTACATGCCGGTTTCGCGGTCGCGCAAGCCATGCAGCAATTACGTTTTTAGCTCCGGTAATCACGCAAAACCAATAGACTTGTCGATAAATTTTGACAGTTTCGCATTCACGACAGATAACCCGCTTTGCACGTCAAAATGGATGCAGATTGTGCGAGGGTTACCGATAACTAATCTGCAGGTATTGAATTCGTTTTAGGCAGGCTGAAATGTACGATGCACTCTAATTCTACCCCGAAGCCATATTTGACTAAAGGCTTTCATTTCTAGACGCTATACTCTACTCTCGCTATGATCCGTATTGGGTGCAAACGATGCAGCCTTCTACATGTAAAAGCTCAGTCCACCACGACTTCCCAAGAAAATGTCAAGGCGTTCTACCCGAGTTTGATATTCCTGCTGCGCAACGCGACACATCTGGCTGTGCTTTAGACACCACAGGCTTGTCGATCATCCAAACCGTCTGCCCTGCCTTATTCATATTGTCTGTCGTGACCGTCTATCATATCCACGTCCCTACATCAGAGTGTCTTCCTCTCCCAGTTTCTCGCCTGGAAAGTTTCTCAGATATTGTCAAGCGGCTTACATGGGCTCAAGTTACGTCACAATTGGTGCTTTATAGATAATTTATACCGGATAGGGATTCACAGAGCCACTTAGGATCATGGTCTGAAGCTATCCACTACTCGAGTTTGTGAGTTGTTCAATGAAATTTCAGAGGCCATTATGAGTGGAATGCTACATAAGAAGGGGGATTTCATGAATTAAGTGTGACTCTCTACTTGGGGCCGCGGGAATAGTTCAATTTTTTTTTATTTAATTTTCCTTGGCATCTGAAAGTATAACAGCTACGTCTGGAGTACCACAGCTTTCATACCATGCGCGACTTAGCGTCCCTCACCTACTATCAACTGTCCAATATTGGGCTTATATACACGGGGCTTTCAGTTCATGTCGTTCTCGAAATTACCTGAATTCCTTTCTTAGATGCCACTTCGAGGAAGCAGGATCCTGCCAGAATTTATGGTGGCACTCAGCGCACGGACAAGGCTCGAACTTGACTATACCGTAAGTGTAAAAGTTCGTGGGTCTTTCTCGGTTTCCACAAGGTTTATCTGAAGGACAAATCTTGAAACTCCAGCACCGCCAGCCCGTGTGCCCGCACGCCGAGTGGTGTGTGTTGGTCCATGTTTTTTGACACATGTTGGTGTGAGATGAGTGGTGTACTTTGGATACAAATGAAAGTGTGGGGTCACCTACCAGAGATGCCTTGGATTCAAATTCAGATTTTAGAAGATGGTCGATGATGGGCGAATTAGATTTTAAGATGTGGAAACGGCATATTTATGTCGGGACAAGACCATGAGGAGTTCTTTGAGACACGGAAAGCTTCCACTGAAGCATTGTTAAACGGCGTGTGATATGCACTAACGCCAAATACGATGAAAGAAACGGCATCTACTGACAGATATCCACGTCGGCGTGCCTTTCATGTGAGTGGATAATCAGTGACCAATCCGACTGGTCAATCACAATGCATATGTCTCGAGAAAGCTTGATGGGCGCCATGGCAATGCTTATTCAGGTACAAGTCATATAATGATGATGAGACAAGATAGACTCGGAAGAGGAGACCACACATGTTGTTTTCATTTGACGATATTCTTGCTTTGTTAGTTTGTACTAGGCGCAAACGATTCCTCACTGGTTCGGTCTGATTATGGGGAAAGACCAAACAGTCAGGCCTTTTCGCTTCATCTTGCCTTCTTAGTCTTTGAGAATGAGGCTTTGTTCTTTGAGCAACGACCATGGTCCAATCCTGTCTCTTACTCCTGCTCTGTTCATGACATCAGCCGTCCAGTCAGAATTGGACCACCTGGACTTGGCTACAATCTCTTGTTCAGGACAAAGGGCATTGTCCATGCCTTTTTATGCACTTCCGCGGCTTTCGCCAGGTTTATCGGGAACCCACGCTTTAGACCATTGCTGTCCTTGTAGCGCATATACCAATAGCAATGTTTCTATTTTCGATTCCAGGTTATCTTATCAAGTGAAGCATGATGCAGACAAGTGATGTGCAAATCTACCCTACTGTCAGAACACTCAGCCAAGATTGCAAGTTGGAATGTCGCAAGGCGTTGAGGTTGCAAGGTATAATGCTGTCAATCACTTACAAACACGTTTGAATAGAAATCTGAACTTGCAAATACTGGAAGTCTGGTCGAGCACAAACATTGGATCCTTTTCCCTCTTCGAGACACCTCACATGGCCTTTTAATGGCCATGAATATATTACTTCAATCCTGCAACCAACTGCACTCTGCCGTAGGAAAGACACAGCCTCTGATTTGCTCTGGATCTCACAATAACCTGCCCAACTTGGCGTTGAACCATTCGATTGCCTGATTCTCTGCCTCAGTGGCCGACTTGGCAACATCTTCAGCCTTCATGTCAGCCCTGACACAGAACCCATGGCCAACCTTCTCATACACCCGAATCTCGCCCTTAGTGGCCTCGGGCCTCCCTTCCATAATGCGATCGATGACGTCGATATCCCGCGGTATAGAAAACTGATTATCAAGCTCGGGTACAGCAATGGAGACCGGAACGGCGATTCTTTCAATGTCCTTGGGAATCTCCAGGAAACTGGGGTGGCCAGTGAAGCCGGCGTCGTACATGGGCTTGCCGTCGATCTTGTGCTGCCCATCGGCGAGGAGGACGACGTGCTTGCCGCCCCAGCAGAAGCCCGCCGCGCCAATCGGGGTTGAGCCGGACTCCTTGCGAAGGTCCTCGAAGAATTTCTTGACGATAGGGAAGCTCTTGCCAGGCCTATTGCGGAGGATCCAGGGTATAAAGGCATACATGGCCCAGAAGACGTGGTAAGGCTTGTAGAGGTAGTCGCCGGAGCTCGTGATACTTTTGATTGAGCCCAAGACCCAGGACGGGCAGGAATGGCCTGATTTGAGCGTGAGCATGACGCGTTCTACTCAAAGGCACCTCGTGGTAGCTTTGAGAACATACCGAGCATGAAGTCCGGTAGATAGACCTTGTAGTCTCCCTTGGCAGCATAGGTGTCGGCTAGGATCTTGTTGTTCACAAAATCAATGCCAAACGCATCAGGTATGTACACGATGATGCCTTTGACAGGCCTGCCTTCTGCAGGCTCGGTAACGTAAGTATCCAAGCCATGGAGCTTGATCACCTTGCCCTTGGGGGTTCCATCATGCTCGAAGCCGGAGAAGCAGTCTGGGCATGACATGCTTAATGACGAGTTTGGCAGCTATGGATGAGAGCCTGCTTTCTTAAATAGCTTGCTTCAAATAGTTGACAGCCGATTTCAAGTGCCTGAAACTTCAAGCTTCATATACTTTTTGAAATGCCAATGTGGTCAAATGGAACATGCGTAAGTGTTGATGCCTGTCAAGTGGGGCGAGACGAGGTCGAGCTGGTGGTAATATACTAGTCTACCACGTACGTAGTAAGGCCCACGCTCACGCTAGGAGTTGAGGCGGGGTGATTCGATCGGGCCACTCGGGCCCGTAGTACAATACGTGTGGTGGGAATGTGAAAGCCTGAAGGGAGCCCACACATACCGGGGTTGAATCCGGTGAGCTGGAAAAAGGAAGTCCATCGATGACTAACATTGCTCCCTTGCTGGAAGGATGATTCAGAATCCCAGTGGAGCAGTCCAGTCTACACGTTTTGGGACATAAGTTAATGTTTGGTCTCCTTCTGACCTCGTATGGATACCTTTGTTTCGGTCCGTGACGGCCTCAGAGCCATACAACGAGTACAGGTTGCTTGTGTCATGCACCAGCTCACTGATTAGACTGTCCATATCTGTGGTAAAATTGTCCATGTTATTAGAGGTTTATCTAGATGACCCTGGCTCAGGCGTCTGTTCCCCGTCCCTGTTCGCGTCTCAACTCCGCGTCTCAACTCCGCGACATCCCGGTCAACCTGGAGCGTGCCCCCCGGCGCCAGCGCCAATCTCCGAATTCCCCACAGCGGTGCCAATCGCCCACGGGCGTTGCTGATAAGCAAGCTTCCGAGGGCACAAGTCCTCGTTACCTCTTCTTTACTGGATAGGTCAGCCGTGATTCTCGTCCTTTGCACTCCTGGTACAAGTGAAACCTATTGCTATCCGGCATGGCGTGCCGCTGGACATCGAACTCGGCCTCTCCTGGACGGCAAACATGTCCCTTTGCCTCGTGCACTTTGCACGCGGACGGTAGCTCCAGAGTGGATGGCTTCACCAGTCGCGACACATCAGAGCCAGTCGTTGCCAATGGCATTGACCAGACCAGTCAGTGCTCGACCATGAAGGCAGACTCAGAGCACGGCTGGGAAGTTGTCTCGTCCTCAGACAGCGAGCAGCTAACTCCTCCGGAGTCTCCCGGCCCATGTGCGACTTGGCAATCTCATCTCACCGCAGCTACTGTCAAGCATCATAGAAGCCATGTGTACAGCGAAACCGAGGCTGAGACCATGCAAGACCGCATCGTCCGCATCACGGCTGACGAACAAGACATAAAGTCCTTCTGGGCAATATCTTTCTCGAACAAGAGATACCACGCGCTTTTGCACTTCTACACGGACGAAATTGAGTCACTCGAGCTGGCACCTTTCGACACTTATGACCAGGATGCCCGAGTTGACTACTTGCTGCTTCACGGCTATCTGAGCAGGAGACTCCGGCAATTGAAGCTGGAGCTGAAGAGAAACGAAGATGCTATGCCCCTCTTGCCCTTTGCGCCTGAGCTGGTGGAACTGTGGGAACTTCGCGAGGCCGCTAAGATTGACGAGTTGGAGCCGCAGTGGGTGGCCGGCGTGATGCACGATGCAACGACTAAAGTGAACAACACTGTGTCACTCGTCGCGTCCGGTAAGCTGAAAGTCAGCAAGGAAGCGGCCTACCGAGCACTCGAGAACCTCGATCAACTTGTCGCGTACCTTGCTGAATTCAACGGCTTCCTCAGCGGGTATGTCCCTCTGTATGACTGGTGGGTGAAAAGCCCGTATTCTGCACTAGCCGAAGCTTTCCAGTCTTTGGTCCCTGTGATTCAGACGGAACTAGCAGGCATGCACCTAAATGAGGAGGACGAAATTGTCGGCGAGCCGATTGGTAGAGATGGCCTGCTAGTCGAGCTCGAGGCCGAGATGATTCCATATACCCCGGAGGAGCTTCTGGAAATCGCCAACGAGAAATACGCCTGGTGCGAGAAGGAGATGAACAGTGTCTCTACTGACCTAGGCTACAAAGATGATTGGAAAGCCGCGTTACGACACGTCCAAGGTATCTTCGTTGAGCCGGGGAAACAACCGTCGCTCGTCAGGCAACTTATCGTCCAGGCTACTGACTATGTCAAGCAAAATGACCTGGTCACGGTCCCCAAGACCGCAGAAGACACCTGGCGCATGTTCATGATGAGCCCCAAGGATCAAAAGACCAATCCATTCTTCCTCGGTGGGCCGTCCATCATCGTCTCCTACCCGACCGCATACATGTCCCATGAGGATAAGTTGATGAGCATGCGAGGCAATGGCCCTCACCTGAGCCACGCGACTGCATTCCACGAGATGATACCTGGGCATCACCTGCAGATCTTTATGGCGCAGAGGCACAAGCCGTATCGTAACCTATTTGATACACCCTTCTATGTCGAGGGCTGGGCGATGTACTGGGAACTAGTGCTCTGGGACCGAGGAGACTTCTTCGCGTCTCCAAGGGACAAGATCGGGACGCTGTTCTGGAGGATGCACCGCTGCGCCCGCATTCTCTTCAGCTTGAAGTTCCATCTAGGCCAGCTGACGCCTCAAGACTGCATCGACCTGCTCGTGGATATGGTCGGTCACGAGAGGGCCACAGCAGAAGGCGAGGTCAGGCGGTCTCTGAATGGGAACTACAGCCCTCTCTACCAGGCTGGATATTTCCTCGGTGCAATGCAGCTCCATGCGCTGAGAAAAGAAGTATTAAGTGCGGAGGTTCTCGGAGAAAAGGAGTTTCACGATCGCGTATTGAAGGCAAATCAGATGCCGATCGAGCTGCTCAGAGCGTTGCTATTGAAGAAAGACCTCAGTCGCGATTACAAAACGAACTGGAGATTTTACGGGAACGTTCCTGGGAAGAAAGAAGAGGAAGAGGAAGAATCGTTGCCTATGAGACTCATGGGGACGTGCCGGTACTAACTGCCATGGTTCAATGATGTGAGCTGTGTGCGGTGTTGTATATCAAAGAAGAGTTCTATGAGAGTTCCATGTATCCGAAAATGAATACATAGTAGTCTTGCGCCTATAATCGGGGATCGTCTGAGTTTGCGGAAGTCGCCTGAGGCCGTCTTGTCTCGGCGCAATCGTTCCGGTGGCGTCTTGTAGCTCCGTTTAAGAAACGCCAGTCAATTAATCATTACTCAGCGCGGCAGTCATTCTTTACTCGCGGCATTAGGGCGCTGATTAACGCCGGGACTGTTAAATCCGGATCTTAAAATCCATCCGGAGTATTTTCACAAGAAAGGCTCTCCTTAGCGATTTGGTCAGTACACCTTGTTCCATTGGTTATACACCGCACACCATGTCGCAAAACAAAGCAGCGTGGCTCGACGGGAAGGATGTCCGTCCACTCGCCGTCCGCCCGGCGGATATGCCCAAACCTGGGCCGAGTGAGGTCATCGTCAAGAACCATGCAGTGGCAATCAATCCTCTCGACTGGAAGATGCAAGACGACGGGTCTTACGTCGGAACCTTTCCGAATGTGATTGGCACAGACATCGCTGGTGAAGTTTACGAGGTGGGGAGTGAGGTAAAGAACTTCAAGATAGGCGACCGGGTGCTTGCGTAGGTGCTGTTCTGACTCCGGTCCCGCGATATATATCAGTAGAGATTTCGTACTAACGAGGTCATACAGTCACTGTACCGGCATCATGGACAAGAAACCTCAGTCCGGCGCCTTCCAGCTCTATACTGCTGTCCACTGCGCTTTGACGAGCAGAATTCCCGACAGTATGAGCTTCACCGATGCCACCGTCCTGCCTCTGGCTATATCTACTGCAGCCCCAGGCCTGTACTCCAAGGACAATCTCGCCCTGCCACTGCCGAGCGCCACATCCATCCAGCCCATTCACAAATCTATCCTGGTCTGGGGCGGCTCGTCCTCCGTCGGCTCTGTGACGATCCAGCTGGCCAAAGCAAGTGGCCTGACCGTTCTCGCAACGGCGTCGGCGCGAAATCTCGACGCCTTGAAGTCGGGAGTGGGTGTAGACCATGCGTTCGATTACAAATCCCCCAGTGTAGTAGAGGACATCGTAGCGACCGTCAAGAACCTCAAAGACAGTCGCGGGATCGAGTTCGCAGGTATCTACGACGCCATTTCCGAGCCTCAGATCTTTCCAGAAGCCTTAGGCCCTATATTTGACAAGTTGGAGTCTGAGAAGCTCATATCAGCCAAGAAATTGGCGACGGTTCTTCCTCCTTCGAACTTGCCGGATGATGTTCAGGCCAAAATGGTGCTTGCAGGGATGATGTTACCTGGCTACGGTTATGAGGACTTCACGCCTGGTGTCTGGGCGAATTTCGTGCCGGCAGCGTTGGAGACGGCCACGTTGAAGCCACTGCCCCCTCCCTTGGTGGTTGGGAAGGGACTGGAGGCTATTCAGGAAGGAATAGACCAGAACAAGAAGGGCGTCAGCTACAGGAAAGTCGTTGTCGAGTTATAGTGTAGCTTCAGTTATGGTATTTGTCATTTCTTGCACTTGATCTCATACAATTCAAGTACGCTGCTTCTACCAACAGTCCGTCCTTGCGTGCTAAATACTGAAGCGATGTTTGTCAATTCTTCCCGAAGCCCGAATAACCAAGTTAGCATAGAAATAAGGAGGTGGTATTGAACTCAGATGATGACATGATCGTGGACTGAGCTCTTTTCGGCTACTTCGGGGCGTCTGTTAGATTTTGCCTGCGTGAAAAGCTCGGGTTTTCGTCACCTTGCAGACGAAGTAAGCGATGTTTACGAGGCCTCGAGCCACAAGTCTGACAACTCCGGAGCATTGAACTGCGCGCCGCAGACAAGGAGGCATTGAAGCAAGCGCTGGGGAGGATCCGAGTTGTCAAGGCCAGCCACATCCTGCCGATGACTTCTCTCGTCATCATGAATGCCCGACACGTCGGCCCCGAAACGCATTCCAGTAGGAGACAAGCTCAAGCTCTCGAGACATCCCGTCTCGGCCGATGCTTCGGCGCCGAGGCTTTGTCGGGAGTTTGACGCGCGCCTTTCCTTCTCTCTTTTCTTTGTGTCCAAGCTCTGAAAACCGTTGCATTCAGTTCTCTCGACATTCTCGACATATTTTGACAGTCAGAGGCGAATTGGCCCACGACAAGAAGTACGCATCACCGTCTCACTGAGGCAGAGGAGCTTATTGCGCGATGCTATGGTGAAGAACTCAGGGTCTCCCCCCCACCCCCCACGTTGTGGATGGCCGGCCCAACAATTGCCGAAGATGGTGGGGTGGCAGGTGGGGATTGCGGATGGACGAGATGTTTCCATCTCGCAGCAAACCTCAACGGTCGACATCACAACAACGTTTGAAGGACTTGACGGACAGGAACATCCAACGTCAGCATCTTCATGCCCACCACAATCACCTAATTACACTTGGCAGATATTACAAGCCATTTTGCAATTTGAAAAGCTAACCGTCTTGGGCTTCATGTCTAGCTCTGGGTATTGCTTGAAGCTGTTGAACAATCCAGCATGATCGCGACACGGCTCAGCCGAGGGCGTCGACTTAAGGTCGGGCCCAGCAGTTGATGGCTGCGGCCTCTCCTTTCTTGACAAAAACCTCACCCGTCGTCCAACCAAAAATTCACCAATTCAACTGAGTCCAGTCCCAAGCAACACACTGCTATCTAAGCAGCGCAATTGCTTTCGCTTGGATCACAGAGGGCCTTCGCGCATGCGCCACGAACCCTCCCGAGCAACAATGACTTCAACGACAAACAAATACGGCACTTCCTGCCGATTCAACCCTTGAGGAAAATAAAGCAAGGTCGTCAACGGAGTGACTACATGATCGATTCGTCAAATCAGATTGCCAACCCAATGAACCCATCGCTCCATCAGTAATTCCTCCCATTTTTCACCCTCAGCACTCTTATACAGGGGCAGTCCTCAGTGCAGTCCTCGAGGTCATACATCTCCGACGCTGGCTCCCTCGGAAGCCAGCTAAAGAATCCACAGAGCAGGAAAACAGAAAGAAGACAAAAAGCGGCCACCGTGAGAACGCCATCAACTTATTGAATGGAAGTACCATTGATCTCATACCAGGAAAGCAAGGAAGAGAGGCAAGGCCCCGTGGCCTCACGATTGCAGCGAGCCAACAGTCCTGTTCAGCTCGCACTTGAGCCATGTACCCAGCGCCGAGTAAATGTCGTTGACCTCGCCTGGGGCAGCGGTCTCCCCACGGCCCTGCAGGCAGAGGAGGTCGATCAGGTTGCCCGCCTTCTTCAGCTCGCTGAGCAGCAGCTGCCGCCTGAGCGCCTCCTGCGCGGCCTCGTCGTCCACGCTGAAAGCGCCGGCCGAGAACTGCATCGGCGTGACGACGAAGCCCTTCTGTGCTGCCGCCGCGGCCGCCGCAACGGGGCTCGCCGGCGAGACGCACGTGGCCGACGGCGACGACGAGGCACTGAGCGGGGGCGTAGTTTGGCTGCCCAGCGGGGGCAGGCTGTCCCACGTCGCCGTGGTCGCGGTGTTGGGCCTGGCGCACCCTGCCGCGAGCTGGTACCACATGAGGATCTTGGATGTGATGCTCGCGTACAGCATGGCCAGGTGCGGCGACTTTGAGCAGGGGCAGCCGAGCAGCTGTCTCATGTTGTCGACGGCATTCTTGTTGCGGTTGAGCACCTTGTCCATGGTCTGGGTGAGGTGCTCGCCCCTGGCGATGCTGTCCTGCTTCAGGCTCAGGCTGTCCAAAGTGGCGTATGCGAGCTTCTGACAGTGGTGCGAGTCTGTCTGCAGGAGGCTGGTGTCTGGGAAGGATTCATGAGAAGAGAAGGAGGTGGGCAGGCGGTGTGAGGGCATTTGCGCTGAGTCAGCCTCACTTGTGTGCTGGCTGTCGGGAGTCTGCAGCAGATCGTCCGGGTGAATCCACTCGGAAAAGCTTGAGTAATCTGACGCTGAGAAGGTCAGATCCAAGGGGTCGACGGTCCCATGGTGCCGTGGATCGGGTCGGAGTATTGCATTGCGGCTGTGAGGGGCGTCCGCGAAGGAATATGTGTCATTGAAGTTTTCCAGGCTGTCTGGCGACGGCATGAACATGTCGTGGTTCGTATGGCTGGTAAATGCCATGAGGCTGTCCTCAAGCCCAAAGTTCGGCGAAGCGGCTGAACGAGGCTCGTATTTGACCCCCCTTGTTGTGGCACCGGACAAAGGACGGTAGTCTGGGAAGCACGAGAGACCATTTTGGTGGGCGTTCTGGGCCAGGGATTTTGAACTCGCATCTCCGGGTGCGTTCGTTTCAGCCGACGTTTTCTTCCTCGGCGCCTTTCCGAATTTCCTCGAGAGACCATACACGCAGGTGATGCCTCCAGCTGCACAACGGCCACATCGCGGCTGTGTCTTGTCACAGCGCACCTTCGCCGCTCCACAAGCATCACAAGACGATCGAAGCTTGGGAGGACGCCGCGCTGCTCCTCTCGCGTTAGTCGACGGTGGAGAGAGAGAAAGCTGGGTGTTGGAGTTGGCCATGGTGACCGGAGAAGGTGTGGTCGAGGGCGTCGACGGGTCAGTAGGCGAGTTCATCGTGTGGGGAAGAAAGGGGGTTTAGGGAGTGGAGCGCTAGACCCGAGTCTCTGAGGTGAGCGGTGGCCACCAAATATGACAGCCGAGCAAGAAAACTGGGGTCGGGATATTTCAAGGAGAAAAGAAAAGATGCTGAGTGCCTGGGGTCGCGGAGGTTGAAGGCTCGCCGATACTTGTATCCGGCCAGACCAAGACATGGAGGGAGGGAATCTGACAAGGCTCCGATCCGGACTTCCTCATGGTATGGAGTTTCTTCGACAACTTGACAAGGGACACAACGGGTATTTCAGAGCAGATCGTTGCTCAAAGGGCTGATGTACAAGCCGGCTGACATGCCCCACGCCTCCTGGCCATCAGCGACTCCCACCCACGTTTGTTAGCCACTGATGCATGAGCTGTCACGCAAATCAGAACTAACAACCAACATACGCCGCCAGATATAAGGCCCAGCAAAAACTCTAAAAAGCCCCTGGAACCGAGGTGTCATGGATGTGGATGGACAAGCTGCAGAGAGGAACAGGGCAGGGGGTTGGAATCTTCAAGAAAAAGGGACGTACCTCTGGGTCTTTTTGCCCACGCAGCCACGTTGGGTCTGACGGCAGATCACTCAGTGTGAGATCTGGGGCATGGGGGTCCAAGATTACCCAGGTACTGGCCATTCAAGCAAGCATGAGCGGCCTGTCCCGCATATGGCTTGCAGTACGTGGGCGGAGAGCCAGCCCGAAACAGCGTGGAGGTGGCCGGAGCCGTGTCTTCGACCGAAAGACTGCAGAGTGGCACCATCGACGCGATACAGGAGTCTCCCACCAGCCTGTCTTCAATTATCGTCCTGTGATGCGACTCTCTCGTCTCTGGTCTTGGTCATGAAGAAGAGGCGAACAGTACTCATGAGAATGCCGACATCTGACCGGGCAAATACCCCCAAACCCCGAAGCGCAAAATTCCCAGGCGAGATAGGTCCGGTTCATCTAAGCGGCGAGGAGCGGGCGCCCGACCAGACTACACGCAGCGGGCAGCGGACTCTCAGTCTCGATTCTTACATGTATCGTTCGGTGACGGAGCCGAGCCGCAGTCCGCGACTCAACCTCACATCTTCCCTCTCTGGGCCAAGCAGCTACGTCGTGCAGACTGCGCAGTATGCGTGCACGATGTACTGTCTAAAGGGCAAAATAGCAAGGCAAGCCACGCGAAGGAGCCCCAGCATGTATGCTCCGATCCTCCGGTCAAGAACAGGATTTTGAGGGGAAAAGGGCACCACGCACATTGCGCAGCTTTCATACACAGATAAGGTCAAGATGTGGTGGGTTGTCAGGCAATCTTTCGAAAGATTCGCGTCCCATCTCAGTGTTGGTGACAATTTTCCAAAAGTCAGGGAGCATGAGCGTCACGAAATAAGCCGGGAAGGCACCTTAGCAGTCACATACCGTGGGGTGTCGTGAACTAGCGCTCACTAGCAAGCCCAACAAAGTAAGCTTATGCTGGGAGAATCCAGATGGGGGTAAGGGCAGGATGGTGCATGGCAGACCGGTAAATGGGCATGACGGTTACAAGGCGGTCACCCCTCTCCCACACATAGCCCCCAAATCTCACACTTGCGCTCCTCTGCTGCGCGCATCCACGAAAGAGGACCCTGAAGTACCTATTCGCCAAGCCTAGACTGATAACTTACTGCGTTATCTTGTATTCGAAACCGACACAAAGGCCCCGGGGCACCGCACAGTCGACAAACCCCGGGCAGTGATTGTTTCTAGGAGGGGTGAATGCACACCTGTAGGCCTGCTATGTTACTGGCTCTCTCTCTCGCCTCACCTTGAAAGCAGTGAGCTTTGGCAACCAGGAATGGTTGCCACACTGCTTTAACATGGCTTCGGCACCATATATAGCCGTATCCACTGCACCCAGATGAACATGCTATGAGAAGCTTCAATCTGTCAGCCACGTCGCGGAAAAGATGTCACAATGATGGGGGCTTCAGTGCACAGAGGTTAGAGAGGTTCGATGCCCTGAGACAGTGCAAATGTGCGGCCAAGGCCGAGACTGTGATTTGCTATGTTCCGAAGAGGGCTTAGCACATGTCAGCATTTGAGCGCCAAAAAACGCTTCTTCTCAATCCTTCGGCGCTGGGCCATTCACCTCTCATGCTCCTCCACACCTTCAGGCTTCTAGTACCAACAGCGTTGTGTTCTCATGCAGGACAACCGTCTATGCTCAGCCACCACAACCAAACCGGGACGCTCCGGCGATGCAGGCCCTCAGAAGGAGTCGAGGAACGTCAGGAAGCACGCAAGCCGGTGTATTATTAACCAGTGCCAACCAGGGTGCCACGAGCGACACAAGCTTCCTTCAATTCGGCCGAACGTCCATCGTTCCTCCGGAGGATTTACTGGAGTGGAGCTCCTTGCAGCGCGACGCCAATCGATACCTATCTTGACCCAGGGATGGCACTTACGCGGCAACAAAAGAGCACGATGATACGCTGAAAGTGCACGCTGGACACAACGCCGCTGATTTGGTCGAGCCTATGCCGCCCAAGTGTCTCAACCGCACTGGACGTGCTTCAAGGAAAACGAGAAAGAGTGAACACCCCACGAACTAGATCTACCATCGCAGGTCCAGAGACACTTCGATCCCGGCTATAGTTGGCAACAGGACAGATCATCCTACAAGCAGGTCTTTACAGTACAGTGCTGCACTGACTGCTGATGAGTGTTCACAGAGGGGCTGACGGTTGAGGCAAACCCTGACAGACCCCTCGTCAGCGTGACAGACCCCTAGATGTCATAAACGAATGCGCTGCACAACAGGGTAAACTAGCTACATGTCTTACAAGTCTATCCGTGTGTCAGCTCTAGATCACAGGAGAGGTGTGCATGCTCGTCATTTCGTGAAACAGTGAGCACGGCGGCGTGCTGGAATCTTCGGTCTAGCCCACTCTGACCGCTCGTCAGTCGCCGAGAGCTGTTCAAGCAGCCAAGGTGGTTCATTAACACGTCAAAACCTGCCTTGGAAGATAAAGTTTGCAAGCCTTCCTCTGACCTTTGACGCTGACGTGGAGATATAGCGTCGGGAATACATGTCTTTGTCTCGTACACCACCACTGCGTCCCCTTCTCCCCCTTCATCTAGATACTTACTGAAGCGAGGTGCCGTTGCGTCACTGGCTCTTGTCTCTAACGGACCTCAACTTGCCCACTATCCACTGTGGCACTTTCTCCGAACACTTGCACGATGGTGCGCTTGATCCTGCAACTGATCGGCAATTCTCAGCTTGGTCAAATTCTACCTACCAACCCAACATTTTCCTAGTATGTCACTTCCTTTCCACTTCTGTCCTGGCACGGTCCCATAGACTCTATGAGCCTGCGCAGAATCCAGCCCGCTTGCTCGCCTGCATTTCATCCTCGGATTTGCGATGCAAGGTGGGCGTGGCAGCAGCCACAGGGGCTGGCTCGCCTATGCATTCCGCTATGTTCTGGGCTGATGTCACCGGAGAATTCGGAAAATTCGAGAATCTCATATGGCTGATTTCCTCTTCACCTTCACAACTCGATAGTGCATACATACATTTTATGATGCAGGAGTAAGGGCGAAGTTGGAGCCATCAAGAAAACATCTCTTCTAGCCCCGGTAGAAAGCTATCAGCATGCAGGCATGTGAGCAGTTGTAGTCAATTGAAGTGTTCGTCCTCACATTCGCTGTTCAGAGCCTGACCCGCAGTGATATACGCAACAACGTCGGAGCCTGAAGCCAAGCCCGTTCCCATCTATTATAGATGCCCATCGCACGCTCCATTCTTTATGAATCCTTACTGTTCACCCACGGGAATCAGATCCTTCTCCAGTTCCACAAAACATAAGTCTTCTGGCAAAGCCAGGCCCGCGAAGCGGTCGCGCGGGAAAGCAGATGTCTCCCCCGTCTTCTGGAACCCGCAGCGCATGTACCACGAAATTAGCTCCTGGCGCGTCGAAAGGGCGTTCAGCCCAAGCCTCTTTATGCCCCAGGTGCGTTGACAGTAATCCTCAGCATAGGCGAGGACCTGGCGCCCCAGGCCGCCGCGCTGGTGGTTCTGGTCCACCGCGAGCATGGAGAGCCGCGCGAGGACAGCGCTGCGTCTGAATGTTTCGACCGAGGCCACAAGAGCGCCATTGTTGTCAGTGGCCATGAGGACCACGCAGTCAGGGTTGGTGATGTTGGCCATCACCTCTTCGACTCCGATGTGGAATTGAGACGCGAGCTCCATGCTCCCCGTCCACCTGTCTCTGGTGTCTTCGGCGCGAAATGCGCATTGCACCAGGTTTTGGAGCTGTGCTGCATCATCTGGGGTGGCGATGCGGAATTGTAGAGTTTCGTTGGGCATTGTGTGGTTCGTTGGTGTGCTGTTCTAGGTGGTTGACGAGACAAGTTGATGTCGAAAATGGCGACATGTCGTAGTCAACGAGAGCATTGTTTCTCCTTTAAATGCCTCAGAAAGCGGAGTAAAACTCCCAAGCCCGTGAATATTTATATATAGAACATGTAAATAGAAGGGCGTTATTGACACGATGAGGTCTAGGCCGTGTAGTAGGAAGGGCGTTATTGACACAATATTAAATCAAGGATAACATCGCATTGTTATAATGGAGACTTGTGCCAAAAAAAAAAAAGGATCCAATGCTGTAATCGTTTGTAAGGATAAAAAAGAAAGAAAATGGATGGTATTGGATTTTGAATATCATATGCCATGAAATCTTTCGCAACACAAATTGGCACTTACGAAATATTCAATTACACAGCCTAAGTAATAGATTGATTTGGCCGGATTTGCCCTGGAACTCCGAATTTGTCTTCAAAAAAGACGCAGTTGCAATGTGTCGGAACTTGCCAATACAAAATTTCTCGCAATTGAGAGGGTCTAGCTACCTCTGCTTCGTAACGAGCAATATTTCACTCTCCTCCGCCTATATGTCTGATAGCACAGACTCTTGAATTGCTTAAAAGCAGAATTTGAGATAGCTCAAGGATGCGGTCATGAGAGAATCTGATGAAAGACGCTTCAATGATGGAAGACAAGACTGTAGAAAGTACCTGCGTCTAGACTTCGTCGTCCGAGGTCTTCAGACTAAAGCTGTTCTCAAAAGATATTTAATATATAGTCTACACTATTGACTGCTAGGAACAATTTGTCACTTCTGAGACAAAGACTATCTCTGGGGCTTTCCGAGATTTCGATAGTGGGTGGAAGACAATCAGCTTCAAACCGTTCAACCTTTCTCATCGACCACATGAGTCCAGTCGAAGATGCCATTAGTTGGTGTGAAAAACTATTTGACCTGCCTCGTCTGAGGACGGCCAGCCCTGGAGACGAGAATTTCGACTGCCAAGTAGATCTGCTCTGGCAGATTATGAACTACGAGATACTTGTTCTTCGAATTAAGCCAATTTCTTGTCCAAAGTTATGTTCGAGCCCAGGTCCTGTGCGCCTCTCATTACGATTTCTGATAATGTGGGCTTTGACACCGGCTACTGCGTGAGGCTCGCTACATTGTCACATGCCAGAGGTGAGTCCGGGTAAAGTCAGATGCCGTAGAACCATGTGAAGGTATAGGTAGTGTAAGTGTGGATTCAACAAGGAGGCAGTCATTGTGTGGGGTTTAAGAGGGGCGTTTCCACGCCGGATTACTCTGGCAACAGGGCTGTCTGTCATGAATTTCGTGGATCGATGTTATACCGTGACATTGAAGCCTCTAAGATAACCCGAGTTTATACTTCATGAGGTACAAGTCCCATAATTTACACAAGGATTGACAGTGCATAGGTGCCTATGTGATCAGTGGTCGATTATTCTTGTCTGGATTTGAGGGAAGAGTGTCCGGTATGCAAAGGAAGGAGGCTTCTTTCGTCAGCTCGAATAATCAGGAGTCTTTTTCTGTATCATGCGGCTTTCGAAAATCTATCTGGGGCATTTGTCTGGTGTGTGAGGCGCAGATCAGGTTGTTTATCACTCTATCGTTAACACATCACTGGGTCTCAATGATCCCATGCCCACTTGCTACTGGGTGCTTCCGGCAGGTTCTGACAGTATAATACGAGTACTTCTCATCTGAATAGGAGTCATCTGGCCGAATCTATTGGTACGAACACCACAAGTGGATGAAGAGGTTCTGATATACCAAGGCGTTGTGGCTTAGCTAGCAATTTGGCTGTAATCAACTTGGTGGTCATCAATCTGCCCAGCGATGATTGGGATTATGGCATCCCTTTGTTCTACTTGCATCATCGGCGTGTAGTCCCTCAACTTCGGCCGTGATCCGGGGCGCGAGGAGCCCTAAGATAGTCGAAAGGGTCCGCCGAGGCGGACTTCGTAGGCCGACCGCCTCCCGTGTTCTCGTTTGCTTGCAAGATGGGAATCAGGTAGCGGCAGTGGCTGGGTTTCCACCAAGAGCCTTAGCGTGTTAAGCGGGCTCCACAAATAGCACCGCAGTCTTTGGCACATCGTGACTAAATGGCAGAGGCAGGATGCACAAAAGGCAGAAATCGCAGTCAGAGCCGCGGGTGCGCACGGTTACATTGTTCATAGCGGTTGTTGGCCGTGATGGTGATAGTCCTAACGTCTAGCGCTTGGATAAGCGCCAGACCGGCGACAAGAGCGAAAGTGTAAAAAGAACGATGGGTCCGGGCGGTCTCTACTCATCTATTGCGGGACTGACGGTGACATCGGCGGCGGATCTCGGGGGCCCATGATCCACGTTTGCATGAGCGGCTCTCTCGGTACTGGTGTGGGTCCTGGGCCAGGGGAGGAAGAGGAGAAGGAAGCAAGGAAGAGGTGAGAGCAGTGTTGGATGGTTTTTAGACTGAGATATCACGAGTTATCGTACTGGCTGGTTGCTGAAGTGGCTGGTCGAAGGATTTATTGCACATCCGGGCGGCCGATATACGATGTTCATGTAGAGAAATGCCAGGGCAGGGTGAGATCGGAACCCATTCACAAGATGAACACATACAGCCGACCAGGCACACTTTCTGAAATCAGGTACAAGATGCACATCGGTCAAGGCTAAAGCTGGTGATGTCGGTCTTGTTGGAAAAAAGATGGGCCTGCGCGTGTCGCTTGGGCCATGCTAGGGCGGTGGAGACGACGAGCATGGCTGCGTCGAACGAGAAGAGCAGTGCATGTGCTATATGACTACATGTACGTATGCAAGCGAGCTCGGCATGTCGAGCAAGGATAGCGATAGCATAGTGACACAGGCCGAACATGGTACAGTGATCTTGTGTGCATTGAGCCACCTCATCGTGACACGAACTGAGAGGAGAGGAGGCACAGTCAGCAGCCTGGAGTCAGAACAGCATTGTGGTCGGTCAGTCAGTCAGTCAGTCAGTCTGACAGGACACATGCAGTCAACTGAGAGGCAGCCCAGCACGTGCCCTGTTACCACCAAGTCGGGTCGGCATCTAATCCATCTAGCCTACGCCCTGCCATGCCATGCCATGCCATGCCACATGAGATGAGATGCGCCCTGGTATCTAGGTAGATAAACGTTAGCTTGAGTGAGGGAGTGAACGATTGAACAAGTGAACGAACCACCTCATCTCAGTTCCAGCCAGCCGCCGTCAGCACCTTGACCCCTGTCGGCGGATTTCGTTAGGGCGGCCCCAACCACCCCAGATCCTGTGCCTTGTGCCTTGTGCCTTTATGCCATGGACTTCTGCAGGCAGATGAGCCCCTCTTCACTCTTCCCCCCTGTCGCCCAGCACCCCCCAAAGTGCCATGCCCAAAACGGGGCCCACCGTTTCTAGACTAGAAACACCACCACAGGAAACAGGCGACGGCACATACATATGACTAGCACAGGGCCGCTCCTTTGGTCCTGACCACGGCCGCCTTGGCCTCGCCTCACTTCATCTCAGCTCACTCATACATCGTGAAACCCCTTTATCTGTTTGTTTCAGCAGCTAATAGACTACTACAGTCGCTGCCGACTGCTCTCGCTTGAACTCAAATCAGAACAAAAGAAGCGATCGAGCAAGCAACCCTCCAACCAATCCGACGAGGGCTTGTCAACCGCACTCACCCGCCCCTTTCACCGACTTTCCGCTGCCACACACAGGAAATCGTCCAGCTGGTGAATAAGCTCGTGTGTTGGACTGTTTCACATCACTTATATTTCGCCCAAAAATAAGCTGCAGCGGCCTACGCAAACGGACAGCTTCGCCTTTGTGCCCCCGGCCTCCGCCCCGGCCCAACAGCCCGGCCGCCTTTGAAGGAACCCCCCCCCCCCCCCACCCTGGGCCGCGCTGCCTGACCACCGTGCTCATGGGGATCTTCTGCAGCATAAATCAGAATGGGCCCAAAATTGCAGAGAAGGTCCAGGCCGAGAGCCTTCAACGTCAAGTTCCTCAACCTGTGAATCCGATCCTTTCTCGACGACGCACTTCCGGGCCCCCAGCTGACTCCCAACCCAGCAGCAAGATGGTGAGGAAGATCGCTTATAGAGCCGAGCCCTATGACTGGGACACAGTCGTCCCGCTCGACCACATTATCGATCACAAGCTGGAGACGGCCGGCCTTCCCCATGCACCCAGGGTTGATGATTATCAGAAGGGGCGCGAGGAGCTGAAGAGGCGTGAGGCATCGCTCGGCTTCGAGTGGAAATGCGCCAGCCGCGCGTCAGCCAAGGAGCAGCGGGTAAATCGCATCCTCCAACGTCTCAAGCGCCATGACGAGGAGGAAGTCTACGCAAAGGAGCCACCACAGCAGGGAGTCACCGGACAGTCACATCAACGATTCGCGGGTGACCATTTCTTATCAAACAAGGCCCTGATCGACAGGACAAAGGTCTTCAAGCTCGCCAGGCGGGCTCCCAAGGGCGCACACCTGCACATCCATTTCAATGCATGTCTGCAGCCCAATGTGTTGCTCCAGATTGCGAGTGAGATGGACCAGATGTACATCACCAGCGACGTACCGCTGCACACAACAGATGAGGAACACCCCAAGCGGTCCACGCGATGTAGGATACAATTTTCCATCATTGATATCAAAGCCAGCAAGGGCAATCTGTTTGAGTCTGGGTACAAAGATCGCGCGCCTATGAAATTCAAGGAATTCATAAAAGAATTCCCACGGCACTACCGCGGGGCAGACGCTCTGGAGTGGCTGCAGGAGAAGCTCGTTTTCCGCGAGGAGGAGGCCCATGACCTACCCCAGACAGTCAGCGGGGCATGGGAGGAATTCAACGCCCGCACGCAGATGATGAAAGGGTTGTTCAACTACGAGAGGGCGTATCGCGAGTACACACGCAGGTTCCTAGAAGATTTCGTTAGCGATAACATCCAGTACGCCGAGATACGGCCCAACTTCATGGACACGAACCAGGTCTGGACCGACGACGGGACGCGCAAAATCGACAATGTTGGCATCATGGAAATGATCATTCAGGAGGTCGAGCGGTTCCAGCGAGAAAAGAAAGGCAGCGACACCTACTTCGCGGGCCTCAAGGTCATATACTGCTGCCCACGGTCCTACCCTAGGGAAAAGGTCGCCAACGGGCTGGCCGAATGCCTGCGCTTCAAGAAACGTTGGCCTGGCTGGATAGCCGGGTTCGACCTGGTCGGCGAGGAGGGCAAAGGCCGGCCGCTGAGCACCTTCGTGCCCGAGTTCCTGCAGTTCCAGAAGGATTGCGCGGCGGCGGGCGTCGGGGAGATCCCGTTCCTGTTCCACTGCGGCGAGACGCTCGAGTCCGGCTCTGAGACGGACGACAACCTCCTCGACGCGCTGCTGCTCGGGTCGCGCCGCATCGGCCACGGTTTCTCGCTCTCGCGCCACCCGTACCTCATGGAGCGGATGAAGAAGGCCGGTGTATGCGTCGAGTTGTGTCCCATCTCCAACGAAGTGCTGGGTCTGACGCCACGGGTTGGCGGGCATGCTATGTACAGCATGTTGGCTAATAATGTGCACTGCACTGTGAGCAGTGATAATGGGACTTTGTTCAAGTGAGTATATATACACCTACATTGCCCAACACCCTCGCCACACTTTCTAGTCTCAGGGTGGCTAACTTTTCTTCTACAATAGTTCGACTCTCTCACACGACTTCTACCAGGCCATGATCGGCAAGTCCGACATGACCCTTTTCGGCTGGAAGCAGCTCATCGAGTGGAGTCTCGAGCACGCCTGCATGTCGCCCGCCGAGCACCAGGATGTGCGGCGGGCGTGGGAGGTGCGGTGGGAGAGGTTCGTGGACGAGACCCTCGAGGAGTTTGGGGCATTTGACAGCGATTTTGATGACAAAGGAAATTAAACTTGTAATGATAGGTTGGGTGTAAAAATATCCCACCAAATACTTAGAGCTTCTTCTGAATGACTGACAATGAGAAATTCATGACCACATACATATTGACATCACGAGCCAGCCGAGCCACTTCGCCCCTGAAGTGGCAAGCATGGCCATGGGCACCACTGAAGAGCCTGACGGGGCCCACCTGCAACAATCCCTCCAGAGCACTGTGGTTGTCCACGTTGCAGCTGGCCCACAGAGTCCGCCTACGTAGGAAGTGCGCCTCGGCGCTGGCCATCCATACAAGGAGATGCGCCGGCAGCTGCAACACATCCACTGGGAGCTGGTCAGTCCGGCCGCCATCTGTCGGGCTGTGCAGCTAAGCGCTTCAGTAGTTATATATACACAATGACTCCGACGCGCCGACTGGAAGCACATTTAGCCTCCCCTCCCCCCTGAGGTTCAATCAGAATAACAGGGCCTGTCACTCTGCTTTACGCACAACCGTTACAATCGCGCACTGATCATCATGGCCGCCACCGAAATCATGAACTTTGAACACACACCTCTGCCGGGTTCGAAATGGATTCGGCTCCTCAAGTTCCAGCCCGAGCTCGAAAACGGCTGCATCTCGTGCAGGCTGGACTTCTTCGAGCCCACCACTAGCCCTGGTTACACAGCGTTGTCCTATGCATGGGGAGACGCTACTCCCAGACACGAGATATACATCAACGGTCGTCACCGCAAGGTCCACGAGAACCTGTGGAGGTTTCTCCGTCGCTGCTTCGAGTCCGGCTTTTCCGGGTATTTGTGGACGGACTTGCTGTGCCTCGATCAAGCGAATGCACCGGAGCTGGCCGTCCAGATTTCTCGAATGGCTGATATCTACGAAGGTGCTGAGGAAGTGGCAATATGGCTAGGCGACGATCCCATTCTCGAACAGGAATTCCAATCACGCACATATAGTGTGGCTGCAAAACTCTCCTATTGGAAACGTGTCTGGATAATCCAAGAGATTGCTTTCGCGAGGAAGCTGACGATCATCTACGGGTCTTGCGAGGTTGGCTGGGATGAATTTCAAATTTACTTGTCAATGTGGGTGCCTCAGGGTTAGCCTTCTCTCATTTTCTTTTATTTCCATATCTTCATCCCCGTCTCTGTTTCTTCCCTTGCTCTCCTGTTTCTCCCTTCTAACAAGTCTGTGGATTCAAATAAGATATACCGCGAGAACCGAAGAGCTCAAGCCACTACCATCTCATGCAGACCCCGGAGCGAATGCAAGAAAACTACGAAGACTTCAGCATGTATTTCAATGAACTTGACAGATGGAGAGACGAAATGCAAGTGTGGTCTAGAGACCGTACATACTTCTCAAACTATCCTTTGGCATCCTTGGGATTTAAAGAAGAAGGCTCTTCCTTCTCAAGCCTATTTTTCGCATTCTTGGACTCGCAAAGCACGAAGCGTCGCGACGCTGCGTATGCTCTCATCAGCCTGGCTGCTCGTCTATTCCAACCTTGGTATCGCAAAGATTTGGAGATCAACTACCAGAAGCCAGACTCCTTCGTCTTTTGGGATTTGGTTTTTGAGCTTAATGATAGTTTTACCCCCATCAGCGCCTACCGTGGCCGCTTGTCTGGATTACGAGATCGGATCGTTGGTCCAGCCAGCACTGAGTGGAGAGAGAACGCGCATAGCGAGCTGGAGCTGTATCGTCTTGACGACACCACACCCGCAACATACAAGATGCAGGCTGAGCTAGCATTGTGGACGATGAAGAAAATAGCGGCTCTCAAACGGTACTTTATTGAGCCCTTGAATTGCCGTCTCAAGATAAGCACTGGCAGAGCACATGTCGACCCCGTTTTCCGTCCTCAAGCAGCGGCGGTAGAGCTCGTTCAGTTTGAGAAAAGATTTCAAAATTGTCCATCTACTGCTCAAGATTTCTTTGGGGCTTGGCGTTGTGGCCTCCAGAAAGCTAAAGACGTCCTGGGAGCTAGGCAAGTCGTGACAGAGACATCAAATACGGTTGACACCGACGTCAAACCATATCGCGATGGGGATCAGTCGTCGTCACACTGTGGCGTGTCTCCTTTTAACTGTTTGCAAACAAATTCAGATCGCTGTCTAGATCTTGTTCTTGACATACCGGAGGCGCAGATTTGTGTCACAGTAGTGCTTGACCTTTTATGCATTAGGAGGCTTTAGTATAGGTGCCGCAGGATAGCGCAGACTTAATAAAATTGTTCACGAAGATGGTAGGCTCCTGTTCAGCCGTAAGGATGAATGCATAGCGCTTGACACAGACGAGTGCTCACGGGTCCGCCAAGAGCAATACTGACCATCTGAAGAGCTGCACAAACCTGGTGGCGCCGACCAGGACTGTCACAGTGCTCGAGCACGGCCAATATCGCGCTCATTCTGATTTCCGCGTTCTGCATCCACATTCGTTTTCGACAAGTTTCATGTCCAAACGCTTGCAGCCCTGACTCTTTTCCAAACCAACAAGCCCTTACGGCGGGCCTCTATCAACGCATTTGGCTGGGGGGCCACCGACTATCATGCGCTTTTGCACTATGCCGCTAAACACCTGCACCTACTGTCTCGATGATCACATATGGCAGCTACCCCAGCGCTGAGTTTTGAGTCTGCACCCAAATGGTGTTTATGAGATAGCTGTGAGGGCATGGGGCTGAATGCCAGCGGGGCCCTATGGGCTGGGACCCACAGAGCCCTTATCGATAAGCTTATCCTATCAGCCCACCCGTATTGTAAATAGCTTTGAGGGCACGCATAGCTGCGCTTCCTCTGCCTTTCTTATTGATAGGCGAAACTCGACAGAAATCAACAAGTTTCTACAGCCAAATCGAGTCTTCGTGCCGTGGTGACGTAGGGACCGTCTCAATAGCACACATATCGACATGAATTCTCAGTCACCAACACCGCAACGCTTCAGAGACCGTTCAAATATGAGATATAACGCACCGCTAACAAACCAAGACCGGAGAAACCTGAGAGTCACAAGAGCTGGACTACCCTAGCTTTAATCTTTCTACAAACCCACACCGCTAACAAAAAGTTGACTCAAATTGGCGTACGATACATTCACAATCGCGCTCTTAGCCCGCAAGGCTGGTCCTGATCAAGCGAGCTCCGTGCTCCGCGACGCCGTAGACAGTTGCCTGTGGATTGGCGCGAGGTGTCAAGGGGATGATACTGGCGTCGCACACGCGCAGGTTTTTGGTACCGTACAGGCGCAGCTGCGGGTCCACGACGCCGCCCATATTCCGCGGCATCATGGAGCAAGTTCCAGTGTAGTGATGTGCGCCCACGGCCTTGTTCTTGAGAAACCTGTGGAATCAAAACGTCAATATGGGGTCTGCCCTGGTTCTCAAGTGCCACTTCCCTCACGCCTCAACTTTTAGAGCTTGGAAGAGACAAATTAGTTAGACTTACTCTTTGGCTGTCTCGAGGTTTGCCAGCTCGCCGGGGGCAGGTGCCTTCTCGGATCGCTTGCCACCCAGCTTCAGGTAGCTGGCGAGTGGCTCAGTGGCTGTTAGGCGTTGCCCGATGAATTGGATGTGGCGCGCCATAACCTCGATATCAAGTGGGTTGGTGAAGAATTCTGGGTCAATGGCCAGCCTATAGTAATGGCTGCTGCCAGTATTGACATCTTCCTCCTTCGCATCGGTGACAACATGTACTGAGCCTCTTGAAAGTGGGTGTGGGAGAAAGCTGGCGATGGTGATGTAGCTCTCCTTGGAACCTGCTGTAGGCTGTAACCCTGTACCATCTGGATTGAAGCCGACGCAGGCAGGGGCAAAAATATACTGTGGTTTGTTGAGGTTAGCTACTCGAGCATTGAGAACGATTTGCTATTCAGAAGTGTCAAGATGAGGATATTGTCCATTTCTCATCGTTTATCAAGCGTGACTTGATAGGCAGCTCTTCAAAAAAGTAGAGGGATGGGTCACGAAAATGGTAAATGATAAACTAAAGAAAGTGGAGATTGCCCATAAAATTGCTTACATATCCCGACGCATCAGACGAAGAAGTCAAGATAGAGCGGACAAAGGTCTCATGCGCCGCATGGAAAGACGACTCAGAGCTATTGATTTTTGTACTACTCAGGAGGACTTCAAAGTCTTTCCTCCCCTCAGGCGTGTCAGTCCCAGGCAGTGGCAGCTGCGCAGCCGAAACGACGCAGCTGCTCGCGAAGGGACCTTGCTGCCGCGCGTAGGCCCGCATGGCCGCACCGAGGGCCTCAGGCTCCTGGCGCACGAGCGAATCCTTGGTTGGCGGCGCCGTCTCGTTGACTTCAAAATTCATATTGACCAAGGGGTGATTCTGCAGGTTCTCTCCAACCCCGGGGTTGTCAACGACGGTATCGATGCCGAGCCGGCTCAGCCGCCCCGCGTCTCCGATGCCTGACAGCTCGAGCAACTTCGGGGACCCCAGCGCGCCGGCTGACAAGATCACCTCCCTCTGAGCATGCACCGTCTTCACTGAGCCGTTGCTGTCCGTATATTGGACGCCCGTTGCCACGGCGTCGTCGCTGCCTGGCTTCTTTTCTAGTAGCACCTTGTGGACCTCGACGCCCGTGACAACGGTCAGGTTGGCGCGGTCGCGGGCCGGGCCGAGGTACGCATTGGCGGAGAAGCTGCGCTGTGCTGTCGCCGGATCGACGCTGTCGGGAATCACGAGGCCACCATTACCCTGGCTGGTCAACGTGTCCTGGGCGCCTGGGAAGCCGAGGGCCTCCAGCGTCTTGGACCATATCTTTGGCCACTCGTCCTCAGAAGTGTCGGCAAAGGCCACCTTGAGTGGACCTCCGCTGTTTCTGGATGGATGAGAAACAGACGGTGACGTCTTGGCCACCGTATATGTCTTGTTCAAAGCCTCAGCGAAGGCTGACCACTCCCAGCCTGGGTTCCCAAGGCGCGCCCAGCCGTCGACGACGGCCTTGGAGCTGGCAGTGAAGTTCAGACCGTTCATACCACTAGATCCGCCCAGCATCTTGCCCTGGGGGACATAAATCTCACGGCCGCCCATGTCGGCCTTGTTTTGTGAGGACGCAACCAGTGTCAGTGTTTATTCTTTCTTTGCCCGTCTTCACTCGGAGAGAATGCAAGGACAGGCGGACAGCTTACCTGGGGAACGGTCTTAAGGTTCCAGTCCGATGACGTCTTCCACAACGTTTGTGCCATGGCCGGGGTCAGGATGCGCGGGTCGGCTGTAAGATCCTCACCGGCTTCGAGGACGACGACCTGGAGCTGAAGGTCTTCGGAGAGGCGTGAAGCCAGAACAAGCCCTGATGTTCCGCCACCCACGATGACGATGTCATAGATATTGTCATTGGAAGAGGCCATCGTATTTAGATCTACTATGTGCTTTTGAATTCAGTCATAAAGTTGCCTTGAAACAGTAGAATTCCCTTCTAATTAGACCTTATGGTGCGGCGGGCGCGAGTCACGGCGTGGACCAGAGGTCGAGACACTACATGCAACGGGATCAACGCTCCGACTAGGAGTTTCTGCGCCTTCGTCACCGTATATCATGCAGTCAGCCCGAAAAGACATCAATGTTGGGGCTAGTTAATCCGGAGAAGGATCGTGGGGTATCGCGGCACTTGCACTCCTCGGATCGAATTGGCATAGCCCAGACACGGCTAAGAGGGGGCGACCAACGAACGCCTGTGTGATTCGATAATGAGTGAGAAATGATCCAGGTCTTATCCCCGACATCGACACCAACATAATCTTGAACCATAAGCAACCGTTGTCTCGGCCACTGGAGGGGACGCTTTATCTCCGAATTTTGCCCACATTCTTTTACGAACCTATCATGCAATATTGTTCCGGTCATCTATGGATTGGAAATCAATTATCGCCTGCGATGTGCCAATTCTTAGTCATCATGGGCACAAGAAGAATCCCCTGATGATCATGCTTGCAGAAGATCATTATCATGATATTTGAAAGTTAAGACCATGCGCTTTCCTCAATGTATTCGGTTCCATGCTGATCAAATAGCTGCGGCCTTTTCATAGCTTGGTGCGTTTCAATTAAGCGGACTCCGAAGGTAAGCCAAAGTCCGCACTCGATTAATACTAAAAGGCTCTAAGATGTGTATACTTGTCAATACCCACACCTGCTTATGCGTAAATATTGTTCCTGAATTCGAGTTAGGGAGTAGTACGTAACACTCCTCACTCCTTACCACCGGGTAACATGTCACTGTATCAGCGTGCGGAACAAAGTGATCTCGGGGCGGCAACGAGTGAAGTTCTTCGCGCGGACAAGCCTAGCTTCTCAACTTTGTGGTACCTAATGTGGTCTTGGACGTTCCTAATTCGAGAGCCTCTTCTAAAGTTTTGACTGCACTTCGTCCTCAGCAGCATCCAGGGCAAGAGTCTGTCCCAAAGCCACAGCAATCCTTTCCTGCTGTATTCACGCAATCACAGCAGCAGGACCCCTCAAAGCCACTACAAACGCAGAGGCTGCATCGTTTCCCCAGCTCATTTAGGACGTCGTTTTGACGTCTGACGGGAGACATGTCGCCTGCCGGTCCCTGTGTTGTTTTGTTATTGTGCTTTTAGTCTTCTTAGCCTAAACATATTGAATCTGGATTACTGACTGGCGGAGCGGCGAGCGTGAAGCCCACAAGGGTGGTGAGTATAGTTGCCGACAGAAGCAGTCTCATTTTGAGTTATTAGTACTGTTTCTCGAGCTTGTAATTATATCGTCGAGGAGGGAAGAAAGTGGTCGGAAATTGAAAGGGCTATGTCCACCCACTATTACAGATCTTTTATATTTGCTCCTCTTCTCTTAGCAAGAGTAATTGTGTCCATGCCTACCAGGACCTTGCGTTGCTTCCATTCTCTCTGTAAGCACTAACATGACCTCTGTTACAGAGTCCGACAGAGTCCGAGGGTTGCCGGGAAAATATGTGTTGATGATGATGTGGCTTTGCTGAGCCACGCAAAGATCCAAACAAACATCCAACCGATTCCCGAGTTGACCGACTCCCGAGTTATGGACGTACATTTGTAAATTAAAGCAAATATACAAAGTAGGCCAAATGACACTCTCGTGCATTGCTCACCCGCCCTAGGCGCCTTCCAAGGCCCTCTACCCACAAACATCCATTACCAAAACATCTGGTCTGTCTTCTCTAAGTCAATTTAACCCAGCTTACATGATGTCGATATTGAAGTAAAGATAACATATTCTATCCAACCTTGGCAGCTTACTTGAAACAGCGATCATCATTCTCACAAGGCGCCTTAAGATATAAGAAGGCCAAAAGAGATACGGTCGTTTTGACGGTGATGGCCGTTTTGGTGGCTATCAACGTCGTGTTGCGGGCGGCGCCGTTGGTGAAGATCTAGGCGAACCAGGTCTGCATGCCGAGCATCGACTCACTTGTGCGTGGCCGACATGGCCGGATCCTCGGGCGAATTGTCCCAGCATCCAATCCTCTGATTCCTCCCGCACTCTTCCCCACGAAAAGGTAACGGAAGTAGCAATTTTGGAAGGTTGTCACCACGAGCTCTAGCTGTGCTAACCAACAGTTAGACCTGAGGGCTGCCGTGCAGAAATGTTACGAATCGAATCAAGTCAGCAAATACGCCGGACTGGATGGACTGGCCGGGCGTTTAGTTGCACACCCTCAACAAATTTTGAATTCCTTCGATGTCCACACCAAAGATAAATGGCTTGTACAGTCTACTCTAACCCGATTTTGTCTTCCAGTAAATGCTCAAGGCATGGAGCACCTCAATCTCCCCAAGACAAGATCACAGGATCTTGTTCACGCCGCCACTCGCACACATGACACTTCCCGTCACCCACCTGCTCTTCTCGGAGCTCAACCAGCCCGCAATCTCGGCCACGTCATCGACCGTTCCGATCCGAGGCCCAACGTTGCAGGCCGCCTTCTCCCTCTTCATCATGCCCTCGGCCACCTGTTCGGGGACCTCGGCCAGCGAATCCGTGTCGGTGGCGCCCACGGAGAGCGCGTTGAACGTGGTCCCCTCCATGCCGGGCCTGCGCCCCAGCTCCGCCGCCCAGTTCCGGGTCAGCGCCTCGAGCCCAGCCTTGACGGCGGCGTAGACGAGCGTCCCGGGGGTCGCGGACCGTGCCGCCCCGGACGAGACGTTGACGACGCGGCTGCCGGGCCGGAAGCGCGGCAGCAGCGCCTGGACGAGCAGCACGGCCGCCTCGAGGTTGCCCGCGAGCATGCGCGACACGTGGGCCTCGTCGATGTCGTCCACGGGCCTCGCCTCGGCCACGGCGGCGTTCTGCACCAGGATGTTGACCGCGCCGCCGAAGTGGCCGTCGATGGCCCCCACGACGCTCGCGACGAACTTCTTGGGGTCCAGGAGGGACGCGGCGACGCCGACGATCTGGGGGGCCGCGTGAGCGGAGCCGCTGTACAGGGTTTCGATCTCCTCCTTGAGGGACGATATGTTCTTCAGCGTGGATTCGCTGGAGCACGTGGCCAAGACGCTGGCGCCGCGCGCGGCGAGGTGGAAGGCAATGCCGCGCCCTATGCCCCTGGACGCTCCGCTGCGGATTTTGATTTCGTGAGTTTTTCAAGTCCGTCTTGCAAGCAGTTGCAACGTTTTCATGGGTCCCGTCACTATGGCTTGAACTTACGTGACGAGGGCCACTTTACCCGCTAAGTCCTGCTCTCGCACCGTCGCATTGGGAAGCGTGTACTTCGGCATCTCGGTGGTTGGGGAGTGGAATAAAATTTTGCAGAATAGAGCTGGAAATATGTGTAGTTTGGAAGAGAGAGATTATATATGCTGCAGGTTGACGATGAGGAGTGAAGACCACAACTTTCAACATCACTTTTAGCCATGAGCTCTCCCGCCTCTTATAGCCATCGTGTGCTCCTTTGTGGAGATCGCGGGACTTGTTCTGGCCCGGCGTGACGTGTTCTGGCCCGGCGTGACGTGTTCTGGCCCGGCGAGACGGAATAGGTAGGCATGCAAAAGTTTAAAAAAGTAAACAAGTGTTGGAAATATAGAGGGCCGTATCTTGTCGTTTTGGGGAGGAAACGGGCTGATACCCGCCGATTGCTCGGACACTTTCCAACGTTGCGGCACGATTACTCGCCGAGAAAGGGGGACGGCCAACCACACTTCCGAGAATGTGCGCGAGTCCATGCGACTTTAACCCTGAGTCAAACATCAATTGGATTCACTCCTAGGGCCAAGACAGTAAATGGCCTCTTGGCTGCCAGCACAGCGTAGCGGTTGCCGTGTGAATTTATCACGACTCAATTCAGGGGCGCAATTACCAGCAGACATCATGTTCCAAGTGCGACCCGTCCATCCCAAGCTACAGGCAAGGCACTTACGCTCCGCACTAGCACCAATTCCCGTCCCGTCAAATAAAAAGGCCCTACTCAGACATCTCTGTTTCGTCTGCGAATTGATTTTTTGAATCCAAACTTTCCTTGGGCGAGGTTGTTGAGGGGCCATTGTGGGCTATAGATCTGAGACTTGAGCCCGTTCGTCCAAGCCCGAGGCCACTGACAAACTTGTTGTAGACGCTCTTAGCAGCCGTGACCGCCGAGGACTCTTCCGAGTGTTGATTGCCGGCTGAAGACAGAGGCCGTGGAGACGAGTGGTGGGCAGCACGCGCAGCTTGCTTGGTCGACAACGCTATTGCGCGCCTACTGATTGTGTAGGTGGTCGGTGTCAAGAGCTCTGAGAAATATTTGTCTCTTAATTCGTCGATCCTTTGTAAGGCTGTCTTGCCTATATGAGGCTCCCAGACCTTCGGGTCGAGCGGCCTCGCGCCGAATACGACTACAGCAAGCTCGCGGTCGTGGAACACTGCGGCAGCTAGGTTTGGCCAGTCGCATTGATCGATTAGCCGGTGGATCTCTCCAGTAGAATATGTTGGCCTCGCTGCAGCAAGCCTAAGCCTTTTTTCGACGTGATCCTGGTTCAACATCATCTCCTTTAATGGACGCACGAAAACATCTTGGTATACCTTGAAATCTTTTCCAAGGGTATTGGCATCATCTCGGAAATCGTCAATGACGCCCACTAGCATGGATGCCCAAAGACTGGGTTGATCATGAGGTTTTCCTCCATAATTCAATATCAACCATGCCCCCAAGGCTCTTTGATATTCAGAGATGTTGGCAAGAAGGACCACCCGATAATCCATACTCTTGTGGAGTTCCCCCCAACGTTTGTTTAGCCGGTCATCCATGTTATCAAGGACCGTGAGCTGGTCGATGACCCGCTGACGTTCAGCCGCGGTGGGATCCGGTCGCTGAAGTGCCTCCTCGTGAAGTTTAATTGCATCGAGCAACTCATTGCGGAAGAGAGGTGTCTGGTATTCCAATAGAAGAACCTGGTACCCCGAAAGTCGTGACCTTAAAGCGGAGCGGACTTCCTCGTTGATGGGTTGTAGTGCTTTCTCGTCCATCGTGCCCGATTTGTCTGCGAGAGGCAGAAAGACGACCAACAAGTGGCAGTGGGATTCTCAAGTTAATTTGATACCGGGGTAAATCAATAGATGGAGGCATATACAGCAACTGAACTAGCAAGAAAGACGAGTATATAATTGTGTCGCCGATATGATGTCATAGGCAACATTGAAATCGTTGTCAGATCCTGTATGGACAAATAGCAATGCACAGAACCAACCATTGAACAGACGGCACTGCAACCTAACAAGAAGCAGGGCACTGTGCCCAGGTAAGCAGGGAATAAGCGAGCGGACACTGGACCACTCAGGTAGGACTGGCCGAGCCTTCTGACTTCCAGCATGCGATTCTTCCAAGGATATTAATAGAGAAGAACAAAATAACAGCCAATATAGTTTCATTTTCAGGATTAGTGCTGTGGGCCACGCAGTAGACATGCATCAGACTCCAAGTCGACCTCAGCATCGCATCTGACTTTCGAAGAACCACTTCTCGATCCTGCATGGCATACAGGGCCTGCACACAGAAAGAAGCATTTTCAAATTCTTCAACAACAAGAGCACCATGGAGATTCTCCATTGAATTGGCCTAAGAAAACAGAGATGCTAGATGTGGGCATAGGTGAGCGACCCTAACCCTTGAGAAAAGTGGTAAGGACCGGTGAGGGGTACGGGGGTGAGCGCAGGGCTCCAGTCCACTGGAACGGAAACGCCCACCTGGTAAACGCCCAGGTGGGCTTGACCGTTGCTGTAGGCCTTCCGTTTTGATCCGTTTGCCGCGCGCACCCCCACCTAACTTTAACCTTTTGCAACCGCCGACTGCTCAACCCCATCTGCGCGTCAAAAACTTGTCGAAACTACTGCACATAGCCTCGAACCAGCCTTCTCGCACTCGCTGCCGCCGCCCAAGGTTGATCGCAGTGGGCCTGGACAGCTCAAGTCGGGCGGGCAGGCGGGGCGGGACACGCTGGACTTGACATGGAGACGGACGACGGGGACGGGGACAGCGGACAAGGACTGCCGACGGCCATCGCTGCGACACAACCCAATGCAAGCAGCGCCACAGAACCAGGATTCGATTCCTTGTGGATTGCAAACCCACAACTGCGCCCCAGTTGAGCGCTTCACACAGGCTCAAACCGCACGACACGCTCCCTCTGCGCACACACCGCCGCCGCAGCTGCTGCTTGTTGGGAACCTTGAGGATGAAGCGAAGTTTTCCTGCCTTACCCTCCGATGTGAGGATGGCAAATGGTCTACAGTACCCTGGATTATCACCATGCATATAACCATATCCGTCGCCAAGATGTCGGCTTAGCTTTCCGTCCCTCCTTGACCTAATTGCTGACAGAAATCTCTTGATTGGTCTGTCACATCCGGCAACGTGCTGCACTGCCATCAACCAACCAACCAGTCAGCCCAGCTGAGCCTTGTGTGGACGACAGGCCTCTGCTCTGTGAAACCTCTCAATCGTTTCAATCGTTAAAAAATCATCAATTTCTTTACAGTTAACGACCGAGAGCGGGAGACCCGCCTCGAGGCAATCTCTCTCTCAGAGTTACTCTCTCACTCACATACTCAACATGGCAGACGGCGAAGGTCCGGTGGCAACATGGTTCCCCGTCGACAAAAACAGCTGGGGCCTTGATGTGGTCACTCTTCTTGCCGTCATTGGCGAGTCGTCTATGGAAGACCACGCCCAGCCCATCACAGCCTCTGTTCTCTGTCTGCTGCCGCGTATCTTGCCCGCTCCCCAGGCCCTTCTGAAGTCCAGGCGGCCCACCAGACTCCCCACCTACAACGCGCAGATGGTCGGAGTCTACAATGGCGTCGCACTCGACTCTGTGGGCTTCTTCGCCAACATCATACATCCTCTGGACGACCACGTCCCGTATTCATTTAGGGTTATTGAGATCAAGCACACGGACGAGGTCTTCGGCATAGGGAAGCCACCCAGGAGAGGCTCCTGGGCCGGCAGGCTGTGGAAACGGTCAGTGGGGAAGTCGGCCCCTCGCAAGCAAGTCCTTGACCGGCCGCCATCAGAACTTGATGCCGACGACAAAAAAGCACGTGACGGGACTACCAAGGGCGTCAAATTCGACGTCGACGTGGAGAAGGGGAGCCATGCACCTCCTGAGCCGACGATGGGGATCAAGAGACGACGCACAGCCAAGGAGAAGGTCACTGACTTTATCGCAAACCCAACTCTGACACCTACCACTCGCCCTGCGGTACCACCTGCCTGGAGCAGCCCGATTCACATAGCCACGGTTGCGTCGTTTGTTCTGACGATGCTCATCTTCGGCCTGACGGCGTATTGGAAGGATGGCAACGCCTTGATAGCAATTTTCATCATCTCGACACAGGCGTCCCTCGTCGGATACGCCTCCTGGTGGCGCCCACGCCTGATGGTGCGGCCTCCTCACTCTACAAACGTTCCGCCCGGCGACATGATGATTCGTACCCGAGAGGGCGCATTCATACTGGTCAAGTGCACAGAGGAGGTGGCGCGGGAGCTTTACACCGGGACAGAAGACTGTGAATATCACGTCGGCGACAAAACGTACCGATTCCTGATGGCCCTGGGGACGATGCTCCTCATGGTTGGCGTCGTCCTGCTCGGGAACACCCGGTTCGAGGCGCAAGTGCTCATCAGCGGGAGCTATATCATACTGAACGGCGCGTACTGGCTCCTTGGCATGCTGCCTCGGAAGTATTTCTGGGACCTATCCCGCTACAAGTGGGAGGACATTACACCCGCAGACGCCAAGAACGCCGATAAGATGGTGGTCGGCGCGGACGGGGTGGAAGGCTTTCCCAGCTTCACGAGGACACTCTGGTACGCCATCCGCGAGACCAAGCACACCGGCTGGGTCGAGCGCAGTGGCGCGGCCCCCAGCACCTCCCAGTGGAGGCAGTGGCTGAAAGAGGCCGGCGAGAACGCGCACAAGAACCGCAAGTGGCCTTCTGTGAGCCGTAAGGACGAAATTATGAGAGAGAATGTCAATGGGCCCAATTTCTCGCCCGGCGGGCCTGAGGCGGACTCTGCCGCGCAGCACGCGCCGCTCCGGGAGGTGCAACCCAACCCGGAGCCGGTGAAGACTGGGCAACTATAGTAGCATCGTATTAAGGAGCATTTGTTTTCTGGGGTCTGATCTGTTTGGTCTCATGCTGTGGAATCATTTTCAACGGCCCGGCGGTGTATAGAAGAATCGGCTTTGGCATTGAGCATAGCAAGGCGTTGGTTGAATCATCTACTGGTCTTAATGACGATTGTTTCCCCCAACGGAAAGGCCTTTTCTTCCTTTTTGCGAACCCCGACGGTGTCCTCGGACCTTCCGTTACGCCCATGCCATCAAGCCGCTGATACCCTACGATGCTAACCGAAGTTTCGGAGACACTCGCAATTGGGACGATCTCATTTTTGCGGACCTCGGGACTCGCATGTGAGCGAATTTCCCCCCAGATTCAGCAGAGAGTTTGTGGAAATTCAGCCTAGCGAAGGGAGGCTGTATCGTCTGCTCTTGAAAGCCGTGGCATAGCGCCCTTGTTCATCCCTTCTCCCACTCGACACTACCCTCGGATCTCGCTGTTTCTTCCATCATGACGGCACCCGCGGCCCCTCGGGGTATCCGGCATGATCAGCAGCTGTCAAAACCTTTTTCGCGATATGTTCCTGAGCTGCCGAGCACTTTAATTTTGGGTAAATGATGGTGTCTTTCACTGATAGGTTATTGAGTGGTATGAACTGGGAGAGGGCCTCGGGGGTCTCGGGCCGTCACAACGCTACACATTTTGATTGGGAGAGCTTTTGCCCACGAGGCATATCAACGTGTGATGAAACCCCTGCCCGATGGCATTTGTGTGATGACCCTTGTGAATCTAGGTTTGCTCAAGATGAACGAGTCGCTACTGTTCCATTCATCGGCGATGAGTTCCTGGATGCCACCTAGGCACCGCATGAAGCAAGATAATCACTGGCCGTATGCACATTTTCATCAACTGTGGATAACGATGACTGCTTTCAGTACAGACAAAGAGCAGCAGGAATGACTCGTCGGAGGTTGGCACTAGATCGCCACGTACCATTTCTCCGCCTCCTGTTACCATCACCTCGAGCTTCACTGCCGACTAGCGACTTGGGACGAAGCCGATGGCAATTGGCTGACAGGTGTCAGCCGCCGACCAGCCCCAGCCTAGTTAGGATGCTGTCGTCCTCCTAAGGTGCGGCTCAAGCCCGAGGGAAACAATCCGCCTGGGGCACCCTAGCGGGCGCCCACCACACAGACCAAACCTTATTGCGGAGGCCAAGGCGGGTTCCGGGGGCTCGGCATATTCATTGCATATGACAGCTTTTATACCTTTGGCTAGGGTTTTGGATTCCGCCGCATCTCTGCCCTTCCGGATGCCCAAACGACTCACACCCACTCATACCACACCCAAGCGCACGCGCACTCCCCCGTGTGATGGCCTGAAGGTCTCGAAACGCGACGAGAACCTTCCGATTGGCTTTGTGACCAACCAAGGTTTACGCTTGACGTTAACTTTCCTGATGTGGAACCCCCAAGGACGGACTCACACGGGAAGAGATAACACACATACACACAGAGAGAGACAGAGAGAGGGCAAGCTTAGAGTCCCAGACGCGCTGCCATGGCCTTACAATGCCACGCCTTGTTTTGCTGCCTTACCAAGCGATTCAGAAATTTCCGGCCCGTATCTGCTCGGCGCTCTCTGCGTCATCCTCGCATCTACTGCTTGGAGGATCTGCTGCTACCATTCCCGTTTGGGTCGTTTCCGCGCGCCTTATGCCGCCCCGGGAGTTCGTCGTGAAGCTCGTCCCAGCTCGCGGCCAAGGAGGCCTTGGCCTGTTCCTTAACTAGTCTTGATGCTTCAAGTTCGTTCCTGCCTTGCCATGTGTCGATCTTCCCTACCGGATGTGCCGTAGTGGTATTCATCCCGCGCACACGCGCACAAGGGCCCGCCCTAGCCCCCGTCCTCCACACATCCCTTCTCTCAACTCCTGCATATATCAGACGGAAACTGGAGTCGGCAGACAAAGTTCTTGTCTGTTACAAGTTGGACGTTTACCTTGGTCTACCAGAACAAGCCTCGAACCTTCTGTCCATGTTGTCTCCCCCCTTCGCCCTCGCGCCGTCGAGCGTCGTCCGACCATTTGCCATGTCAGTTCTTACATAGGTCTATCGATGCCCGCTTGGCAGTTGAGATCTTTTCTGAATCTGCTACGACATTCCTTTGCGCACGTACGGACCTTCGACTATTGCCAGTCTCTATTCTTTTCTTTAATCTGTATCTTGTACTATTGTGCGGGAACACCCATTAAATATCGTTCTTGTTCTAATCACAAGGTTTGATACCTGACCTTCAATACACTCTTTTATTTTTTTTTAATAAATCTTTCGATTCCAAGGGTGTGGTCACGATGGGCAGCGATATCTGGTCCTCGACCTCCTCGGACGAGGAGAAGTGGGTAAGGCTCTCCTAAATTTCCCCTTTCCCACCCCAGGAAAACTTCCTCGTATCTCAAGAATTTCTGCACACGGTATTGTTACTAAGATATTCATCTTGTGCTGTCCACCATGTGACGCTTAGCCTGTCTATCAGCTTTCCAAAACAGGACTTTTTTGTTAGCTGGGAGCCATTACTTGAGGCAACGGCTAACCTGAACCGCCGAGCAGCTACCAAGCTTCAACAGGATTGCCCCGGCCCCAGCACCAATAGGCAATGCTGAGGACATGCAAATCCTACTGTTGGGGCCACCTGGGTCGGGTAAAACCTCACTCCAGTCGCGCTACACTCTCCGCCAATTCGCCAAGGTTATGCCCGGTGGCGCTCAACTTATGGGAGCCCACCGGCACGTACCTCTGCCAGATGGAAGCGAAGTACATCTCATCATTCATGAGTTCCCATCTGGTTCTGGTCACCAGACCAGCAGCATGATGGACCCATACAGCCCGGACGATATCTCACGGCAGGACACGCTCACCTCCTCCTACTCGGCCCACCATGCAGACGCCCAACGCAAGAAGCTGCTGGAGCAGTCTGACGCTGTGATGCTTCTATTCAACCCCTGGTCGAAGGAGTCGTTCGAGTGGGTCAATGGTAGCGTCGTCGAGGACATTATCAACACTGGCCGTAAGAAGAAACTCACGACCGATATTGTCGAGATCCTCGACGGCCTTGCCGCAGCGATCCCTGGGATGCCGGGGATGCCGCGGTCCAAATCGACACGTTCCACCAAGTCGTTTCAAAAGGATCTCCCACGCATGCCGAGCTCTCCGACAGGTAGCGGGGGCGACTCGTATATATTCAATGGCCTGGACGAGAAGCGGGACAGGGACAACGACCGGTTTGACTATCAGGGAGAGTTGAAGCGCATCAGCATCGTTGTCGAAGGCTCTGCACTGAAGAGGGCCGAGTTCATGATCCACGAGAGGGATCTGCCCTCGCCATCTGTGCCGAGCCCCACGCCGAAGCCACTGGTGATTTCAGGCCCTATGTCACTCAGCGACAGGAAGTTACCAACTATCAGGGAGGTGGATAGCTACGCAAGTCTTAGACGTGGTGCCGCGTCGGATAGCCACAAAGGCACGTCAACCCGCAGAGGGCGCGACAGTGCATTCAGCTTTCGGACGACCTCCAGCGCATACAGCCAGAGATCATCGACCGTCGTCGAGGAAAGACACGGTTCTGAATTGCGCGACTCGAATCCGTTCACCCTGGAAGACCTCGTCGACGCACACAGCGACCCGGCGCCGCTGGACCTGCCGCTTGATTTGCCACCGGAGCGACCGCCTGAGAGGCGGCCCTCGCTGCCGACGCCGACCGAGGACCTCGAGATCCCCGTCCTGGTAGTGGCGGCGATGACAGACCGGCTGAAGGACAACGGCGGAAATCTGCCCCGGATGGTCTCCGCACAGCAGGGACAGGAGCTGGCGCGCAAGTTCGGCCCCAACTGCGCCTACATCGAGGTCTCAGCCAAATCCAATGCAAATGTCGACGAGGCATACGGGATCCTCGTGGATCAGGTCATGAACAAGCGGTCATCGCGGAAGGACGAGCGGCCTGGCCAAAAGGATGAAGACCTCATCATCATCCAGGAAGAAGACGTGATGGACAAGGACGAGAACGACCGAAGCCTGCCAGCCAGGGTGGTGCGGACGAAGAAACCGCGGACTAAATCCAGGTCCTGCATGCCGGCGTGGTGGGATAATATTATGGGGTCCATTTTCTCTTGGGGCCCGTCGGACTCGGAGGTATCTGCGATTACCTTCGAGGAGATCGGGGTCCACCCACAGGGGGAAGAGGTTAAAGAGGATGTATGGGGTGAGACGATAGTGACCAAGCCAAAGAAGGCCTCGTTGTCTGCACTGCGGAAGTCTGGGGTGGACGAGGGCCGACAATCCTCATCGACAACTTCGACAGCCTTGGCTGATGCACTCAAGAGGGATAGCATTGACAAGACAGCCCAGCTCGAGAAGAGCAAGGAGCCCAGGGCCTCAAACCGCTTCACTATTGATTCAGTAAAGATGATCACAGCCGCTGCGGTGGCATCACCGGAGGAGGATGAGAAGAAACACCGCCCGGAAGAAGCCCTCTTCGACAAACTCGACCGAAAACTATCCAAGAAGAAGGACAGACCTGACAGTATGACACTGGGACGCGGGCCCTCAACAGGTACTCAGTCAGACTCTTCTGACGATGAAGATCAAAAGCCACGACGGAACGAGGCCATCTTGGACAAGGTCTCTCGCAAGATCGGGCTTGATCCCGGACCACTATACCTCGGTGAAAAGCCACATCCGCCACTCCCATTCACAGAGGACAACCGGCCGCTGAGCGTCGACAGCTCGATCGCGCGCACCCTCGGACGGAATAAGTCCACCCGCGCGCTAGGTCAGAAGAAACAGAAGCCAGATCACAGACAACTACTCTACCTGACAAACTACGCCCCCATCTCCATCACCAGAAGCAGATCAAAGTCCTCTCCAAACACAAAGAAAATCGAAGATGACATGGCCTCCTCCATCATCACTGCAGCCACGTCAACCATCCCGCAGCGCCGCCAGCACACAAGCCTGATCAGCGAGCTACCACCATCTATCCCGCCTCTCCGCTTCGACAGCATCCACCTCAACGACCGCCGCTTCACCGTCCTGATACGCCTGGCGGAGCAGGAGCTAGAGCAGCAGCGCCAGCGCGTGCGCAAGCTCGTCCGCGACGACGCCGCGGCCGCGGCACCCGTCACGCGCAGCTCGTCGCTCGGCCCCCACACCAGACGGGCCAGGGGCGTCGGCACCAACGTTGTCGGCGTCGCGAGGAAGCGGCTCTCCGCGCTGGGTGGTGGGCGGGTCACTCCCGAGCCCGCGCGTGGTAGGAGGATCTCTGTCATCAATGTCAGCAGCAGCGGCGGGGAGAAGAAGCAGCAGCCAGATCAGGAGAAGCAGAAACAAAAGCAGAAGCACCAAGTCGCTGTCATACAAGTGGATCAGGAATCTAGGGCTAAGGCCCTGAACAACAGGAGGGTGCTTCCCAAACACCAGTCCATGGCCAGTCCAGGGTCGCCGCCACCGCGCAGGGCTGCCACTGTCAAGGCTGCTGTGCCACCTGTTCCGGCCTCGCGGCCCAGGACGCGGCCCAACTCGGAAACAAGGCCTCATGGTAGGCCGGTGCCGGTCTGGATCTAAAGGAGATACTCTGGGAGAATGAATGAACAATAAAGATGCTCACTTTTGCGTTTAGGGTCCTGGCTTAATAACAGGAGCGTGAGTCTTTTTGTTTCGAAGACAAGAATGGGAATCTCTTTTGTCTTGCTTCTCCGCTGACCCTACTATTTTACTATGATGAGATGACTTCTTTTTTCTTTTTCCTAGTGCCTAGTTAGCTCTGGGATACCTGTATTCTACCTTATGTACATATCTAACCATGCTCGTCCTCTGTAGGCTCTTGGTTTGCCAAAGAAACTGTACAAGTGGGTTGTTCTGTTTCTCGCTCCAAATTTTCCCCTGGGCCAGAATATTTTGGGGGAATTCTTATAAGCAACAAACCTATTATTTCGTGGATATCCGTTTGTAATACATAGATTGTACCTAATATCATGTTAAGTATCCACATCTCTGTGTACTTGTGATGCTCTGATGTGCTTAGTGATGTAGGTGAAGGGACGGTGAAAGCCAGTCTCCTGGCACTCCAACTTGCTGGCACGTTTTTTCTTTCAAGACTTAGGTGCGATGCGGATTCTATCTTGATTAACTAAAAACCAACTCGTCCACCAATAGTAGTAAAGGCACAGTCGCCATCATTCACGACGATTTGTAGCTAGCCACAATGTGGGCGACAGGCGAGGTCTCTCGCCAAGGTCTCTCGGTCATTCTCTGAGGGTCTCGGTGGCTCTATTGTCGTGTTATGCCGGAGCAGTCGGAAGTCGGTTTCTTAATGTGGAGTGAGAACAGCCATGACCGCCACTGATTAAGAACGCTGCTGGATCTTGATATTAACAAGCAAATCCCAAGTGTTTCGAGCCGAAAAAAATTGACCAGCTTAGATCTGCAATCGGTGGGTATAAGAAGAGATGATTTTCTATCGAACTTCAAGATGAATTCTACGGGTGTTCAAAAAGTTACACGCATCCTCTATGTTCGTGTGAAGGCTTGACGGCAGTATCAGAAAACTTATGTTTTTCATAATACACTTTGGGTATATATATCCCTGCTACTCTATCAATAAGTAAGCTATCTTCGTAGTCGAAAGAAATGAAGGGGTATAGCTATTTAAATAACATTTGCTCTGCGTATATCAGTATAAGACCCCGACTTATGTGTTTGTACAGCCTCAATCAAATCCAGTTTGATCTAAGCTTTTCTGGGCGTCAACCTGATGCGCATGTCGTCGCCAGGCTTGACATCTATCACGCCCAAGACGGGCCTCCACTCTTCAGCCGCAGGCATCGGCTGGTATCCACCGGCCATGGAAATATCAAAGCGCCGTAGTAGCAATGCTACAAAGTCGACCACGACGCGCTTAGTGATGAAACGGCCCGGGCAAATTGTGCTGCCTCCTCCGAAGGGGCGGAAATGCTCCATACGAAGTCGCTCGCCCGTCTGAGACTTTTTAGTCTGGAACCTCGACGGCCGGAACGTCATGTTGTCGTCTCCAAAGATGCGAGGCTCGAGATGAAGCTGCCGATAGGGGATGATCAGACGGTTGCCCGCCCTCAGCGTGCGGCCACCGATGACTGTGTCAGCCGTCACTGTGCGCACCGACGCTGCCACGCCAGTCAGGCGCATGGTCTCGTTCCACACCGCGTCAAGCTCGGGGCAGTTCTGGTGGAGGTGTGTGAGGTCGGTGATGGTACCGTTTGGTCCGAATGCGGCGGCCGTCTCGGCACGGATGGTGTCGATGAGTGTCGGGTTGTGAAGCAGGAAGCATATCAACCAGAACGCAGCTTTCCGAGTGTTTGTGTTTGTCCTATTCGATGTTAGTCACACACGTCACGCGTAGATACTTTGACCGGTTCATGACACAGAACTTACCCCCAGTAAAGAATGAGTAAGATAGAGGCAATATCATCAGTTGGAATACCCAAGGCGCGCAGCTTGTCTTCAGTCGAGTCGATGACCCACGCCTTCGCATCACTCCGCTCTTCGCGCGGGAGTTCGCAAAATGCCTTCAGGGCCGCATGCAGCTCATCACGCTTGCCAAGGGTGTCCCGGGCTAGGAACTCTGGAAACTGGTAGAGGAGCTTCCAGCCGATATTATCAAACTCCATGAATTTCTCGGGCAAATCTGGGTCGATACGGTCGAGGGCGCTGCCAAAGAAAGCTCCCTGAGCCGCACGCACCATGACATCCGCGCACCACTGCCAGAGAGGCAGCTCGACGGATCCCGTCGCACCCGGTGTCTCACCTCCAAGTAAGTCTGGGTACCGGGACCGGATCATGCTAATAGCATTCATCTTAACGTTGTCCTCCAAATAATCGAGCTCGGCGCGCTCGAGAGTGTCCAGGCTCGGTCCTGGCTGCAGCTGCGTGATCTGCATCTCACGTGCGAGCTGGGCGACCGGCTTGCGCTGGGCATTATCGGGGTCCTTAATATCCTCTGGCAGGGGCGCGAAAGCTTTTTCAACGCTCGCCTTGGAGGCTCCCATGCTGAGGAAAACCCCCCGGTAGAACTCATCTACAGTGAGGGTGCGCATGTGGCGGTATGCCTCGCTGACATCCTCCGCCCTGCTGACAAAATACACATTGAAGCCAAACAGGGTAAGCTGAAGCGGCTCATTGCTGTTCCCAAAGTGCTTTCTGAAGTGTATGGTTAGCTATCATCTTGTTCGTTGTGACCATTTGTTCTCTGCATGCCGGCTTACCTGGCCTGCTTGAAGAGCTCCTGGGAGTTGTTCAAGAACGATATACCGTGACCTAATGTTTTTGGTTAGAATGTGGGCGCGTCACATGCGTCAATGTGATTGTGAATAGAGATCTTACCAATGACTAAAGTGAAAAGAAATCATATTAGCCCATGCCATCCTCATAGTACTTGTTTTGATTGCCTACCAGGTATCCAATATGGGTACTCTTTCACCTCGAGTGAAAAGATGCGTGGTGTGATGAGAAATCTCCAAAGCCACCAAGAGGCCCACGATACTGCAACGCCCAGTAGAACATAAAGACTCTGTCGCTCCTCAAATGATGTCTGCAAGGCTCTCCAGCCACTGCTCATAAGTGGTAGACTATCAGCTAGCATGGTAAGAATTGATTACAAAGGCAGGCCTAGTGTGAGAGAGTATAGCTCGTGACGACCAAAACAGCCCGCCATGTCCGAGCTGGCACCAATTGCTATTTATCACTCTCTCAATACGCAGTCCTTGAACGCCAAATACCAGCACTCCGGGCCGTTTTCTACTTGAAGGTAACCGAGCTGAAAATTGCCTGATGATGAGGCTGCCACTTTCACAACGTCGCATCGTATCTCTGCTGCCAAGTCAAATCACATGCTATATCGAGCTCGAAGTTGCCAAGAAGGTTCCAGGTACATGTTCTAGTACAGATGCAAAGTCACGACGTCCAAGCACCCCGGCCTGGCTCCACAAACGGTGCTCTAGAGAGATCCACACGCCTTCACTATCTCGGTGACTGGGATGAACCATGGCTGACTCGTGAAAATCCTTTGCAGCTAGTATAATCCTTCGCCTGCTTCCAAGGCCGCCCTGATTCGCTGCAAGATATCCAGAGCAGTGATTTAGCGACAGGTAGCAGCAGAGTTCATTCATGAGAGACATCCAAAAGCGTAATTCACTCATTGGATTGGGAAGCCTAAATAGGTGGGGAAACCGGGGCGGCTGTGTTAGTCGCTAGCCTCCCAGGCTGGCTCCGTCGCTCCCGAGGCCCATCTTCAGCGAGGCTGGGCCACGGATGTTCATCCCAGGCTGTATGGCGGGCGCCGCTCCCGACGGGGACCCGCTTTTCAGTTTAGTAGACAAGTCTTAGACCACTAACCAGAGAACGTCCCTAGCCCGGATCATGACATCCCACTGCGGAAGGCCTCCGCCAACGGTTCATGATTCGCCGGCTCGCCTACAACTTATCAACTTTGCTGTATTTACATGATCCGCATTCGCGTGTACATGAGCAAGCAAATTTGGGCTGATACAAACTTCAGTGTGTATATCGGTCGATGGAAGATCTTCTAATTACTCGGGTGGCGCATACGATGATCTTGCTTGAGTCTTGCGAGTTCTGTGTCCATTCGTACCATGGATTGATGGATATTGTACAAAGAGCTTTTGGCAAAGTCCCTGTCATGGTAAAGCCGTTGCCAATTGGTGCGTGCTCCTGACAGAACCCACTGACAGCCGTGGTCCTCCCGTTAAGCTATGGCTTTAAGCGATGTGACAAGGATTCGAAGGATATAAATAATCAAGTCTCGGCCACACGTGGGAAGTGATCCCTTTCGGATCGACTTGCCCCACCAGACATATTATCGTGAAATATTAGGTATGGATAGAGATCTGATAGAATATCTGCCTCTCTGGGCATAAGCGCGATAATGGAGTAGAATCCTGCTTTGGAATCCAGCATACCAGAGGTTTCGGTGCTTTAGTCTATTATTAAGCGCTAGAGGATCATTGCGTGTTGCAATCAAGCCGCGTAGTTCATTGAAGGATCCATAGTGGAAACTGAGCCGCGGCTATTGAATGTGGGAATCGCGGACATCTGGATCGAGACCATGTTTGCGCTTGCTAGCTCCAACGGTTAACCTGCCACACCTGTTCGGGGCTCGAGCTCTTTTGGTTTGGCCCCCATTTTCCGCCTTCTCAGAAGGAATTCTGACGAGTGCTTTAGGATGTAGGCCGATGTAGAAGACCAGGCTGCATGGCACCCGCACATGAAGATCATGCTGCCTTGTTATCACATGGCATGACTGTGGATGCTGGCTGGAACGCCAGCGAATATAGGTACCTGTCAATCGGCTCATTTCGATTGCTCACCATCATCAACATCAGACTGCTGGGTTTCTTCATTCCCTTTTCAGAAGTGGCTACGTGGTCCCGTGTTACTCACAGTCTCCTTTTTTCAGGAGGGTCGTTGACTTGACATCGCATAAGCGCCTGGTCCGAGCAACTTTTCCTCAAGTGTGCACGACCCTCGACCGCGGTCCAATATCATTTAGTTCTATCTTTCCATCTGCTGCGGCTTTCAATCATGAGCGCAAGCCATCTCAAGGGCTTGGATATATCCCTCTTCTGCGGCATTGGCTCGGGGACCCCGCCGGATGGAACGAAGGCAAATCTCATTGATCCCCCTACACTCGGTCCGGCAGCATGGGGAATCACAATAACAATGACTGTCTGGGCCCTGTTGTTCACCATGGCGAGGGTCTACGTTAATTTCCGGAAGCTGAAGGCTTCCGATTGTAAGTTCTTCCCAAGTGTGGACATTCCACATGTCGAAAGAGTCGACAGCTGACATTACTTACAATACCAGACTTTGTAATTATTGCCATGGCACTCGATATTGTCTATGGGGCATCGGTTCTTCTATGTATGTATTTCGAAAGAATAAGCATACGCTTTGTTACCCCGTGGCTTTGATTCTAATCATACTTACCGCAGTGAATAAATGGGCGAGACATATCTGGGATATACCAGTCTGTTGGATGACTGGAGAATTCATGAAGGTATTTGCATCCTCTTCTCCCCTGCTCTCAACTGCTAAGTCCCCATTACACTTTTCATAAATTTGAAACATCTCTGATTCCAATTCGCAATGTTTTCAGCGCCTCTTCTTCCAAGCAATGATGTACGGCCCGACAATCTACTTCGCCAAATCCTCATTGCTCCTCCTCTACCTCCAGTTCTTCTCTATCCAGCGACCCATGCGCATTGCCACCTGGATCGGTCTTATCGTCGTTGCAATTTGCTATTGGAGCGGTGATATCATTGAAGCACCATTCCTGGCGCCACAGCCCGGTCAGAGTTGGCAGGATGTCGCCTTCAGCGGCCGCTCAGAGAAGATCAGCCCGTGGGGCCTCGTGCAGGGTCCACTCAATGTGCTCATCGATATCTATACCTTTGTGCTGCCCTTCCCGATCCTTGCAAAGCTGAAGCTGTCTCCTCGTCGGCGCACGGAACTGATCATTGTCTTTTCGACGGCGTTCTTGTAAGGCCTCCTCCCCCCTGTCTCCCAGACCAATCCAACACCCAGGTAGCTAACACGCACACAGAGGAGTGGTGGTTAGCGTTGTTGCACTTGTATACCGAGTGAAGTTGGTTTACACTAAGGACGTCACGTGGGCACAAACGAGTGTGTTTCTCTGCATGTAAGACAAATCACTCCTAGCGCTACTTTCGACACAGCAGATGACTGATGCACAACACTCACAGTGTGCTCGAGAACAATATCTCCATCGTGGTATCCTGTATGCCAGCCTTCGCCGTGTTTCTCAAGCAAAACGTCTCAGAGACAGCTTTCTTCAAGTCCCTGCGGTCTGCCCTGATGCCCAGCGGCGGTGAGAAGTCATCTGGATCGACACCTGCACCGAAGAAATGGCCGGGGGCAAGCTTCCAAAGGCAGAGCGACAGGCAGAAGCTGAGGCACAAGGATGTGCATGAGGAGATCGGTTTTGACAGCTACATTGAGCTGCATGATTCAACCCAGTCGAGGTGCGACTCGGAAGCCCTGAATCCTCCACACCTGTCGCCTCCGCACCTGGCGCCTCCACAGCTTGCGGCACAGCCCCCAGCTTACCACGTGCCAGACCAGGGGATCATTCGAACTACTGAGGTTACACAACAGTACTACCCGGCCACAGAATACGTCAGGGGACAGGCATTCTAGTAAAATGGCAAGGCAAGTCGGAAATTTAGTTTGGAGTTTTAGTTGGAAAGTTTCTGGAGAAAGTTTTTGGTTCAGACTCATGGGACGATCTATGACTTCATAGTGCATGATAAGAAGCAATCAAATAATGTTTTGCTGTCACAATTTCTGCTTGACTCGCTGCTACACATATAGACTCGAAGACTTACTTTTCTTACAAAAGTGGGAGAAGGAGCGTAAATATCAGAAACGGCCTTGAGCAGATGAAGATGAGCAATTCTCAATATTTCCAAGCCAGCACCATACGAATAGGAGGACTGATCAAATTCTCAATCTGATTTAATTGTTTTGTACCAAATTTCAATGCCATATATGTGCGTAAGATCAAGAAGGGGAGCTGAGAAGCAATTGCAGGTGTTAAAGTGCGCCTAAAGCTATGTTGATTTATTATAGGAGAGACCTAAATGAAATAAAAGATCAGGTGATCCACAGATTACTTCCCGCCATTACTTTTATACCGTGCCAATAATTCTAACTAAGCTTGAAGCCTCCGGGAACCTTCTTTTGGAAGACCCCCGAGGGGTCTACCTTCGCACTTGTCTGCCTCAGTCTCGCCGCACTTCCAAAGCCGTACGAATCAATTGGACTACCCTGCCAGCTTCCAGTGTTCGCATAGTTCAGGTATAGGTACGGGTCGTACTCGCCAAGACCCTGAGCCGCACTCTTGATGTCTTCGAAGAGCGTCTCCCCTGCGGTCTCAACGGTCGCATCATCAGCCGCGTTGGTCCACAAGGCCGTGAGCAGCGTGACGACGAGGCCCTTTCCGCCACGGTCAGTGAGACCGAGTGCGTTCTCGTACTGGTGGCGCTCGTAGATAGCTGGCGGCAGCGGCTCGAGCGAGAGTGACCAGGTTACGCCGGCCACGCCCTTGATGCTCGTGACGCTGTTGCTCCAGGCCTCGTGCACGGCCTTCAGCATTTCCAGGCTGTTCCCGTGCGTGACGGTCATGTAGAAGACCCGCTCTCCGTTGGGCGATGATTGCGCCAGCTCGTTAGATATGCTCGCCATGCTGTCTATGCGCATGGTGCTTGCGATGGCAGGGATATCCATCAAGGGCTGATACACAGGTGGGTTGGCCTCGGGCTTCGTGTACTCGATGGCGTTGACGACGAGCTGCATCCCTGACGCGCTGTCGTAGGCAAGTGTCATGATCAGTGACGCATACTCATCGTATGTGGTCGGGTTGCTGATGTCGGCGAAAGCTTGCAGCTGCGCGTCGATGGTGTCAATGAGAGAGTACCTGTTGCCACCCCATATCAGACCCTGCTGGATTGAAGCGAGATCAACACGGGTGACGACCCCGAAGTTGTTCGAACCGCCGCGCAATGACCAGTCGAGGTCCGTGTCGTCCTTCGAGTCCACGATGCGGCCATCAGCAAGTACAACCTGGAAATTGGTGACAGTGTCGGCTGTGAAGCCGACCCGTGGCGAGTGAAAAGATATTCCACCTCCCAGGGTCAGACCTCCGACACCGACACCCCCGGAACGGCCGCCTGCCACGGTGAGATTCAGGGGGTCAAGAGTTGAGTACACGGCGCCCCATGTTGCAGCTGGACCGACAGAAACGGTCGACTGGTCGCTGCTGACAGTGACGGTGTCGAGATGAGTCAGATCGATCGTCAGGCCGGCCGCGATGTTGGCGGCGCCTGCATTGGGACTGTGGCCGCCAGAGCGGACAGCAAATGAGCAGTTGTTGGAAGCCAGTGTCTTGACTGCTAGAGACACATGCTCGGCCGTGGTTGGCTGGACAATACAGGAGGGCAGCAGCTCGGTCTCTTGCAGCGACCAGTACGAAGACAGAGACGAGGTGTACGCTGTGCTTCCCTGGGAAAACGTCTCGCTGCCCAGGACAGCAGCGAGTGCAGTGCACTAGGATACGAATGTTAGCCCCTGCTGCCATACGATTTCTCTGTCCATACAGGGACAAAGATAAGAAATGCAACCCAAGTGAATGCTTACACAAAGACCAGCCATCACGGCGTCTGAAGGAAATGAGTTGGGGATGGCAGTCCTAGGGCAGCGAAAACTTGCTGCTTGATGCCTTCAACTTGCAACATGTGACAGAAAGAATAGTGTTCTTAAATAGTATCTTCGCCGCCGGAGTCATGCTGTTCTCGCCACGCCTGGAAAAAGAATTCCGCTCTTTACGAATTGTCAACAGAAAGTCGAGCGCTGACCAACGCCAGGCCCGCGGGCAACATCAAATTGAGGTATTGTGCCCAGCCTCGCCAATTCGATTGAAAACTTCAGAATGCTCGTAGGACGCGACTCGTTCATGGGCATTGAATCCATCGGTGACAATAGAACGGATCCTTTCAGAAGCAGTGCTCACGCTGCCTCATGACGATGTCTGGATCCGGACATATGTCCAGACTCCAGAGTGGTTGAAGTGGGACCAGGGAGCCAGGAGTTGCATCGATCCCAGTGTAACATCATCAGTAGACGTGGTACTGGATACCTGTGCAGTCAAGAGGATCATGTATCTATAGTTGCATCGCTATTTACTAGGGCAGGCCAATGCTGTTAGACCGTTTAGACCGGGTAGACCCTGGAATTGTGGGCTGAGCGTCGACATAGCGCCTCGCTTCCTTCATCCTCCTTCAACTCCACTCCACTTGAATCCTGCATCTGTTTACTTCGTGCCTGGACCACAACCGATATCACAGCCTGGCATGTGGTCTAGTCCGCTACGGCTTGAGAACCTCAGTTCGGTTGGCATGATTTCTCAAAAGGCTCTCATTCGCTTTCCACTGTGGTGCCCGAATCCCAAATCTCGCAAGTTGCAAATTAAATCAGCCTGACTGTATCTCGCTATGGTGGACCAAGGCAAAGAGAAACCGCTTTCAGCGTGGTCGGAGACCGTCTCCGCCAGTGTCCGAGCCGCGTTGGATGGCCGTGACATCCTTCACTTCCCCGGGTCGTCGGAATTCGCCGACAGCGAGTCGGCCTACTTCACAGCCGCAGCCGCGGAGGTCCGTTCCGCCGCCGTTGCCCGGCCCACCTCCACAGCCGATGTTTCGGCGCTATTGAAGGCGCTCCGCCAAACCCTACCTGCAGACGTGCCCATCGCCGTCCGTGGTGCCGGACATGCCACGTATGGCGGCACGGCCAAGGCCGCTTCCGGGTTGACAATCGATATGCGTGGGCTCCGAGGAGTTGATGTCCGTCCCGGTGAAAAAACCGTTCGAATTGGGGCTGGAGAGCATTGGGGGTATGTTTCATTTTCTTGTTGTCTTTTTTCTTCTCTGGCTCTTACCCCCATATTTTTCTACTGCCTTCTATCTGTGGAATAGACTTCTCCGTGTCATTCACAATACATGGCTTGAAAAACATGTGCCCTACCACATGCCATGTCCAGCAATGACATAGGCCGATTCATAAAGTTCCTTTTTTCCCAGCAATATACTAACCTTTTCTATTCTAGGTCTGTTTATGCTGCACTCGAAGCGCACAAACCGTCACTTACCACAGTGGGTGGCCGCATGCCCGGAGTCGGCGCCATCGGGTTCCTGCTCGGCGGCGGTCTCTCGAGTCTCTCCTCACGTTACGGCTTCGGAGCGGACGTGGTGTCTGTGTGGGAGGTGAGCATTACATTACAGCATCACTCGGTACGCAGCCCACAGCAAGACTGACAAAGATAAATAGGTTGTCCTAGCATCAGGAGAAGTGGTGCGCGCAGCCCGCGACGACGAGCGCACAGCAGACCTGTGGGACGTCCTGCGCGGCGGATCGACCAACTTCGGCATCGTCACAGCCGTGGAGATAGCCTGTTTCCCGCACCCAGCGGTATTCCGCGGCGCAAATGTCTTCTACCTGCCCATGGCACGACAGGCCAGCTTGAAGGCGCTGGTCGATGTGGGCTCGGAGCCGTTTCCCGAGGACGGCAGGCCGATCAACCATGCCATGTGGTGCATCACGCACATTTTCGGCATGAAGTTCATCAATGCGCTCTTGACCACCACAGGCACCGCGAAGGAAGTGGACATGCGTGACTTTGTGGGCGTCTGGGGCCGGCTTCCCCTGACTGGAAGCCTGAAGGCCAGTTCGCACGGCAAGTTCATCGAGGAGCAGGGAAAGCTCGCCCCCAAAAATGGCAAGAGGACGCTTGACAAAACCATCACGGTAAAGATGGATTTCGACCTGCTCAACGCCATGGTAGACCTCTGGTATACCTCCGTCGACACAATGCGCCAAAGGGTGTCGGGGCTGATGTACACGCTCGTCTTTCAACCACTCTCCGTGGGCATGCTGGAGGCATCATGTCGGACGGCTCCATCGCGACCCGCATCCACTACTTCTCAGGGTCTGGATCCCAAGGAGGGAGCATTAGTCGTGGTTGAGATCTGCATGACCTGGAAGAACGCTGAGGACGACGAGTTCATGGCCAAGGAGGGATCCAAGTACCTGGAAGATTCTGTCGCGCTGGCAATACAGATGGGCCTGAATCACCGTTTCATCTTCCCCAATTATGCCTGGCCTACGGAGGCGGTCATGAGGGGATATGGTGAGGATCGTCTCGCCGTCTTACGGGATGTAGCGAAGAAGTGGGATCCGAGCGGCTTTTTCCAGGGCCAATTCGTAGGTGGTTTCAAGACCGGGAGATAGGCATGTCATCCAGCCAGGTTGGATGTGTATAGTAATGTAGGAAAGACACATAGATGCATCCATACGTATGGAACACTAATGAACCAATATACAAGGTTTAGAATCAAACCTCTTTCAAGCCCGACAACGTGTGAAGTGACTCAAGCCCCTCGGTCTCCCAGCGTTGAGATGAAAAGCCGTAACGTAACTGCCCCTTTAACGACCATCTATTTCTCGATCAACAACTAAATTATTGTGCTTGCATATCAATAACGGTACATATTAGTATCGTGACCTCCTAGCTCAGAAGAAATGCCACTAACATAACCAAACCAGCGTGTCTCAAAAGTCTCTCAGCATCAACGTCACATCTTCTCCCAGCAGCTATCGCGGCTTGACTCTAACCTCAGCGTGGACAAAAAGTTCTTCTAACTACTCGAGTAGCAGCGTGATGACTCCATTTCCTTGCCACCTTCGTTGCTTGTTATCCGTGGCAAACCTTATCCCGTCATGCTCTCGCAAGAATAGTTGATGCAGAAGCTCGCTCACTCGTCCGGGCCGGATACAATATAAAGTGCTTTTGGAAGCAGATAAATTTTCGAGAAGGACTTACAATACCTTCGAAAATGCTTCGGCAAGTCCTGGAGGTGCCGCGAGATCGATACTGATCACTTCATGAAGCCGGCCGAGGAATTGTTGAATACTCATTACGCGAGAGGCTGCGCGTGGACCTGTCGTTCGGCTGGCAGAGAGTCTGCCAGACATGTCTCGAAATGGCTATCAAGATGGGCTCTATAGGCTGGAGACACTCTTCTCTGAAGATTAGACTCAAGTTGTAGCACATGTCGAGGGCTGTTGATATGATGCCACAGGCCTGACTGAATATAGTGAGGTTTCAAGTCGGAGAAACCCTGTTTTGGCCGTGCAATCTGTTACATAGGGATGCCGGAATATCTTATGAGCAATATGTCTGAACACCCATTCCATTACTGCGAAGGATGATGATCATCGAACAGGGTGAGCCACTCTCAGACATAGCTACAGCTTGTGCAGAAGATGATCATTCTCCTTGAGATCTGATTCAAACACTTGGCTGGTCCTGATGTCTCTGAATAACTCGCAGGAAGAAGATTTCGTAGGAATTTGACTTAATAGGCAGTCAGGATACATTGAGGATGTTTCGAGCTGATCTATCAGCGCTCTCCCTAACTATGAAGCCCCAGAACTCTATACGCGTTCTTCAAGGGACTAAGTTGCACCTAGTCTTCTATTTTACAGACACAAAAGACAGTTCATTCGCTTGTAATGATTATGATTAGTCTACAAACATGGATCCTTTTTCAAGACGATGGCGTGATTTCCTAATCCAAGCGAGCAGCGAGATCAATCGAGAACGAAACAGCAACTCAACTCCGCTCAAAGTCTTTACGAACCAAATTTTGGCGAGTCAGTCCTGGACCTTGAAGTCGACTGGACCTGTCTCATCAGCATAGGATTCATGATAGGCGAGCAGCTCATCCACCTCACTTGCTGCAGTCCACAATGGGCTGTGCAAGCGGGCCGATTCTCACACCGACTTCAACAGCCTCATGAGCTTGGGGGGGCGTCCCAAAGCATGAAGCGGCCGCCCGTCATGACAAGCGGCCATTCGCGGCAAGGTGGCAAGGCACATCGTAGAGCCTGCCTATCTATCGTCTTCAAGCTCTTACCACGGGCAAGTAAGTACCCCCATCTCGACTGCGAGGTGCAGTGCGTTGCTCGAGTACACAGTGCACGCTCGCATACACTGCCACAGCGGAGTCTACAAGACGAGGACCTAGCTTCACGATTGCGTTTCTAGATACCTCCAAGGCCAGCTATCTTAAGCCGTGATTTTTACGACGGGCGTGACCGTCGGTGAAGCTTTCCAAGATGGAAACGTTACAACCTGTCCTCCGTGAATGATTCCAATGAGCGGTATGATTGGAAGTGGGAAGATTGCCAAAAATTCGAGCTTGCTCCCTAGGTATGAGTCATCATTTGCGCGAGTGATACTGTGTGCTCCAAGAATGCTGCGGAATTTGTCTGTGTAAGTACCCTTTCTGGAGGTGCTTGATGGTAATGAAAATCGAAATGTACCTTGACTTCTCGAAACATTCTCAACTGTGGCTTAGAGCCACGCCATAGCCGTGCGTTCGGCGCTTCCGGGCATGTTCGCAGTCGTTCGAATAAGGTGATGAGAAGAGATGACGATGAGACACAACAGACCGCTTTGCTCAAACCACGGCATTGAAGTGTGATGATGAGTAAGTCAAGACCTTCGGAAAAGCATGTGGGGGTTGTTCCAAGTGGTTCGGCGATGACAGTTTGCTTACCCAGGTACTTTCGCTCCGTGCCCTCCGCCCTCCGCCCTCGTGAGGAGCAAGCACATGTGGTTAGATGACCGCCTTTCCTTGGCAGCAGGAAGCAGTCAGCACACCGTTGTCTCAGAGGCGATCTCCGTCCCCTAGGGAGGTTCTTCAGCCCTATGACTCGAATAGAGTGCTGACACTAAGGGAGAGCAACCAACGGTGAGGTCCGGTGCACTGGAAACCAATAGGAACCAGCGAGTGCTGTGATGGTGATCTCGATCAGCGAATAAGTCAGAGAGAAGCGGTGGCGCTCCCTTTGAGATACAGGCAGCCAGTGGAGCTAGAGAGGGCAGAATAGGTGCAACTCGGGCATCACAGAGCCGCGTGCCTGCGGTGGCCGGCGCGCACGCGCAGGGGACGATGGGCCCTGGACAATGTGCCCCAGGCTGAGACACGATGTGCACTCGTGTTTCTCGACTTGATTATCTTTTTCTGGCAGGCACTGCCCATCCTTCATGGAATGAAGTTGCCGCCCGAGTTCGAAACAAATGGTAGCCTGACCGCTACCCTCAAGAAGGGCGTGGTTGCGGCTGCAGGGCCTGGTCGCAGAGCCTCCTCAAATCCCACAACAGTTGTTCCCACCCTATCAGTATGTGATCATGTGTGGAGTTTGTGTGACAGTAGACAGAGGGCTGCCAGCTACGAAACGCACCACACCGGTTTGCCTCTTTCGACAGTTTCAAATATGGGTCAACCTTGACGGGTGAGGCACCTAGACAGTGAGAGGCAGCCGCCACGATTTGGACGCGGTTGCGTTGTACATGAAATTTACGCCGATGCGTGGCGCTCGGTGAAAGGCAGACGGGGCTTCCCATAGCCAGGACGCAGGGTAGCTAGAGTGCCTGATACTTGGCATGTCACGACGGTGGCCCTGCAGCAAGCCTGACTGGTCGGGCCTGTTCTATCCTTGGGAGCATCCCTTTCGGCGACCAGAGGAGCGGCTGATGGGGGCTAGCGTAGCACACTGATCTAAAGGCGGGAATGCAACATGCCTTCCTTGGTAACAGCATCGCACGCAGGTACTCTAGTAGATGGCTTGAGCTTTTCTACATCGCTGAATGCTTCCCGAAGCGGGCGTCCAAGGAATGCCGGCTCGGACAGCAAGGATCGGTGAGAGAGGCTCTCGTGAATAGTAGCCGAGAAAAGTAGGTTCGTACTCGCTTGCATGCCTCGAATAACAAACTAAGCACCCATTGGGCAGTGGCACTACCAAAATATTGGGCACCGGACGCGACGCCATGCAGCGTGATGGCGGGGAGCGTGATCTGTCAAGCACAGTGGGGCGATGGCACCAAGACGGATGCGTGACAATAACGAGCTTCAGCTCAGAAGGCTCCATGGCGCGACTTGCAGCAGCAAAATAGAAGCCACGCTCGAATGCATGAATTTGCCTGAGGGACCAGATGAGGTGGAAGGGTTCAATAGGCGGCTTGCAGGTTGGGTTGCAATTGTCGTGAAGGAAACCCTGCAGCCACGTCGATGCCGCCGTCTCCCCACCTGGGCAATGAGATGTGATGGCTCGTCCAGAGGTTTCCGCGCGCGTGTGGGAGTACTGATCAGTTGGGCGACCCGATACGCGAAGGATGAAGACGGCATGGCATGGGGCATGGGAGGAGGCATGGGCATGCAAGTACCGGGCATGGGCCATGAGGCACGGCCAGCAATCGCAATCCCTGTGGCCGGCCATCCGAAAGCCTCAAGACGTCATCCCATGTTGAAGCGAAGTGTCGGAGTGGCTGAGCACACATGGTACGATAGCTAGCAGCCGCCAATGCAGTGTTGACCAGTGCAACGGAGCGATATTGAGCCGCAATGCCCATGGGGAAGTGACTCAGGCCGGCCGGAGGTGCGAATCCCGCCGACTGGGGCGGACCGGGCGTGCGCATTGCATTTGCAGTTACAAACTATTGTATTGCAGGTGGGTGCATGTGTGGATTGTGGATTTAGGAATCCTGGCGCAGTCGCAAGTAGCGTGCACAAGCCTCAGCCCTGGTGTGCTCGTGGTGGAGGTCAAGATCAAGATCAAAGAAGAGTAAGGGAAAAAAGAGCACATGATGGTGATCGTGATCATGACGATTGCGACAGCATCTCGGCCTCGAGTGCTGGGACGACTTGGTGTCTATCTGTGTGTCTGTGCGTGTCGTGTGCATGTACCGTGCGCACTACACAGCAACAAGATCGACACCATATCATATCATAGGATAGCCTGGCAGGGCAGGGCGAACTTGCCAAAGAAGCCAAGGAGCAAGCGGGAAGCAGACGGAAACCCATGATGCATGGATGGGCTAAATGACGATGGGCCCGTCACCCAAGCAGACCGGCAGATCGAAGCAAGGGCGTGGGCGTGTGAGGGCGAAGAGCGAGATACGCGGAGGGGTCGGTTGAAGATTGGAGATTGGGTATGGGCAGCAAAAGGACCTGGCTGAGGTCGCCTTCTTTCGGTTGAACCACAGACACAACCACAACCCGCAACCAAGCAGAAGTGCGATGGTGGGAGCAAGTAGACTAACAAATGGGGGGTGCTCGACAGCCAGGAACACCAACGCCAGCGCCAACGCCAGGGTCGGGGTAGGGGTCAGTCGTGTTCAGGTGCAGGTTCAGGTTCAGGTTCAGGTTCAGGCTTGGGCTCAGCTTCACTTGGTTCAAAGTGGTGGTCGAGAGCGTTGAGCGGTTGAGTGGGAGTGGAGTGATTTTTTTTGCCGATCTCGTCTGGAACGGTGGAATTGGCACCGTTTTGGCCCACCACCTGTGGCCGTCCCTTCATCACCGCATGTGTTGCAAATGACGCTGCCGTAGGGTGATTGTATAGGTGGAGTGTTGACTGATTGACTGACTGATTGACTTGATTGAGCGAGTGAGTGAACGATTGAGTTGGTGATTGAGTGAATGAATGAGTGAATGATCAGTCAATATCGATGGTCGGTTGCATGTGTTGCATTTCCCTTTCCAAGGCTGGTCTCGGTCGATGCAGTGGAACAGTCCATAGGAAACGGTACGGTACCGACTGAAGTGTACTCTGTACGTAGGCAGTCGGACTGGAGCAATCTCAAATCTCAAAGGTGCAGCAGTACAGAAGAGTGCGGGCGTGCGGGCGTGCAGGCGTGCAGTACCCAGGTACCCATGCCACTTGCCATGCATCCTTGGGGCTGGCCCGTGCTCCGGCCAGTGCCAGTGCCAGTGCCTGCCCCAGGTGCCTGCCCCATCCTCCGTCACCAGGCAGGTCCCCACAATTAAAAGGCCACATCAGGGCCACATTGAGGGGAAGGAGACGGGAAGCTCGCGCCTTCTGTCTCCCCTTGCCACCCCTGTCACTCCCGCTCTTTCTGGGTGCGCCAGGTCTGGACCCCACCAAGAAAGAGCGGGAGAGCAAAGTGCCCAGGGTGCCAGGGTGCCAGGAGAGCTCCCACCCTCGTCACCTCGTGCCCTTTCGTGCCCCCTCCCCCCAGGCCGTGCATTGCCCCATCTGAGACCCAAGACCCAAACACTCTCTGCCTCTACCTCTGCCGTGCATTGCATCACATCACACCGCGCCCACGCAACCCAAGCCCCCAACCCAAGTCACCCAAGTCACCCAAGTCGTCACCCAAGTCAACCAAGCCGACCCAACACCACACGACAACTCAACACGACATATCCTCATCTCGCCAAATCTCTCCGACCCGCGCATCCCCATCCCGTTCCCCGTCCCCGTCCCCATCCCCAGTGTTGCATTCCAATGTCGGGTACACAGACAGATACAAGATACACGATACGCGCATACGCACACACGCTCACACATGACCTCCTCCGTTCCTGAGTCTCCATCTCCCTTGGCCTTCGCCTTCGGTCAACACCGCCCAGAGCCGCCCCATCATCGCCAATCCATCTTGCCAGCCGGCGGCCTCATCCGCTCATCCCCATCCCCATGCCATGCAGTCCCATCTCACCATCTCCATCTCCATTCACGCCGTGACATCAATCATGCACGAAGCCAGTGCGACGCCAATAGTCTCTCCGCTGTTTCGCGTAATGTCGCTCCGCCTCGTCTCGCCCTGCCCCTTGCTGCCTGTCCTGTCAAAAAAGAGGCCGTTGTTCAAACACCGAGAAATTGGTGGGCAGGGTCATTTCCACCAGGTGGATCGGGATTCAGGATTCGAGATAGACGACTTGACGATATACGACCCATACGACCCATACGACTCCATATCACCTCCGTAGTTGCAGGGCCTGTCCCAGCAAGATGTGACTCGGCACTGCCCTCAGCCTCCAAGCAGCCACCGGGTAGCTTCGAACAAGGGCCAGCCCTTGCCCACAGCTGGTAGCTGGCCTGGCTGGTAGCAATTGGACCCCCAGCTGTCAATTTCTGTCCACATGGCCTGGCCAGGTCCTTTACTACGCTATGCTCCGTGAATAGGCGCGCACTCATCGGCGTAGGACTTTAGCATGTGTAATCGGCATGAAATCGGCACACTTCGAGGTCGGACTCGGCCTTTGCTCTCAACAGCCATGACCCAGGTGCTTGTGTCTCTGATTCGCCACGCCGTGGGAGGCAAATGCCGGAACGCACGGAGCTTGACGACAGCAACCCTCTCCGCTCCTCCGGCTGCTGGTCTTCGCTGCCCGGTGGTGCGCTGTCATCTGACCACGGCCGTCTGGCATACAATGGCTTCGTTCTGGGACAGTGCAGCAGGCTATGTCAGCAACCCAGCAGAGTCAGGCAAAGATCAGCTATCTCCGACCACCAAGGGCGCGCACTATGCGACCCTAACTAACAGGACGGTGGAGCATACTACTGAACACAACACCATCAGTGAGTCATCCCTGCTCATCCTCCTCGGTACCGAAGCGGGAGCATGGGTCTGGTTCTTCGTTCACAAAAGAAAAAAAGTCAATCTGAACTGCCTAGCCAAACTGTGACATTGCAACTGGTCGGCGCCTGGGTGGCACGATCCCGTGGAAAAAGAATGGATGGGGTCTTGTGTCACAGGCAAAGCAACGGGGCAGCTGACAGAGTTGACAGGCATGCCTAGTCGGCCATCCTCTCCACAGCCGGCTCGCTACGTGCTGATCTGTTCCCCTCTGTCGGGTCTGTCTGGGGTGTGGGGCCCATCTTCAGCCCTACGGCTCACGTCCAATCCCAACGCCTGTCAGTGAGAGCTGCAACACCGCGGCGATGCCGATCGGCCCCCCTGAGCTCACAGCACACACATATCCCACCCCTCCTCTCTCCCTCCCTCCTCAGGTGAGAGCTGTTGATCGCGAAGACCACGGCCTGCGGCCACCTGCATTTCCCAACCCCGCGTCACGCCGCCCCAGCTCCAGTTGCACACGCGGCAGAGAACTCGCATGCCACCAGATGATCGGCACTGCCTCGTCTTGGTAGCCTCACCGCCTTGAGAAAGGTTTCCCGAAAGGAATAATACAACAAGTCTGGCAGTCGATGTTCCTGTGCTAGGGGGGCTATTAATCATCTGCAACCATTGATTCTCGCAGGACAACTCACCCACCTTGATGCCACCCGTCACGCTAGGTCGAGTCTTGGCTGGCTTGATATGCAATTTCTAAGCCGATAACCCAACTTGGGGAGCTTACAAAGCCCGGACGCCGCCGATAGCTACAGAAGCTCGAGCGATCCGTGCAGCCAACTTGCCAAAGATACACGTTGCAATTTTTAGCGGCTAGGCGTTGCTCTCCTAACATGTCCCGTCTGGTACTCGACAGACAGCAGTTGCTCTCCCACGCTCCTAAAATCGATTGATGTGGAGAAGACAAGCACCAGCCCTACAGGGCCCATGTAACTCTGCGGAATTTGGCGAAAGTCAATTAGGCGTCTGACAACGGGTACATGCGCCAACCTGACTACTCATGTACTTCCGTATTGGGCACCGTGAGCCCATCTGGAAGAAGAAAGAAAGATTTGTCTTCACACCTCATCTTCGCTCAGAACTATCTTTTGACAGAAGAGGCTCACGACGATGTCGCCGTTGTATTGGCAGAGCAACCTTTTGAAACAGCCATGCCGAACCACGGTCTAAGTTGTGCGGCCGTCCTCTCTGGAAGTTAATCTCGGGCGGCCGCGGAGGATCCGAGATCCCCAATCCCTTGGCCAGAAATACCTGGGAAACGCTGGGACAGCCGGCAGACGCCCGCCCATTTGAGGGCGGGGCCCAGGGGTCTGCAGCAAACACCTCTACTGACCGTTTTGTGTTTGCGGCGCGGACGGGGATCTTTTGTCCACACTAACGTGTACCCACCTGGTGTAACGAACCAAGGGAGGCGGTAGTCGGCTGCTAGGCCATAGCTCCTAGGGCAGGGCACAGCTCTCTTGCCGGCGGACTTTGTGGTAATCACCCTGCAAATCGCGAGATCGGCCAAAGCTCCCTCGGGGTTAAGGGTTGGTGTAAACCGTAAACGACACTGAGTCTCTCTGGCCAAGCTGCCCATCGTTTGGTCCCAAACATGTGTTGCAATCGACGATGGCAATGCAACTGTCTCTCGGGGACGTCGCTTACTCACCACTCTATTTCCGCACCACAGGCCAGATAGCTAGCTCGTCTGGCTGCTGCCCGACTCTGAGCTGGTGGGCGCTTCACCGAAAGGCGTCCTCGCTTGGGATGTATCACCCCATTGCAGCCGCATACTACTCTATTCGAGATAGCGATGCGAAGGAGGGGAGGGTGCAAGCCAGCACGGCTTGCCTTATCCAGCGAAGTCCCAGCTGGGCCTTTCCAAAACAACCCAGCGTACAGCTCCGCCGGCAGTAGGCCATGCCGCAGCGATGGCGGTGGTCGGGCTTCGGCTGAAAGACCGAATTAGACCGCCGTGAATAGCATGGGAATGCCATCACCATTCGGCATCGTTTCCAGAGGCGAGATTGGAATCACCAAGGCTGTGTTTTGGTTAAACCCCTGCTTTCTACCACTTCTGTACTGACCAGCACCAGGTAGCTCCTTGTCAATTTGTTCAGCTAAGGCCCAGCCCGTGGGCCTTGACGGGCCCGTTGTGCGGCGCCTGAAGCTGCGTCCCACGTTGCGAGGTTGGCCTGTATGGTGTTATCCTATTGGGTCCCAAGCACATCTAAATCACATCACACTTTCATTTCTCGTCCGCTCTCCACCCTGGTCCCCTGTTACATGCCTGCCCTCAACATCAACCACATGGGCACGAAGCCGTCTCGCATCTTGTTCCGTCGGATCGTTTCCGGTGACGGGGGGTACTTGGGCTTTGTGGATCTCACTGTGATTGTCGCGGTATCAAACCAGATGAACACAGCTTCAATATGTGCCTGTAATTCTGGGACAAGGCAACATCGGCATTCCCTCATCTGAAATCCTCCAACACGTGTCCTGTTTAGAGGTCATTGGCTACCCAGGTAAGGTGCACGTACTTCACAGCATGCAATGCACTGCTCGCATCTCAGATCGCTTGCGGTAAAGGACAATCAAATGCCCTGCTGCTCGCTTATGGCCCCCAGATGTCTGTCATTTCCACAACGTGGCTTTTGGCCCCCTCAACCCACACCCCCCCTTTTTGGGAAGCATGGTCCCTCATCCTGCGGACCGCTCGTCTCTTGTTACAGATCTGTTGTGTGCCGGGGGGGGGGGGGGGCGGACACCATGCACCGGGGAGGTCGCCCAGAGTGAACCAACACAGCCGTTCCTCTTACCTTCCTTTTCGTATTTTCGAAGGAGTTGCGCTGCAACCATCTCATATCGCTCTCAAAGGGGGGGAGGGGGGATCATAGCGGCTGCCTGCTACAACTGCGGAGCCTCTCTTTTCTTTTTTCGAACCTACCTCCACCCACGAGATCCAAACATAGAGCGAAAGGCATCGAGCTACAGATGCGCCTGCGTACAGTATGCAGCAGCATGCGGCCATCCTCACACCCACGCGAGCTTTCCACCCCAAAATATGCGGTGCGACCCGACCATTCCGCCCTACCAATCCCCGGTGCCATAGGTGCCCAGTCACCAAACATGGTAGCTCACAAAAAGAATGGTAGCTCACAAAAGAGTCGCGCGCGACTGCAGCCCTTTTCCCTTGCGGATCCGCATGTAGCCAAGCGGCACCGCCATGGAGCGGGCACCGCGTCGCCGCCCAGATGGCAGCTTCTGAGGCGTCTTCTCGAAGACATGCCCCTGGCCCCCAAGGCGCAGATTGAAGCCCGGGCCTAGTGGCTGGCCGGGACGCGTCTCCCCTTCCCTTGTGCGGCAGATTGCAAGATGGAATCGGAGGTGGTTGATGAGGGACAGCCGAGTCCTTCGAGCCGTCCATGAGACAACAATGAGCAGCCGGGGCCTTGGTCACAGCGTTACTGTGTCTCTTGTTGCCCGTAGGCCTCTTCTCACGGTTGGGATCAGGCTAAGCCGTACAAACTCACACATACTCTCTCCCTCTCACACACACACACACACACCCACACTGGCCCAGGCATCACCGCGGTTGCCGAATCAGTGACGCGTTCCATCACAGCCATGGCCACGGGACCGCAGAAGATCCGCGAGGCGTCTTCGGCGAGGCAGGAAAGAGCGGTGGCGGATAGGTCGGCCCGGCTTCATGGGCGGGGGGCACATGTCTGTTGTGTGGGTAGCACAGTTTCATCCTGCGGTTGGAAATACAGGCTAGCCTCATGGGCTGGACAGAGAGATGTTGGTGGTGGTTGCGCATGGGAAAAGGGAGAGGGTCCGGCCTGGTCCTCTCTGCGCCATCCCCCTCCCAACCCTCCTCCTGATGTTCATGTCACTGGCACACGGGCCAAGTGGGAACAGCAAAGAGGGTAAAACCACAAGCTGTGGTCATTGGCAGGTTCCGTGGCTGGGGAATACGCCTCGTCCCCCCCCCCCCTCCGTCCCGCGTACCTTACTCCAGACACCTGGAATGGAGGTGGATCATACCGGGGGACAGGTAAAGCCCTTGACTGGACGCATGAGCTGCGTTTGTGGAGGAGGGGGGCAGCATGGCCATGTGGAGTTGTGTGGTCAGCCCTAAGATACCTCTGCCGTGGAATGCGGGCGACTGACGGCGTGCACCGTTTCGTGGAAGGGTAGGCAGGCAGGCAAGCCCAGGCAGCCAGAATAGTTCCCTCGCCGTTTCCCTTCCTGTCAGTCGTCCTGCGGATCTGTTGCGGCTGCGGCGATTGAATCTCGCACTTCTTGAGCTCCGACCACCGCGGGCCGCCTAGTGGAGTTGTAAATAATGCGTATCATCGTGTGGAATTT